CGCTCAGCGGGTCGAATTTCCTTGGCGTGGTCAAGTTTCTCCAATTTCTGGGACTCTTGGTTGCGGTGCGCGGTCTGCCAGACGCGTTCTTGGATTTTTGTCATTCTTTCGGGAAGCTGAACCTCTACATTCCAAACTTTGGGCTTTGCGACACTCTGGCGGATTTGGTGATCCCCTTTGACCACGCGGCGAGCGCTGTGACTGCTGCGGTGGAAGCCGGTTTGCCGACACATGTGGCGCGCAAGATCACAACGTTTTCCCAAGCGGGTCCAGAGAAAGACAAGGATTTGGCCGTCTTAGCGAGAGAATATCAAGAACAATTCGTCGTGTTCCGTGAGGAGATGTATAAATTTTACAGCGAATTTTCCTCTCAGCGGATGCTCGTTCTGCAGATTATTGTACTGCCGATGATGCTGCTGACCGCAGGGATCCTTTTCTTTCTGCGGAGATTCGTGCGCTACATGGAGTGGAGCTCATCGCTGTTCGGACGAGACTTTGACCAGTCGCAGATTCGACAGTTTCGCGGTAAGTTCTTCCTTATGTTCGCTTTGGACGTTTTTCTGATCGGTTTTCTGAGAGCGGCCTCCGACGTCTACCTCGGCAAGCGACGAATCAAGGTGATGATTCCAGGGCTTCTTGCTGGAGAGCGGCATGCGGTAGCCTTCGAGCCATCCTTGGAGAGCATGCAAAACTACATCATTTTCCTCGTCGTCCTTTATCCGATAGCGTTTATCCTCTACTCTGGCAGTAACGTCTTGCAGACACGGAACTACATCGGGTTCAACAGTGCTCTGAAGCAGTTCGTAGACAAGGAGGAAGTCCAGGAAATTCGGGCGCGAGAGTCAGTCCCCGTTGTGCCCTTGTTGTGGCGGCTCCCTCTCGTCGGCCATCTCTTCCGCGTCACGCGCGAGGTGGACGGCGTAACGCCAGTTACTGATGTCCGCAACGCTTTTGGACAGCCGGTTTTCAACAAGGCTGTGAGCACTCTGCGCGTCCGCGAACTCGGCATTACGCTAGAGGGAGTAAAACTCGTCGACCCCCCCGCTGCGGATCCGGTCGCGGGAGCGCTCGGACACGAGGCACAAGACCTTGGCGGCGGAATGCAGGCGGCTGCTCAGCAAGTCGATCTGATTCAACGGCGCTGGCAGGCGGTCGTTGTTTCCGAGGTTTCGCCAATAGGCGGTCTTGAAATAGGCAAAAAAATGTTCCAGGAGGGCGAGGAGCTGATCTCGCTGAACGACATTCCTGTCAGACAGTTGAAGCTTCGCGAAATCGCAAACGTTTTGTGCGCTGGCTGCGACTCCGTCGTCACCAACGTCTCCGGCCGCACGCAGACACCGCCAATCCGCTATCGCAAGCCAAAATCCCTAATAATGTCCATGCTCGTGCCTGCGGTCAAGGTCGTACGTCTGGGCACTCGACGTTTTTGGTGGGAAATAAGGCAGATGTTCTCATTTGATGCCCTAGGTAAGTTAGCAAAGATGAAACAGCAACTAGAGCGCGCTCGCGACTCTCTGTGGGCAGAGTCGGCGTCCAGCACCGAACAAGTGCCTTTTGTCGTGACGAGCACGGAACGTTGCAATGAGCTCTTTTTGAAACACTTTTTGTCCAGAGAGCTTTCTGAGGCGTTTGAGAAGGTCGAAAAGTATCGCGAAGAAATGAAAAAGCCAGTGATTGATTTGACGGGCACAGATTTTCGGATTTTGGTCGGCGGCGGTACGTCACAGCAGACACCGGGCTTAGCTTTTGCGAATGACGGCACAGCCCCGAAGAGCACTGTGCCACTCGAGCACCTGCACACTGCTCCGCATCTCCTCACAGATAAAGGGGCAGTTCGTAGCAGTAGGGGAAACCTGTTGTTGTTCACACAGAAACTTCCCAAGATCACAAAACGGCGCTTTGTAGAGCGTCACACTGTCAACGTTGACGCATATGAGGTGGAAGTCCTGAAAACGTCAGGTCTCGACACGGCGAAGTTTCTCAACCTGGAACCGCGAGAAAAGTTGAGCTTGGATTTGAGGGCTGGCTGTACTGCTTTGACGCCCCCGACATTATCCGGGCTGTACCAGCAGCATCACATGCTGATGCCGAAGGAGACATTTGTAGATGCCGAAACTGGGGAACTGCTTTTGCCACCGGCAGAACCGATTTTGAAGAAGGAGATGCGAGCACTTATGGGGGGTACTGTCAAAGCCAGCGCGAGAGGTACTTCCGAAGGTGCCGGCGGTGGTGGCATTCTACCAGAAAGCGCGCGAAGCGGGAGCACCGACAGCGCCGACCTCGCGAATCCAATCTGGTACGAGCAGGAATTGCCGGAGGAGGTCCTCAACAAGGACAGTCGGCTAGATATAAGGTTGGACGGGGTTATCCGCGAACCCCCGCGCGAGCGCGTGGATCCGCTGACCTTAGAGTGCGTCGATGTTCCCGAAAAAGTGACAGCCAAGCACCTGCTTCACCGCGTCTACTGTGAGAAACCGAAAGGACCGGCGGTCGAATTCCAGAAAAAAATCGCTGAGCAGTTCGCCCATGACAGTATCGAAGCGGTTCGCAACATTGAAAAGGATACCACGGTTCTCCTTTCGCCCTTCGACCTGAAGGATCAAGACATGCCATTGAATCCCTTGTTGGATGGTGAGTCCACAGAAAAGAAGTTTCAGCGTAGATTGGCAGTTCTGGAGGTCCCGAAAGTCGTCTTTCATCGTCTCAAGGGTCCCCGCGTGTTCAATCACATCCGTTCCCTGGTATTGCGCGGCCACGGCCAGTGTTCGCAAGGCCGCACAAAGGTCGATCTAGTACTCAAGGCGCCGGAAGCGAGCTGCTATTTCGAACTAGAACTCGTCGCGCAACCAGCGGGATACTTCGACCGCTGGCTGTCCTACGCGCAGCACTTTCAGGACAAGATGCGCAGAGTTCTGCTCGACCGGTTTGAGCTTGGCTTCGCCCTCGCACCCGAGGAGCAAGGCGTAGAAGAGACGGGAACGAGGGTGAACCCCGAGTGGAAAGAGACGCCGATGGGCGATCTTCTGTTCATGGGCCCCGACAACCGTCGGCGTGTGGCGCGCGTGGCAATGCCTATCGTCGCAGGAACTTCGAGTATTGTCTTCACTCGCTGGGAACGCAAAGCAAAATCGCCCGGCTCAGCGATAGGATCCGCATTGGGCAGTTTGTTCTGCTCTCCAGGTCCAGGAACCGACACCCTCGTAGTGCATGGGCACATCTTGTTGCAGGACGATATGCTTAAGAAGCTGTACAATGGGAATTGTAGTAACGCTGCGCGCGAGGTGAAGGAATTCCTTGGTCGCAAAGCGAAGTTCAATCGGCGGCTTGTGTTTGAGGCCTATCGAAAGCGCTGCGCACGTTTTCAACGTGCTTTCGCAAACTACGTGCATGGAACGCCGCATCAGAGACGAAGAGATGCGGACTTCTTTGCGGATCTAGCCTACATGTTCGACCCCAGTGTCGGCGTCGCACCTCTGACCTCGGACGCGGACGATTCGGAGGGCACCTCGTCTGCTTCCTCAACAGGTCGTGGCCGCGGACCTGCCAGAAGAGCAAGGAAAAACAAGGAAGGGGCGCACCGCACAAGTGGTGACGAAAATGGAGAGGAGGGTGCTGCTGGGCCAGAGGCCGGTGGAGCAGAAGAAGCAGCGGGGGATAGCCAGGTTCTCGTTGAAGAAGAGAAGCCCCCCGCCGATACAGAAGTTAAACCAGGGGGTGACGAGGTGTTGCTGACCGCTCGGCGCGCTGAAACCGATCCAAACAAGCGCATGCTAGCCTTCGTCCGTGTGACATCAGCTGTGAGTGTCTCTGACGTCAAGGTCATTCAAGCTGGCCTTGTCTCTCTTCGTCGTGGCGAAAGTCACTTCGACCTCGAGCTAGACTGCGCCTCTAGCGACATCCTCAACTTCGCACGAGCTTCGGACAGTCTTGAGCTCTGGGCCACTGGTCCTGCTGACGCCGGCCTCGAGGCGCATGTGCGCTTCCACGAGGGTAGCATCTTTTGCGATTCGCAAGCCTACGTTCCGCCTGAAGACTTGCGTGTCACTCTGCACAGCAAGGTGTTCACTGGCGCAATGGGTCTCCAAGTACACTTGGATCGCACCGGCGTGTATCGTGACAGTGCGCTGAAGGCGAAGGCCCTCGAATACATCGCACGCGAGGAAGCGGATCTGATGGCCGGCGAGGGTGGGGCGCGACTGCCCATTCCGATGCAGGACGAATTAAGTATGTCTGCTGGAGAAGCAGATCGCGTTTACCACGCAACAAATGTCACAGGCATGGCCTTCATGGTCAAAGATATGCCGCTCGCAACTTTAGTGCCGAAAACGCTGTCGTCACGACCCTTTATCGATGGCGCCGGCGGCGGCAACGTCGTCCAGAAGAACATCGAGGAGGCAAAATCCCGATCGCGCATTCCGATCCTCCGGTTCGCAGCCCGTGGCGCGCGTGGTGATGAGATTCTCAACGCTTATGCGGACATCTACGGCAACAACAAAAAGCTATACCGTCTGTTTTTGCTCCGAAACGTTCCGGACCCAGACAATGCACCTTTTGCTGAGAAAGACACGACCTTCAGCTGTCAGATAGCAGTCAAGAATGTAGGAATTCAGGTAGAACGCGGCATGGCCGACCCCTTGCAGTTGAATCCTCTCTTTGGGGTGCAGGTATTCGGAAAGAACGTAATGCAGCACATGAAACCGGCCGAGCCCGGGCTCAACCCTGTGGTCAATGGGTGGGATTTGACGAATCCACGGTGGCGGTGGGTGTCGAACCACGGAATATTGAACTGGGATGCAACGTATTTGATGAGCGACATCGACCAAAAGGTAAACGCTCGCGACAACCCCGCGGAGCCAGATCTGACTATCATGCCACGCGACATCCTTCGTTTCCAGCTGCGGCGCAACGACGAAGCAAAAAGAGGCCGGCCAGTACGGATATCGGTGTGGATGGATGTGCAGGTTGGGGACAGGGTCGAGCGCCTGACGCTGGTCGACAAAATGTCAATTCCGCCTGGCTACAGTAACAACACCGACTGGCACGACTTCCGATTCCACGTGGGCGGAGCCGTCATTAATTTTGAGAACGACGACGGGCCTCGTGATTTGGTCATCAATAAGGCAAATGGTGTGCAGGTGCTCGGCTGTAAAGATAACCTCCTGAAGACAGCCTACCTTGTGGGAAACAAATGGGAAAAGAAGAATGACAGGCATCGCCGCGTAAAAGAAGGGGAGTTCGATTGGGGCGGAGACTACGAGATGCGCGCGTCAGAGATCGCGTCTAGAACGGAAGGCGTTGAAGGGCAGCATCAGATGTGGAACCAAAATTCACCTGTGTTAACACCGACAAGTACGACGAGCACTGTATACGATCATGACGTTGACGGTGCCGAAGACGAGCAAATGCGCAGGCAACATTACAGTGGAGAAAAGAATGAACGATTTCGGAGTGTTAGCAGCAGGATTGAGACGAGTGGTCGCACTAGGAATGCAGTAGGGGCACAACATAAGCAGTTGTGGGCTGATGCACCGACACCAAGCTGCTCATCAACGTCGCCGCACGCGCACCTCATGGACTCACTAGGCTCGAGTTTCGCTCAGAGAACAGCGCCGCTGCAAGAGAGCCTTTTGGGAGGTAGGAGCGATATCGAAATGACTGAGGTTTTGCACCCAGACTTTATTTTCAGGCAGGACACTTCCGATAGTGAGCAAGACTCGAGTTCGATGATTTCAAGTCGTGGAGGCGGAGACTCGTCAGGCGTTGCACCTTCACAAACACAAGACCATCGTTCAACTGCTAGTGTTCCTAGGAGCAGGTCTGGCTTCTATCGCGAGGGTCGCCATGAGAGGATGGGTCGGCCACCGGATGCTGATGCACCAGCAACTAGTATCACGATATCGGGTGCGGACCTAGAGGATTGCAATGGGGACTTAGCGCGGCAAATCGGCACCGATTTTCCAGAGTTCGTGAACACGGCAGGCACGTTGAAGCTTTACTTCAACGGGGACGCTAAGGATCCGTGCTGGTTCATCTCGGCCATGTCAACATCGTTTCAGACGCCTGGTCGAACCGACACGGAAGGGTCACCCGAGTTTAAGGTTTCTCCTTCTTCAGTTGAATTTGAAATCCATTTTGAATTTGAAAGTGAAACGCATCGTGCTCGTGGTCTAGGGTGATATAATGCGTGTTCAGGAGGACGAAATTTAAGCCCCAAGCGGTATCTCAAGATGGATGTCTGCAACAACAAGTTCGTCTAAGACTAGCACACAAAGTCGCGGCGGTCTTGCACCCAAATATCGCTGTCGACGACCTGCGGCGCAAAATCCGCCATCAATTGGCTGGGAGGCGGAACCTTATAGCGGAAGCTCAGGCGAAAGCCTGCCAAAAGTCACACTTCACTTGCCGTTTGAGGACGACCTTTTCGAGAACGCGAATTCTGGACGACTTCCAGGTGCAAGTGACCCTTACGGTTACGCCAGCATCTGGTGCGATACTGGATTTCAAGCAGACGATGGCGGAGTTGCACCTAAAAAAGTGTTGCAAGACATCGCAGCAATTGACGAGCGCGTGATTCTGCAACCAGGGATGAGTCCCAGCGGATATGTGTATCGCACATCTCGCGCATTCGAGAAGCATCCGTCTGCGGTAGTCGGCGAAACCACGCTGAACGTCACAGTAGCTGGTGGCTATCGTTACCGACTGCCATCGGCGATTACATTACGTCAGCTACCGACACTGCACTGGGCGATACCAGATTACGTTCTTTCAGTCCCGAAAAAGAATCTAGTCGCGCCACAATATGACGAGGACGAGCTGTATTACTTAGGCCAAACAGAAGGCCAACGCTACAATTTTATGGCAGCACGAATCTTGCTTCTGATTGCGATCTATGTCATCGTCTACATGGATTTTGTGACCGACAAAGGCCGTGCAACGATGGAGGAAGTGGAGAAGGACATTGGAGCCGGAACTTTGACACATGCGGAGCTGGAGAACCTTTCTCCGGTAGAAAGAGCGCTCATGCGTGACACGGAGGACGTTGCCTCGCATCACCGCGCTGGGTATTGGCAGATCGTCACGTTAGCCGTCGCCGCGGGCTTGACATTGCTGTTTCTGATGGTCGCAAAAGTTCGGTTGGCGTACGACGAAATGGAGGCGAAGCGCCTCCTTGAGTGGGCCGAGGAGGAGGAGCAAGATGGCGAAGAGGGTGCTTACTACAGCGGCGCAGACGCCGACGAGCTAGAGGAAGACGCAGTGAACTGGTCCGATGTAGACAGTGATCCGGACAGGTTGTTACAGCAGACACCGAGTACGGCCGAGCGAACCCGGCGAGAGCAGATGCAGCTGATGTCCGCGCGCTTGAAGCAACAGAAGATCGTGAAGGCTAGACGAGAATCCTGGCGTAAGCTTCAGTGGTACATGCGGCCGGCGAATCGATGGTGGATGGTCTATGCCATCGCCTCCGCAGGGCCGGACGCCAGTTGCTACGCAGCGCAGCTGGCCGTCGTTAGTGTGCTTCTCTTCACGCATCCGGGAGCGCCATTTGCTTCCTCGGTCTTAGACGAATTTGCGCCCTACGTGTTGATTGTTGTCTCGTCGCTGCTCGTGGTCAGCATGAGCCAGCAGGTCTTAGCTACGAGGTGGATTTCCATGCGACGTAGTGTCAAGGACGTGAGCAGCTTCCTAGCCACCCGGCGGGTACAAGGTATGACGCTTTTATTGGCGCCGGTAACCGAATTGAGGTTCCTCATTGAGAAAATCCTGTTCGATCTCTTGCCCTGGCTGTACTTCTCTTTACGCGACGAGGCGATGTACGGCTACCTGCAGCTGATGGAGGCCTACTACGTGTACGGACGAAGGATTGGCCTAGTCGGTGGCGGTCACAGTGGTCATCATCACCATGTGCACTACGCCGAGCGCCAGGGCTTCTTGAATCGCGTCATCTACAAGCCACCTCCGCCACCGCTCAAGCCCAAGAAGGAAGGCGGGAAAGACAAAAAGAAAACGGCGACAGCAACCTCGAAGAGTAAAACCGGCTCGAAAACAGGCGAACTTCCGGTAGGGCAAGCTGAGGACATGTCTCAAGTTGCGGCCTTAGGGACCGACTTCATGCCTGGTCGAGAAGGCGGTTTAGCCGGAAATGCGAACGCACTGAGTGTGAAGGCGATGCATATTCGCACGTGGGAGGCCGAGCGAGCGTCCCAGATAGGCGACAACATCTTGACCAGCGTCGGGAAGCAAACCCATCCTTGGCGAGACTCGCATGAGAAGCTGCGGCAGAGCACCATGTGTCTGCCAGATCTACGCGGAGCGCAGATGTTGGGCGACCGCGAGCGCATCAAATCTCAGATTGAGAGCATTGAGAGCATGTGCAGCGGCTGGTCCATGGGTCGCGGGACGAAGTTCGAAGTTCTGCCACCACTTTTGTCCTCCGATGCTCTAGATACGCGCGGAGCCCCAGCCATGCTTGAGTGTAGATCCGATGTGGGACCGCCAGGCTTCTTTGGCACTCTGGACAAACGGATCACGTGCTCTAAAAAGTCCAGTGAGCACCCAGATAACCGCTTCAGGAACCCGCATACCATTCGCGTGTGGGAGAACGAGCACCTGACTGGACAGAGCAACTTCTTCGTCGAGCACGATCATTGTGTAGTCGAAACCATGTCTGCCGTTTTGCCCAGACTAGGGCTGCATCTTCCCGCGAAAGTTGAGCCGTTGAAGCATGAGCGGTCTTTGCTGAAGAAGCTCCTACTAACTAGTGGAAGTAGGCACGCAAGCTCGGTAGCGCTGAAAACACAAGATGTGTTCACAAACTTCCCCTGCGTGGTGACGCGGAGCCAGCTGACGCGCCCCATTCTGGAAGAGCTCCAGCGAGAACCGAAACCACTGAACGAAGAACGGCGCGCGAAAATGACGCGCAAGCAGTTGCGTCAAGTAAGAGAGGCACGCGAAGAGTTCCGGAAGCGCTTAGACCCACGATCCGACCACGAGACACGAGAAGTGATGGCCACGATTCAGATCATGTCGTTGGAGGACGTGCCTGGCGCCCTGCCCACAGACTGTAGCGGGGACCAGATCCTAACCTTGTACCGTGAGGAAGAGGGTCAAGTGTATTTTGACCCGAGCAGTCACATGTTTGGGCGCCGCGTAGATGCCCGGATAGGCGAGAACGAGGCGGAATACCACGCGGAGCTGCTGGCAATGTGGTTCATGCAACTGTTCCAGTTTCTGCAACAAGCTGGCGCAGACTTTCATCCGCTGTCGCCACTACACGCACTTTTCAACGAACTGTTCTGGAGCTTCGACCTGCGCAACGTCCGCACGGATTCCACGCATCCAGCCCGCGAGAGCTCGGTCGGTGATGTGTCACTGTTGATGAAATTTCTGCAGGTGTCCCAGAATTCTGCGCTGGGTGGCGCCCACCTGGCTTTCCTCTTCCTTGTGCACGGCGAAGAGAAGTATCTAGAGGTTCTAGAGTCCGAGCTCGGAACTCTGAAAGAGCAGATCGTGCGGTGTCGTCGGCGCAGCAGTGCTTTGCTCCATGAGGAGCTCGAGCACAACGAGATCTTGTCATCAGGAGCGGCGGCCGGATCTGACAAGCGGACCGCGATCAAGCAGAAGTACGCGAAGCGTGAGGAAGAGCAAATCAATACGCACCACAGTTTCTGGGTCTCCGATCCCACCGATCCAGTGGGACAGATTGCCTTCACACGGGAAGCCTTGCAACGGCGCCGCGAACTTGCAGCTGCGAATAAGCGGGTCACGAACGTCGTGTTTCCGGGCTTTCTGCATCTCGTGACGGGCGGGACCTACGGCGCACCAGAAACGGTCCCCAGTGACACAGCGCACGCGCGACCGGAAGACAGCAAGGACGATTCCAAGAAAAAGCCTAAGAACGCAGAAGGTGCACACAAAGCACCACAGCCAGCACCAGCAACCGCCCGCAGTGCGACTAGTACTAGCTCTTCGGACTACTCGACCGGCACAAGTGACAGTAGCAGCGATGCTGGTGCCCCTGCTGGCAAGCCAGGTGCACCAGCGAAGTCGGGTGCCACTGCTGCGGCACCTGGCGCGGCTCCCGCTGATAAGGCTGGCGCAAAAGCAGCCGCCAAAGCGGCAAAGAAGGAGGCCAAGGAGGCTGCTGAAGCCCCGAAGTTTATCGGCGACGAGGATGTCCCCGACGTCAGCGGCCTGCGAGATAGCAAGTTCATGGCTTTGAAGCACATGCCGGACATGATTCGACTGGTTCAGCAGGCAAAGCGGACAACGGTGAAGCTACTTCACATCGTTCTGCGCGATCGCGATTTGCGTCCACCGGTAGCTTGGCGGCCGCCGACGGTCGCAGCCCATCCCGCAGAGTTCTTCAAGTTGAACAGCAACCACGAGGGGAGTGGTATTTTGGGCATGATGCAGATGCGCAATGACCGCATCATCTTCGAGCGGGTGTTGATGGGGAGAAAGTGTCGTGGAAACCGAATGTTCCTCCATTTCGATGAAATTTCCACGATGCGAACGGTGAAAGATAGTCGCTACATAGGAGAGCGCAAAATTTTAGGTCAGACTCTCTACGTGTTGATGAAAGACGGCACGATCTGCTGCTTTGCGATGTCGCGAGAAAAGATAGCCATCTATGAAACCCTAGTTCGCCAGTACGCGATGGACAGTATCCGTCGCGAAATTTTCGGCTACGATGGCAGCACTGTCCGCTCGACGCTCTTACCCGGCATGCGGCTGCGACAAGGAGTACGGGGAAAGCAGCGCTGGTTTCAGGCTATCAGCACGGACTTAGCGTCGCATCGCATGGAGAGAGGCGTGTACGATGGCGGGTGGTGGCAGCACCGCTACCACGGAGTCGGACGACTTCTTCGTTGCGAGTACTCGAAAGAGCTGAAAAACGAATCCTTCAGGACGCTGGGGGAAATACTCAAATCGATTACGGATCAGTCAAAGGTACTGCAATAGCAATTTTGATATTCTCGATGAAGATGTAAGACCTCGTGAGGTGCATGGTTTCGGTGAAACAAACGTAGTACTGTCCTACGTTCATCATGCGATTTTTTTTGCCAAATTTTCAGGCAGGCGAGACGCTTGCGTTGCATATCTACAAGCGAAACGTCCTCGCCTACGACGGAAGCTGGCGCCACGGCAAACGTCACGGCAAGGGTGCAATGGTTTTCAAGCGGTTTGGAGAGTGGTACCGGTTCTATGGGCTTTTCATCGAGAATGAGCCTGTTTTTGGTGAGGTTGACCGTCTTGATTTGGCAGAGGACTTGCTGCCGATCCGCGTGAAGCCTCCACCACCACCACCGGCCACCCCAGCAGCGGCGGCTGCAGCAGCCGCCGCAGCACCAATCTCGAGTGGCACGGGAATCAAATATTACCTTGGCTCATTGGGTCCGATGGAAGACGCTGTGAAATTCATGTCGGATTTTCACTACGTTGGCGCATTTGAACTCTACTCGGCTCTCTGCCTTTGGATGGTACAGGATGATTCTCCCGATGAAAGCCGCATATACGTCCCGTCACCGACTCTTCTTCTTGATCACTGCATGGCGAAATTTGCGGTACTAACTTTTCTACACACTCAATTTCTGGCATTTATAGGTCTCCACCTGGTCCCGGAGAAATGCTTTCCGTTGTAGCCGTACGTCAACCGGCCTACTCTTACAACGCTCCTACTTGAGTATGCGTACAACTACTAGAGAGCCAGTCTTTTTTGTAATTGTAACGACCTCTCACTCCCAGTGAGTCCCACCATACTTCTACCATCCACAGCATCTAACCACCATGACCACAGCATCTAACTCCGGACCCAGCCCTGCATGACTTGCAGGAGAGTCTAAATGAAGGACCATTGGCATTTGCGCGAGCAGCTGGCTACGACGTGGAAGATATTACGGAATTCGACCTGTGGTGCTTGCAGAAACTTGCGCCGCATCTGATGGAAATGCCCTTGATCGGTGCCTGTCGTGCAACAGACGATAAAATGGGAGCGACGTTGTTTAAATTATGGCTGAGAATAAATCAAGAAGCTCAAAACGAAAAGTACAAGGTAGAGGTATTCGGGTATGAGATCCGATTCTATCACGAGAATATAGATCACCAGAAGACGGATCACCTACTAGGGGATGAATGCGGTACGCATAGGCGCTCGTTCTAAGCATAGACGTCGGCAGCTTCGAAGTTGGGCAGAGATTGCCTTTTGTGAAGACGAATTTTTTGAACGTCACCGACCAAATGCGGCTGCATACGAAGAAGTGCTTCCACATGTGGCACCATCTAGAAGTTCCTTGCACTCGAGAAATCTACCCGTCCATCGTGGAGGTGCGCATGTGCATCGATGCAGAGTTGAATGGGACCTACCGCAGAATTTCCGATCTGGAATTCCAACATGTGGGGGATATATGCACCTACAGCGGTAGCGATCGCAAAATCGCGTACGATCCCTCGACGTACGTGTGGTCGCTTGGAAACAGAACAAGAGGAGAAGCAGCATATTTCACGATACCAGAAGGTGAAGGGTTTGGTAAGCCGCCATACGGTACAGTGGACGACGGTAGAGCGATTCAGCCACCGATTACTGACTGGAAAAGCAGAGAAGGGTATCTCAATCTCTCGTCTTACTTCGAAAGTTCTCTTTTGCATGCCTGCTACAGACACGTGATTGAAAATTTTGGATTTACCTACGCCGAAAAAGTATGTACTACATGCTGTAATTGAATGATGCTCGTAATGATAATGCTAGTAATGTTTTTCAACATGATGATTATTCATACTCATTCGTCATCCACGAGCACGACCACCTTTAGGCACGCCAAGAGTCCGCTGTTTGTGTTCCGACAAGAGTATTTGTCATATGCTCCCGCGCGTTGTGTGGAGAACTCGATCCACGGCGATGCCAGTAAGAACGCGGTGAAAGCTTTGTCGAATTTGCCTCTGTCTGGGTCCAAGCAGCTGCTGCAGCAAGCGATCATGGACTGTCGTCGGAACGGCGCCACCGTGGGCGCAATCAAAGAAGGCATTCCACGCGGTGCGCGCATGTCGCATTTTGAGAATGTCGAAGGGGAGGTTTTCGCGGAGGACTCTGAGGTTGGTCGCCAGTTCTTTATCGACCTACAGTTGAAGTACGAAGCGTTGAACGCTCGACACGAAGGCTCGCACGCGTTTTTGAGTGAGCAAGTGCGGCACGCAATGATGAAAGGCCAGGACAAGTTCAAGGAGAAAAACCCGCAATCGAAGATGCCTTACCTTTGGGGACAGCACGGCCAGGCCATGCAGATGCACAAACCGGTCGAGAGAGCGAGACTTAGTACTGTTGCACTTTTCTGCGTATAGCATTCGACAGCAAGGTGATGCTCGGCTAAACTCTCTATTAATCGATAATTGAAAGAGAAGTTCCAGTCATTATGTGATCTTGTTGAATGTATTCCTTTTAATTGCCACCTGTAGAAGGAAACCTTCTCGAACCTGATACAGATGCTCCTGTCGAAACCAATGAGTTTCTATATGTGAAAGCCGATGGATCCGGTGCGTTGCTCCAAGACACACGTGGAGACGAGGACGGTCTGAACCTCTATCACCCTGACGACGATCCTTGGCACTACGACCGGTCGCTCGCGTGCTTCCAGAATGACGCTAGTCTTCGTGGCTTCGTTCAATTTTTGAGTGGCGAGAAGCTCTCCTACGTGGAGGCCGGAGTAGCATCAGACGGACACGCAAACATGACTTTCATTTATGAGCAAGAAGCGTACACTCTTGTTTTTTGAAGGCCTGAGGGATTTTCTACAGACGGCTGATGTAGAACGACCATGCTGGAGTTTAGAATCTTCTTCTTGGATTCATGATAACTCTGTATCTGCTAGGTGATGAGAGATTATTTGTATTCCGTAATCAAATGCTTATCCCTGTCGTGGTTCTAATCTGAGCATGATGGTCGCAAAATGCACTGGGAGGGACTCACAGTGGACCGAAAGTTCCATGGTCGTGGTATGCTGAAAACCGATGGCTGGAGCTACGATGGACAGTGGGGTGCCGGAATGCGCAACGGGTTTGGTAAATACAAAACGAAACCAAGTGCCAAGGTTATGGAGTAAGGAATCGCAATCTTTCATTCTGATACTGTTTGATGGGGACGACGAGCGTCACGAATTTACTTTCTTGTTCGAACTTATATTTCTGCGCCGTCCTCGTCTTTCTTCATCTTATTGTTGTTGTTCTCCTTAACACAGAGAGATTCAGTCTTGCTTGCTTCTAACCAATCCGGTTTCGTGAGTTACGAAGGTGAGTGGCTCGACAACAAAAAGCACGGGGAGGGCGTGCTTGACTTTGACGGCGAGCGCAAGATTCAGGCGATCTGGAAGGATGACAAGGTTTTCCGCGTCATCAAGTACGAGTGCGATACTGCGGAAGACGATCTCGACTTTTCGGTCCAGAAGGATATTGATATTGCCAAAAATGATGGTTAAGGCTCTCGATAATTCATCCTCACCCTCCCTGCTTCCCTCCCTGTTTCCTTCTTGGGTTCAGAGGCTAAGTAGACCTTAAAAGATGAATTACGTTCAGAGCTAAGATGGAGAATTCAAGATTTTTATCCACCTCGATGGGGAACAGGTAGGTATGCCAGTGGACGCGGAAAAAGTAGCAGAGAACGACGAATTTCTCATGGATGGCGTGCGCTACAAGCTCGAGGGAAAAACCTACTCCTAATATGGCATCAGCTCAGGTGTGTCAGGCTCACGATTTTAGCCAGAAGTGTTGAGACTTTCACATCAAGAAAGAACTAGTGCAGATGAACGAAGGTCAATTACAATTGATATAGTGATAAATAATTAAACAGAGCTAGATGAAGTTAGAATGACTGTGTGTTAGGAATGTTGCGAGTGCTTCCTATGAAGCCATCATTTTCAAGGAGAACTTATTTTCGTTGTCCTTTACCTTTGTTCTATTTCTCTATCCTTCTAACGTTTTCAAGGAGCAATAAGACAGGGACTCTACGAGGGTGACCCGGGAACGCTTAAGACTAGCGTAGGAACCTACAAGGGAACCTTCCGAGACGGCTTGAGACATGGGACTGGCACCTTGACGATTGAGAATTTCGTGATTGCCGGCCAATCCTTCAAGAAAACGGTTGTCACGTCAGCGAATTGGAAAAACGATTTTCCAGTCGGAGACGCGGAGGTAAGAACTATAATCTTACCATATCGTCCTCGTCGTGCCTGTTTTTCTACATGTATTTCGTCAGCTCAAGCGCTTCTGCAGGAGAAACATCCATGATGTGGGTCCTCCTCGTTCGAGTTCAAGTTGTACTCAATCTGTAGTAATTTGTGGCCAAGCTCTACCTGAGATTTTTACCTCGGTATCTCAATCTCCTTTCAGGTTACCTTAGGATGTAATAACACTACGATTAGAGTGAACGTAGAACCTGATCGTACGTTCGCGCGTGTGGGTCGTGGGCTCTTTGGGTTTGGTGGTGGTGCGGGCGCGATCACCGCGGAAGGTGGGAGAAAGCCTGGTCTAGTCGCGGGTTTGTTTAAGGCCATGCTCGACAATTCGTTTCCACCTTACGTAGAATTGCTTTCATTTCACTTTGGGAGACGAAGAGGAAGAAGATCCACTTTGTTTGCTAGAATAAGACACCTTACTAGGAACAAACTTTCAAGTCGTGAGAAATGACCCTCTATCAACGAGGTGGTCTAATTCGTGCGCTAGGGGAGGGGCGAAAAACAAAAAGCCGAAAAGCGGTGACGACGAAGACGACATGAACGAAGATGACGAAAACAAGGACAAGGAGGCAGAAGAAGGCGAAGAGCCCACGCCAAGAGAGCCGGTTCGCCCTGCACATACGGGTCCAGTCAAGGCGGCTGAAGAGCTTCCGCAAGACTTCTTCACCAAACTACCGGCAACACCTCAACTAGGGTACTGCATGTGCATGTGCATTGCTCTCTGGGTTTGGATCCTATGAAGGCTTTTTCTGTCAAGAAATTGGAGGTTTTAATATCGCGTTAAGAAATTGGAAAGGTTCACGTTCATCGTGTCAAGATAGTATACTGATTCCAGTACAACATGATGATCACGTGCTCGTGGGTGTGTATGATTCAGAGTTACATATATTCATGATTAAGTAAAACTTTCACAACATTCACGACCAGGTATAAAGGTCGTGTCGAATTGAATTTCTCCGAGCACGTCCTGAAGAAGGAGTGGCCGCATGATGTGCCACGCGGACCGCCATCTGTTCTTGACAGAGTGCGCGATGGTGGGGAAAGCCTCAACGACAAGTATCCAGAGCGACCTGCTTTTCGCGACGCACCGCCACACCTGACGAAACCGAGTCAGGCTGTTTTCCACTACCTGTCAACGTCCTGATCATTAGGTAATCGTTGTAGTTGTAGGTAGATAGAGAGAACGAGAAGTCAAAGCAAGTATAAATATTGGAAAACCCACTGATGATAGATTGGTCGACCGAGTACAATATCATTAAACCAAAAAGCGGAGCGGCAGTAAAAAAAAGCATTTTCCTGTAGTAAACAAATTCAGATCGGCATAGATTGGTTCGTTGTCAGTCAGCTTTTTGATATATTCTACTTTTGGTTATGCTATTGCAATTGCTATCATTTCTCATATCTTCAGTCTGTAAGATAAATATATTTCCTTAGATTGATGATTACATTTTGCATTTTATCCGGTTGTATCTTTGATGAATTCTTTTTGTATATTTATGAAGCCCGTAGTAGCTATGTTGCAGTTATGGAGGAGGACGCGTTGTACGTCGACCGTTGGACAAATGTTAATGACGAGAAATTATTTCTCTCCCTCATCGAACTATGTCGATGTCAACAACCGCTCCTTATTGATGATGCGCCGTTTCGTTTAGCGACCTGCGTTAGAAGTGGTTGACTCATATGATCGTTGCGTCATCTTCCAGGTTAACGAATTTATATTCGTCGACGCGAATGGAATGTTCAGCTTACGCTTTGCTTTTCCAAGGCTAAATTCTTGGAAAAGTGAGTTAGGAGTCAGGTCTACGTTGATGACGACCTCATTGCGACGAAGAATATCCACAAACAGCAATCCCAATCAAGTGATTCATTGCTAAAAATTTCCTTTGCAGCACGATGAAAAGAATATTCAACAGACCTTGAAGAATTTGTTGTGATAGAGAAAGAAACTGATTCAACAAAGTAGCCGTTGAAGCTACAGGGCAATAAGATCCATAAGAAGATGAAACAAAATGAAAATAGGAGAACAATCTCCTGGAAATTGATCTGAACCTGGAGAATACCTCAAGAGTGGCTCATCCCTGAAGACGAAATTGAAAAGATCCCAATTAATTCGAAACGTGGAATCTTCAGGAAATCATCCTTCAAATCTCGAAGAATCTGATGAAGGGAAAAAGTTCCACCAAGTTCACCACGACTAGGTTACATGATCACTTGTTGTAATAGAAGAGCGTGCTTCTAGTAGGTGAAGTTGAAGTGCTGGAATTTCTATTCTCTCCAAAAACCTGAATTTTCTGAATGTGACTCCTCCTCTACAGGATGAATTATTGTGGTGTTTCTTATGATCTGTTTCTGTTTTTTCAAATTGCTTGACTATCAGAGGCATCAAAGAACCAGTGACATCACAGCGTTAGTTATTTGCATGGATTGCATACTAGAGGTGCTAGTAAATTTGTCAAGCAATACTGTGTCTCAACAGTATCCTCCTAAAAGTATTGCTACTCCCACCCGCACCCACGCAGATTGAGAATAATCTAGTCATCGTGGGAAGCTGACTGACACGACTGGTTGTAGAGTTATTTCCACTGTTGATCAGTCCGTCTCATTCCATCATCTCGTGTTGTAGTTGTTTCTGGATGAAAAAATAGGACTCGAGCTCTCGAAGATTTTCCTCCTGAAAACAAACCTTCTTCACTACTAGTAGATTCGTCGTCGATCATATTTCATATCACATATTCTTGTCTGCTATCCCTATCACCCTAAGCTACAGCTGTGACCGTCTTCTTCTATATATAACCTAAACATATTTGAACCTGCTCCACGTGTGTTGAAGAACTCGTCGTGTTGACCAAATTTTTAAGATTCAAGTGAATGTTATTCAAGTGGATGTTTCCACGCTGCTCTCCCTAACTTTCTGGTGGAGCTACCTTCGACTAGCCGACCAGTCGATACCAAAGACCACAACAAAACCTGCCCTCCATGTCAAAGTACTTCAATTTTTTGATGCTTATAATCGGTGTTGCTACTGCTCTTGGTGAACAAACTACCTGTTAGAAGTTGAAGTATTAGAAACATTATGGTTGTAGGCGCGAAAAATGATACAACAAACAACTCAATCAGTTCCAAATTGAATGCTGTTCACTCATCGTACTAGGTACGGCAGGAGTAGCCAAGAGGCTAGCGGAACGAAAATATTCGTTGGCGGTCTCGCACAAGGAACAACAGAAGCCCAGATACATGAGTAAAATTACTTACATAATGTAGATTTTTCTGCGTCTACATAAAAACTAAGTCGTTGTGAAATCTAGACCGCAGTGGCCTACGTCCAGTTTTTTTCTAATTGGATTCAATTACCAAGGGGCTCGCTTCTAAGCTGGAAATCGAATCCCTGTTCTCGTCTCACAGACATTTACCTTCTCCACTAAAAACTGAGATGTAATAAAAAGTTCTTTCCTGTCACAACCACAGGCACTTTCAGCAATTTGGAAAGATAGAAAAGTCAGAGCTCTTCATACTGCGAGGCTTCGGCTACGTTTCTTTTACGGCATCCTCAGCAGTGGACAGATGCTTGGCTCAGCAGTACGGGCAACATCAAATTAACGGAAAATGGGTTGATGTGAAAAAATCCTACCCACCTAGGGACGTCAATCTTCCTGTCAGTATTCAATTTTTATTTCCTTGTGGTCCTCTTTGTATGTTGCTTGAGCTTGACTTTCTTGATTAACCTTCTTGTATGTTTCCGCAAACTACAAATTCAAATGTCTCAAATAGGGCTTCGTTTGTTGTTTATACCGTCGTGTTCGTGTATCTCTCTCTGTTTCACTTCACTCAGAAAAAGGGAGCGGTAAGGATAGCACATCGAAATCTGGTGAAAAGGGCAGCAGAGAAGAAAGAGGACCATCAAAAGGTGACAGTAAAGCAGCTCCGACAGTTTCCGTTGCAGCAGCATCAGTAATTTCGATTTTCCTACAATTTGCTATTCTTTTGGGATCGATGAATATGATCTACTTCTAGCAGTAGACTACTATAAACTCTACTATGCTCGTTGACATTGTTTGGATGAAATGGCTACGAAAGCATCAAATGATACTGACGCCCGCATCAAATTCTATTCTATCTCACATTTATCATCTGTTCTATCTTCACATTTTTTTCCTCCGAACACAGAAAAAGCCAATGACGGTGACCGCAACGGTTCATGGACCGCGCGCTGTTGAAGATTCACGAGTAACCGAACTCTGTGCAATGGGGTTTTCGTTGCGGCAAACAAAACGAGTTCTGTACTATTCTCTCTTTAATCAACCGAATTCGTTACATGATTTATCTAGAAACTGTAATTATAGGCGATTTAGTATTCATGATACGCAACCCTGTAACTGTTGCCTATGTAGGCTCTTGTCTGAAACCTCATGTCAATGATACCGTACCTACTAGCTATTGGTTGAATGATGCATCTCGAATAATTGTTGATCATTGTTATATGTAGCCTTAGCCTGGAATCCGAACCACAAATATTCACAGAGGTACATGCGGATGGGATATGAATAAAGCACTCGATCAGCTGCTGCAGGAAGGCGTCGATCCAGATGAAAAACCTGAAGAGACGCGGCAACCTAGCAAGTAAAGATTAGATTTTTATGCAACTTAGTTTTCTTTTATTTCCATCACATATATAAATGACGAGTAGCTCCTGTTCCTGTTGCTCATCTTGGCAATCCCTTTGAAGGAATCGAATGGCCTGCAAGCACTGCGAAAGATTTATCGACAAGAATTGATGAATTTCCATCCACTCTACTTATACCTACCTAATACTTATATTTGTGTTTATTTATTCCATCAGGGGGAAAGCTGGAGCAGAAACGCTATCAACCGCAAGCGACAGTATCGAAGAACGCGATGACATGAGCAACGACGGTAGAAACGGAGGAAAAGGTGCTTAGTCATCTTCTTTGTTATCTCATACTACATAGCTAGGTAAAGATATGTTGATTAAGATGATATGGGCATGGAATGCGCCAACGCAAAATGCGATCATTGTAGGTTTTACTCCTCCGTCAAGACGATGCGAGCTTGAGTTAGTTTTTCTCATAGATTTTTATTGATGATTATTTTTGACCTTCTCGTATTTCTTTTTCCAGGTGGTAAAAAGGGTGCTAAAAGCAGTCCAGGTAAGAAGGATCAAGGTTCATCGAGTACTTCAGCAACCGGCGCGAGTTCAACTGCAGAAGCTTCTGAAACGAGTGCGCAGGAGATGACTTCCGCAGAAATAATTACGACTAATGTTAATGTCATGGGTAACGGGTCCTGGTCTGGTGCAAAAAACAAACAATCATCTGCGCCACGAGTGGACTCAGAGTTGTCTCAACACGTGGATAACTCAGCAGCTAAGACTGCCTCAGCAACAGCGAACAGTGCCGCTGCAGCGGGTGCAACTGCGGGCGCTGGAGTTGTAAACAGCGCGACCGCTGGTGCCACGAATGGAGCTGTTAATATGAACCTTACTGCAGCAGCTGTGGTTTCATCGACGACCGCAACCTCAACGACACCCAGCAGCGCAGTGAGCAACCAGCATTCCAAAGCGAGTGTTCCAGGCGAGCAACCAGGAGCCCATCAGGGCGGACATCACCTGGGAGGCACGAGCCCGAGCAAAATGGGAGCTATGCATCAGATGGCAGGCGCCGGCAACGCCGCGGCGCAGCAACAGATTTCCAATAACATGCAACATCAGCAGCAACACGTTGCAGCGCAACAGCAGCAACAGCATAGCATTGGAGCCCAAGGAGCAGCACAACAGCAGCATAACGTAGCTGGCGCACAACAAAGCGCTCAGCAGCAGATGATGCAGCAACAACACAATATGGGTGCTGGAGCAGCACAGCAGCAGATGCAGATGGGAGCACAACAACAACAGCATGCAGGTATGCACCAACAGCAAGCAGCCGGTCAGCCGACCGCAGTGCAACAAGGTCAGCAGCACGTACTGAACGCGAACAACGTCAGTATGCTGAGCAACACAACCCAACACACATACCAAAATGACACTGCGCAGAAGCAACCGGAACCTGAACCTATCGCAAATAACACCATGGTAAACTCGAATCAGAACGGTTGGGGAAACCAGCAAATGCAGATGCAAAATGGTCAAGCGCAGCAAAACCAGTATGGAAACTACTACAACCAGCAGCAAAACCAGCAGATGCAGCAACAACAGAGTAGTACTGCTTCAGTTTGTTTCTAAACCCAGAAATTCGATGATATTTCTTCAGACAAGCACTTGATCTTTGTGAAATGATGAGAAACTTTGGTTGATGAATTGATATTGAACAAAGAACAAGATCCAGCAATCTTCTATTTCTTTAGAAAATTTGAACGCCTGTACTTCTTAGCGTTCCTTTTTCCACAAACTATCTCTCAGATGCTCAGTATGGTGGAAACTATTATGGCCAGCAGTATGGTAATCAACAGCAGCAACAGCAGAACTATTACCAGCAACAGCAGCAACAGCAGCAGCAGTACAACCAGCAAGCTCAGCAGCCGCAGCAGCAACAGCAGCAGCGTGAGGAAACGGGAAAAATCCACGTACTAACCAGAACTTTCTTGTCTCGTTTCGTGTTCAGCGATTACCGATTTTTGATCATGGAATATTCAAGATTCTTTTTGATGTTATCATGGTGAAAGAAAAGCTGAGAATGCTTTCTAAACCACGAATCCTCACAAATACGTTGAAAACAACAGGTTCAACCAACGCAAGCGTACGCGCCACCGCAAGAGTATGTGAATGGAGGACAGCAGTTTCTGACGATACAGCCGGATCTCAAAATGGTACCATTAGGATCGGATTTTTCTAATGTTGATCTGTTGCTTCTGCAAGTAAATTGTTCTCGCTTTATGAGATAAATCCACCCGCATGCGAGATTCATACATTCTGGAAAAAAACAAGCATTCACTCTCTCTCTTTGTCTTTTCCTCCCTATCATGCTCTTCCTCTTCTTGCTCCTAAGTATTAAGTATATTCTACTGTAATGTGAATGTCTCTCTCGAAAAAACAAAACAGCCAATCGAGTTGCAATTGTACAATAGCAACGATTCGGGATGGTCCCACGGACGTGATGCCCAGGGAAATAGCGGTTGGTTCCCCACCAGTTGCGCTAGATTCGACATCGTCGTTGGATCGTACTTCTTCTAATTTTGATTTCCTGCTTTGGAAACACATATTCATATTTATTTGATTTAGATATTTCAGCCACGGCCTGCTGTCTGTCACCTTTTTTTTGTATTTGGCTAGAAAGAAGTGACAAAAACTTTTCAATGTGCACCACGTTTCTAAGAGGTCTCATTAATGGACTACAACGGCGCCTTTTACTTTTTAGCAATTCTTACGCAAATTCTTATGATATATCGAACACAATCCTACAAAAAATTGACCACTACCAGATACGGATTCGATACCAAGCCAGAGAGCACGCGAAATTATATCACTTTTCAACCGGGATCAAAGATCATCGTCGAGCAACGCCACGACTGCGGCTGGTGGATCGGTGCAGTGGTGCTGGACAGCCATGGTAACAGATATTTTTTAGTTAGCTTCCTATGAGAAAATTCTCCTAACAAGTTGAAGTATTGTCTGCTGAGAGACACCTCAAGGAACAGTAGCAGAATGCGAAAGCGTACCACGAATAGAAGATAGTGACAGGAGCTTATTCATTATCGCTACTTCATCAGCGTTTCCTGAGGTATCGTCTTCATAGTTGTCCCATTTCTTTTCCAGGTAATCTCGGAGGAAAGGGTTATTTTCCAGGCAACTACTGCCAGGATGCGCCTCCTGCCGCACAGTGAATTCTCGAGAAATCTTCGTGATGGATTTAGTTCTGCTTTTTCTATCGCTGCGGGAAAAACAAAGTGGAAAAAATTAAGGTGGGAGCCACAGGAAGTCATCACGAAAGAAGTAAGTAATTTGAAGTGCGTGTCTGGAGATATAGAAGCTGGCGAGACAACATCATGAGCACTCGCCAGGTGTGGTTGCGAATGTTGTTTATTCTTCGTCTACCTTTACAATTGACAGAGAATTGTAGAAGCATACTGGTATTCAATCTAAACAGAATCAGGATTATTTATCACAATTTGTAAGCATTATTGCCTCGTCGTGCCATACCAGGTACAGCACAAATCATTAAGATTTCTTCCCTCACTCGAACAATGGTGAGGCCACTTTTCTCAATTATTCTAGAGGAGCTGAATGTTGAAGAAGATGAAGGTAAAAGAAGACTGTGCAAGTAAAAGCCGCGAAACTGTTCGTTAAAAAATCTAATAACATCTATCATGCCACGACCGAGACCAATATAAATCATGTAGATCTTCTAATTTCTATTCGATCACAACCGTCAACTGGTATTTTAAGAGATTTCAATTTGTCATTTCTAAGATTTATTGTTGTCCCAAGCTCAGTTCCCTTTTTCCAGTTTATTTGATTCTGTTTCCGACTTGAAAGCCTCGTCCCAGATTTGAAGGTAAGAAAGAAGTACCTATGTACCGCACAGAACTGATTACTTAGATCAATTTTAATTACAACATGCTCATATTTATATTATCCGTGATAGATTTTTAGATTGATAAACTTGATATAGTTGACATGATCCCCCTCTAGCACCAGGAACTCAACCGGAAACAGGAGTGATGTCTTTCCAACCGCTGCAACGTTACATCAATCTATCATTAGGAAGATTGATTAACTCTGTGGTGCTAGGAAGATCAGATTCGATTTTTGCTCCTGCTCTCGAATAGAAGGTCGAAAAGCCGCGATGTAGACGTAAAAACCAGGAGGGGAAGATGAACGTTGGCTTACTTTTCTTATGCTCGTCCTTTGATCGACGTATGTACGTATCAGAATCTATCAAATTCTGCTCATCGAGATGAAGAAAGCTGTAGTGACGCAAGAGGTTTTGTTTTTGTGTTCTAGCAGCACCAATAGTATGGACGAGACGTCATATTGATATCGGCGATTGAGCAGGTTTCATGAAGATTATCACATAAAAAATATGCGGTTAGAAAGCTGGCAAGAGATCGAAGATAAACGTCACAGATTCCAGTCCATAATGAAGATATTTGAGCACGACTTCGTATGCAGATGAGCAGATGTGGCGGTGTTGTAGAAGCACAACGATTTCAATGTAGAACTAAAGCAGCTGAACAACTAACAAAAAAGAGAACTCGACTGGCTCGGCGAGAAATCATTTTTACATGATCCTAGAGAAAGCTTCACATGATCGTGGTGAAAGCTCTTGTTGAGCGAAGGCATCATGAATTTCGTTCTCCAGCATGAGTCATACTTAAGAGACAACACTACGTCGTGCCACAACCTATAGCAGTTGCAGCATCGCCATTTATCTTCATAGTATAGACAACCCTGGTAGCTAGTATGAGAAGGTTGAGGGACTAAAGATTCATCTAAAATTTTTAATCCGTCGAAAGTCGCTGGTGAAAGAAAAAAAAATTTCATCAGAGGTCGCCAGCCTTGTACGACTGCGTACCCGAAGAACGATTGAAGACTCTTACTGTTGAAATGTTACTAGCCAGCCGATCATGATTTCTTTTTACGGGGGGTGGGTGAATTAGAATTTGGATTTCTTTGTACTGATAGACAGATTGTTGAAGAAGAAAGATGTGAACACGACATGGGAAGAAAGCAAGCATGAATTGTAATTGAATACTTCTGTACGTTGTTGGCTACCATACTTGAAACTAGCGAAGGTTGCTTGACTGGGTGGATGTGGTTCGTCGTGATGGTTCATTTTCACAGCAATGCTCGCCTAGTTCTAGTTGAATGACTGGAAGTTATTATAGAGATCAACCTTTCATCTACTTCAGAAATCTTCACTGATGTTAATGTCATAACACGATTGGCCTGGCTGCATTCTGGTACGTGTGCCATCTACATCTTCTCTTTTGAGGGTCTATGATTACGAACGTACCAGTACTACCGAAAAAAGAACGAACGCCACGACTACTAGCAGAGTAATTGTTCAATGTCATAAATATTGTCATGATATTTTTCCGTATATTGTACTTTCTGTGCCGGGTCGTGCCAGCCTTGCCGCGCCATAATCTGGCCTCGTAGTCCCTGTTACACTCTAGCTTCTCTTTAGATTTCCTGTGCACACCCGTCAAATGGCTGGGTAATCTATCAGCATCGTCATCGATAACAATGTTTTAAAGGAGCTACAGTGCGCGTCTTGGAGATTAGTAGGTTTCCTATGTCGTCCATAATCAGACGTTTTTCTGAGGACCAACTACATCCTCGTCGCAAGAAGCGGGGCGGATTTATTGGGAAGGATCGATAGATGTGTCACTATCACCGCCATGATAAAACACGCAACTACTCCGAAGATGAAACTTTTCGTCGAAAATTATAACAAGCATTCACACACTCACACGACTAGCTCAAGTCATCTAGAAGAAGAAGCACTCACACAAGCACATTGGTGTCTTTGACCATGCATGGACAAGAACCGCCAATTTCATCATGGTAAGATGTCATTCGAGATTTACATTTGATCTTCATCGAAAGGAATCGTACAGGAAATTAAGAACGCAAATAACATCAACATTTATATGATCAGACGAGCGACTCTTCGTCATTGGCGCGTCCATGCTTCCGTCTTCGACGAGCATCGCGTCCGTCAGAACGACGTTGTTGACCATCAGGTTTTATACTCTGGTGCTAGAGAGCGTACACCACGTGTTCATCGATTGAATAGTGTCATTGTTCCTACTTAATACGATGAACAAAAGTACTGGTGGATTCTTCTCTTTAGCGTTCTGCGCTTCGCTACGAGAGCTGCGTTACCTGGTAATCTGACCCCTGACCGTGTTTCTTGGATGATGGTGATGGATATGCATACGCCTGCTACGGGTCCATGCACATTGATTATCGTGTGACGGTTATGCTATAGTTGCTGTGCCAACGGAGCCCCTGCTTAGAATCACGCTATCAGTAACCGCATTAAATAGACAAAAGCTAAGCGTTCCGGAAATTCTTTGTGCTTGTGAATTAAAGTTAGTCATCTACTTGTACTTCTGAAGAATGAAGAGTTGTGTTTTAATATGTTCAATATCAAAAACAAACAGGTTCTGCAAATAAAAGAATTATGCTGTAGATTTCACTTCCTTTGACCTAGCTAGTGTAGTCGTTGATAAATTTTGACAAGAATGCTGCTAATGTTCTTTTTCAGCTGCGTCGCGTTCTTGGCTGCGTCCGTTGCTGCCTCGCCTGATGCTGGAGCAATAGCTGGCAGTATTACCACGTGTGCACCAGAGGCAGCAGCAGACGGCTACGATGACCCACTACTTGTTGGAAATGACGCGCAAGATGGGGATGTTGAGCAGCCTGATGAAGATACCTCGGCGAGTACGCTACAATTGATTGAGGGCATGTGCAACGTTACGGTCGGACAAGTAGACAAAGAAAAAGATCATGGTGCTGTCAGCGGAAGTGAACATGTCGGTGCTGCTGCTGCGACCACCGGCAGAGAATTCTCATTTTTGAAGGAAACTTTTTCTGATCATGATGGCATTCTAGGCGCAGGCGACGTCCATGGAAAGGAGGACAGTAAAGGGGATGTTCCTCCTGCCAGGAAGAAAAGGGAGCAGGAGACGCTGCCTGTTCTCGGCGAAGGCTCCAGCTCTTCCTCTAGGTCTACTACGAGAAGGTCGTTGATTTATTCAGATGTAGTGGAAGAAGCAGAGAGTAGAGAGGCAGGCGCCGAACAGCAAGCTCTTCTGCAACTGCCACTTCCCGGAGCTGCTTGGGGGAGCAAGCGTTCCCTCCCTGCTGATTTTCTGCCATTGGCCCAGCAGGATTCATCTGTACTCGACATCAAGAATATGCCAGAAGCTATCGCATCACCAGACCTCAGAAGGCCAGCCACGCCGACGGGAGCAACTCCAACTTCCCCGCCGAGTCCTGATCGCATGTCTTACAACTCTTTTGCGCCTATTTTGACCGACCCGGCAGAAGACTTCGAAAGCGACCGAGATGGTATCACGACAAGTAGGAGTCGAACACCTCCTCCACTACTCCTTGCAGTTCCAGGTGCGCCACCGGAAAGCATACCTGGTATGATCGTGGGCATAAGTAGTTTTCGCGAATTTTGGGTTTATTTTTTTGAAGAATAAAGAAGGAGGTATAAATAGATAATTGTTGAGCAAAAACAAAGCAGGACACAATATTACTTGCAGTTATCTATGCTGTCAAATACTTAAGTAGCTTATCTTCTGCTGGCCTTATCGGGCGGGGCGACAGGTAGTTTCTTGTCTACTTAAACTAGAACGGCCGACTACACCGCCGCCAGCGCTGCCCCCGCTACCAGACTTAGAGGAGGATGGCGTCTTTTATCGGAACAACAAGCTGCGGCAGGACGACATCAAGACTTTCCACGAGAACGCCGAGCCTTTGATCAGAGCATTGAATGATGGGACAGTCACCCTGGCGAATATCACAGGAGGGTCATCAAGTGGGAAACAGCTGAAAGGGCGCCAGGAAAAAACATCTGCAAGAATTGAAGAAAGTAAAAAAGCCTCAGGAACAGAGACGTATGTTTCTCTTAAGGGTCATCGTAAAAGTGTTTTTTAGTTGAGTTACTGATAATCAAGAAATAGCGATATGTCAATGTCTACGGAATTGGGATGGTAGTCCTTCCTGGAGTCAATAGCAATGAAGCATGCGCGAAAACCGATCGACATGCGATAATGATTTTCCAAGAGTTGTATACTGCTTGTGCATTTTCTATCAGGAAAGTATGTATCTACTATTCAAATGAAAAAAAATATATTAGTAAGTTTCATAAAACCATGTTGTTGCTCGAATTTTTCTCGTGGAGACCAGCTGCTGCAACCTCATCCATCCGTTGCCGCCCTTTGGTCCGTGACTTCCATCGGCGGTACAGATCAGTGTACCGTTGGAAAAAAGGACATGATAAAACAGGATGGAGTAGTACAAGAACTAGGCGATGTTCTTGTACAGGAGCAAGCGACACAGGTGACGAGGCCGCGAAGAAAAGAGCCCTGTACCGAACCTAAGCGACCGAGTAAGCTTAAACTAGAGATATTCGATCCGACGAAGGGCAACTGGATAGAGGAGCAGTTTGAAAAGGTGGCTTCTCTAGCTTGTGAACCAGATGAGAAGGTTCGCAAAGAGCACGAGCAGTTGCGCGTTCTCGCGCGCAACGCTGAAACTTATTCTGGGTATTCGCCCAAAGCGGCAGAGGGAAGGTGCGCTCGCGAGAAGCTGGCGAGTCTCGAGCGGAAAGGGACCGCAAAAGTTCAGCAGCGTGTGTGGGCAGCCATCTATACCTTCATCGAAGCGAAAGAAGGACCTCCACGAGAACGCTACGATTTGGTCAAAGGCCTCGTGAATGATGGACACCTCTGCAGCCTACTACAGAATGGACTCACAGTTGTATGATGCGGGGCAAATAGAACGAGGAGTAAATATTGATCTTCACAAACTCACACACAATAAAAGTTGTTATCTTCAGGTGGATCATTCACAAAGCTCGAACGCTCTTTTGTTTTTAGTATGGTAATTTATCCTGAAACTGCGTTTAAGTTTATGGTTGCGTTGAATATTGCATTGATCATCATCTGGATCTCCACTTCCTGCTCCTCGTTCATGGATTTCGTCCAGTAACTACGAAGATGAGCAGTGTCGACGAGATCATGCGAGAAGGGCGATGGCTTTTCACTACGGACCAGTTATTGCCCAGACAACGTATATGGATCCCGCCTCTGCTGCAAAGTATCGCACGAAAAATCAGGGCCACGACGTCCGGACATTCCTCAGATTTTTCCAAGTATATCGATACGAACTGGGATACGGACATAATTTGTGGCGATGCGAACGGTTAGCGTCTGAGAAAGTGAAATCAAACATACCTTTCGATCCGTGGTACGCCGCGCTGAGTCGCAATGCAAATTTGTTTCCGAAAGAGGAGGAAGCAGAGGAAAAAGCAGGAAGTGGCGTTGCTGTAGTAGACGGAGTTGTGGAAAAATCTTCAAGTCGTGGGACAGCGACGAACGTTGAAGTTGTAATTGGAGAGAATTTGAAGTCATCAAGTACTACTGGAATTGTAGCGGCACCACTAAATCCAGAAATTGAGGTAGCCTCTTCATGCATGTCTGCTATGAACTGCACGTCATGCAGTAAACGTCGGGGTCGTGGTAGTTGTCCCGTGGCTCCGCAAGCAAATGCTGAAGAACGTACTCGGTGTCTGTTGGAGAAAGAAGCTCGGTGCGATGTGCCGGACGCCTCTACGGTCATCATGAACGATGGTAACAGGACCAACAGCATACAGGTGCAGGAGCCAGTCTCGGACTCAGATAAAAACCGGGTAAGAGAATCCCCAGCAGCGAAGCGAAGCAGACGAATATGCGATAAAACTGGCGATTCTTTTGATGATAGCACATGCACAACGCAGCCAGAAGCAAGTGAAGCAGGAGAGATTTCTAAGAGAAAATGTAGGCAGCCTGCAGATGCTGATTTTCTCGCTGGTGGTGGTGAAGACTGTGCACGACAACATGATTTTCCTCCTGTTCTAGGTGGAACGGGAGATTCGCTTTCGCGCACTCCATCGCGGACTTCACCTTTACATGAGGAAGCTACGAGTGCGGGAGGATCCGCATTACCTGAAGATTTAGATATTGTCGAAAGTGCATTTGAAGAAAGGCGATCTGCCTATCAATCTCAGTTTCCGAACGCGCTTATAGAAGAAGATGCTAACAATTGCCGCGATTATTTGAAATATAGAAGAAGTTGCCTCTTCAGGCCTGTGATAACGCCACGAAAACGGAGGCGGCCTGTGTCAAGAATAGATGCTTGGGCAACCGAGTGGGCGACAGATTCTCTCCGTGTTCCGGCGCCACCACGGCCTGCGGAGTCACAAGCAGGGTCGACACAGCAAGCTCACATTTGTCCTGGAGAGAATCCGGATAAAGTAGAGGTTATGACGATTTTCTACATCTCCTAGCTGTCGCTAGTTTAAGTGTTTTAGATGTTTCAGTAGTTATTCACACTCGATTAACCATTTTCAGGAATAGAAAGTGCTATAGGTTTCAACTTTGATCATGATCAAGGTCGGTTTCTTGAGATAGGAAATTGAATGATTGACCTCTTGAGTTGTGCTCTCTAACAAAGGAGATGCGCTGCCAGCCAAGCTTGACGATAATTGCGTCGGTGTGTCGGTCATGCCGGAAAAAGAATATCGCGAGCTCGAATTTCACTACTCGGGACCGATACGCGGGTTTCTATCTCAAGCATTTTCCTAATCGTCCTGATCTGCTCCGGAAATTCACTTTCTTTTGTTCTCTAAGGAAGAAGCATTTGTTCTCTTTCGCGCGGCGCCACCTACGGAGGAGCACCAATAATCGCCAAGTACAGCGCAATCAAAAACACAAATACTTGAATAGATGAACTGCACTCAATCATCGTTAGTACCCATGTTGATGTTTGCTTCTTTAGGCCACTTTTTGGGGAATGTAGATACGTTGAAAATGGATATTTGCAGCTGATGTGGCAGTCTAGACCCTGGGAAATAGTCGTTTATTTACTTTTTAGTATTTGATATACTTCTAGTACTCTGTCAACGCAGCCTGGCCGCGCACCAGTGGACCCTCAACCTTGACCCTTCAAGTTCAAGGCATCAATGTTTTACTTTTACAGGTAAGGGGCTCCGCCTGGCAGTGTATTGATGAATTTTTTGCAATAGTCTTGTCCGATGCTAGAACAGCATGCGACCCTTATAAGTATGACACCTACACCTTGTATGTGGAAAATTCTAGCCTGCAACTGAAGATAAGATCTGATTAGACAACTTGAAGCTGCTACGTACTACTGTTGTAACAGTACTAGCACGCCATATGCAAAACGTTCATAACTACGAGCTCTGGGAAACTATGTAAAGAACGCGCGAAAATGACGCAATTTATGATGCTTGGTAAGGAGACAGAGTTCTCATGGCACGCCGGGCGTGTCAACCAGTTACATGTATTTTCGCGATCTTCGTCGTAAAATTGAGCAGTGGTCGGTATTAATTTAGGCATCGATTGTTCTGACGTCGTGCGGTCGTTTGCCAAAAGATTGGCGGTTATTCGGTCTGTGGCGTGGTTGAACTTGAATCTCTGGCGTAGATGTATTGCTACAACAAGGAGACTGCGTGACCCTCCTGGCGCTGGTGCTCGGTGTGATCTGTCGTTGGTAAGTCACCATAATATTGTCTACAATCAATTCGGCCTCATCTCGTTAGACGAATTTCTGACCTAGAGAAACACAAACGATATTCGTTCTCGTCGGTCACTCGTTTAACGGCAATTGAATCTGAGAAAGGACAAGAAGATTACAACCCTCACCCGGTCATAAGAATTACCATACCATCACAACCCTCATCTACTTGTAATAAAGGTTATTTTTAGGTGTCGGAGATAGACATAGAAGACAAGCCTCTTTGTCTTCCTCACCTGGAGCAAAAAAGGAAGAGAAAAAAAAGAAGAAACATTAAACTCTTCAACATCGACCTCATGCCAGGCACATCAATCAAGCAATCAACCTCAACTCCTATCATCCGTGCTCGGCAAAACAAGCACCACCTAGTTATAATCTATTCATCGCAAGGTCTCTAGCGGGTAGTAGATATCGTCAGGGAAATACTTTGAAAGCTGCCGAATAGATTCGGGTCTTCATAGGCACTTAGTCCAGCGACCGCAACCAAACTAGAAAGAAGATGCCTTTGCCAGTTCTGCCAGCGTCCATGGCTGTCAAGGCCATGGCCAGTATCACCGGTGCGGCTGCCGCGGCGAATCAGACCTCCCAGTATGCGAATTTAGCCGCTCAGAATGTGGATCTCGCCATTGACCAGTTTAATAATGCGATGGCAAATTGGGAAAGCTACATCTATGGCGCGCCGGTCTCAAGTATTCCCGCGCCCGGGCGTCGATCCCCGGTCGGGCAGGCGCCGCTAGCCATAATTCCCGACCAAGTCGCTGTTTCATCAATGATGCCTCTGGGTGGACCAGCTGCTGCAACAAGGTTAGGAACTGCCATGCTTAGCGTAATGAGTGCACTGTGGCGCACTCTGGAGGGAAAACACATTCTGGAGGATGAGGAGGATGAAGAGGGCGCCGTATTGTTGTTTGCGCACGAACTTTTAGACACAAACAAAGAGCCAGCGTCCTCTGATGAAGATGGTGCCCTTTCTTGTTCAACAAGAGAAATATCGGAAACTAGTCAAAAACAAAAGGGACGAATCTATCCTGTGCGAGCCTTTAGAAGAAGAGCTGCTAAAGCTCTCAGCGATTCTCATGCAGCAGACGATGGTGCAACAGCCGATAATTTCTTGTCAAATTGCTACATAGTCCAAGTAAGCTGCAATCAATTCTATCGAAAGGTGAAAGATCTATCCAGTCATGAAAACATTTATGATATTCACAAAAATAATACCCTGGTATCCGATGCGGACGCTTCCTATAATTCCTTCTTTTGAACCCTCGATAACGCATAGTTTTTGCCCCTTCTTGTTTATGCTGAAAAAGGTAATAGTGGCAATGTTACAACTGGTCCCACAACCCCATTTTACACTGTTGAGTCAAGCCACTTTCAAACATGTTGAGTGTGAGAAGGACGACATGAAATTTATAGATACCACAGAGTCGCTGCGGCTGTGAAAAGCTAATAGTAATAGATAATATTACAACTTAGGACACTCCGCGTGCGCGTCCGCTAACTTTCTGTTTTTTCTCGCGGAGATACAGGCTACACCGAAAGAGAAGTGGTTTCGTCGTTGGACTAATCCATTTATCGACGTCAAAACAAGGTCACTTCTGTCATTATCTGTAAAAAGTTGCCTTGTCGGAAAAAGGGACACATCAAAGTTGCAGTAGTACCGAGCAGCTTCCTAGTACGAGTACGACAAAAAGCAAAGCGAAGAGAAAAATGGAAACCAAGTCTCGGCTCCCTCGTAAACAGCCGAGAGAGTCACATGTGTTGTGCGCGACGTATAGGTATACTACTATATATTATTGTATGATTTCTGATGATGATGTTGTTTTCATCCCTTCATTTCCTCTAGTTCTTTCCTTCTTTTTTCCAGATGGTGATTCTTGATTTGCATACATATGTCTTCGCCCAAAAAAAATATGGCGCTAGATTAATTATACTCTTTTTCGGCCCGCTACTATTTGACGTAAGTTGAAGAGCTTTATTCTTGTTGCTCTTTTGCCAACTACGTTACCTCCATTGTTTCCGTAGTTGTCCTGTTGTTCCTTTATGTCCGCGAAGGTGAACTTTTTGTTTAACATCTCCGTGTCTCCTACACTGTCCGCGACAATAGCTACGTATGGAGCTTTAGAGTCTGTAGCTAGCGATGTGATCTGACATGTGGCACGGTAAGGTGGTGATATCCTCCTGCTGCTTAATCTGTACCTGCTACAGCTACTTATCTATCACGACATTTCTCTTGTTTATTACAACTAGATGTACTCATTTGAGATGAAGAGTATGGACCTATTCCAATCCACATGGAAAAGAACGGATTACGCCTCGAAGTCTAGTTCAGCAAAGACTTCTGAGTTGTCTTTACCTTGGCCTATCGATGGATCGATGGCCTGTCGATGGGGCCATCTCTTGTCCTGCATACGTGAACGATCTTCATCTGAATATCTCGCCGGCGAAGTTTCACCTGGTGGACCTAGTGGGCGCATGTAGAAGAATCCTGCATGGATCTTCATGAAAGAAGAGGTGGGCAAGGCGGCATGCGAAGGCACCTTCTCCGGTTGACGGCATCAGCAAGCTATTAGCAAAAAAGAAAGGGGATTCTCCGCTTCGTCACATCTCTACTAATGTCTTTTAGAAGAAGTCGCTTTATCAGCCTTCAGAGGACTCGTATTGCCGTCAAGCGGGGGCAGAAGAAATCTTGTACTTCGAGAGGGTAAGAAGTCAGTCGCACTAGCACGATCTAGGCGCTACTAGCTCACCCTCTTCTTGAACAGCACGATACTTGATGTTTTCGTTCCAGAACGAATAAGTGTACGGTTAGACCAGCACTAGCTCGGTCTCGGCGTCGACGTCAAGGACCGATACGACAAAATGCCGCCGATTATAGTGTGGCGGCGCAGGTGGCACCTGCTGAGCACCGACGAGATTTGGATTTTCCACTCCATGATGCAGAGCATCAACATTACCATTCTCACGATGTATCTGTATATCTCCTTGCCGATCATTCTTCTCGAAGGCAAATGGTTCGGCGTACCGACAGTAATGGTATAAGTATATATATATTTTTTTTTCAATGCGTACGTAGTTATTCAATTGATGCATTTGATTGCTTCTGAAGTGCATAAGATGGCCATGTTGTATGGCTCGATGTCTACAAGAACCATCCAAAATCTTCAGGTGGCCATGTTGATTGTAACGATTATAGCGGACAATTGTGTTAGTATATGGAGTCGCAAGTTAAGGCCTCTGCTAATCTGTCTATCTCTAATATACACTACTTCCACTAATATGTTCTTGTATGGGAATGAAAGAATCGCCCGTCAAGCGCATCAATATACTTCAGCAGGGAACATCAATACCCTTGGGGAGAACAACTAACAGCATCTACTTCTGATATTAGAAAGACACGCAGGCACATCCACATATTATCTATGGAGATCATCATGGAAGGTTGGAGAGAGAGGATCCTCAGCTGTTAATATTATTATTATTATTATTAGAAATACTAACAGGGCTCCGGCCTGCCTACGAAATCGAAGGTGAGACCTATGGGGCTGACAGGAAGACGATAGCGCCGGCGCGTAGTTAGATAGGAGGACACTTGGCGAGAGCTGCCCTTTTCTCTTTTCTATCTTCCTCTGGTCCTTCTTTTTTCTAGTTAGGTCTGCTCCACCACAATTATTTCAACTGCTAACAGTTAGCTTCTCTAAGAAATGGATTTTTCCACGATGTGGAGGGGACGCGCGACAGAGTAACGTTCTGGGTAGGCATGATCATCGTTTGGAAGATTCTACTTTTGATCCTGTTGACCTATGACCTCGATATTAGTCCGCGGCCGCTGGTGGAGCTGCCTCTGTTAAGACTTCCCCTAAACCTAGTACATCTTCAGAGAAGTGATTCTAGGACAGACGTACGGACTGCGGGCGGGAAACGGATATTATCCTTTTCCTCCTTGAAACAAATTGAAAATGACAGGTAACTTGTATCATACAGGATGTTGAATACAAATTGCCTGAGTAAAAAAATTCATATCGATTAACACCGGAAGAATCTTCAGGGAGGATGGATTTGGATAAGGGTGAGCTCTCCTCTCTAACATTGCAAATATCGGCGGAAAGAGATGCAAACACACAAACAACACCGGAGTCGAGCAGTTGGCTATGGTTGTACTCTTCGAGCACACCCGCGCCGGCGACAAATATGTACGCCGGAAGCATCCGAGACGCGTTCGAAAAGCCGGCATGGGAGTACCAAGAATTGGACGAGTTGGTTGGCGAGATCGACGATGATATACCTGATATTATGTCTCTGGCTCTGCTTTGTGTATGTGTTTGCGCGGCTCGTTGCTTGAACGGATCCTGTTGATAGAGTAATCTTATCAAGAACACAAATACTGCTTATTTAGTACAAAAATGGACGGCACTAGCGGCTGCGTCTGCGGCAATTGATCTAGTCGCGCCTTACTTGTTTCTTCATGATGAACTAGAAGCGAACTGGTCAACAACTGAGTCATTATGTGAGACGTTGCTATTAACAAGTGAATACTAGTACTCCAATCTTTATTGTTGACACCTTAAGGTTAAGCAGATGAGGGTATATGACGACGACCTAATTCTATGATCATCTTGTTTTCATGCAACGTCGAGGCATCCTGTCTACTTACTATTTATGCTATCCTATTCTCTCGTCCTTGGCTCTCCCGCCCTCCTGCGTCGCGCATAGAGATGTATTGTACTCCTTCTTGTTTACTAGAAGTACGCTAATTTTGGTGGTAAACAGGAGTTCATGGGCGGGTCGTTCGTGCAGACCGCGACTGAGCAAGGAGATCATTTGCACGACATGAGCCATGCGTTAAGGCGTAGATATTTCTTCCGATCCTGGTCTCGCTTGATATCCCACAGCTTGATATTTTTCCTTCTTGAGAATCATTAGTAACGTATGGGATTGAAATCGTATCCAATCCCTCTCTACTTTCTTCCTTTGCCGGCGTCTAACATGAAAGCGAGTTGATTTTTACAAGGACAGCCGCCCTCTGTGAAAAGCAACTGTTTATAATATAATTCTGCTTCGTCGTCTAAGAAGAGGAGGTCTTCATGGTCAGGACGAGTTTCTTGATGAAGATGGAGGTAAGAAAACTTCGATGGATTCGTCATCCTCATCGTCATCTTGTGGTTCCGATTCTTGCGGTGGAGGGACGACCTCTGAAGATGAAAAGAATGGCAAAGGCTCTATTGGTAGTAGTTCTAGCTGTTGCGGTGGCGCCGCAGACACAGAGAAGTCGAACTTGGAGAGTGATTAGGGGTTACTAATGCGAATTCACATGCCAATGCCAAAGAGCATATTTCTTGACTCACACAATCATCTATCTTCTAGAAGTAGCGTCTTGGCTTCGGCCTCGCTGTAGTCTAAAAAAAAAAAAAACTAGTCGTTTGCTACGGGCAGCACTATCAGAGACGCACACATGGCATGGAACAAGTAGCTTTGCAAATCCAAAGCACTGGATGAAGAACCCCGTTCGAAGTCAGGTTTAAAAGCAGGCTGTAGAGGATCACAGGAGTATACATCATAGTCCTCAACATAGATCAACATATGGATTATATGCAAGCACCAGGCTTCCAGATTTAGCACCAACTATAGTGGAAAGTTCTAATGCCGTATTGACGAGGACGAGCACCAAGCGATGACAGCCTCAGCTCGACAGCTCTCGGGAAAGGATTTATTGTCGCTGGCGAAACCCTACTGCGAGAAAATCGTGCCTACGACTCCTGAATATAATTCTTGATGTCCTGCTTTTTTAGTCACAACTCATTATTCATTGTCCTGTAGTTTCACTTTTAGTCCACTCGGTTGCGATTCATTAATGAATTTAGATTTTCTCTGGCTTGTCGTCCTCGTCGAAATTGAAATACCTTCTAACTTACTTCCATTCTTCGAATACGTTTATGCAGAATGAACATGATGATTTAGGCAAGTATGTAAGGTCGTCGTAAATTACAGTAAGCATAAGCTAGAAACGAAACTTCGTAAAGGGGTAACTAAAACTTAATTCATGGATACCCGATGCAACAATAGCATTTTTAACACAAGCGGAACAATCTGCATAGCGGAGTACCAACTACCCTGTCACTTCAACCTCATCTATAAACCAATTTATTATAATAACATGAGTAGCATATCAAACCTAATAGAATAGAATAAGTACTAGAATACGACGCCTTCTTCATAGTAGAGCAGAACTTTGGGATAGAAGGAGGGTTGGAAAGAAAGACAAGCTGCATAAGGTTTGATCCGAAGGGTCCCCGAGAAATGTTGGGCCTTGCGCGTAGCGCAAACAGACAGCTCGATGAGATCGCACTCTATCCGCGTGCAATGGCCACATTATGCCGGAAAGAACTCAAAGTTTTCTTACTTACACTTTGAATTTGTAATTGTATCGGAAGTGGGCACCACTGGGTCTCCATGGGTTTGATATTAGCAAATAATTGATTATTCAGATTTGATAGAATGAAAACATCACTATCAGACTTCTCAAGGTCAAGATCTATTGTCGATATATCACGAAGATCTACGACGTAATTAGTTGTTCCTCAACCTGAACGAAACACCACGATAGAGTTAGCATTAAGATGAACGTCTAGATACGTATCCATCAGGAACCAACTAGAAACCATAGATGAGTTACTAGTCCAGCATAGAGTTACTAGCACCATGGTGTCATAGTGCGTCCATCAGATCACGAGTTAGTAGACCATTTTCACCTGCGGGACGAGGTAGAAAGATTTCGGAGATGATGTCTGTAGACTAGATGAAGTAGAGAGTGAACAGTAACCAAGGAATTACGAATGAACTAAGATTAATAGAAATGCGAAAGCGAATGACACTTCTCAAGATGAATGTTAAGGCTACAAGAAATCCATCTTCACGTGCATCCTGAGACCGTTTCCAAGGGGAAAAAGGTTCTAAGATGCGTCTCAAGACGGATTTCTCTTGGGTCTAAGAGTGGCCATTTCTTATCGCAAGTGCGAGAATAGCTCTAATAATTCCAACAGAGGAGCTGGAAAGCGACCAGGATGAAGATCTCCGACGCGCGTATAATATGAGGGAAGAAGCCGCCAAGGTCATAGGAATGGAAGCTTACGAGTGGAAACGGCATAAGCGAACTGCTCGGGTTCTAGCGAGCACGGGAGACCTCTTGCCACCTTTAAGAACAACAATGAAATTTTTGAAAACAATGATATGAATATTGTCTAAGCGTAGCTTTATAGTTTATACAGTGGTTCTGAAAATAACAAGTATAATCTGTTTCGTGTTTCCCCTGATCAGTATGTGTGACGCACTGGTGATGTTCTTTCTAACGCTACGTGGCGGTCGCGTAAGTCAGCTTGGGATTCTTGTCTACGATATAATCGCCGAGGAGGAAGATGATGATGTTTATCAACAAGAAATGGCGCGCATCTTAAGGCTAGCGCTTCTTCAATTTACATACACACTTATAGCGTTTGTCATTGAGATTGATTTTTTCAAAGTCAGAAGATCAACAAAAACTTTTGTTGCACAGGGAAATTGAAATATGAGTTTCTTGTTGTCTGTCCAAAGGAGATTAAGAGTAGTATCATTGTCAATTTATTAGTCCTGAGGTAGTCAGCATCAAGTGACAACGATGTCGACGGTGCCTAGTAGCTAGTGGCTTAGTATAGTAATATCCTAAAGCATGATAGAAGATATTTTTTTTTCCCCATGCAGGCCCTGCTCACAATATCTTCCAAAGTAGAGTTGTGATCAAATATCATCTTGTTCAAAGTAAGAAATTAAAATGTATAAATGTAATTCTGCGCCGTTTGTTCTCGCTCCTACTTGCTCCACGGGGGAAGACGAAAGCACATACAGCCTGCATAGAAAACACTTTTTTCCGTGTGAGGACAAACGGGGACAACGGGAAGCATTTTCGAATATTGAGCAGGAACTTAGGTCCTCTAAGAATCATGGTGTCGAAGATGAGAGCGAAAAACGGAAACGGAAGCGGGCAATCTTAAGGCCTCTGCCAGCTGTAGTTAGAATTGATGAGTGCTTCTTTCTGGTACGAAGTGTCATGTACCTCTTTAACAAACTGGGCATCCTAGAACAAGTTTTCTCCGCCTTTGGGATTATATGCCATGAGTCATTTTTTAATTCATTAATAACGAGACTTAGAGGGAGAACAGCACGACCTGTGAAGTTTACAAGAGAATTTGCATTGATAGCAACATGAAGCTGTTTTTTTGGGAAGACCTTTAAGGACTATTGGCGTCTCGAATCGGCGAAGCTGGACCTGAAGGTGCGTCGGCAACGCCAACGCGGCCTGCAACTGCAGCAACTCGAGCGAATTCAGCAGCAGTGGTTGATGCACAAGGCAATATCGAACGCGAAGCGGTTGTAAAACAAGACAGCCGTTCTTCGTTTTTAGCTTCTCCATCCAATGAGCTGGAAACGGAGAGTAGTCCACGTTCTTCGCATGATAAGAAGGCAGGTGTTAGGGCTACTGCTAAAGCATCCTCAGGCTCGGCTCCGGCACGACTATCCCTTGCCCTTTTTCCATTTGAAAAAGAAGCCAAGGATGCTCTGAAGGATGCGAATTTGGTAGCGCTAAGACAGCAGGCCGTGATGGCGAACTTACGTCGGTGGATGCCGGTGAACATTCGGAACCCACGGCGTCGTCTTTTTTACAGTCCTCCTCATCTTCCTCATGTTGCGGCGGTGATGACGGAGCGGCTGAGGAGAAAAACAAGGAATATCATGCGTACTATACGAATTCCGGGGCTTTGATGCTGGTGCAGACGGGAGAAACTCTAGGTAGCATTTTCCAGTATGATCGGATGATCCGACGTGCCGGAGCTGGCGACAAGGTCGGTCATCGCTGGGCCTACGTCTTGGAAGAGAAAAAGGACTACTTTTCCCTCAGACTCCTCACTATGATGCTAATACAAAAAAGTAGTTCTGATTGCGTTGAAATAACGCCTCTTCAGATGAGGACTGTTCAATATGATCATCACAGTCAAGGGGTATTGAGATTGACAACTTCACTACTATGCTTTTCATCACCATATGAAGCAAAAAGTTGTGCTGATAGTGTTAACTCGCCAACAAGAATTGGAATTCTATCTCTAATAGAGTCTATGTATGAGTAGAAGGATGATTTTATATATCACCAGGTGAAAGAATAGGAAGGCGTATAATGCCATGGGAGTCATTATAATGTAGTATTATTTTGTGTTTTCCCTAATTAGGTCTGCTTCAGCACAAATTATAATATAGTATATGAGTACGTGGTCCCGACATCAAAGTCTTCTAACTATACTTCGAATGAGGAGGACGCTTCGCCCGAAATTCGGAAGTTGATTTTAAGGGCACTCAGATCGACCCTGAGCACATCTCCTTACCGTCGTAGAGAATAACACGAGCTCCTTATCATTTACATTTCATCAACACTTACACTGTCAATGTTAAGTAGTAACTAAGAGTGAGTCTACGTTGTACTTGTAAGCAATAACATGAACGTTGTACTTAGTTTTCCTTATATCGTAGACTCTAGTTCCGTTTTTATTGTTCGCAGTTTTTGATAATTTCTTTTATTCCTAGAGAGCTTCCGCCGTCTTACGTTTCATTCTCGGAATAGTTGCAGATAATTAGCGTCAGCTGTCCAATTTCCAATTAGCATGTAGCGACGTCTCGTCACCTCGTCTAATGATTTCGCAAGTAAGAGCAGCTAAGGCTAGCTTCGATATGCACAGGATCCTACATTCGTTTGGGAATACCGATTCGGAACGTGATGAGATAGAGGCCACGGTCAACCCCCTGTCGCCCGATAGCGATACATCTACCGGCGCGCGCTCCAGCTATATCTCGTTATGGTTCCCGCCTCAAATCACTTTTTCGACGTCTACTGCTTCCTTCCATACACAGACAAAAAAATTTTGAAAGAAAGCTGAATGAATGAATCTAAAAGAAAATGGAGATTTGAGAAATTCTTCGTCTTGCAGCAGTTGCAACCTCCTTAGTCTCCTCGCTATGAAAATGCTATTCCTATTACAACTACTCACAATGTCAATGGCCACCATAGAAGTACTATTTATTTCTACAACCAGAAGTAAAAACACCTGTTTTACTAAAAGATCAGTCACGACAGCACTTACTCCTCCGTTTATCGGCTTTGTTCATTCTTGAAGACAGAATCGTGGCCGTGGACGGGCAGTAGCACGTCGGGCTCCTCGGGTGGTTTTCCGGATGATCCAGAGAATTCGTCTAGCGGTTTACTTAAGACTGGTGTTTCGTCAACATTCGAGCGGCTTCTCACAGTAAATGTAAACATTAGACATGATCATTATAACTCCATTGACAAAGCGAATTAACAGACACAAGAACATTAACATAATATGTAGAATCTATTTGGGTAAGAATATGGATACGCGGAAGATAGGAGATACCTACGTAGATCATCACACCTGGGCTCAGGTATTATCATGAGCATACCCCTGTCGGTTTGTGTAACTTGTTTCGGTAATTCTAGTTTCACTTTTTTTGTGCTGAAAGGGCTTTCCAATGAGACGTATTGTCGTTTGAATAAGTAGTTGTGCATTTGTCCTTGTTCTCGTGCTTTTTTTGCTGAAATAGATCATGATCATCAACATAGAAGTCGTGAATTTTTCAGGGTGCTTCTTCTTCCTCTTCCTTTCCCTCCTCTTCTTGGAGTGCTGTTCTATCGACAAAAAACCTGCGGCACTAATCTACGAATTCCAACTGTCCGTGGTAGTGGTGGTGAGGATGTCGACATTCAGATGCCAAATGGTATTAGAGGGCGTAAAAATTAAGGCTTTATTCACCTTAATTTGATATCCTTCAACACGTCCACTACGTAGGTACATATTCGTATTTATAGTTTCAAATCCATCGTTCAAATGGCATAGCAATTCTTTTATCTGATTTGAATCTTTCTTCTATGATAGTATCTGAGTACTTTTTGTATGCTCCTGATATCTGCAACTGAAGCTGCACGTGCACCTGCACATCTTCGTCCATGGATATTTCAGTTTCTCTATTTTGATCGACTTTTTGCATACGAAGTAGTACTATACATTTAGGGTAATTTTTCCTTGCTTTATAGCTTCATCATATTTATATACCTAAAAACGTCTTGAGGTACGTTATGATCTGTGAACTTTGAATGTGTTTCTTGATGTGGAGTCACTGTTATAAGTAGTTGACTCATGATATTGTGTTTCAAAGCAATACTAGCAAGAAACAAAGTGGAGCTCCTTCTGCGATTGAACGTTTTCTCTAATCGCAGATGGAGTCGAAGCCGTTGACGTTTTGGAAGTCGCCGGCACTGCGGGGCGTCAACTTTTTTAGCCGCAGAAAAGCAACAATTCCAAAGACGGGTCAGCCTAATTATGGTGCCACTTAAGCACTACCACTAACCTCTTCTAAATGTACTCAGATAGTATTATACACGTACCACAGGGAGGGAGGCCCCCCCTCCCTCCACCTCGGTGGATGGGGCTGTGGTGGCGTCGGCGCGCCCTTTTTTCCGCGGTGGTGTGAGAATTCGCGGAGTGAAAGCCTCAAAAAGCGGAGCCGGAGCCCCCTTACGGCTCTCCGCGTGTACCTCGCAGGCGTCCCGAATCAGGGGAGCGGCCTCCGGGGGTAGAAGTCCGCCGAAGGCGGCCACGGCCGCGAAGCCTGGCCCCTTTTGCTGGGTTGCCTTCATCCCCCCAATTGGTGGCAGCGTGAGCCCCCAACAAACGCCCGGGGGGGGTTGAGGACCAAAGGCGAGGAGGAGTGGGGGCAAAGCGTGCCCGCCTGGGTTCTGTCGGACACGTGCAGCTTCGGAGGAGGGGGCCAAGCCTTGCCACCTTCTGCCCTCGGAGGCCTCCCACCCCCCCGGGAAGCTCTCCCAGTGAGGAGCCCGCACACCGGGGAGAGGTCTGTCGGGGACATGCAACACGGCAAGGGGGCCAAGCCTTGCCACCTTTGCCGCCTTCAGAAGCCTGCCACCGCCGGCCGTCGGTGCTTGAACGGCCTCAAGGGCTTGGGTTCTGTAGGGTACACGCAAGAAGCCGCGAGGGCGCGAGGGTGGGCGTTTGGAGGCCTTCCCGCCTGCCAGTGAATCGGAGAAAAGGGCCCGGACGAGCTGGAGGCCCCTCCCCCCGCCGCCTCCCTAGATCGGGAGGGGGAGTCCAGCCCTGAGCCTCGGAACATATATAGGCTTTAACCTAACCGCGCCGTAGGCATATCAATATACGCGCCTAAACTAACCACGCGCACGTTCGGGCAACAAGAGCAAAGTAGTACTCCTCTATAGACCGACCTGAACAGATTGTTTCTATTGCTTCGTCTGCTAATATGAATAGATCATGATTGTTTGTCGCTTTTTATAGACTTTTCATAGATACGTCTTGGTGTCCAGTAGACCACTAGATGAGTCACTTCTAGCAGAGAAACCAGAAGCACCGCCAACCACCGGAATTACCTAGGTACCTGTAATTTGATGCATCTGTAGTCGTACTAAGACCGGAATTCTAGGTACGCAAAAATTTACATTACTAGTACTTCATAGAAGAAGATGCAAGAATCGGATACAACAACAAATAACAATACAGTAATCTTATGATCTAAGTATCCAAGAGCATACATACACTTATGACAGATAGGAAACTACATAAAAAGGCCCTCCCTTCCCGTGAACGTCAATTACTTTCGACCTTTTTTATGGAAACCGAAGTCCCTTTATTTCTCTTAGAGGTTTATTGCGCAGAAAAACATTCTTGTAGTCTCTTAGTTTTTCATGTTTTGTGGCCGAAATTGGTGCGGGTCCGTATGTCTCTGCGGCAGGTGTATCCTCCGTCTTTCGGCCTCCAAGCGAACAGCACCTACTCAAGCGCTGTGCACGCGATTTTAGGGGTGGTGCGGGCGATCAGCTGGCTCATGATTACGACCAGCGAGGCTCTTTTTTCGAATGTATCTATATTATATGAGTTTCTATATTTTAATTGTCCTCCTCTTTTTGTTTTTTTTAGTTCGGCTGTACATATATATTCGCTCTGACGGTACAGGTCACCTACCCTACCCTGATGTGGAAGTGGGCGGCGAATCAATTCCTATCCTATCTTATTTCTATCATTCATTGAACGACAACGACCAAGAGCTTTATTTATCATTCAATCATTGATGTGAATATACTCTTTTCCAGCTACTACTTTAGGTCAAGTATGAATCTCGAAAGGCATATTAAACAGTGACAAACGTGTGCCTGGGAATTCAGTGAATTTCGGTGGAAAGGCATACCGGTTTCTCGTCCAATAAGTAATTTTTCAGGCGTGTAGACAGTAGGACACCAAAAAAAAAGGCGAACTAGAATGAGACGTATGACATAATGACACCAAGTAAAGTAGGTAACTGTGCTGGTCATATCTTCTAATACATTTTTGCTCTTTATCTGTGTCTTCAGTGACATTATTGTGGAGCAGGATCCGGAAGAAGTTAAGGCACATTGTTTAATTGTGAAGACGAGCGAATAAAAATTGTTTTTTTATTTGTCCATTCTTTCATTCAGTGTGGGTTTTTGTTGTTGACGAGCTTGAGTTGTATTTGGAATGACGCGATGGGTGTAGTTTCGCTACTTTATTCAAGATGAAAATGTTGATATCGTGATTTTGTCGATAAAAAAAAGAATAGTCCTTGGGTGGCGAGTGGTGCGTCCCAACTGCAACTTCTAAGGACAACTATAGCTTTCGCACGTTGCTGTATGGATGTATTTTCGCCGAAGATCGCGAAGGTCGATCGAAGCTGGAGAGAATGCGGTACGTCCATCATCTGTGAGTTTCGATACACTTGTTTTTATTCTTGCTAGCTTTGCTGCATGCTTGAAGTTGAACTTCAACGTTCTATCCATTTCTGAGGCTAGCTCTAGCAGTAGCGGTGACATAATGCTACGGACTATATGTAATGCCTTTCAGTGTATTGGTCATGAATGAAATCCAAAGAAGACCCACCAAGGTCCACAGGGTTGAGCCACTGAAATGACCAAGATCGCCAGGCGAAACTGTAAACCGTGGGCGCCGTTCCAAGCGTCACGGCCATGGTCGAGGCGGGCGTCTGTGGTCTCTCTCTCCTCTGTCTCTCGTTCGTTGTTTCAAATCTCTCAGCTCAGTCAAGGACAAAGCACCACGCGAAAGCCCTCAGGGAAGCCGCTCGACCAAAATCGAACGCGCCGAGGTCGGGCATCAAGGTGACCAGCAGGCGGGTGGCCTTCGGCGTTTCTCGATAGAAGAGGTAGCGCGCTTTCGTTGCTCGCTGTGCGTAGCCGTGTGCGTGCGGTCTTATCAGTTCCGCTCGCCATAATATTGAATACGCAGGAAGATCGTCGAGGCGTATCCTCGTGGCAAGTTCTTGCGTGATCGGATGCGTATCCATCCAGAAGGCTCGGTGGGGTCTCCACGTCAGGAGTATCGACATCGATGGCCGTACGACGTTGATAGATCATAGCGATAGCGTGAAGGTTTCCATATGGGCACAGGAGATGCCGCCGATCCATCAGATCACGATACCCCGCGAAACAGCAAGGACGTCCCTGCAGCCCCAAAACGAATACCCACAGCCAGGGACCAAACCACCCAGGGGCCCCACTTGTCTCAGGCTGTAGGTTCAACCTGTACCGTGTGAGAGACTCGCCCAAAGTTTCGACCTGGGAAACTGTCCACGACTCGGCGGTCTGCGTTCTTGTGGTCCAACGCAGTGGCGATGATAGTCCCTCGCGTCCGACTGCTTGTGAATGATTTGCGAAAAATATGCTACACACAAGAGTCGCGACGCCCTACATGTATTAATCCATTGCAAGAGTTGCATCTTAATACTTAAAAAACCAGCTTCCGTGCGCTGCTGCCAAGTCGCTATCGTTTGCTGAGGCGTATCTTGCGATGGTACAAAGTCAAGCGAAAAAACGCAGACCGTGTTATTCGAAACATGTGCGGTTGGCTTGGGATGCAAGTGCTGACTCCCTTGGATATGAAATACTATGGCTCTACCAGCACCTCTTTTCATAACGAACCGTTGGACGTGTCCTGAAACATCAAGAGGCTCTTGTAAGATCGCTAGAAGAGGTTGCACTACATGAAGCAGAGCTTCTCGTCGTCCTCAAGAAGTAAGTGGTGCAGTTCTTGAGATTGATTATTGTGCGATCCTCGATGGGCCATCATACGTATCATCTAAAACGGTGCGTGGATCCTTGCGCGAGGTGTAGAGTTCGGTGGTGCCCTCCCGTGCGCCTTCCTCGAACGCGGTACACAATTGGACCCAGACGAAGATCTCGACACCATGCTCTTCATCATGACTTATTCCGCTTATGCCCAGGTACCAAACTAAAAACTTGTTAATCTTGACTTTTCGAATTGAAAATGATTAGCACGAGGAGAAGGATATTTGTGTTTCTAGGATGGATTACCCTATTGGAGAGCCTCTTGTTATGATTTCTTCTGCACTGATTGTAACCGGCTAATGTAAAAAAACACGAATTTCATCAAAGTGTAAATGACCTGAAACTTGCTTCTGATGTCCTAGTAGTAAAGGAGACTTCAATAACGTCGCTTGAATTGGGAATCCCCAATGTTCCAAAACTTCAATATTCTATCTCTGCAAAGATACAGAATACCTTTTCTTTTTATACATAGAAGAGTCGTCCTTGGTCGCTGACCTTTGGATTTCCTTAGTTGTTCTTATGTTGCTTCATTCAGGCTAATCTTGCCTTCCTCCATTCCATACAACCACAAGATAATACCACAGGAATGCAGCGCTGCGTGGGAGTTTTCTTCTGAAGATCAACTTCTACCACAAGGATATCAACAGATCACTTACCGCCTGGGTTTACAACTTTTTAGTCTATACAGAAGAGTCGTTTCTCAAATTGTAAGGCTGATAACATTGTTGTTGCTGTACCAAACATCCAGGTCGCCTATGGTTTTCAGGGTGTGAAGAGCAAGAGTCTCTGCGAGAAAGTGAAATCATTCATCTGCAGCTGCGGACAAGCGGAAGGGGAAAAGCTGTTCGAAGATGCGACGTCCCAGATGTTCGGTAGTGAAGTATTCGGTAAGGCAGGCATAGCGAAGAAAAGCAAGAAGGATATTGAATGTTAAGAAATAGGCGGAAATGAATATTTGTGGAACAAAATGATCATACATTATACTTTTAGAAGTTCAATATCAATGATTTCAACCCAATGATCCGTGATTGAATATAGGGTGAGTAAGAGTATCTATTTCTAAAAGAATTGGAGTGACAGAGCGCTCTTCTTGTAGAATCTTGCTGTTCAGGATAACAAGGAACGAGGAGCCTGACACTATTACATATAGTAGAGGAGCAGTCTATTTTTAGACGCTGGCTACGCTGGGTGGCTGGGCGGCCACGCTGGGCACGCTGGGCGGCCACACTGGGAACGCTTGGCTGACGCTCGGCGGACTACTTGAGGGCCACGCATTGGGCACGCCGAGCCCATGCGGCTGATTTTTTTGCGCCTCTGGGACGTGGTGCTGCGCGTCCCCTGAGCACAAACAATGGCGCGTCGCCGCCCTCAAGGTTCCGCTTCCGGGCAGCGCGGGCGTTGTGCTGCGCCGGGTTGCGCAGTGGCGGCCTGCTCCCGCTCTGTGCAGGCTTGCCCTGCGTTGTGCTTGTGCTGCCTTGCGCTGCTCGGTGCAATGCTGCGTCGCTTTTGTTCATAACGGCCCCGGCGGCTGCGTAGTTCCCCAGCGTCGTTGGCCTACGGTAGCGTAGCACTGCCGGGGGGATTCTCAAGCGGGCGCCCTTGGGCGCCCCGCATTTTGACACGACAAGCGTCACGCTGGGCGCAGAATTCGGCAGATCTGGCACATTTGGGTCGCCCAGCGACCGAGTGTGCCCAGCGTGCCCAGCCCAGCCATGTTGGGGTAGGTTATAAACTGTGCTAATATTTTATAATAGGTGAGAAGTATTCTCGAAGTAGTTATTTGATTCCAGTTCCACTTCCACGGATCTCTTATCTCAGACGGCGACAAGGTGGACAAGCTCAGCACTTTTTCTTTCTTCTTTCATGACGAAACGGTCAAGTAAATCACACTGACTCTATGGAAACGGAAGTTGTTCCCTGCTCTAATTACGGGAGAAGGATATTAGCGATTACATGAAGTTGCTGCAGCAGCGACAGCGAAGTTTGCTCATCCGAAGCTCAAACGATCTTCAAAATTTCAACGCTGCAGCGGTCATCAGAGCGAACGAGATTGGGCGGCCAGTTATGTTGACAACGTGCACAGAACTTTTACTACCCCTGCTCTCGAACCAAAACTCCTCTGCTGTGTGCCCTTTTTTTCAATTGATAGAGTCTGAAGCTGGTCGAGGTCCTGATGGTGGTCTCCGGGTCATGCTGAAGAGCCTTCCACGCATAACAACTGCCTGGCCGCAAAAGGCATCAAGGTGTCAAACTTCAGTGTGACTAGTAAGGGATTAATGATCTTTTTGATCTTCTTCTTTCATACAGGTTTCGAACTCCCTGTCGTGAAAAATTCCCATTCCATATTTTGGCTTATCATCTTGAATTTCTTAAGCATGTCCTCTTGCTTTTTTTTCATACCCGTCTCGGAGATTGCTGCGGAGGCCAACCCTGAGATGACTGTGCTCTTGCGGATCATGGCAAGCCGATTTGCCATTGGTTATGTTGCAGTGCACTACCAGCACCTTTTTGCACTTATCAAGAAATGGTCGCCGATGTACTCGACGCCGAAAACGCGCTGGATTGCTGCAATTATGGAGGCTTCGAAGTGTAACATAAGCCCTTTACCTCAAGAATAGATACATCAATCAATCAATCTTCATCACATGCAGTCCTGTCTATTCCTATTGTGATTGAGAAAAAAATGATTTTAAGTATGGGTATGGTAAGCGCAGCGCATTTGGAGGCGACTTTTCTTTCATGCAATAAGCTTGAGTCCATTATATTTATATACGGGTACCAGTGCACCTGCAGCAGTGTCTCACTATCAGTAGCAATATCCTTCTCTATTTGCCTGAAATTAGAAGTGCACGTTGGAACTACTTTGTGTTAGACTTAGAGTTCAAAAAATGGTAGTAATTACTGCCTTTCCTTATGTACTATCTTTATTATGTAGTTGGTGCTGTGTCAGTGTCTCTGACACAAGGGCAAGACTCCATGAGATAATCGTAATAATTGTTGAATTTTTCTCTAGTGGAAGGACGATCGCTCCTAAGTTTATCTACACGATTTTGCGCCTTTGCAAGCACACGCGACGGCTCTCCGTCGCTTTAAGCGTTGACCAAATCGATGACGTTTTGGCGACAGACGGCCCCCGGGAAGTGAGTGATTAAGGACTTGGCTTCTCATTTTCTTATTCTTATTATCGAGTAAGCTTCTTATCTTCTCATTATCGATTTTAGTTAAGCTGAAGCGTCGTGTCATCATCCGCAGCGGAATCCCACTAGTAAGAGTGACGTTGACGGGAAGGAACTACAATGGTTATGCCGGCGGGGGATATGTGACTCATATTCTGTTGAAATCTATTGCTATTCGTATTCTCATCAGCCATCGGTCTATACTGCTAATGATATATGAAATGCGATGGCATAACTGATGTTGAGAAAGATCATAAGGAGGCCTGATAAGGTTCTACCTCTAAAGCCTGTACCAGAAAAGATACCCCACGCTGCATGCAGAGGGAGAGGCGGCCATCCACGCGGGCACTGCTGCACACCATGGTCGAGGCCGAGTCCGTACGATGACGTGCACTACACACCCGGGAGACGATTTCGGTATTGTGCTCGACGACGGTTTCCAGGTCGTTGCCGTCAAGCGGGACTCGCTTGCACACAAGGCCGGTTTGTGCGTTGGCGATTCACTAAGCGCTGTAAACGGAAAGTCAGTAGTTCGCACCGAAGAACCCGGACGAGCTCGCTCATCTTCCCTAAATAATTGTCCAACTGGAGTTAGGCCTGAGTGATACTACTCCCCAAGGAGTTGTCGACATATCTTCTATCTCTAAGTATTTTTTTTTCTGAAGAGTTTTCAGTAGTAGTTCTCAACATTTTTGATCCGATTCCGATGGCGTTCTTGGCAGCATGTTCTATTTTTATATGCAGATCAGCATATTTGTTTACCTTGTTCTACCCTGATGGGCGTCGCAGGCTGAAGCAACCAAGAACAAGTCTAAGGTTAGCGGTCGAGGATCGGCGAATCTCCGCGGGAGGAGTCCTTCGGGGGTCGGCGTGCAACGGCGACGCTCTAGCTCTGGTAACTCCGGCTCTCCGAAGCATGAAGCACTGTCTGCTAGGAAGATATTTCTGCGACGACATAGCGGCTCAGCCGCTGGGCACAGCGCCGCAGGTCTGCAAAGACCTCATCACGACCGGTACGATCCTTTTTTCGACGACCTCGTACGTCAGGGCAACGGGGACGCAAGAGTTCAGAGGGCAGAAGGCGAAGCTGCTTCTTTTGCGGGCTCTGGCAGTTCTCTCCAAGCCCTGCGGGGTGACATCGAGTACCATCCCCTGCAGCACATGACAGAAAAGCTGGCACAGAGCGCGGAAAAGCTCACCATAGAGTTCCAGCGTTACACACCTGGGGGAAGCACTGTGATGGAAGGGACGGGGCGGAGGAGCAGCGACCGATCCAGGATAGGTAGTACTGCAACGATCCGTGATAGCGCGGCCTCTCGCGTTGTTCACAGCTTCGGTTCAGCAAGTATGAACACAAATGTGATTTTTTCTAAAAAATATATTTATAAATACAACCAAGCGCAAGCCGTTTAATTATTATTATGGAGAAGTGAGTGTTCATAATACCTGGGCATGTCTACGGAGAATGATCCAACATGCATATTGAAATGAATACTCAAGAAGCACTTTGTTCCTGGAAGGCTAAAAAGCGTCACAAATATTACGAATGCAATTGGAGTTACTTAGATGAAAAGGTCTAACATGCGCAGATCCGGTACTCAGAGCTTTGGCACGGGAGGCACGTGGGATGAAGCTGAAGACAGTATGACAGTAAAATCTAGTCCTCTGATTCAACACGGGCGTGGTGGAATCGTCCAGAGTCTGTCCGTGCAGGAGAGCGCCAACCGGGAGTTGGCCGACGCATTGGATGCCGGCGTCGTGCGGGAGCTCGACTGGGGCTATTTGAGCCCGCTCGAAAAGAGGATCCCGCTTTTTGCACAGATGAAACATGACTGGGAACAGGAAGTGCTGGCAGAGGCCGAGTTACACCGAGAAATGCGACGGCAAGAACGCGAAACCCTGGAGAAGAAGCTGCTTTCTGGCCTCCGTAAGCTGCAAATGGGCTTGCATACGGGGGGACAGGGGCGCAGAGACGAGCTGCAAATGAAGGTGGGCATATTGCAGCGCCGCAAGCGGGAACTGGATGAGGAGAGTATCGCGAGTGCAGAAGGGCCAGACCCTATCACGCGGGCGGCCGAGGCGATCGGTAGCCGTGGCGGCATGTGCCTGGAGGAAGTCGGCATCGAGCTGCTCTACTGCAACGCGCGCACGCAGGGTGGCGAGCGCTCGGTCTTTCAAGTTGTGCTGGACCACTTTTCAAACGCGCTGGTGATCACGTGCCGTGGAACTACGGACGCGAAGGACGTGGTCTCGGACTGCTCCATTGCGCCGGCTAAATGTTTCGCGGACGACCCCGACGACGAGTATGTCCATGCTGCCTTTCTTGCTTGCGCGCGCTTCTGTCTCAGCTGCGTGGAGAAGGAAGGGTTCATCCGCATGCTTCCCGCAACTTACTCCGTGGTAACTACGGGCCACTCGCTAGGAGGAGGCATTGCTTCGGTGCTCGGTTTCCTCATCGCCAAGAGATATCCGGAATTACTGGAGCAAAAGCGTCTGCGCTGCCTGCTCATCGCGCCTCCAGGAATGACTTGTTCCAAGGCACTTCGCAAATTTTCCTTGTCCTACATGACCACGCTTGTGTGTGGCATGGATGGAATTCCTCGTAGTCGAGGGCTCTCCATCGTTGTTTTCCGCCACTTCATGGCGGAGTGCCTTCGCAAAGCTCGCTTTTCCAAGTATGGTCTTCTGCACACTGAACTGTCCGAACTCAGGAGCCGCCTTTCCCACTTCTGGTACTTAATGCAATTAGGTACACGACTACTAGCAATAGGTGATCAACAAGAGTAGTGTACTACTTCAAATTTTTTTATGCAACACTCTCTCGGGCGCTCGCTTCCTCGTCTGTTGGAGGAGTCGGAGGTATTTTCGAAGCAGTATCCAGCCTCAACTTCAATATGCGACGCACCAGGTACAAAATCAATCAGTCATCGTTTTTCCCGACGAGCCCTTTTAATGTATTATTTGCGCGCAAGTTCGAGGGTGGGGAATTGAACCGAGAGGAACGATGCGAGGTGTTACGAACGTCCCTTCGCGAAGGAGACCGCGTCATCGTAAATGTGGAGGAGCTCCAGATCTTAAGGGTTCCGGGTCGATGATGATTTTTTCTCCTACTTTCTGAAAGACTGACCCCGTTTTTCCTGGACTAGTCTCCCACTTAGTCTTTGTTCTCCGAACAACTGAACTTCGTTTACCGAAGCTTTTATTGTATTGCGATAGATGAAAATGAATCACCATGGATCATGGCTTGTTGCGGTTTCCGCTTTTTAGTAGTTTCTCTCGAGGAATAGAAATTCATTCTTTATCGACTTTAGGAGCTCTAATGATGGATTGTCATAACCAGAACGAGACGCTGCTTTGGACACAGGGCGCAGTAGCTTTTGTTGCGGAAAAGCCTGGGCAAACTGGAATCTGGATTCAGTTTTCGCCAGACGCGTATAAGACGCGTCTGATCGCTCCGGCGTGGAAGAGATCGCTGCACAGAGGCAGCGCACGGACGCCTGCCAGGAGTGCAGCATCTTTAAGTGGAGACGTTCCCGGTGTTCAGGCGGCCTCTGCTGGAAACTACGGAGATGGTCGCGCAACGATGGATACTACTAGCAGTCGTGGTCAGGACAGTACGCATTTCGATTCAAGCTTAAGGCGACCACTAAATAACAATATTTAAGCCTCCTGAGCATGATCTTCCTTGGTTGGCCTGCTCAGGGTCAGGGATGCGAGCGAGTGCCGCGGGAGCTCTAATAGGGAAGCGGGGCCGTGAAACGGACGGACTCAGTTCGTCGAACGCCAGTGAGTCGCACGATGAGGCTGCTCCTCTGAACGTCAAAGTCAATTTAAGACTCAGTATTATTTTTCATTTTTTCGCGTGATACTTTGATATTTGTTGGTCAATGGTCATTACTGGCTCAAGATCCAAGGAATGAACCTGATTTCAATGCCAAATGACTGCTCTCACTCGTCACCTTGATCGTGATCAATGCCGTTCCTTGTCTTGAACTCGTGTTAGTTCCTCGCATGATCATCGTTTGAACTCAATGAATTCTAACATGAACCAGCAGCAAGATCTCCCAGATCTTTAACTGCACCATGGACCTTCATGATATCCCAATGACATTGGGCCCATTTTGATACCATTTCAGGGCCTTAAACAGTCAGTGATCATTCGGCACGTCCGTTCTGATCGTCTTTCTGTTACATTGCAACGATAGCCATTCCATTTGCTCTCAAGAGCCTCGTAGTGCGTCTGGACGTGTTCGGGTGTTCCAACACTGTTTCAAGCCCTTGGGCCTTACCTTACTAAAGGAAATTGCTAGTCAGTGCATTGTAGAAGTAGTGAAAACAAAGTCGCATCATTTGCGCCACAAAATGCCCGATATGAGTCTCGGAGAGATTTCACCCAAACTGGGGCAGAAATCTGATTGGCGTGACTGGCTTCGAGCGGTAACGCAAGAAGCAGACCGCCTGGACCTAGTCCAATACCTCAGCAACGTGTTGAACGGCAATGCGGCAGGGGTTCCGAACCAACCCAACAACAACGACCGCAAGCTCCAGCAGAATTGGCGAGATTTGAAGAGCGTGATCATCAAGTCGCTCAAAGGTGCAGCCGAAGCACATATGAAGGATCAGGATACCACTGCAATGAACGCTGGCGAAGTGGTGACAAACCTCCGTGACGCTGGTTTCAGTCAAAATGACCGCACAGAGCAGCGAATCTCTGCTAAAGCGTTGGAAGGGATGCATTTCACGCATCGTGATTCTCCTCCAGACGTTCCAACATTCCTGGCGAAGGTTAGAGATGTCATGAATCAACCTCCGACCGTATACCCGCCGGAAGTTGGTGTGGCTGTTGCTGATCAACAAAACGGAGCAATCCTCGACATTCTGCCTAAAATGTTTTCCAAAGCATTTCGACAGACAATCGAGAGGATGCAAGAAGAAGAACGTCTAACGTTCGTTCAAATCGGTGAAAGACTCACGAAACGACTTCAAAGCTTGATTGACTCTGGTGAGTACAAGGCCGAGAGTCCATCTTTCGGCAAAGCTTTTCCAGCTGTCGAAGATTCCGATGATGAAAACCAGAACAATACCAAAACCAAGAAGCGCAAAAGTCAAGACGAGAGTGATGACGATGGTAACGCGTTTGCCGCTCTCAAGAAAACAACGATCAAACGACTTCGCAAGAAAATTCGCAAAGAAATCAAGAACGAGGTCTACGCAACCAAGGGAAGTGGAAAGAGTAGTAGTAGTAGTTCTAGCAGTAAGAAAAACAAAGGAAGTGGTAAAGGTAAAGGTGCTAAGAACTCTAATCCTAATGAGGGTATCCAGTGCAACTATTGTCACAAGTATGGACATAAGGCGCATAAATGCTGGCTAAACCCGATGAGTCAAAGCTACCAACCTAGCAAAGCCATGGGCAGCAACTTCTTCAACAATTCATACAACTGTTGGCCGCAAGGTAACGCTATCCCCCCGTGGCACCAGAACAGCTATCCACCGCAACAAAGTGGAGGGAAAGGATTCGACAACAGTAACCCACAGCAGCAATAGGGTGGACAACAACCACAACGCTGAGTCGAAACCAATCCGGAATGGAATGGATATGGGAAACGAGATGGACAATCCCAAGATGAAGAAGAATTGGAAGAAGATTTCGAAGATGAAAATGGAAGACGTTCGCTGAACTTTGAAGAAAACTTTGAGAATGAAGAATATAGAAGTGAACTGTTTAGGGATGAAAGCTATATGTTTGGTAATCGCTCAGGTTGCTATCTAAGTGCAAATAACAGGGACAATAGCAAAACAGTTTCACTTGTTGACAGTTGTGCAAGTAAGTATTTGTCTAGCCATCGTTCCGATTTCAAGAAGATTAGCTACCGGCTTTGTCACATTAGCGGCACCGCTGGAAAGCGAAGTGGGGACATAGGTAGACTGAAAGAGAATAAATTAGGATTGAAATACGGCGTACACTTTGAACACTTACCAAAAGCCATAGATCGCGTTATACCGTGGTTAGGTGAAGGAAACTGTCATGAGAAGGGTTGGCAAATGAATTTCACAGAAAGTGGCGGAACGTTGTACAATACCCGCTCCGGCCGCTCTCTACCCATAACAAATTGCCCTCAGATGCAGCTACCCATTCTAGGTTGTGACATGTTTAGCAAAGAAGAAAATGAAACTGCGGAGGATATAGCATGCACTAGTATAGAGGAAGCTAGACTTCATTCACAAGCCTCAAGATTAGATATACGCCGTAGACTTGGCCACTTTCACGTTGATGGCCTTAGTGTATCTTGTCCAGAATGTGATCGAACCAAAGGTCAGAGACGCTCTCACGCAAAAGTGAGACCCCCTGGGCATATACCTTCTCCATTGAAAACGCTTGCAATTGATTTCGCAGTTGGTATAAGAAGCAAAAGATGCGCTTTAATCATTATCTGTGATTCGATTAAGATGTGTTTCGTTCGTCCTCTTTGCCTTAAGTCGGACTGCGTAGAGGTGATTGAAGAAGTAATAAAAGGCATTCGCCAGGACTACTCATTGTCACTCGACGACAAGGTGGCATGGTTCATCCGTAGAGATAGCGAACCCGTCCTAAGTAGTGACCATATGACCAAAGTCATGCAATCGCTAGCGCTACTGGTTTCGGAAATTCTTGGAGTTCCTTACAGCCCAGAAATGAACGGAACTTGCGAACGTTTCACGCGGACCATTTTCGGTGCTGTGCGTACCATGTTGGTCAAAGTCGACCGACGTCTTTGGTGTTACTGCCTACAGTATGCCGGAGATTGTTGGAATCGCTTACCGCATCGCTATGCAAAAGTGCCAGAATATGACGGAATGAGTCCTGTCGAGATACTAGAAAAGAGGAGAGGCAAGAAGTCCTCGAAAAGTGGTCTAGGTATCGTATGTTAAGAAGATTTGGTTGTTTGGTGTACTTTCGTGAACAGGTCGTAGACACCACCAACAAGAAAGAAGCAAAGCTCGCGTCACCTTATCGGCGTGGTGTGTTTCTCGGTCTGTGTCCAGTTTCGTCTGGTTGGCTAGTAGGTACACATCACAACGATGGGAGAACGAAAGCTGGCTTCGAGTGGAGTGAGTATTCCACACTAGATGTGAAATCTCGAGAGTCGATATTAGTCAAGAACATTGATTGGCTACTGCCTACGTCGAAGGGCGTTTATGTTGATTATGACCCGCTGGAAAACCTGCAGTCTGGCGCGCCGTCGCTGGGTCCCGTCCTGCACAGACATGCGCTGCAACGTATGGCCTGTCAGCCGCGCTTCTCTGGCACGGAGTACAGCTCAGGCGATCCAACCGGCATGGAAATGGTATTAGATAACAATGAAACTGATGAGTTTTTCTGTGAATCTTTGGACAAAGAAGAAGATCCAAAGACCGGTGATGATTCCAACTCTGACGCGCAACGCGTTGAGGAGGGGAATAGCTCACCGGAGCGCGTGTCACCTGACTCTAATCCTGAAGCAAGGGATCCGAGGCCCTTACCCATTCCACCATCTCAGCCAGGCAAAGTTGAGGAGGGGAAGAAAGGCCGAGGAAGACCTAAAGGGAGCAAGGATAAGAATCCAGGACAACGCAAAAGAAGAACAAGAGCCGAGCTAGATGCATGAAGAAGAGACATGCATAAATTTGCCATGCTAGCAGGCGGGCATGAGCTGGAAGAAGGGGAGACCTTTCTCGAAGCACATGTCATGCTGTCAGTTTCCCAAGCCTTGAAAAGCCCTGACGCTGAAAAATGGCGTGCAGCTATCACCAAGGAGGAAGCTAGACTACTTGCCTTTGAGACTTGGGCGCCAGCTACTGACGAGGAGCTGCGAACCTCTTCTCAGGTAATGCCTATAGCAATCGTTCTCACGGTAAAAAGTGATGGAACATTCAAAGCTCGTGCTTGTGTGCTCGGGAATCTTGATCGTTCGGGGAATATCGACACCTACGCCCCTGTAGTGTCACACGCTGCGAGTAGACTTTTACTCGTTTCAGCGGCGACGGAATCTGACTTCGTCATCCCCTTCGACCTTGATTCTGCGTTCCTTAATGCTGAACTCGATCGTGACGTCTTCTGGCGTCTTCCACCAGTGTGGGCGGAGAAGCATGGAGCGGATATCGTCAAGCTTAAGAAAGCTCTATATGGGCTCAAGGACGCTCCACGAGCCTGGTTCAAGAAGTATTGCGTGCTATTGTCCGAACTCGGATGGGAGCCGTGTCCTTCTGCTCCAGGATTGTGGCGGAAAAAGAGCAAAACGCACCCAGGAAAGTATATGAAGACGTCAGTCTATGTTGATGATAACTTAGCTACTGGACATGACTATCACGAGTTACGGCCTGAGCTCGGCCGGATCTTTAGTCGCGCCCCCGGCCGACCTATTGAGATGGCAAAGCGAGTCGATTCTCGCACGGGTTTCGAATGGCTAGAGTTCGACTTTCTTGGTGCGATTGTGCACTATTGTCGGGAAGCACGTTCAGTGAAAATCCTGATGAGTGTGCACATAGAGAAGACTTTGCAGAAGTATAAAATAACATTAGGTAAGCCGGTGCGGTCTCCAAATTTCGACGAGTCTGCTTTGCTTGAGGAGGGGCTTAAGCTAGCAGCCGGGTTTCCATTGCGTGAGATTGTTGGCGCACTGCTTTGGATATCGACAACCGCAAGGCCAGATATTTGCGTCCCTGTGGCGACATTGGCTAGGTATGTCAGTAAGCCCGTTACTGAAAGAATTGCAAAAGCCTGTAGAAAAGTATTAAAGTATCTAGCTACAACAATAACAAAAGACCAAGGACTCTTTTATTCTCCAGAAAGTGAGGAAGAATTCAACGAAATCTACAAGAAGCTCCTACCAGAAGGAAGAGCGCTACCGTATACTAACTGGTTCTCAGATGCAGGATTCGCAAACTGCATAAAGAGCATGCGCTCGCCCAGTGGTTCGATTATGTACTATCGGGGTTTTCCAATCTGTTGGAAACGCAACACGCAAACCGTGCGTGCATATTCAGCTGCAGAGTCAGAGTACATAGCCGCGTCGGACACTATTGTCATGAGCGAGCTGCATGATTTTACAGATTTCTTCAATCCCTTACCCACTCAACTAGTGGAAACGCGGCTTGGTATATCGCCATCCCTCGATGATGCCATATTGTGGATAGACAACCAGTCTGCAATCTCGACAGCAAAGAGTGAAGACGCGAAGCCTAAAAGTAGACACTATGCACTACGTTATCTAAGAGTTAGAGATGCAGCTGAGAGAGTAGTTTTCTGTCCTATTCACCTGATGAAAGCTGATGGACTAACGAAACTTTGATGCTCATCCACTCAACGCAGATTATTACTACATCACATAGAGAATCCAGTAATTAGCCGTAACCATATTGAAGATGATAGTGACTCGGAAGAAGAAGATGACGAGTCTGGTTCAAGTTCTGCTTCTTTGGCGGTGCTTACCTATTCTATCTTCTTAGGGTGTTAGGTCGTTGGTCAAGGTGATGTCAGCGGCTATACAGTGAATAGTGAAGGTTCTGGGTCAGAGCAGGTAGTGCCAGACCGTTCCTGACTCCCGTCATTTCCTCACCTAGCGATTGAGGAGGGGCGTTGGTCAATGGTCATTACTGGCGCAAGATCCAATGAATGAACCTGATTTCAATGCCAAATGACTGCTCTCACTCGTCACCTTGATCGTGATCAATGCCGTTCCTTGTCTTGAACTCGTGTTAGTTCCTCGTATGATCATCGTTGGAACTCAATGAGTTCTAACATGAATCAGCAGCAAGATCTCCCAGATCTTTAACTGCACTATGGCCCTTCATGGTATCCCAATGACATTGAACCCATTTTGATACCATTTCAGGGCCTTAGACAGTCAGTGACCATTCGGCGCGTCCGTTCTGATCGTCTTTCTGTTACATTGCAACGATAATCATTCCATTTGCTCTCAAGAGCCTCGTAGTGCGTTTGGACGTGTTCGGGTGTTCCAACAATATTAGTATTTATAGTATTAGCATTTTTTTAGGACCAAGGCTTCTCCTTAAGGAGCTTCCTTAAGAGAACTGCATCCCTTAAAGGATTTCTATTATAGAAATCTACCATAGGGCTCCCTTGAGGGGGCCCTCGTGATATAATTGGGTTAATATTAGACCCTTCCTAAAGGGCCACCTGTTCCCTAAGGGCCTCCACTTGCTACCTTAGCCATGGCTAGCTAGCTCGCTGCTTAGCCATAGCTAGCCTGCAGCTAGCATAGGAATAGGATAGCCCGCTTGCTAGCTTAGCAGTAGCGTGCTAGCTTGCTAGGTTAGCCGTAGCTAGCTTGCACTTCCTTAGCCATAGCTAGGAAGCTTGCTAGCGGCTTAGCCATAGCTAGTCTGCATGCTGCTTGGCCCTAGCCAGCTTACCAGCAAGCTGCTTGGCCATAGCTTTAGCTAGCTTGCTACTGGCTGCTTAACCATAGCGGGAGCGCTAGCTGCTTGGCCATAGCTAGCTTGCTAGCTGGTTAGCCTTGTCTAGCTTTCTAGCTGTTTAGCCATAGCCAGCGTGCTAGCTGCCCTGCGTAGCCATTGCCAGCGTTCTAGGTTAGCCATATTAGCCTGCAAGCGCGCCGGCTTGTCGCTAGCTTAGCCATTGTCAGCGTGCTAACCTAGCCATGGCCACCCTGCTAGCTTAGCGCGGCATAGGTAGCCTGTTAGCCTAGTCATGACCAGCTTCCTACCTAGCAGCCTCGCCAGAGCTAACCTCCTAGCTTAGCCATAGCCACTCCCGCCTCTTAGCTTAGCAATAGCCAGCCAGCTGGCTTAGCAGTGGCCAGCGTCCATGCCGGTTCATTCTAAGCCAGCCGCGCGTCGCTAGCTTGATGACTTAGCGGCTTGCTTCGTTTGTCTTATCTGTCTAGTTGCTATGGGGTAACCTGTGCCCAGCGCAGCCCGCCACTGATGGGCCCGCTTTCTGGGCATGTGCTGAGATGTTGAAAGGTCATGAGAAAGCTGAAGAGGCGCCCCAGCCTCTAATCAATCTTGATTTCGATTTGACAGCAGAACGATATCCCCCTGAGCGGTACTTTCCTTCTAGTAGAACTGATCACTTCGACCATGAACAAGACGAGAACGACGAAGGAACTGGCCCCGACCGGTTCGTGATTCATAGCGATGGCAGCGAGCTCGAGCGCCGTTCAGGTTATTCCTAAGGCTTCGCACGCGCAACTGTTAATAGAATTACATGATATTTCTAACACCAAGGAAGCTCCGGGTCCTTAGCTAGATCCAACCCCATGCGTGTAGTCAATCCTCTGTCAAAATCGATCAAGTAATAGTATAGGCACCTAGAACAATGATGCAACAATAGAAAAGCATGCATCTTCAAGAGTAGAAAAATATGGAACAAGAATAGAGGCTGACCTCTGCTCTTGTTGCTAATGGTCCGTCGTGAGGGAGGTGAGCTTAGGTTTATTACTAGCCGAGTTCTACTAATTCATCCCGAACTCAGCTTCGCTGAGCAAAGAGTTTTTCTACAATGACGCTGCGGAAGACCTACTGCGACGTGAGGATGAGGCACAACGAATGCACAGCGAAGATGAGGAAGATGGGATGAGCTTCTCTCGGAATCATCGCGGCGGCTCCTCACGCGAGGTGCTGGACCCTCCTGAGGGTGATCGTCGTAGTACACGCAGTACCGGAACCGATCATAGGAACAAACATCAGGAGGATGATAATCAGCCGGAGCACATGCGAGCACAGTTTTTTGTCAGCTACGCCGATATAATTCTCAATTTTAAAGTCCTCTTTGGAGGGGACCAAGCGGAAACATCCGAAGGCATGGACGATGAGGTGGAAGCTAGGTTACTGGAACGCAGCTCGGCGTCCGAAGACGAGGATGAAGCTGGCAAGCATAGTAAGGCTGCCCCGCTCATGATGAATTTCATTGTTCACCTGCACGAATAAGGATCATCTCTCACTGTTCTCAAAACTGATGCTCTGTTCTTCTTAGGGTGATCCGAAGAGATGCTCAACGACTGAGCTGGTGACGGTGAGTGCATTTTTTTCTTGTAAGCTTCTCTAAAAAAAGCTATCATGGCGCCGGATTTCATGATCACATGGCGGCCTTTCTTGGAGGTGGTGCAATTCCAATGGCATGTAGCCAGCGACTTTCAGGATCCGCTGACGGTGCAGTTTCCATGAGAAGAAAACTAAGTATGCCAGGTCTGGAAATGGGACGGCAGTGGCAGGACGTTCGAAAAATGTCCGCGTTGCGGAACCAGCAAACTACTGGCATTCGGAAGCCCTCTCTGGAAACAATTTACGCATAGTTCAGAGCTGCGTTTTTTTCCTTCTCCTTGACACGAGTCGTCGTTATTTTATATATTTGGCTATAGCTGAAATCTTGAACTTCGCCGCAAATTATATCATGATCATGGTATTCCTACGTCTTCAAAAATTACGAGTCGGGGACACAACATCTACGCCAAGAAAATACTTCTAATGCATGCTGGGACCTGACACAGCGGTCACTGTGGATTTTCAGAAAGCCCTCAGGTTCATGCGGTCAATGCGTCAGGAGGGCCCACTTTTGGACGGACCTCCATCCACTACTGCCAAGCAGAAGAGAATGATGCAGAGCACTAGGATGCAGCAGCGCAACTCTGGTGACGGAGACGCTCCAGTTGTCGGTGGAACGGCGAAGTCATTACAAACCTTGTTCAGCAAGAAGTACCACGAAGAAGGTGAGAATCCACGTGATACCGCGTCGATCCACATCTTAGAAGATGAAGATGTTGGCGAAGACGACGACGAGCGGGACTTAAGGCTTTTATTTTCCAGTAAACTTACTCTTACTTACATCGTCTTCGCCAAGATTTTCTTCACCGTAGATACTTGTTTGCTTGTATTGATGCGCTCCGGGCAACGCGTACGATCTCACTCTTCGCCCTAGATACTTCAGCAAGAGCATCATCGTCATCATCATCAGCATCATCATCCTAAGCCGGGAGCCGGGGGCCGGCAAAAGCTTTGTGAAGATGGGCCTTGTTGCATTAGGTCGATGCCTCTTCTAAAGTTGTTGCCTCGATCAGGTGGCGCTAAGGGCGACGCTCTTTATCGTGATTCTGCTACCGAGGGGCGCGCAATCCGACACTCGATGAAGTCGGTTGACAGCTCTCGCTCTCGCAGCGATGACTCGTTGCACTTTGCGCCAGAAATGAATACAGAAGATTGCGATTGGTTTTCGCCGTTAAGGGTCACGATAATTCATTTGCACAAAAAAGCACTTAATTCACATGATTTGCACAGTAGATTATCTTGATCTTCATTCCAGGACTCATTATAGTCACCTCTTGTTCGATATATGATCAAGAACAAGGTGAATTATCGCGCGCTCTAACGTCGCATCAGCTTCGTGAGCCTTACCTGATGTCCTGTCCCGAGGGTTGTTGTCCCGGAAAAATTCTGCATTTGCGCAAGCGTCGAACGCAGACGGAGATTTAAGGCTCAGAAAGTACATCATGACGAAGTAAGTAGACCAGTGAACACCGCTAGAATCAGAACAAACACCGCTAGAATCAGAACAAATTATTTGTATCGGTATGGTCTAAGAAAAGCGCATGGTGGATGATGTGGCGCGCAACGATTTTGCTAACCTGTTGACAGAGGTGTGTGGACCACCTCCGGATGCAGCAGGGGAGGAGGAAAAAAAGAAGAGAAATTTTTTCATGAGGCTGCAGAGTCAAATTCTGGTTAAGGCTTCTTTCTTCGCATATTTACTAGATAATCATGCTGTTGCGGCTTCCTTTGGATCGATCTCCATCCAGTCGCGTGGAGGTGAAGTAGGATACGATGACGATCGTCGACTACAACAGGAGCACACACACGACATGCTCATGCGGAAAATCCAAAGAAACTGAAAAGGAAAGGGATCGATAGTGCAGCTACTAGAAAATGTGAATGTGAATCCGTATCCGTTTCTTAAAAATACGAAGGCGATTCTTAATACTAGCAAGAAGAGGAATTTCAACTTGATCAACAAAATGAAGCGGACCGTCGTCTACGTCTTGTCAATCTCTAAGAAGTGACAGATGGACAAAAAGAAGGATAGTGAGGACAAGAGCATGCTTGGACTGGACGTCACCACCGAAAGTGAGGGGGCTACAGAGTATCTCGAGTCCGTCGAGTCCCGCAGAATCGTTCGCTTTGCGAGAAAGCAGCACTTTTAAGGTTTCGAAGTGACATCTCCGTCTTTGCGGGTGAACGCAGGCGGAGTATAGCCATATGTATAAAGTTTTCAAGTCCTCGTGAAAAAACAAAAAGGAGAGTGCTTCTAAGAAGAAGTCACGAGCTAGAAATATTTAACTAGGACAAGTATGCTCTCACAAGATTGATAGGTAAAGGTATAATGCAAGGTAGTCGATGCCCTATAACCAATTCTGTTACAACGAACTTAAACTTGTTGGAGGAAAAGTAGAATGAATACTAGTACGAGTAGTTGCTTAGTAAGACTTTGCTCACGCTCACTATGAAAACTTCTAGTCTCTACGTCTACGGGTGCTACGGATAGCCCCACCTGATAGGGCTGTCCGTAGCACCCGTAGACTCGAATGGGAGAAGCGCTAAGTTTTCAAGAAGAAGATACGCGACGAGGAGATTGATGAAGATGAGGCGAAGGCGAACGCAAATTTGCACGAGCAATTCGTCATGTCGGACGCCTCGAGTCATGCACGCACGAACTACCGTGTTCGCGCGGCACGATCATCAGGACGAGGCTCCTCTCGCCGAGGAAGTTACACGAAGAGTCCGAGCGTCACTTCACCAAATCGCCGAACAAACACAAACATGAGAGAGTCGCAAGACCCACTGTGGGATGAATCTCCGAGGAATAAAAGCCGAAAAGGAGAAGGCAGCACCGCATCTCCGCCGAATCGTCGAGGCGCAAGCGCAGCATCTCCGAATCGCAGAGGACCCAAACGAGCGGCTTCTCAGACCGGAAAAAGGTCAACGCCGAGCCTCCCCTGGAGAGCCTCTCGGTCTGTATCTCTTCAAACTGGTGCGAGAAGATCTTACAGTGGCGACAAGAAGTTCTGCATCGAAGACAGAATTAGCGACAATAAATTGCTGTATTTCTACCCGGATGAAAGGGCGTCGAGGACGCCTTTACCAGGTGAAGGCGGATGGAGCGGAAGACGAAATTCCGATGGAACTAGAAGGATCACCACTGACTCTCCTCGAAGGCGTAGTACAGCACGCGGGAACTTTTCTAGCGATCGTTCTCCCTTGCTGGGTGGGAGAAGGAGCAGCAGGTTGCCCACCACAGGAGGTAGACGCTCCATGAGGTTGAGCGGCCAGGCGAGAGCTAGCGCCGCGGGTACTGAACAACCAGAAGGCGTGGCGGCCAACGTTACAAATGCGGTCAACTTATGGAAGGAGCTTGATGCTGTGCGCGCTGTGCATCCCCATTTTTAAAGCGACCGTTCACGTGAGACATTTGAACCAGAGAGAAATCATTGGATGATCCCACTAAGACCTCTCTGTAAAATGGATTCTTTACTACAATTACTTATATATACATCATCATGATCATGATGAAAGCATATAGATATGATAGCACTGGTGCGTCAATATATGAATTCAGAGTTTTGCTGGTGACTTCTACAACTGCTCTAATTAAAGTGATGGCGGATGGTACCACGCAGCTTGCGACGGGTATGGCAAAGGGAGCGAACAAGGTGGTCGGTCTAGTCCAGAAAAGTTTCTTCGAGTCAGTCCGAAGACTAACAGGGCTTACCGATCGTGTACTCGACGAGCTAGATCCTGAGGGACTCGCGCTGATGAGCGAGCCCGATCCCTGCATTCTCCACTCTTATGGCGGGTTGATGGGTCGTGTAGTTGACCTACGTATGATACAGAAAAGAACTCTAGTACCATAGGGATGTTGATGACTACAACATATTTTCTTCTGCAGATGTGTCTAGCACTTATTTTTCAACTACATAGCAGGTTTAGAAGTAGGAAGATAACCTCTGCAATACCGTCGATAGAGTTTGTGTAGAGGTGCAATGCAGCTTCGAGAAGGTGAAACGGGAGATAGCCCTAAGATTCCTTCGATGAGGATCTGAGAAGGTGTATGCTGGACCATGGTGAGACGCTTTCCGACATCGACGGAAGTGACTTTGAGTATAGTACGGATGAGGAGGAGGAGGACGACTCCGAAAAGGTGGTCGACGACGCGGACGTCGATGATTTTCTAGCAGCAGATGCTGGCGGGGTAGGAGCGGATGCAGGTGCAGTTGGCGACGATGATTAAGAGATGGCTGAGTCTGTGGTGTTTAATATAACTGAAGTCCATCTGTTTTCGTGTTGTCACTTGCCAGAAGAAAGATGAAGATGAAGATGTGCCGACACCTGAGACGATGACTCTCGAAATTTTTGACACGCATTTCCTGAAACTAGTAGAAGACATTGCACAGTTAATCTCTAAGATGATCTGCGGCTGGACGAATTCGGTGCCTACGAGCGCGAGCATAACAGCCAGGTTGACGATCCATCCTCGACCGCAGGGAAAAGAACTGTGCGATTCTCAGAAAGCCCCTCAAGCGCGAAAGGTGGACACCGGAGCCCTCACAAAGGGCTGCATGTTAGAATTAAGAATGATAGTGATCATAGGAAGCTTCAGCTTGATTATGCTTCTTGTTCGCAATACAACAAGAACTAGAACAAAATGGAAATGCCATCTCTTAACGATGTTACAACTCACTACTCGCAAACGTTAACGTTTTTGTTTTTGGCCTTATCATGTAGGTTTCTCAAAAAGTTGAAAGCAGATGATCTTGGCCGGAGATGACATCATGGAGACATAAAGCGGGGAACAAAGACATAGATAATAGAGTAGTTTATAGACGCTGGGTGGCTGGGCGGTCTCGACGCTGGGTGGCTGGGCGGTCTCGACGCTGGGCGGCAACGCGGGGCACGCTGGGCGGCAACGCGAGGCACGCTGGGCGGCAACGCTGGGCACGCTGGGCGGGCGCTTGGATAGCGCTTGGCGGACTTGAGGGCCACACTAGGCATGCCGAGCCCGCGCGGCCCATGGATTTACTGAGCACAAACAAAGGCAGCGCGCCGCCCCCAAGGTTCAGGGCAGCGCTGGCGCAGTGCTGCGCCAGTTTGCGCAGTAGCGTGCTGCGCCTGCTCTGTTCAGGCTTGCACTGCGTCGCGCTGCACTGCGCTGCTCGATGCGTGCAATGCTGCGCCACTCCTGTGCACCGTGGTAAACTCGCCAGCGTCGTTGACCTTGGCCTACGCTAGGCTAGCACTGCTGGCGGGGTGCTCAAGCGGGCGCCCGAAGGGCGCCCCTCAATTGGAGACGCCCAGCCAGCAGAATGCGGGAGATCTGGCACATTTGGGTCGTCCAGCGACCCAGCGTGCCCAGCGTGCCCAGCCCAGCCATGTTGGGGACCCTTATGGACTGTTCTAATATGAAAAAAAAATGATATGAGAATAATTATTGTCAAGCTCTAAGAAAACGGGCAGAACGCTGGGGCTGACCCAAGCATCGGAGCCGCATAGCCGACGCGGTTCGGCGGCGATGGCCGAGAGACCACCGAGTTTCGACGGGGGCGACACCTGGTCTTCGCGTGGAGGCAGTGAGGGCCCGACTGCAAGTCAGGGTGGTGACTCGCCGAGATGTGGAGACCAGAAGGGGGACAAGAAGGGAGGAATGACGAACTTCGGAGAGCATGAGCTTTTGCAAGGCTTCATCATGAAAGGACGCAAAGTCGCGGTTGGTAAAGACGAAAAAATTAAGGATCAAGTATTTATTTCTTCCTCATTTGATTTTGACTGTTGATCTTCTCTCGTCGTCCCGTACACATATCCTGAGCAGTCAGAACTCGGAAGGCGGGGATAACCTTACTTAGCGTTAGTAGTTATCTTAAATAAAGGAAAGTGTGTTGGACTTGGCGCAGGACTCAACAAAAGCTTCCAGGCAAACGTTATTTATAAAATAACTGAAGGACGACACGAACAAATGAGGTCGAACGATGAATGACTTGCTTCGCTAAAAAAAGAAAGAAAAAGCATAGACGGCAACGGGAATTCAATCCGTACGAAAATAAAGGACAAATGAGAAACCTGAAACATTTCGACAGCGGGAGGCACATTATGACTGCAAAGCGTAGTAATGATCGTTCAGTTCCACAATAGGCAATAGGATTAGTACTACTTGTGTTTTCATGTATCGTGTGTAGTTCTCCAACATTTCACAAGAGCTACAGAGGATCCGTCTTCAATACGCACATTTTTATCACCCGTATTTATGGATAAGGATATGAATATGAATATGTTGATACTGTGTATGATACCATATGCGATTATCAATTTATTTATGAGATGCATGAAAAACATGCTACATACGAGACGTTAGAGATGAGTAGCACATAAAAAAATTACTGCTATAGCCAGACAAAAATCCAGTCTTGCACAATGCTATGAAGCTGACGAGTGACTCTACAATTGAGCCCCGAACTACAATTGTATTGATTCGTGGCCTGCTGGAAGGAGGTAATTCTGTCGTCCAGAAGAACCAAAATTGAAATGATTTTGTATTGTTTTGGAATTTGGTAACCTGAATTTGATCACAAGGATTCTTTTCTTGTTTTCCTTATGATCGAAATCAGGTTACCAAATACCAGGCCCATTCAGATTTTCACTGATTCTGGGCGATGTTCTAGCTCTTGCGAAAGTTTTTCAGCTTTTTCGCGCACACAATTCTCCTATTTCTAATAGAAGCAGCGTCTCGCCGTCGGGCCGCAGCAAAGCTACAACAGGAACTTCGTCTTTAAGCCGCCAGACAACGCAATCATGGGGCGATAGCTCTATGGCGCTTCGAGCGAGAAGGCTGAGGACTCGGATCTTCGCAGAAGAGGGAGAAGCCGCGAATCCACCCGACGAGGATCGTCGTCTAGCCCGCGACACACGCAAGTCCCAGCTTCTTTCTGTCTTCAGCATGTTCGATTTCGAAAAAAGTCATGCTCCGCCTCCTGGGTTTACCGAGACAGATCATCGAGTGCGAAAGGCGTTCCAGACCCGCGTGCAGCGAGCCTCCATGGCAACGGGGCCAGAGCTACGCGGGTCGAAGCGACCGTCCTCAAGTTACGACATTACATCCCGGACCGGGCGAAGCCTGCCTGAGCCGTTTCTCCTGCCACTAGCGCCGAGGCCGCGCGCGGAGGGGGAGGCGGCGTTCGACGGACAGGGGCTGCAGTCTGAAACACGAGCCGTGAGGAAGGAGAAACTTGCTAACTTGTTCCAACAGGCAACTCAGACGAAGCAGGGCAGCGGTGAATTGAACAGCGGTAGCGATGAGTTCAAAAAATTGAATGTACGGTCAGCTTTTAGTTTAATCCATCTTTTTAGGCATCTTCGTGGTAAGTACCCTCATGCCCTGTATTCATCTCATGAAATGCAAGGTCGAGGGGAACACGATGAAGGAGACCGAGATGAATAAATCTAAACGCCGCCTCTAACAAATAGCTCTGCAGGATCTCTGGGGAGACAAGGCTCCGCGTCTCAAAGCTCCTCCTTCTCGAATGATGCGAACTACGACTTAAGAGACCGGTCGTCGTCTGTTTCAATAGCCCAGCCGGGTTCTTTGGAATGGGATGAGGGTCGCAAAGTATCAAAGGCAGCGAACGGAAACGGGCAAGGGGGTGACGAGAACGCGTCCGCGACGATTACGGCCGCGCCCATCAAAGTCCCATTGTTTTCATCTTCATAGTCTCACAAGTACTTCATCCTTGTGCTCGTCCTGAAGTATTTCATATAACAAGTTTCAACTACATGTACCAGCACAGTATGCATCAAGAATATGACGATCAACTACTAGTCTAGCGCAGGATGATGATATACACAACTTGTACAACCACCATGAAAGAACAAATTTAATGTATCAATGTATCAGATACAAAAACATGGTCCCATTCATTGTAGGACGACAGCTTCTTCTCTTCTAACAAAAGCACTGATTTCGACACAGACGAGGAGAATGGAGCACCAACCTCATCTGCTCCGATGCGAAGCAGCGCAGTGGAGCGTGGTCTGGCGTACGAGGAAAAGGTTGCTGCGAGGTTGCAGGACAGTGAGTACCACGCTGTTTGGGTGACCGAAAAAGAGATGGATTTCATCTTTATGAGACCAGAGACCATCGACGACCACTTGTTGATAAGCTACGACGTATGTCTTCGGGCGATCCTCTCAGATTTCTTCTCCGATGTAGTCAAGCTCAACGCTCAAAGAATGGAGGACTACGCGGCAGGACAGAGGACAAGTAGAGTATGGATGATGCCTTTTCTCTCATTTTACAGACCGTCGAGGCTGTGGTGCGCCTTTTTCCCTTGAAGGTGTATACGTATAGGTTATTTATAGGAGAGCCTCGATGGTGTGCCGAGATGGAAAAAACGGCATTCATATAGAGATGCCAGCGCGCTCCTGGATGGGGACGAAGAGCAAGGCCGTAGGTCAGCAATGCAACGCAGAGCCAGCAGAACGACAGAGAAAAAAAAGACTTAAGGCGCTAACATGATGCAGCTCATCCTCCGACATAAAACGTACTTAGTACTAGACAGAGGGCGGCTGTCTCTCCTCAGTCACCGGGATGATCCATGTATTCCCACCAGCTCTAAGAAAGCAGCGCTTCGCCTCTGGGTCGGTCTGTGTCGAGCGATACCGCAGAAGAGATGCCAGCGCCGAAGGCAAACAAGATTGTGATGAACATCAAGAAGAAGAAAGTTGAAAACCAAGTTGTGGAGCAGAAGCCTACATCTTCCTCAGCGCCCTCCTCCTCTCCTGGCACGCAGCAAAGTGGATCCCCCTCGTCACCGAGCACGTCGGTGTCCGATGGAGGCATTTTTCCTGAAGGCGTTGGAAAAGGGACCGTTGACGTTGAGGTTGTGGATGCCACAGATAACGCGAGAGCTGCGTCTAGAATCATCGGTGTTGGACCAGGAGCGGGGGTAGTGTCCCCTCTGGAAGGATCCCGACTGGTCGCGGCTGGAGCACCAGCGAGTGGTGCTCAACCTAGTGCCGCTGCGCTCATGCGGGAAGCGCCTACGCTGGACAGCGCGCAAGATGAAAGCAGCGTAGAGCAGCAACTAGGACTTCAAGTAGGCATGGACAAAGGTCCAGGTCTAGTGGTTCCTCCACCATTTCGCATGAGCAAAGCCGCTGGATCTCCGCCGCCGTTAAAAACTGTAACATTCAGGCTCTTAGTCCTCGAAGTCGATACCGATACATAGCTTGTATAAATATATATAAGTTTGTTTATCTTCTTGTTTCACCCCTGCTCCCTCTGGGAGACTCGGTCTGCAATTGATTTGTATCCCCTTACTAGGCTTGCGCTTCCTCTCCTCATTCCTCGGGATTCTGACGCGAACTGTTTCATCTTGTTGATGGTTAGTGGTGACTATTTGAGATGCTATGATGATGATCTTGTTTGACGTGCTTCCTGAAAAGTATTTTTCACTGGTAGGCATTTGACTGCTACAAAGGATTGATAAATTTATAACGTAGGGATACACGACATCTTCGACTGGACTGCTCTAATGAAAGAGAAAAAAGAGACCGAGCCAATACAGTCGTCCTCGCCGACGAATGAAGACTGGGAGGGTTCGGTGCCAAGAGCAGCCGGCTTTGCCGCCTTTGGGGTTCATCTCGGTAGCCACACCACAACCACAGCGGCATCTGCCAAGTCAGCCGCTCGCGCAAGGAGTGATGCACTTCTCGATCGCACTGCAGCGACAGAGCAATATGGCTCGACAGCCGTTCCGGTTTCACGCGAAACCGAGAAGACAGTTGCTCCTGCTCAGCCTCCTGTGTCTACTGTGTCACCTGCAGTAGTAGCAGAGCAGCAGGAAGTGCCTGTGCGCAGTACATCCCCTGGGCAACAGACTTCTGGTCGTAGTACAAGGGATGCCTCGTCGCGTGCAAGCCGTCCGGGAAGCGCAGCGGCTCCTTCTCGTAGCGTAAAGAGTTTTGGATCATCAGCCGAGCAGACAAAAGAAGAGACTGCCTCAACACTTCAAGAACCAGCTACCTTCTCGCAAGTAGATGATGAAGAGGCTCCAGTGAATATGTCTGCCGGACGAGGAAGCGAAGTACAGCCAGAGAAGCTTCGGCTCGACATCGAAGGCAGTCGTGCCGCATCCACTTCATCCAGAAAGCAGTTTTCCGCTGTCTCTATGACGAGTTCGGGCAAAGACGGAACAAAAAAGTCGACAAAAAGATCTGCACCTGGAGGGCTCCCTTCGGTTGTTGAAGACAGCCCTGTGCTTGAGTTGCCACATGAACAGATGGAAGACCAAGGAAATGCTCGTGGTGCTGACCTCGAAGTTGTAGTTGCTTCCGAGAAACCAAGCAAGATGAAAAATGAGAAAAAATCGGCGAAGCATCGTCATCACCGTACATCAGACGAGTGGTCTGGCATCCCCTCGCACGAGCACCATCATTCGCACTCGGCGACTCGAAAAACAGAGGAGACCTCTGCAACCGAGGAAAAGCCATCAAAAAGGGAAGACCCAAAGGAGCTTCAAGCGATTGCGGGCAAGCACCACCACCACCACCACCACTCTCGCACAGATGACCCTCCCGCTTCCTCAAAGGCAGATGAGCATCACGATCACAAACACCATCGCAGTCTTGATGTCGACAAAGCGAAAGCTTCGACTACGCAAGAGGCTCAAGACATTGTTGTTGATGTAGAGGCAGAACTTGCCTCTCGTCCATCTGCAGCCGCACGAAAAGACGTGGAAGGACAAGAACATGTTGTTGAAGAGGTAAGAAGCTCACCTTCAGTCAAAAAGAGTGAAGGTGACAAGAAAAAGAAGAAAACAAGCAAAAAGAAGTCCTCGGCAGATCCAGATGTCATTGAAGATGAAGGTGGGAAGAAAGCATCTTCTAGTGCTCCTGGAGCTGATGCACAAGAACCGGCGATGAAGACCTCATCGCGTCATGATGTGCAAGTGCATCTGCATCATGTGCATGAACATAAAGCGCCGAGTAAGCGACATCTTCAAAAGGAACTCGAGGAGCTAGTCGATGCTGAGCGAGAAACTACTATGCCTGCTGCCATGCCTACTGATGATCATATGGATAAGAACGCGACGAGAAAGGTATCAACAGAACCCATGCGACAGCTACCTTCTCCGCAGACTATCGCATCCCCGGTGACCACCACGACCAGGGACCAAGTTTCCTCCCCAACTGCTACTGCAGAAGAAGTAGCGATAGAAAATAAACCGACTTCGTCGCTCATGGACCGTATTCACGCACTGGAGGCACACGGGTTCAAGCCGGAGCACGTGGTCACGCCTGGGCACCTTGGTACTCTGGTTATGATCAGCGTTTTTCCATCTCTCTCGTCAGTTTCCCATCTCTCTCGAAGTTGCCCTTTTCCCGTAGGATACAAGCGCGAAAAGGGTGCCGAGATGAGGTGACCGAAATGAATATGAAGCGCACTCTAACGTGTTACCTCCGAAGAAGGACGACGCACCGCCACCGCCATCGCAAGCGTTTACGTCACGTCTGGGCGAGATCGAGAAGCAGTCAGTGGATCACGATCCAGAGACGTCCTCACCGCCGTCGCCGATGGTCGTTGCCTCGCCAAAACGTCCAAATGTACTGCCAAGACGTCGAGGAGCGGAGGAACCAGCACCGCGCCCAGAATCTCCCCGCCCTCAGATATGTCCTCCTGCCGCTGGTCCATCCGACGAGGCCGCGATGGGAGACGCAAGTCTTCAAGACGATGATGCCGAGGTTAAGAAGAGGAGGATATCCATAAGCGTTTGCTGATCCACTGAGACGGATCCAATCGGTTCCTTGACTATCTCCGACTACAATCTGCGCTGTCAATCAAGCTTAGTATAGTTCTTCAGGATCAGGAAACACGAAATGAATTCAAGAACAACAGAATACTTACTAGTAATGGAAATGTTCACCTTACCTAAATTTGATTCGCTACAAGCACATCACCCATATATGTACCAGGGAGGGAGGCCCCCCCATGTGGATGGATCTGGGGCGCAGCACAGTGGTGGAAGAGCGACGAGAGCAGAACGAGCGACGCGAGTTCGTTGGTTGGTTGGTTGGTTGGTTCGTTGGTTGGTTCGTTGGCTTTGCCAGGTCTGTAGGGTACTACACGCAACAAGCCAAGGGGGTGGGTCTCGCCTTGCCACCTTTGCCAGGTCTGTAGGGTACACGCAGCACGCCAAGAGGGTAGGTTCCGCCTTGCCTCCTCTGCCAGCTCTGTCGGGTACCTGCAACACGACAAGAGGGCCCAGCCTTTGCCACCTTTGCCAGGTCTGTAGGGTACACGCAACAAGCCAGCGGGGTCTTGCCTTGCCTCACTGCCAGCTTCAACGCCCTCCGGTTTGGTGGCGCTCTAGGTCCAGGGTGCAGGCAAGAAGCGGGAAGGGGTCAGAGGTGGGCGCTTTGAGGCTTTCCCGCCCGGCAGCTTTTCGAAGAGAGGGCCTGGGGCGGGGGCCCACCCCCGCAAAAAGTTAGATGGGGGGAGGGCCTTCAGCCCTGAGCCCTGGAGCATATATTTATTATTAGTTTCTAGGCATAAGATGGATGTGGAGTTTTTCTAATGCTGCACCTAGTCGTCTGCCTTCAGCTCACACGCATGTGCCGACCGGCGGTCGGAAATTGGTCGGACTAGGAAAGCCGCGTAAGCTCCGTCATCACCACCATAACGAAGGCGAGGCCGCTGAGCTGAGCCAGATCAGTGAAGAGGGTGAGGACTTTGAGGAGGGAGAGGACTCGGTGGAGCAACCCCCGTCGAGCAAACCTTCTAAAGATGTTATGGACGATTCCTCTGTAGTTCAAATGTTCGTCTCAAGGTTATGTCATTACTGAACTAGATTTGCAGCTAGTATTTAGTATCTATTTAGATAGGAGTAATGCTTCCTGAGATTGTATGCATCTATCTCCCCATAGAGCAGTGGTTCTAGTTTTACTCTATGCCGTTCTTCACCTTTTAAGGTCAGACATACGTGATATTGCGAAGGTCCCTGGTCATCTAGGTTCATCGTCACGTACTCGTTTAGACCACTTAAGTATATAGGTATACAGAATCAATCTTCAGCTCTCTAATGCAACACCACTGAGTACGAGCATCAAGGAGGTCGGGAAGACGGCGAAAGCTGGTGCGAAGCCTGGTAAGCAGGATCTTTTTACATCTTCGTCCTCCGATAGCGATTCCAGTAAAGATTCTTCGTCCAGTTCTTCGTCGTCCTCGTCCTCCGCGGAGGAGAATCAAGAGGAGAAGATGGCACAACATTAAGGCGATAATCGATAATTGATTTTATTGTCACTCCTGGGTTATTTAATGGTAGTTGTAGCTCTCTTTCATGAGGTCGTTCCTCATATGAAGAATAAGAATCTATTTATCTTCCTGTTTCGTCGTCCGTAGGGTACACCTAGAACAAAAGGACAAACAGATTATGTTAAACGGTCGATTTTTTCGATAGCTCTAACGAGAAAGCAGTCCAGCTCGGAGGCGGCCATCGCAGTTCGGTATCAAGGGAGGAAAATCGCCGGCCTTTCCAAACAAAGATCTTTCACCTTAGTTAGAAAATGGTAGGAGTATAGGTAGATGAGCTATGGCGCCGCGGCACAATTGCAATTGGTCGAGGATAGAAGACGATGAAAATATAAACACAGGAACAAATTCAAAATATAGACGATATTCAAGAACAAGATCTTTTGTACTCTATCGTGATTAAAGTGAACCGAATCCAAAAAGAACAACGGCACAGAGGCGGCTACTTATGAAGACGAGTGAGAGTCTTTTTAGTGTCAATCAAAATAGACATAGACATACTACAGCAGAGCCATTTTACATCTACCGCGTTCGTAATTCGTTTGTATCTTTCTTGTTTTTCAAGGTAAGAAGATAGAGATTTTTATCTATTATTAACAATCAATCAATAATATTAATAAATTTGAATATCAATCAACAGTGGCGCGAAAGTATCGATGAGACGAGTAAAAGACTTGTTCATCAAAAGATGACGATCTTTTTTTTCTTTGTTGCCACTGAGTATAACTTCTACGCAACGGTACTTCATTTTTTTCAGGAGTACAGTATTTCTCGAACTTGCTGTTTATTTGCTAGAGGATGGTATATGTGTGATGAATTCAGTCGTTTCTAGGATACCAGGACAACAATGATAGAAAAATCTATATTATAGAGTAGTTTATAGACGCTGGGCTACGCTGGGTGGCTGGGCGGCCTCGCTGGGCACGCTGGGCGGCAACGCGGGGCACGCTGGGCGGCAACGCTGGGCACGCTGGGCGGGCGCTTGGGTAGCGCTTAGCGGACTTGAGGCCCACACATTGGGCATGCCGAGGCCGCGCGGCCAAAGGCTTTACTTGCGCCGCGGGGACGCGGTGCGGCGCGTCTCGTGAGCACAAACAAAGGCGGCGCGCCGCCCTCGAGGTTCAGGGCAGCGTTGGCACAGTGCTGCGCCAGTTTGCGCAGTAGCGAGCTGCGCCTGCTCTGTTCAGGCTTGCACTGCGTCGCGCTGCACTGCGCTGCTCGATGCGTGCAATGCTGCGCTGCTCCTGTGCACAGCGGTGAACTCGCCCGCGTCGTTGGCCTTGGCTTACGCTAGACTAGCACTGCTGGCGGGGTTCTCAAGCGGGCGCCCGAAGGGCGCCCCGCAATTGGAGACGCCCCGCGTCACGCTGGGCGCGGAATTCGGTAGATCTGGCACATTTGGGTCGCCCAGTGTGCCCAGCGTTCCCAGCCCAGCCATGTTGGGATACCTTAGCATGAACCATTCTACTATATTATGGCTCGTTAACGATTAATGTAAATCAAATGCCCCTGCTGGCTCTTACGGACTAGATCATATTAAAGGGTACAGTATGAACTTGAACCTGCCGAAATTTTCTCTCTTTTTTAAACAATCAAAAAACCTAGTGCGATTGTACAGAATTGAATGCCAATATAAATAGTGTCTTGAGGAATTGAATGCTAAATATAGTCCTGTTGTAAGAAATTATTCCAAGAATAGTATCATCGTTAATGTGTATGTGGTAAATATTAGATTCAGACATTTTACTGCTTTTTTTTTGTAAGAAAGTAGAAATATTTATGTTTATAAGTATAAGACCACAAGCAAACTCCTCTTCGATGAAAAATGAAACTACATGTTTACTTCAAATTGTACACTCAAATTTAGCGAAAAGCACTTTTCTTTCTTTGATGATGTAGTCTCGGTCTGATGTTTATATATAGTTTCATAGTATTTTTCGTTACATAGATGCAGCCTTCGCATACGCTGGGCAGACAGCTCCTCGGGAAATACACAGCGGTGTTCCAACCAGATAAGAAATAGAATGCAGAAAGGTCGCGATGTATACCAACAGCGGATCCTCTCGACAATATCAATAGCGCACGAACGCAAATAAGTCATGGAAACCAATCTACTCGCAAAAGCTTTGCTCTACAGTTGCGCTGGCGTGTCTAAATGATCTATGCGGATTCAGATCGGCCTATGATTCTCAGACGGAAAAGTAAACTGGCGACGATTCTGATTTGACTTTCATGCCGAAGCCTTTTACCTTTGATTAACTCCTCTGACGCTGGAATTTAATCTATAACACCTACGCCTAGGGAGATTTTTCTCCTCGGGTATTGCTTGTTCTTTGAATTCTTGTTGGATCCCAAGTAACAACTTTCTTGTATAACTACTTATACCATAGCAGACGAGCAGTTTATAGCACGCGTGGCGCATGGAGTAGCATGGAGTGCATGGAGCGCAGACCCATAAGGGACGCAAGAGGCGCCCCCCTTAGCTCCATGCGATCCATGCACCCCATGCCATGCGAGCTCCTGGCAAACTTTATTATAACTTACTCTGTTATATAGTGATACATACTAGGCCCCTAGGGCTCCGCTCGCCATTTCTGTTACCTCTCTAGACGTTTCCAGAGCGTCGCGTAGTCTTGTCCCGTACTCCTGTCCTGTGCTCCTGTCTTGTACTCCTGTCCTGTAGTCTTGTCCTGTAGTCCTGTCTTGTACTCTTGTCTTGTATTCTTGCCTTGTATTCCTGTCTGGTACTCTTCTCCTGTATTTCCTCTCCTGTACTCATGTCTTGTCCGCCTGTCTTGTAGTCCTGTCCTGTAAATTTTTCCTGTAGTCTTGTCTTGTACTCTTGACTTGTAGGCTTGTCCTGTAGTCTTGTCGTGTAGACTTGTCGTGTAGACTTGTCTTGCTGTCTTGTTTTTGACGTATAGGCCTGTCTTATGGGTTTGAGCTATAGGCTTGATTGATAGGCTTGGCCTATAGGTCTGTCCGATAGGTCTGGTCTATAGGTTTGCTGTCTAGGTCTGTCCTTTAGGTTTGTCTGATAGGTCTGTCCTAGAGGTCTGCCCGATAGGTCTGTCCGATAGGTCTGTCCGCTACGTCCGTCTTATAGGGCTTGTCCTATAGGTCTTTCCGAATTCCTATAGGTCTGCCCTATTGGTCTGTCCTATAGGTCTGTCTGATACATAGGTCTGTCCTATAGGCTTGTCTGATAGGTCTGTCTTGTAGGTCTGTCTTATAGGTCTTATAGGGCTGCGCGATATGTCTGTCCTATAGGTGTGAGAAGTGTCACCTCCTTATAGGTGTGTCCTTTAATGTGTCTTGTATTTTTGTGTGTGTGTGTTGTGTGTGTGGTGTGTTGTCGTAGTACTGTGAATCACTTGTGGAAGCTTGCAGCTGAAGCATGTGAGGATCTCTATGTCGTCCGGGTACTTCGTTGTCTTCAGGGTCTGCACAAGATGCAGCCTACCAAGATTGGCATACAGTGTCAATATTAGCGACAGCAGACAGGAACTGTGCTTGCTAGTTAAATACGAAGTTAAAAGATCGATACCGATAGTTAGGCTCTCCTTTGGAGGTACCTTTATATTGAGTGGCCTCTAAAGTAGATCGCAAATGCCACATAAGAGGTTCCACGACATGACATGTGTGCTGTGTTGTGGTGTGCTGTGCTGTGTTGTGGTGCGCTGTGTTGTGCTGTGTGGTGTGGCTCGGTGTGTTGTGTAGTGGTGTGCTCTGTTGTGTAGTGGTGTGCTGTGTTGTGTAGTGGTGTGCTGTGTTGTGTAGTGGTGTGCTGTGGTGTGCTGTGTTGTGGTGTGCTGTGTTGTGGTGTGGTGTGCTGTGTTGTGTTGTGGTGTGCTGTGTTGTGGTGTGGTGTGCTGTGCTGTGTTGTGGTGTGTTGTGGTGGGCTGTGTTGTGGTGGGTTGTGTTCTGGTGTGCTGTGTTCTGGTGTGCTGTGTTCTGGTGTGCTGTGTTGTGGTGTGGTGTGCTGTGGTGTGCTGTGCTGTGTTGCGGTGTGCTGTGTTGCGGTGTGCTGTGGTGTGCTGTGTTGTGGTGTGCTGTGTTGTGGTGTGCTGTGTTGTGGTGTGCTGTGTTGTGGTGTGCTGTGTTGTGGTGTTCTGTGTTGTGGTGTTCTGTGTTGTGGTGTGCTGTGTTGTGGTGTGCTGTGTTGTGGTGTGCTGTGTTGTGGTGTGCTGTGGTGTGGTGTGGTGTGCCGTGTTGTGGTGTGGTGTGGTGTGGTGTGCCGTGTTGTGGTGTGGTGTGGTGTGGTGTGGTGTGGTGTGGTGTGGTGTGGTGTGGTGTGGTGTGGTGTGGTGTGGTGTGGTGTGGTGTGCCGTGTTGTGGTGTGCTGTATTGTGGTGTGCCGTGTTGTGGTGTGCTGTGGTGTGTTGTGGTGCGCTGTGGTGTGCTGTGTTGTGGTGTGCTGTGTTGTGGTGTGCTGTGCTGTGCTGTGCTGTGTTGTGGTGTGCTGTGTCGTGGTGTGCTGCGTTGTGGTGTGCTGCGTTGTGGTGTGCTGCGTTGTGGTGTGCTGTGTTGTGGTGTGCTGTGTTGTGGTGTGTGGTGTGGCTCGGTTGGGTGTGGTGTGCTTTGTGCTGGGGTTGTTGTTGTGTGTGTTGGGGTTGCGGTTGTGTATGTGTATTGGGGTTGGGGTTGTGTGTGTGGTGGGGTTGCGGTTGTGTGTGTGTTGGGGTTGCGGTTGTGTGTGTGTGTTGGGGTTGGGGTTGTGTTTGTGGTGGGGTTGCGGCTGTGTGTGTGTTGGGGTTGGGGTTGTGTGTGGGTTGCGGTTGTGTGTGGGTTGCGGTTGTGTGTGTGTTGCGGTTGTGTTTGTGTTGGGGTTGGGGTTGTGTGTGTGTGCTTTGTTGTTTTTGGAAGGTACACATATATTCCTCACTAAGTGTAATTACAACACTAAAAATCGAACAAATTGAATTTGAAATCGAAAGAGAGCAAGGTAGAATTTTCTCTCTTTTAGATCATCTTGATCAACACCAAATCAAACAGAAGATGGTCGTTGTGAAATCCAATTCATTGATGAAAATTATCAGATGTATCCGAAGATCGAGGAGCACTTGTCACAACTATTGCGTGTAGCTGTAGCGGTTCGTATATACGAAGCGAAAGTGCGTTGTCCGCGAGACGAAGTTGCATCCTCGATGCGGAGCTTCCTTACAAACTGGCGCAGCTGCTGCGATCGGAAGAGCAAGAGTCAACCGCATAAGGCTGACTCCGAGTAGAAGTCAAGCGGGAGAATGAACATACTCGTACTATCACTTGAAAAAATAATTTAAACTAACGACTTTTTATTTGTCTTCTTCCAATCTTCACGACAAAGTGACTTCATGTTATTGAAAGATGTGCGTAGATTACATTGCGTTGGTAATCGTGTCTTGACAACGTAAAAGCCGGACAGTCCTGATATCGTAAAAACAAGATAGACATACTTGATGCTTGTCGTTTGCGTATGAACATGATTAGTTACGCTGCAGCAAATTGGTGGATATCTTAGATTGTAGACTTCCTGCTGAAGCCTGAAGGCCAAGTGAGTCCTTTGTCTGGTCTCGGAATCCAGCGAAGTGGAAGTTCCTTTGATTTTCTTGTATATAAGAACTGTACATGAATTTACCCTAAGCTGTAACAGACCACACTAAATTCTCCAATTATTTGGAGCCACGGGATCTCGTGGAGCTCGTATTGGAATCGAGGTCGGTGCTGTCGGTGTCGCGTTCTCGGCATTCAAAGACGTGAAGATCGATAAAAAAACTTCAGATATAGAGATTGCTTGATCGACAGACAGACACTCAAAGACATTGTTCTCAGCAATCATTTATCATAGCCAAAATAGATGATCTGTCACTTGATTGTTCTACTTTTAGACAAAATATTCGTGGCGCATACCAGATATGGCTCAATCTCAAATAAACTAAGTACTTGCAGCTCCAACAGGGGGATGCAATGCGCAAGACGCAGCGTAACTTAAAAGCTCCAACGGAGGCGCACAAGACGCGCGCAAGTTAAGAAAAGGACACCTCGCAAGCCGGAAAAAGCATCCGTCTGCACCAGCTGCTCACTATAAGTCGATTCCAGATCATCTCTAACTTCATTCACTAAATCGGTATATTAACTTCATCTATGATCGGAGATACAGATTATAGCTCTGTCAATCGAGACACGTTAAAGGCAGATCGTCGTCGTGATATCATGTGAATATCGATAATATCTGGTCGGTATGAATATTGTATCTCAGCAGACGAGGCAGGTCTAGGATGCATAGATCTCTGGTGCTTTGAAACACAGTGCAGTATCAGATTCGGTTTATTACACGCTTCCCCGAGATTTCCCGTACTGATGCTACCCGAGAAGGACATGCATGTGAGCAACAATCTCCAGAATGTTCCGAGTTCCTCGTCATACATACGCACCTTTTATATACATCCACTAACTATGGAGTAAATCTGAGTTCCGAAAAGTAGCCATGGACGATTCTTTTTCTTATAGTCTTTTTAGGAAGACGAAGCTCTCATTCTTGGATTTCGAAACCTTCATCATTTCGATTTCTTGTATTTTTTGACCGGAAGCCTGCTACCTCGTCTTTGGTCTGAGGGGTAGTTGGCAGATCTCGTCTGCGCCTACCTCACTAGCGTTCCATCTGCTTGGGAGCGTGTACTCGTATGAGACCCACCCGGAGCGTGTACTACGGCCAGACTGCTTCCTACGCAGCCTTCACCATAGACAATGCCGCCCTGCCGCTGTTTGAATCGCAGGTGGAAGTTTTGGGCGAACGATGAAGTCTGGTCTTTTGCTAGTCTGTGGATAAGCCTCGACGTGGTCCGGATCATCTGCCTCTCTCTGTTTTTGGTGCATGCCTGCAAGCACGGGATATTCATGCTGATACTGCTTGTCGCAGTGCTGTCATTCTTATTGGATTGCACCTTTCCGTGGTGGAGTAAACGAGGCTACCTGAACGACGTAGACCGGAGCCGGCGTGGTCTGAACTTCACGCTGGGTGTTCGGTTTCTCCTGGAACTTCTCTACTTATGAACTATAGATTCATCATGAGGTAGTTAAAGTTGTTTTTTTGATGATCTACTTCGCATACTTACTAGATGATTTTATTTATTATATTCCTCTTGTTATCTGAATTTGCTTGACCACAGAGACAGAAGCTTAAGTCAGCGCCACATTTGTAAAAGAGTTCGTTGCGCAAAAAGCCATTGACAATTCTTGTCACGGCCTCCAAGTGATGCAACCTCATGGTTTGCGCGCACCTTGTCTGGACACAGCGCTCGTGCTGTCTGCGATCCGAGTGTCCAGCCGAGTACAATCAGCAGCATTTTCAGCGGCAGAGGTCCCAATGAAGAGTTCACCTTCGACTGCTCAGACGGCACGAGTGTAGACCTCAAGGCGAACAACGGGATGATAAACTTCCCACCGGAAGATCAAGTGCAATGCTACATGGTGCAGCGCGGATTCATCATGTGGTCAGCGCTTCTCTTTCTCGCCACCTACAGCATGCTCAGCCTGGCGTTTATCGTCTTCTCCTTATGACTTACACTCACTTCGAAACACAAAAAACTGTCTGAGTCTACTATAACGAAGGTCATATAATAAGTAATTGAGTTGCGCTGGCATAGTATTGCTAATGGTGCATTGACAGTTCATCTTGATGAACAACTAGTAAACAGGTGTGAAAAATCTTCATCACGCATAGCTATTACTTCAACATGTTGTAACTACCTTGGCATTGGCAAAAATATGGAGGACATCAATAGTACAGAAAGAAACCACTACGATATGGAGAATATACAGAATTAACGACTTGCTCGTCCTACTTTTGCTCAGTTCTAATTTCTGTCATTTTTCTGTCGGAGAACGCTTATTCCATCACCCTGCAGGAGGATTTTGCTTTCAAAGAGCAGCTGGTTGGCACCATCACCAGAGAAGATATCATAGCACGTGAAGCGGAGAATCAGCAGAGTTTTCACGTTCTCATTGACACTGCATACAGTATGGCATATCTCTCGAGGTGTGGAGCTTCATCTGTAATTGAACAACAAGAAGAAACCTAAATTTATACGCAAGGCGACATCCTCCAGCAAGTAGTCGTGGAGGAGGACAAGCGACTGCAGCGACTCCCTCACGATTTGGTAGCAATTATACTTGTAAAGTTCGCTGAACTGCATCATGCAAAAAGTAGAATGCAACATGTACAGAGCGAGCACGAACGTGCCGGGTACAAGCAAGTATCGACATTTTCTAATCCTCGTTTCCTCCGCATGATTCTCGGTCTGTATGGTATCCCGCAGAAGAATCGGGATCTAGTTTTGCGAACGATTGTGGGATTTTTCGGGGTCCATAATCTCACCCTCGGAGACGTGCGAATTGGGAGAACCTTGGCACAAGGCAAGCCCTTCGGTGGAACCCTTCCGACGGCGCATCTTACCAGAGGACAGCCGATATCAAGGTACTGCGCTACTCGTCCCGCCATTTTTTCTCCTTATTTTCGTATCGATCTAGCAGCAACAGGTAGATGTAGTAGTTTAAATGTGGATAACATTGATGACGCTGTAGTTCTGGCTGCTGCTGTTCTGAAGAATTCATTCGCAGAGCGATTACATTTTCGGAATTATCTACAGCGTCACCTCCACTCATCTGCGTACTCAATGCTACCAACAAAATATATCAGGTCTGAAGATTTCGAAGAGATCAACTTTGTGTTGACATTTATCGGTTATGCCTGGTTGGCTTACGGGTACAATGAGGAAGAGGAGCCCGAGCGGCCTCTTGCTGCGTGTTGCCGTGTAATCGGCAGATGGTTCGGTGGTGGAGGTAAAAAGATTGCCCAGAATGTGGACGCTGCGAGCAGGCTCGCGCAGCAAGCTGGCCGTTTAGATGTGCCTGGTGACGATGAGGAGGATGAAGAAAATGTCGACGACGAGAATACTGCAGAAGATTCGACAAGAAGAAGTACAGCATCACGGGTAGTTGACCCCGCGTCTAGAAGAAGTAGTAGAGCATCGGGCACATCGTGGTCTTCAGGAAGTGCGCCTGCCCCACTAGAAGTAGAAGTCCCGAAGCCGAGTCCACCCCCTCCTGGTGTGAGAACAAACTTTGCGACGGGGAGGAAGGGGAAAACCAATACCAAGCGGCATAATCCAAATATGAAACGTGATGAAGAGCAGGATCGAAAGTTCGAACGGGATATGGAAAAATACCTAAAATTGTTGCAGATACGGCAAACACGAATGTTTCGTGTGCAGGAGCAGGCCGACCGCCTCAAGCGGCAAGAAAGGGCACGAGAAAAGCGGCAGCAGCGAGACTTGGACAATAAAACGAAAACACGACTGCTGGAAGAACGCGAACGCATCTTGCAGTCCGAAGTGTCGAGACTCACAAACTCCGGTCGTCTGCTATCATCGACCTCTGCAGCAAGATCCTTTGGCAGATCTACTGGCGCTACTTTGTCCACTTCATCAAATAGAGGCTGGGCAACCTCAGTAGCCATCACACCTTTACAAATCTATTCGCTGGACGATGAGGAAGAAGTCAAAAACGTTTCCTCATCACAAGCAAATTACACCTTAGGACAGCCTGTAGATCAACATCAAACGGGCAAAGTTTGGCGAGGACAGAGACAGGCAGAAGGAGAAGCTCTTTCCGATGAAGAAAACGACAATTATTACGGACAAGAACCGGAATTGTATTTAGATGCAGACGAAGAACCAGCACAGCTTGATATATCGAGTCGGCCGACCAGACCTGCCTCTTGGATATCTCATGCGGATATGGGATCACAGCATCAAGCTCCAAAGCTGTTCTCGCATCGCGGTGAGGACTATGCTCCTGGTCCTCCCCTTGCCCCAGACCCAGCCAGACCACAGCGTGCGCCTCTTGTAAAACAAGATTCCCATCTAGACGAAGATGACAAAATAATGCGTTCGCGGTGGCAGGAATCGATACGAGAACGAGCTAATATCGAAGCAATCAAGATGAGAATAGCCAACTTAGAAAGTAGACTGGATTTTGATCCCAGCGACGAAGAAGAAGTGCTAGAAGGTCCTCCTCTACTGCAACAACAAGAAAGTAATCAACTTCCGGAAATACTGAAACCAGAAGCAGAACCTCCGAGGAACACTCTATCCACAGAGAAGTCGAGTATTCTTCAAGAGGAAAACGATACTGAGCTTGAAGGCGTCATTGACGACACTGACTTGTCTGAGTCCGAACGGGAAGAGATCAGACATGCGATAGATGAACAGGAAGGAGATGACGCTGCGAAAACGCTGACGAGAGGAGATACAACAAGACAACAATCCGAGGACGCGCGAGCGACCTCGGAAGACATCTCGAAGCAACCAGCGAAGACTTCCGCCAGTGACTTTTTTGATAAGAATATTTCGGAAACGGATGCGGAGCGGGAGCAAAGTTTCAGGTCGGCTCCATTCGCTTACTCATCCAAACGAGCGTCCAGCCATCGCGTATCGGACGGCGTGGGAGGAGCGCGCGGCCCTTCTGGTCGAACTCGAAGGAGGACTAGTTCAACATCTTCTCGTAGTGCTGCGCTGAGCTATCCCGCTTCCTCCTCGCTAGGCAGTCTTGCCTTAGATGACGATTTGTGCATCGAGCTCTTGCACGTAGACACAACACCCATCGGCGGAGAGCGCGGGGTCTATTTTGTAGTGCTGGATCACTTCACGCGCACCCTAGTTCTAGGTTTTCGGGGCACCGTGGACATCAATGACTGGATCACGAATACGTCCTTGGCGATGGAAAAGATAGCCCCGGACGCAGACCCGGACGAGACTATCCACTCAGGGATGCTGGCCTGCGCCACAAGCACCCTAAAGGAACTCGAAGAGAAGCTCGACTTCCCGGACTTTCTACCTGAGGATTACGGTATCGTCTGCGTGGGTCACAGCCTGGGTGCCGGGAACAGCGCTGCAATGGGCTTTCTTCTGGCTCGCCGCTACCCGGAACTCCTCATGGCTAAGCGCCTCAAGTGTCTCTTAGTCGCGCCGCCTGGGACTGTTTGTTCTCTGCGATTAGCGCGTGAGAGCGAGAAGTTCATGGTCAGCATCGTGAACGACTTGGATGGAGTTTGTCGCGCGCGCCCTTTGATGATGGTCGCATTCCGGAATCACTACCTGCAACTTTTGAATGACGGGAAGCTCTCAAAACATGACATCAGCCAGCTAGGAGACGTGATGGAAGCTGTCGAGAAGAAAGCTTCAGCACCCGATGGAGCAGCTGCAGGTCGTGTAGTAGTAAATGAGTCAGATACAGCTGGACGAGACGCGGCAGGTGAACGTGGAGGTCCTCGTGAAGAAGTTGACGAAAATTATGCGCACCTACAAGCTGGCCGTCGTGGTCGTCCTGAAGGTAGCGTATCGGAACCATCAAGGGTTCCGCTAGCGGCTCCAAAAGCAGGCAGTATTCCTCGTGATGGGCGCTCCTCAAGGCGCGGCTCGCGGTCCGGGGATATTGAAATGAGCAATCCTGATGCAGGACAAGAGGGTGGTAATCGTGGCCGCAGTGCGCGGGAGCTGCCTCCTACAAGAGAGACCGCACATCAGGGCGCGCGACCTCTTGCGCAAAGTCCGACCAACTCTTCAAGAAAAAATGACAAGGGCTTCAAAACTGTTACACGATTGAAAGCGCGCCTGTGGGACCTATGGCACCGCGCCAACATGAGCGGCTACCATCCTATGTCATCTTTCAACGTTTTAGCAAGTCGTCAGTTTGCAGCAGCCGCTTTAGAGGAGAGACACAGGCAGTATTTAAACCCTTCCACTCCTGCTCCTGGTGGGCAGGAACTTCTTTCAGATGGAAGACAAAGGAGTGGCACTAGCGGAAGAGGCGCCGGGAGCGGTAAAACCGACGAACGACGTGCTGCAAATTGTGCTCCAACTTCGTTCCCGTCTAGTGGTTCAGCACTTTCCTCTTCGTCTACATCGAATCCTTTTCCAGCTGAAGCCTGCATTTCAATGTTGACGCCAAGTGAGGTTGTCGACGAGATACGCAGTGTTTTGGAACCCGGAGATATGGTCGTCGTGGCCGTCGAACAGGCGTCGGTCGAGCGCGTAGACGCTGCGTCTTTCAAGCTGCAGCGCGGGATGGAGGGCGTCGTCCTGAACGCGCGCGGCTTGAAAGGTTGCTGGCTCGACTTTTCAGAGGCTGTCGAAGAGCAGGCTTTCTTGAGAGGAACACATACACAAGGGCTCGGACCTGGAACTTCACCAGCACAGACCACGGGTACGGGGAGCGGGGGGTCGCTGAATCCGGCCGAACGCGTGGAGCATCGAGTCTACGTCAGTTGGGAAGATTTGATTCTGCACTTCCATTTCGTGTTTTTCAGCATGGAAAAGGAATCCGCTCTGGGCTTGGGAAACAGTCACGCGGGACGTAGCGGCCGCTACAACTCTCGCCGGGGGATGCAGTCGACGACGAAGAGCGGACGAATGATTTCTGCTCCAGAAACAGTGGTATGGGCAGTTCGCAGAATCAGAGCAGCAGCGCATGCGAGGATGAGTTCTCGCGTCAGCAACAGCTCCTCTGGGGGCGCCTCGCGCGATATTCTTCCCATTACACCGGCACACGCAACGGGCAAGAAACTCACGAAAAGACAAGACAGCAATTTACTCCTACCTCCTGGTGGGGTAGACGCTAGCATAACAACAGGTGGCAGGCCTGACGACCGCGTGCTCCACGCCGAAAGAAGAGCGATCTCGCCGTTCATTGAGCGGACTACCACTGGCCTTAGAGGACCAAGTTCAAGAAGACCAGTCAAGGCATCGCCTAGTAGAGGGGCCGAGGACGGTCGACTAAAATATGGACAGATCTTCTTAGACAAGCTGGTAGAGCGAGTTCACGGAAGCGGATATGTTGCGGCTGGAGAGCGAGGGGGCCCTGCAAAAGGCGAAGCCAAATACGATCCAGCTCGCTTGTCTGGTGCAACAACTGGAAGCTGGGGCACTGACAGCACGACTGAATCGATCTTGTTTCACACAGCATTAGCAGATCCGAGAGCAACAGCGCTTGGACAAGACGATGCTGCTCGCATTTCGACGAATGCGCGAGCCGAGCCTTTGCTAGCCTCTTTTAACCGGAATAATTCTAGGCAGCAAGAAGAAATCGAGCAGTTTCCCTCATTCACAGGTGGAGGAAATTTGGTGAATGCGCAGCTTGAAGAAGACTCGCTGACGCGGCCACACCTGAAAGAGCGAGTGGTGATGGAAGACCCATTTTTGTCAGGTGGAAACGGTGATACATGGACACCGGGAAAGCTTTTGCATGTGCGCCGCCGACGCACACCAGAAGAGAATGTAGCCTTAATCCGTGCTGCTGGAAACGATTTTGAGCCGCTGCTCTGTCGCCTGATCGGCACAAGTGGAGGCCAAGAAGTAGTCGCTGGAACAAGTGCGGCCGATCCGTCCCAGACTCAAGGAGATCAGGTTGCTCAAGAAGGACGTGGAAACAGTTTTGGTGGTGGTCCGTTGAATGCAAGCGGTGGTGGGGATCTTTCTATTCCCCAACAGACTAACCCGATGCTCACATTCGTCGATACAGGCGATCCGGAACTTGTTCAACGGCGGATACTCCGAGAAGCTGCGCAAGCTCGCGGCATAGCGCCAAAACCTGTGACGCCCTTCCGCGCAACGAACACGGGCGCCGTAACGGGAACCTTCGCAACGCGGCAGTCCTCTGCCATTGACCGCAAGGTAGGTGGGGTGGTGCGAAGGTTTGCAGAAGGCGAGGCAATTGAAATGATAGAAGCCTCCGCGATTGAGAGTAGGGCCAGCAGTGTCGATCACGATCCTATACTTCCGTCTGCCCCTCCTGCGATATCCCCCAACAAAAGAGCGCCCCCTAAAAGAAGCACAAGGAACGCGCCAGTTGCGTTGCCGCTTTCTTCTCGAGCTTTTTCTCAACAAAATAGGAACGCCAACGCGTCAGATGCTGTAAGATTTGAACTACCCGATGCGCCCATCTTGCCCGTCCGAAAAGACTCTTCCCAAGCACAAAGACGCGTTCGAGTTAAAGAGCCTGATCCAAAAGAAACTTATCTTTTTTACGGTGAAGAGCGAACTAGACCAAGCGATAACGAGTCCCCAGAGGACCGTTCTAACGCGGGCTCGACAGGTTCTAGAGGAGTATCTACGGGCGGCCCGGCAGACGGCGGGACCGGAAGCAGCCCTCTCAGAAGTAGCCGCCGCGGTCTCTCTGGAAGGCGATTGCGCCAGGAACGTAGAAATCAGCTGCAAGAAGAACTGCGCAACGCTAGGCCTAGGCGTCCAGAGGCCTCGGGAAAAGATGAGAATGAGTCGAATTTTGGTGACGAGGCGCAGGATGACATAGCTGGCGCAGATACAACTCCTTCCTCACGACAGCAGGAACTGCGGGAGCGCACACCATACGCCTCCTCGACACCGTCATCAAGTGTCAGTAAAGCAGGGTCACCGTCGAGGCGAAGCTACAACACTTCCTCCACGCAGCGCTCTCGAGGTCAGAGAGCGTCTTCGGATACAATGCAGAGAGATACCGGCGACCTGTTCAGTCTAGCGACGGACTTTTCCTTCATCGAGCACAGACCCGAAGACATGTATGCGTACAATCCGTACAAATACGATGACGATCCGCGAAACCGTGAAGCCTTCCAGCATATGGACACGTATTACCATTTGAACCAGGCAGGAACGGGTAGAAGGCGCTCGAATTCTATGGAGACTGAACGATCGCAGAGTTCTTTTGGTGCTTTTCCGACAAGGGATATTCAAGTAGATGCTCCTGGTCGGTACACGACAAGCGATACTTCTAGGTCATATTCACCTGGTCGGCGTCCGACACGGTTTGCGTCTAGTACAGGTCCTCGTATTACGCCTTCCGGTCGGCGCACGGTGGCTACTTCTTCGTTGCGCGGCTATAATCTTCGAAGAGCGAACGCCGATCACAATGAAGAAATACTCGCCGGCTTTCGTGCTGAGCAAGAACAGTATGACGTCTTAGGCGGTGGCGGAGCCTGCAATTGGCTCGGCCGACTCTTCCTGGGTGATGACGAGCATGCAGTCGCGAACTTCAAGGACGCAAACGAGCCTGACACCTGTCGGTTACGTGTTTCGGATTCCAAAATTGCAAGATTCATGATCGACGAAAGCTGGCATCTCTTGAACGAGTTAACTCTGGACCATCGACGGGCGGAAGAGATGGAACGTGAGCGGAATAGCAGGGAGCAAATGGCGGCCTTAAGCACCTCTATAGCTGACAGATCGGCGAGTGGCGGAACCAGGCCAGGAGTCGGCTCGTCAGGTGGGGTGATGAACTTCCTGTACGGTAGAGCGACGGCCACTACAGCTGCGCTTTTTGGTTTGGGGGTACCTGTTGCTCGTGACGCAAACCAGGCCTTTCCCCTGCATGACTTACTGCCCAACATGAGGATGGGCGGGGAGCCTTTACCTGAGGGCAGCATGAGGGATTTTGCAAGCAGAAAGATTCAGATGTCCTCTCCTGGTATAAATCGGGGCGAAGATTATATAACACGCCCAGCGACTACTGTTCGGGTTACGACGCGGATGCAGGCTGGTGCCCACGCAGTGGATGAGGCGATCCTCGCGCAACTGGACCGTCTGGGAGACCAATCGCGATCGGCACAAGTTCGCGCTAGCCGCCGAAGTATGAACGCTGTTAACGGTGGAAGCATGTTTACAAACATGCTGGAGCCACATCCCGAGCCTCGATTTCTCTCTGTGCATGAGAACGCACTAGGAAGCGTTGTCTCTTCAGCACCTGCTCTTGGTCCTACTTCTTCTAGCTACAGTAACGCGGGAGAGGATGGAAATCCAAATCCGTCATCTTCACGAGCCCGAGGGAACAGTAGACTAGGCAGTAGACAACTGCTTCCGTCTTCCTCTCGAGGTCTTTCTGGTGGTGCGGATATCGAAATGACTGAGCCCGGGAACTACACCTCGTCGAGAAATCGTCTAGCCGTGCCTCCAATAACAGCAGCGGCGTCTAAGCAGGAGAGGAGGCCCGCGGACGATGCCGAGGAAGACGTGTTTCAAATCGATGGGGAAGGCAATGTCCTTAGTGTGACGAGAAGACGAACAACGAGTCAATTAGACCTTCCAGTAAACCTCTCAAGCTCAGCCCAATTTATTTCCCAAGAGGAGACAGATGCAGCGGTGGAACCTACTCCTACTATGAGAATGGACCGCCAGACTGGTCGGCCATCAACAGCGACGACTGTGTGTGAGAATCAATACGTCAAGGAAGAGCGCGAGTGGTATGGTGTGTGGATCACGCGCGATGAGTTGAATTTCACGCATAATGCTCCCGAAGTCTTCACCGATCACGGTCAGCATGCGTATGAAGAGTCTCTGCGTTACATTTTCAGGATGTTTTTCGCCGAACAAGAGCTACAAATGCTAGACGAAGGGCGTGGGCCTCGTCACGGCGGGAAATCTAACGTCCCAAAAAGTGTCGTACAATCACCTGCAAATGAGGCGGTGGACTTCGACGTGGAACACAAACATAACATGTTCTACGAGCGTATCCTTTCCCCGAATGCGGATATGACAAGGTTTGCGGAAGAAATTGGAGCTGATCGAGAGCAGCACCAAGAACAACGTGGAGACCAACCGAAAAAAGAACAAACGCGTGCAACTAAACCTAGACGGACCCAGAAAGCTGATGATAACAATGGCTGGTCGTCTTCTAGCTCGAACACAGAAAACGAATACCACCCACATGTGTTTGATTTCACTCGGCAAGGTTCGCATGTTGCGGATTCTGGTGGTGCTTCCCCTTCGCGTCGGAGCGACATGGAAATCGATTTGCCAAGAGTGCGGAAGGCTGCGGAAGATACGAGGAGCTTGAAAGCCAGACCTAAGCCCGAAGTTTCCTCACATCGGAGAAAGACCGGCCATGTCTATTTCTAAGAAACAATATGCCCATATCCATATGCTCTCTTTCTCTCAGAACTATGTGGAACTGGAAGCAAAAAAACGAGAAGCACAAACATCACTGCTTGTGGTAGTTGTAGTTCCCTTTAATTTCTGATTATCATGCTCAGTCATTCGTTTCTTTGTCATGTCTGGCAGCACTTCGCAGGCACTGCAGAGCGCGTGTTGTGAAAGTGTTCACTTCTTTGAGTCAGTCTGACACTACTTAATCGCGCTTGAAGGAAAGTCTTTGTTGTGCGCAATCTTTTGACGCATCGTAAGTTGACTAGCTCTCTGTATAAATGGTAGTACGTATCTACTTCTACCTATTCTAGAAGCAAGGAGCGTCCGAGAGCTGGTCCATGCTACACCTGTTGAGGTGAGCTGCTGAGTATGTTTCTGCGTAAGTATCTTTAATGTTTAAGCAAATTGACAGAGGCCTCATTAGCCCGAGACAACTGGACGGTCGCAGCGGAACTAGGATTGTATACTTCTTGTGTGGAGACCGACGAGTAAAAAAAGATCAACGGTAAGACGAATCAAATTTTCGCTTGATGTGAGAGATAAATTACAGGATCGATTAATACAACTGGAAAGCCTCAACCTTTCTACTTCTGCAAGAATGACGTTGTGGGGCGGCCTTTCCTCTGGTTTTAAGAATCTGCAAGATCTTGCGCAGGAAACGCAAACGAAACTTCAAGGTTCCATAGCAGCACAATTGAACAATGACGAGTTTCCGGTCCCAGAGATGCGGAGGTGCTCTGAACTTAACTACCTCGACGTCGACTGGCATCACGGGAATTATAAATGAAAGACTTTTATTCTTCGAGCACACCCTATAATTTTAATTTTGAATTATCTAGTATTTGATCTACATCAATCAGGACCATTGGGCCCAAGTAGTCAATGCCCAATTAGTTGGGAGTCTCAATCTGATCAACCCTATGCAACGACCAAGGGTTCTTCTACTTCTTCAAATCTCTTACTCTAACTTTTCTGTCACACACACACACATTACGCAGGGCCAACGGTTCCATCGGGAGCAACAGCCAGGGGTATACGGGTAAGGCAGAGGATGACGAGGACAAGGCCCTCAACGCTTACATTCGGACCCAGTACCAAGCTCAAAATCGCAGTCGAGCGGGCAGCGCAGGAAGCAATATCTCAGGCGGGAGCATTCCTTCCGGTAGCAGCAACGCGACTCCAGCAACTGCGTCCTTCCCATCAGTTTCGTCGACCGGAAATGGGCTCCCATCGAGTGCTAATATGCCTGTTGATGTAACAGGAGGAAGGGCCGTGGCAAATAGCAACATGCACCTTCAAGCCGGTACTAACCGAGCGGGCAGTGTTTTGCCACCAACTCCACAGCAGACAAATTTGGAATTGTTTCCGCCGCCGCCTGCACCTCCGCCACCGCTGCCTGCTCCAGGAGGAGGTGGGACCACACCGGGTACTGTTGGCGCAGTGAATCGTCTCACTGGCTTGCCCGTTTTGCCTGCGGGAAGTGCGGAAATGACGGCAGGTAGCGCTTCATCTACTTCGACATCAATCGATGGCCCGAAGAAGAGTCCAGCAAGAGAGCTATTTGGAGCAAGGCCAGGGCAGCAACAACGCAAACCTCCAAGCAGCATGCCGTCCCTCCTGGCCACGATGTCAGTTGCATCGCCGATAGACACCCGCACAGCAATCACGACTACCGCTCAGTCGGGAATCATGACACAGCCGCTACCGCCTCCACCCGCAGCAGGTGGCTCTTCAACGTCGTCAGCAGTACCTTTCACACCGCAGTTTGAAGGCGACGCAGCAGTCAAAAAAACCACAAGTATGACACCATCGTTAGCTTCAGCGCAAAGCTACACAACACCAACACACGACGGGATTCCAGAAACGAGTTGCCCACCGAAGCAGAGAGAATCGGTTACGATACCTCCATCCGCCGCAACGTCGTCATCGTCGCAGTCGCCTGGACCAGGTGTTGCCATGGCATCTAGTGCAGTGCCAGCAGCATCATCGATGGGCGTAATATCTGTACCTACTAGTACTACAACTTCTTCCATAGGGCTGGGAGGTCCTCCTCCAATAGGAGTAGACTTAACACCCTCTCTCAGCGACAATATGAATGTCCTTCATCAAATATCTGGAGTACCAGGATCTACAATAGTGACGCCTTCTTCCATACCTCCAGCTCCACCTCTTGGCACTTCTGCACCTGCTGAAGCCCCTCAACAATCCGCTACTTCTAGTACAACAATCCCGATGGTATCTTCGGCTGATTTAGAGGGCGAGGGATTCTCCTTACCATCGCTTCTAGGCGCAGCAGGTGGCGATGCTAGTGCTGCCATGAACCTCATGTTTCTCCAGCAGCAACTTCGCGAGACGCAAAAGCAGATACGCGTGAAAGACCAACGCATTCAACAACTTGATTATGATGATGAAACATCTACTGTTCTAGATGTTATATCTCGTGTGTTAGTGCTTGAGTTTGTGGGAGCACTCATGCGATGAGATGTATACTTCGAGACAGGACGGTGATAAAAGTCTATCAGTCAGATACAGACTTTTTCGTGTGTGACAATGTTGTCCGCGTCAACAAGAACCAGTGCTGATACTATTCGTTCGATTTTTTGTACTTATCTGATTCTAAGACTCGCAACAGAATCAGCTATTTCAAGAGCAGCTTCAGCAGACGAGTCAGTTGCAGGCGCAACTTCAGGCCCGGTTTCGTGAGACGGAAGGCCAGCTGAGGCAAGCCAAAGAGCAGGCGACTCAGCAGGAGACTGCAGCAGCAGCGGCGGGCGCATCGTCAGGTGCACAAGACGCACAGAAAAGCCGACAGGAAGCAGACGAGCTGAAGCTAGCGCTTGAAGCATTTCGCACGCAAGTGGAGGAGGAGAGAAAAGAAACTCAGAAACAGGTACTCATTGATCATGTCTTCACTATTATACTGTTAGTGAGACGAGCATGGGATTAAACCGAGATGTATTTGCAACTGCACCTTTTTATAGTGCCTCGTCCATTCAAAGAGGAAGAGCCCAATGCCCAAAGCGCCTCTACTTATATATATTTATTTCTAATATAGAACATCTCAGCTTCGCGGGTACGAGACGAGCAATCAGCAGCTGCAAAATCGACTTGACCGGCAGCAGCAGTTATGATGAAGATGTCGTGTTCATCAGCTAATACTGACTTCATACGGAAGTAGTCGTAGTCCTTTTAACATCTAGTATATGTGCCACAAGCACATCACTGACATTGAAATATTACAAGCCCCGAGTTCGAGATTATGACTCAAATAGAATATTTTTACGAGGCTGGCGGGTACCCGTTAGAGGACTTTTCCTCTTGAAATTTCAGTGCGCTCTTTGTCAGTTTCTTTTTGTGTCTTTACGAAACGTCCTACTTCACGACTACTACTTTTTCATTCTTCAAAATGCGCGATCTGGAGACGAACTACGCTCAAGCGTCTGCGCCATTACAAAAGCGCGTCGCAGAACTAGAGGCCACTGCAAAGGGCAACACCTACGATCTGCAGCGCACGATCGACGAACTCAACACAGATGTCACGTTCGAGAGAGAAAAAACAGAAGCCATGGCGAAAGTACCCATCACATTAATGCTTTTCGCTTGTGAATGACTCTTATTATACCTAGAAGTAGAAGAAGTAGAGGTAAAACAAAAGAAATTGCATGGATATGCGTCAGATATTCCACGCTTGAACGACGACTTGATGACCCATCAGATAGACGTTCCAATTTTCTGAAAGAAATCAGAAAATACTCTACTTGTTGCTCAATCTTTCTATCAGGAAATGCAGCACTGGCGACAGCAGCTTTCAGAGTCGCACGCCCTTGTGGCTGAGCGCGAAGAAGAGGTTCGGAGCCTCAAGAATTCGGACCGGCTCGAAATTCAAACACTAAAACGTGCTCTCGCACAGCTACAAAAGCAGGTCGCCGCGGCAGCGGAACAGAACACGACGACGATCAGTACGTCGTCAAAGCAATCATCGGTCGAAGCAGAAGCGCATCCTCACGAACAGGCTATCTTGGAGAAAAATGGTGGCGAGCAAAGAACCGAATTAGCAGTACTAGAGGGTGAGGGACTAGCGGCTCAACAACCGCAAGAAGCTAGTGGATCCTCGTCGACAGCCACAGGATCAACGTCCACGCCAGACCAAGCGAATCGGCCAGAGGGAGCAATAGACGAAGCTACAACCCCTGCGGCTCTTGGACTTGGCGCAGTAGAGAACGACCAGCTTACTACAACTAAGTATAACAGCGTGTCGATGGATAATGTAGTTAACGATAATGATAATTTAGAAGTAGATCTCAGTCCATCTGACGCGCAGTGTATACGCAGACAAAACGCACACTTAAAAAGCGAATTGCAAAGGCTGCGAGACGAGCTTATGCGAAGGAGAACTGCTACACCTGCAAGATCCAGTGCCGACCACCCAACAGGGGCTTCAAAAAATGGCGATTTCGCACCACCTGCTCGTGGCGACACTAGAAATGCCGAAAAAAGTGCAGGCGCAGGAGATTTTCAAATCGCCAGCAATAGCAACAGTACAACCACTGCGACCATGCATTCTTCAAAAGACGTGCAGCACAGCAGTACTAGAAGTAATTCCAAAGAGCAGCGAGTTTTGGGGACACCTGCTCCAAATCGAAGTAAAAACACTCCCTTGCAACTTCCCCTTGGAGACGCATCAACCCCAGGAAGCGGATCTGTTTTGGGTACCACCTCCGAGCAGCTTCTAGCTCCCGCAGAGCGGGAAACAGCACTCGTGGATAGTTGGTTCCAACAGGATGCGATCAATCTGACAGTGGAAAACGATCGCCTGCGAGCAGACTACCAAGGACTGCAGTCACGCTTCGAAAAAGCTTTGCAAGTGATTGGGCGTCTGCAAGAAGAAATCGAAAAAACGAAAAGATGACTGATTTCATTCGTTTTATGTACCATGGTGGAAGATTAATGATTTAGATAACGCTCCGTATCCAAGTCCGATGATCATCAAGATGTAGATTGTGTACGCGATTTACATTTAACTCTACTTCTGTCACAAAATTTTGTGCGTTATGTATCTATCAATTTTATCGCCTTATGGTTATGAACACTCAATGTAAAAGCGATGTTTACTACTGTACTATCCACCTCCAGAATCCTGTCGTGTTGCTTCATCAATTTGCAATAAAAGTCGTGCTTCTACTCATGAAGATGTAAGCCATTCTCAAAAAGAATAATCCGTCAGTTGTGTTTCGTTTTTCCACTTTTCCGACATCACAGCGTGCAATATTTCGAACACCAATGCATGCAGTACAACTACATTTACCATATCATTTATTTTGATATGGTGAAAGTGAAATCTGTTTCGAACCGCACACAGCGACCAAAGGGGAGCGTGTGAAGGTATACCTTCGGAAATACATCCGTTTCACGTCATGCGTATAAAGAAAGAGCAGAAGTGTTGTATTTCGATGCTCACTGACATGTAAGATCCACCTAGTAGATAAGATGCGAAGATCCTAGAAGATGCATTGCTGCTCAAATTTTGTTACTTCTTTCCAACTCATGTTTCTGATGCTCCGACCGTTTCTTTGGATTTGTTTTTTTTGAAGTCATGTACACGGACCCAACAAGAAAAAGGGCAGTCGCGGTTCAGGCTTTAATCGTTACACAAACAAAACGACATTGTCGTTGTCGTGCTTGATCGAACGACGCCTCGATGAAACTTTATTTACTATTACTTTGTTATTGTTTGTTAAAAAATGAAACTATGAATATCTACGTATAAATCAATGTAACCGTGTCTTGTCAGTGTGTAAAAGTACAACTTCGAAAATTTGTTTCGGCGTAGGTCCAAAATGGCTCCTACCGGTGCTGGCAGTGCTCCACCTAAAAAGGTGTGGGACCTGACTGTCATTCTTTGTACCATTGGTTTTATCGTATTTGGTGTTGTCATCCAGTTCAGTGCCTTTGGTGTGTATAATATCGCGACGGTTCCGGGACCTATCGGCCCAGACGGACGTCCAGAAACGCAACGATATGGGGCGTGGATGATCGTCGCTGCTCTAGCGATGTTTTCGGAGGGAAGTTATGAACTGAAATAGTGCTGCTTCGGAAGATCTATATATTAGTGTTTGTGATCGTGATTCGTTTCTTGACCGTGTTAGTAGCTGCTGGCTCAATCTGTAAGTATCATCTAGAAGCTGTAGATGATAGCTAAAAACTCCTGACTTCTAATCTGCTCTCCTCTGGCAGTACCCATTAAGCATGTGGGCGTGCCAGGGCTGTTCATCAAAGTCAAAGGATTTATCATCCGGGAATGCCAAGGTAGTTGCAGAGACCAATGGAGGAGGTGAGACTTTTGAGAATAATACGCTGGATAAAGCCGGCAAGAACAAGGAAAACAAGAATGGAGATACTATTGTTGAGGAAGAGTCCCTTCTTTTAGAAGCCAATGACGCTAATGCAGTGGAAAAGACATTACTTCAGCATAAGGATGGAACGAAGAAGAAACTACACTTGAAGAAGGCATCAAGGGAAGCGGAAAGTTCGGAGGAGGAAGAGGGCCTCGTTCAAAAGGACAAATTGGAGATAGAAGATCCTGCAGATGCAGATGACATAGAGGAAGTGGAGGAATCGGAAAAACCCCGGTCGCCGTGGAGTAGAGCTCTGTTTATGTTCATGATTTCAGGGGCATTTGACTTTATCGGATGCATAGGTACCCTGACGTCAAGCACCGCAATCGACCCAAATGTCAACCAAATGTGCCGCGGAACGAGGATAGCGTAAGAATACAGATCACCAGACTTGTTCTTACTGTTTTCGCAACTACTTCATGTTCTAGTTGAACTTCAATCGAAAATCTATTCAGGCATTCCATTCGATTTCGCGAAAATGCAAAACATGTTACCGGAAGTCCTTAAGAATATGAGAAGTTTTTTGTTGCTATTCTCCCCTCTTCGCAAAGACCTCGTCTGCTTCCATTTCAACATTACAGGTTCATCGGAATTCTGGGTTGGGTGTTTCTCGGAAAGAGGTTGACGCGCAATCAGTTTATCGGTATGGGATTTGCGCTTGTAGGGATCGTAGCGCTCAGCCTCGGGTGTATCGTCTGGCCGAATCCACACAAGCCTCCGCCGACGATGACACGGGGCCTTGCTGAGATTAAGAGTTTCCACATTGTATCGTGCAATAACATCCCACTGACTCTTTTCCTACTAAGAAGAGATACCAGCGAAGTTCTCAAGAATGCAATGTCCATATCTCTAACGAGAGGATGGGCCTCAAAAAATCCGCAATCGGAATCATCCTCGCGATAGCTGGAAACTTTTTTGGTAGCATCCAATTCGTCATCCAGGCGGAGTTTCTCCAACGGCAAAAGCATGTTCCTGTTATCCTAGCGGTTGGCATGGAGGGATTCACTGGCTTCCTATGTTTCGCAGGCCTGTTGCTGCCTGTCTTGTTCATTTTTGGTCAATCCGGAACCAGGCTTGTAGAGGACGGCGCTAACAGCGTGCCACAAGTCGCAGGGCCCGGGATTAGTATTAAGGCTGGCTTCATTTTCAATACCATGTTGGTATCAAACCTGCATCCTTCTTGTGTGAAGAGCAATGCATAGAAGCGCAGTGCGCTCTTCGATAAATCCTTCGCTTCCAAGAGAAGAATCACCCTGGCCAGGACATACTCTCTAAGATTGACACAACCGATTCGCCAACGACAGCAAGTCTATCTGCCAATAGAATAAACTCTTCGTTCCTCGAAAGCCAGACAGTCTCAGCCTCTCGGAGTTCGGCCTGTGGTACAGATGGACTGTTATGAGCGGGAATACTTTACCGCATATGATTATAATACAGTACAGTTTATAGACGGTGGGAAGGTGGGCGACGCTGGTCCGCTGGGCGGCCACGCTTGGCACGGTGGGCGGACCCTTGGCACACATGGGGGACACGCTGGGCGCGTATAGCGTTGCCCCGCTGCTTCCGCCATTGTACAAGGCCGCAGTCGAGGGCGGCGCGGCGCTGTGCTCTTTTGCGGAGTGGCCACGCTCTCGCTGCTTGCGGTGCTTCGCTGCTGTATGCAGTGCCGTCTGGGTGTGTAGAGTGCGGCGCAGCGCTGCAGCGTGCCTCAGTGCTCTGCTGCAATGTGCGGCCAGTGCTGCTGAGGGATATCCCCAGGCGGGCCAGTAGGTGGGCGCCCCGATTCGTATGCAGCTTGCTGCGGATCCAGGGCGCGCGCGCATACTCTGCCGGGTGGCTTCAGAAATGGGCGCCTGAAGGGCGCCCTGATTTTTGGCCCCAAGTCTCACGGTGGGCGACATCTTTCGCAGAAGGCCCACTTTTGGGCGGCCCAGCGTGCCAAGCGTGCCCACCGATCCTGGAGAGGGAATAAAGCTGCCTAATATCTGCCTATTTATATTGTAGTCGATTGCCCACGCCTCAACCTCAAGGTAATGCCAAGAATACGAATAGTTATAGTTCTTATAGAAATAGTTCCTACAGTGCAGCATGGCTCGTGGATAATGGCGACCAGGAGCGAAGCAGGCACACACTTCGAGCGTGGGGCGGCCCCGGTCGCAGCGCTGACGGGGCCAGGAACGTTCAGCCCCGATCTGCTCAGCAAGAGGGAGGCAAAAGCAAAACCTTCGCCGTTTTCACTTAGATGCAGCTGCGCGGCGTGAAAGCGGCCAGGGCGGACCCCGTCCGCACTTCTCAGAGGAAACGGGGCGCGTATTATCCTATGGCCGCCCCAGAACTGCCAAACTGCTTAGCTTCGTGCTTGCTAGACGTGTCGCGTCACGGGTAAAGGACTTTAGTCATTGAAGAGATGGCGACAGCCGCGCCTCGAGAGTTTCTGCGGGTGTAGGGCTACAAAATGCCGCGACTTACGTCTGCCGCGGCGGCAGCGGTTGCTCAGCGAAGTACTTGAGCGCGCGAAGCGCGTGCAGCTTGATGCGGCTGCTTCGTCCTCTTGGTCCTGAGCTGGAAGGAAAAGCGCGGCCCTTTGAGAGGTGGTTAGACGCACACGCTGGCGCCTGCGTGGGTGCTTCCGCATGTCTTCAGCCAGCTGCTACGCATTGGCACCCCAGTCATGCGTGGAAGACTGTGAGGACGTTAGGAGGCCAAGGACGCAGCCCCCTACTATTGGCGTGGCGGTCGTGTGATCATGATGAACCGCCTGAGGAGCTTCGGGCGGCACCCTATTGCGCGGACGGTGTCACGCAGTGAAACCCCGACCGAAGCGAAGCGCGTCGGCTGCTGTTGCTTGCAGGTGCGTGGCAACTTTGAGGGAATGGGAGAGCGCTGCGGCTGAGGGTATCAAACCTTCGCACGCTCATGGGTGGCCGTTGCCTTTGCTTCGTGTGTTCGACTAAAGTGAAGGCGTGCGAAGTGTTCCGCTTGGTGCTCATGCTCTCCCAAACGGATACAATTCAGGCGGGGCGTGCCGGTGGAAAGTCAGCCCCGTAGGTTCTTGAAAGGGAGAACGTGAACAGTTGCCCAAGAAAGCAGCCCCGACATGGCTGGCTGGAACCCGCGCGCATTGGCTGCGCGCCTTCGGTGGGGGCGGCCCCTGGCTTTGCGTGTGCTTCGCTGGGGTTGGCTCTGCCTGGGGCGTATCTAATCCGCCCGCTGAAGTGGGGGAGGGTGGAGCGGGGTGCCGCCCTTGTATTCTTATAAGAAGTATAGCGGTATAGGATCATACATATATATTTTGAAGCTATGGGTATGGAGTAGAGCGAGGCGGGGAATTAGCTTGCTGATATGCCATACCCATAGCCTTCTCACAACCGCAACTATTACACATAAATACACACGGGGGCTCCTGCCTTACCTTTTTCCCAAAGAAATAGTGTGGCTATTGCTATAGAAGAGTAAACTAAAACTACGAAGATAAGCTCGGGTCATTGTCGTGAGTATATCCTCTAACTTGACTTACTGAGGGGTCTGGAAGATGTCCTGCTACTGGTCAGAGAATGGAAGCGTATGACCATTTTCCGGCTATAGCGCTGCAAAAGCGCATTTTCCTACAAGGATGGAGCCAACTTCTACAAAGTCGATCGCTCCAGTTCGCTTTTTTCATGTATTTTGCATTCAACGGCGTTTGCTGCGCGGCCGGATCTGTCATAGGAAAAAGACTTGAGGCGGCCGGACGCTCCATTTTAGGTATTTTATACTTCTAATTCGATGGATTGGGTCAAGGGTCGTGGAGCAACAGAATGAAACTACGATCTATTGATCTATGCATAGACTGGCTTTGAATAATGCATTTCTCTTTTTACGCCGGGAAGAACATCCCTTTTTCATTGTGAGATATGCGAAGTCATTTGTTTGAGAAAGTAATACATAGACTGCATTTGCAGTCGTGCACTTTCCGCAAAATACCGTCAGAATGCGTGCGGATTTGCGTAGTATGGGTAGTCGAGATTTTTGTCTGGTATCTTTAAGGCCATAATTTTTCAGTCGAACAGACAACATTGAACAACATGAACATTATTACTATTAGATACATAGATATATTATATACTCTTGGTCTTGTGTGCCCGTCGTTGTGCATCCGGTATTTACAAGTGGGAAGAGGATTATTTTCTCGTAAAGTATCTATAGTCGACGCAGATCAAGAGCAGAGTCCTCCTTTCACCTACCCCCTCCTGCTGCATATGTAGAATCACATAAAAGAAATAATCCATAGAGGCTCGACCTACTAATATTCGTCTTACAGTGGAACTATTGAGAGTGTAAATCGAGAAGTTCGATGGGACGGATCCACCACCTTCTCTAAAACCTGCTCTACGGATACGATACGATGTGGCATCTGAAGTTCGACCTTACTCAGCAGTCGTTTTGGACCGAGAAAGCGGCCTTTCTTCTCATGCTCACTGGTGTATCTTTTTACTTTGGTGTTATACCAGACAAACAGGCGATTGCGTGGGCCAAAGAACAAGCTGAACTTAAGGCATGAAAACTAGCTAGGTTTTCAACACATTGCTACTAAACTTGATGTTGATGTGAGCTCAGTTATTGGATTTAGCGTAGAATTGAATTCTTCTCTCTGGAAATACGTCGTGCGGAATGATTTCTGTTACAAACTTCACTCAGAATCATGATAATTTTTGCCGTCCCTTCTAATAAAGGCGAAGAAGAAGTAGAAAGAAGCGCGGCAACTCCGTCAAAATCCCCGGCAAAGCAAAAAAAGTAAATGGTGACGTTGCAGCGTCGCAGTCTTGACGAGCTTGAAGATGAGGTGAACGCCGCTTTGCAGAGGAGGACAACAAAAATAGTCGAATCAAAAGGTTCAGGTGATTGGATTGCAGGAGTGCAACGCAGCACTGCCGAGTTCTTGTTCTTGTATCGACATTATTTCGTAAGATTGATTAAATTCACGCATCATGATAGCCGAGGATGTTACAAAATTTCGTTTGAGCTCCATGCTTAGGCTTACCGCGCTGTCTCCTGCTCTCCTAGTTGTCCATCAAACTCAAAGTTCGGCGATGAATATTTATCTTGAGAATTTAGAATGATTTTTCTTGAATTGTCCTCCGTTTGATATGAGTAATGTGAAAGGTCGCTGAATCGGTAAAAAGGGCGAGAGCTTCGTCTGCATAACACTTGGCAACAACACCTGGAGCTGGAGCTGCCGATCTCTTTCCTGTGCAGTGACACCTAATGAGCTATCTTGGCTGTCCTTGCGTCGCCCCCGTGAATTGTCACGGTGAGATATCCGTATCTACCTGGTTGTAGAAACGGGCTCTGGTCCTGAGTCATTTTTCTGAAACGATTTACATTTTTCAAATCATTTCTTCGTTGTCATTTCTCATTCTCGTTCAAGTTAGTTTTCTGTCATTTGGTGTTGGACTGTAGTGAATTAGACCGATTAGATGATAGACTGACACATCCTCAGCTTATTGAACACGCTCGGTTGTAGGAATTTGTCAAGCTACCTAGTATGTACGATCTATCATGAGTTAAATGTAGAATAGAGGTGGAGGTCGTTAAATGATTATTAAGATCATAATATGAAATGTGTGGTAACAGTTTTTGAAACCCCAATATCAAGTTGAAGTTCTTGTGTGAAGATCTAGATCTTATTTCATTGTGACTGATGTGAACTCATTTTTTTGTTGGTATCTATAGCATATAACTAGGCTGAGCGCTTCCTCTGCGTGTGCTTGTCTTCGGACCGCTTCCGGAACTGTTTCATCTCGCTGGCGGTTGAGAGGAATCATCTGAGATGCACACATGACAGCATATATGTTCCAGGGGTGGAGCTGGAGGCTTCCCCCCTGTGGATGGAGCGGCGGTGGCGTCCGCGCGCCCTTTTTTCCGCGATGGTGACACGTAAGGACCTCCGGGCGCCAAGGCCTCGAGAGGCGGAGCCGGAGGCTCCTGGCGGCTCTCCGCGTGCGCCGACTCTTGGACCTTATCAGGTGGACGGCCTCCGGGGGAAGAAGGCCGCCAAAGGCGGCCACGGCCGCGAGGCCTGGCCCCGTTGGCCCTCGTCCGCCACCACCAAACACCCGGGGGGTTGAGGACCAAAGGCGGGGAGGAGTGGGGGTAAGGTCTGCCCGGATAAGGCTGGGCTCTGTCGGATACATGCAGCACGGCGAAAGGGGTCAAGCCTTGCCACCTGCTTCCATCGGAGGCCTTTCACCTCCCAAGAGACTCACCCAGTGAGGAACCCGCACCCTGGAGGTCTGTAGGGTACACGAAACAAGCCAAAGGAGGCCCAGCCTTGCCACCTTTGCCACCTTCGGAAGCCTTGCGCCCCCGGCCTTCGGTGCTTCACTGGCCACAGGGATGGGGGCTCTGTAGGGTCCAGGCAAGAAGCGGGAAGGGGTCCGGTGCGGGCTTTTGGAGGCCTTCCCGCCCGTCCGTCCCTCAGGAAAAAAGGCCAGGGGCGGGAGGCCCCCACCTCAAAAACTTAGATCGGGGGGAGGCTTGGCCCCGGGAACATAAATAAGCATTAGCAGCCAACGACCCCAACTGGTCACGATTATCATGTAAGTACTTATGTCAAACACAAGAACGAACCGCAACCGCGTCCAATGTACTTATGTTTTTGAAATACTTGGGGAGCAAGAAGTTATCAATTCCAGGTTCTTCGGAAGATCATTCAGGTTCGAAGTTGCCAATTCAGGGTGACCGCCCTGGGTGGCGTGACAGCCTATTTAGGGCCCCTCCCCAGGCGTTCCCCTTGGTTGCGTAAATACGGGGATCATAAGCTACTTGAGGAGGAACAGATTGAGAAGAAGAAGTTGCATTATCCTGACAACAACGTGCCAACATTCTCATCGTTGTAAGCGCTGTGTGCGAAGAACGTCGCAAATAATTTTCCCCTTTCCAGTTCCAATGAGGCGGAACAAGGCAGATCCAAGAAATTAGCCACAGCCACTGAGAGACGCAATTCTTCTGGTATCGGGGAAGATGTCTCAGAGGTCGTGCAAGAACTATTTATGACATAAAAATATCAAGAACAATAATCATTCTTCATGACCCACTATAAAGAGCAATATCATTTAATATCATGCCACCTGCGCGTTGTCTGCATCGTCGTTGGCGCTTTGCAAACGATGACTTTTTCCGTTTCGTGCCTCTCTTCGTGCTTTCAAACGGCACTTGCTATACCTCTCTCAGATGCATCCGCGAACAGGAGAATCCTTACATCCTTGACATCTTCAAACTGTGCCGGTTGATCTTCCTCTTGCTGCTTTTCGGGGACGTGCTCCTTGGATTTTGGTCTACGCGTGGAGCCATCTATGACCACAAGAACAGGCGGCGTTTTTTAGACAATTTTCTAGGCTTGCGCTTCCTCGTGGGCTGTGGACTCAACCTTTTGCTGAGCTACAAGCTGTTCTTTTCGCCCCTGCTTGTCCTGAGTTCGAGCAGTGGAGCAGGTGTAGGCAGTGCCATTGGCAAGGGTGTTGCGAGATCATCGGGGGCCGTGGTTGCACGTTCACCGGCAACAGCAGCGTCTTCTTCCGTGGTTGACACGAAATCCTATGCCCCTTCGCCAAAATTGGCCACGACGAGGAAAGTAGTACAGAAGCCGATAGGGAAAACTCCGCATCGATCTAGTAAAGGCATTTCCTTTGCCGCAAGCACCAAGGGAACGCAACCGAATCGAGGTGGCAACGTTGCCCTGTCGAGCTCTTTCATCTCCCAACAACAAGATGTCGCTGATTCATCTCAGAATGCCGAAAATTCAGATGACATCAGCGCATCAGTAGCAGAGGACACTTCTAGTCACAGTCTCCTCGCTGGCCAAGCTGATTTCAACGTCAAAGAGGAGGTGAAAAACGAAAGTCCTCTGGAAGAGCCTGAAGAAGTGGAACAGATCCTTTCTACAACTACCGCTGTACCTGGCCAAGAACGAGACAGCCAAGATATTGTCGATGCAGAGTTCTCCACGACCTCAGATTCACATTCGCAGAGTCCAACAGCACTCCGACGACGTCTCCACATCGCGTCTATCTCGTCGAATGGTCCTCGCGTACTTGCGGAGTTGCAGTTGTCTTTGTCGTCCCATAATGTTGGAGTAGACGAGGATGACTCAGCACATCAACCAGGACTGCAACATCGTGTAAAAACAACTCTTGCGGATATTGTGAAGGGCCGAAGAGAGCGCTACTTGAATTTGGTTCATGATCCAGAGTTCGCTTTTGGTGACACAATTGCTGAGCTGTATGACAGACAGGCACAAAATATTTCGAGGGATGCCAGCAATAATGAGGACGTCGCCGAGATTGGAGATGATAGGAGTATAATTTCGATGCAACGTTCTCCGGGTGAAAAATTGGAACTACAGGCACAAAGCGAAAGCCATCAGAATGAAGGAATTCTTAAAGCCGACGATCAAAAGACAGAAGGCGCGAAGGACGAGCATGATAATGGCACACACGCCGCGCCGGCCAAGGCCAACGAGGACACGATGGCGCGCAATGGAGCTGCAAGCGAAGAAAGCGGGAGGACTCAAGGTTTTCTTGCAAAGCGACGAGAAACGCATGACGGTGTCGATACACGTGAAATTGACGAAGCAGCTGAAGTTGATGACCCAGACTTGCAACAGCAACAGCGAGGCGAGGAAGGGGAAGAGAGGGCGCAATCTGCGCTTACTGAAGGTGAAGAGAAATTACATCCTTTGGAAACAAAAGACTTTGACTGTTCGCGCGGAGAAAGAAATTGTCACCCAAGTGAAGACGAAGATGAACATGAACCGCTCGCTGCGTCGTCCAGAACGAGCATTATTGTCAAATCTGAATACCAAGGGGACGACCAAGAACCCACCGTCGACTTTTCCTCAGAAGTGCATCAGCGTCCATCAGATGTGACGATCCATCAAACACAAAATGGAGGCACCTCCTCAACATCAACCGGAGCGGGCGTCCGCTCACGTGGAATTGCAACTGCCTCGAAAAAGTCTAAGTCCTCTATGAAAACAGCTTCTAGTACTTTGTCCGGAAGTCAGAACAACAACAACTCGCAGCTTTCCGCGGTTTTAGAGACCCTGGGTCTGTTGGTGCTTGCCCTTCACACTCTCTTGTCCTCAATCGTGCTTTTTTTGTTGTTCTTCGTGTTGTCCGACAGCAAACGTGGTGGTTCCACGCGGTCTGATTTGCTCATCCGGAAACTCATTCTATTAAGGCTCTCACTAATCGTCCATCCCGCCTAACTCTATCTATAGATACATAGGGATCCCTCAACCGTATGCGTATGCGCCCCAATACAAGGGGAATAGAAGATACTGACGCGCACGCTTCAGGGATTTCCGCGGGGATGAATTACGGAGAAGTCTAATGCTAGACGTTCGACTGAAAAAGCCACACGGGCGTGAGGCTACATCATTCCTACTTGGAAGGTGGACGCGAAACCTGATCACTCGTGTCCTGCGCATTCTAGGTACGCCAACCGACGTCAAGGATGTGCTGCTTACCTACTTGGCCACGCTGGTTGGCAACGCGAACCTCTGCTGGTCGGACTTTCAAGCAGCTACGGATCTCGCAATCTCTCCAAATTTTGGTGGTAAAGTGCCGCTGCCTTACGTCGAGGAGGGCACGGAAGTGGACTTCACCAATAATTATGGCTTCCTCACGATTCACGAAGATTCCTTTAGATGCTTAGGCGATAGCTGTTTTCGACAGGAGCTACCTATTAGAAATTTTTGAAATGATTTTTACTTGGTAGACGAGAACAGAAGGGAGTTGGCAGTTGGGTACTTACTCCTCTACCCTTACTTAAGTAGAAGTTTGGTCATGCTATCTATACACCAGCTACGAACGCCATTAAGCTTCTTTGTCTCATAGTCTACTATAAATTTTCACGGCAGATACTGCGGCACTGCGTCTGACATTCGAGTTCATCAACTATTCGGAAATCGTTTATGGGTGGCCCCAGTTTTGCTCTATTGCTATCGGTGATAGCCGCAAGATTTGGAACTTGGTCACTCAGGTCCCCGTTACTGGAGGAGTATGTGTCGGCGATAACTACCTTGGTTTGAATGAACGAGCCATCTTGCTAATGCTGCATCATCGGGAGCGACAATATCTGGAAAAACAAAAGTTTAGCGTCGTAGTCTCGAAAAACCTGCCAGGGGCGGCGAAAGCACAACAAGGTACGGCTGCTCCCCTTCCGTCCGAACAACGACAAGAGGGCGACTTGTCGCCACCACCCTCGCCGACTGCACTAGGTGCAGTTGACGAGGTGAACAACACCCGAAGTATCTTCGAAAAGGATGATGCTGCACTTCCTGCGAACAATCATGAAGAACAAGAACCTAACGCGACGTGGTGTAGCGAAGCAGAGCAGGCGGATGAAAAACCAACGCAACCAGCGAAAGGTGGAGGACACGGCCCAATGGACACAATGGCACCCGCTGCATCTCCGAGTGCTGACCCATCTGTGGCAGCTTTTCCGGTTACCGGAGAGGATACTTCCCTAGCGAAAATTAGCGAAGCAGCTGACAAGAAGGATAGACCGAGTTCGAGTTCCGACTGTCGCCCCAATCGCACCACCTCGGTTCTGTCGACCGCGACCGCAGTATCTCTCCCAGATCGGGAGTCTATCACCGTTAGTGGTCAGTGTCAGACACCAACAACTGTGTCGCCACGCCGCGGGATGCAGCGCGCCGCCAATGTTTCTTCAATAACTGCTAACCGAAGTAAAAGCGTGCCGCGTAGAGCACCATCTCTTCGAGCACAGAAGAAGGGGCCTCAACCGATCCAGCTCAGCGCATTGGCAGATCTTTTCGTCGACTGCACGCGAATGACGATAACAGATTGCCGCGACGCCAAAGATTCCTTCCGTCGCTTGAGTTGTAGCCAGAAGAGTGGGATCCCGAGTGTCTTAGCGCCGAGTGCCAAGAATATTAGTTCTAAAACAACGACGAGCAGCGGTCTCGGTTACCATACTTCTGACCAGAACTACTATGATCCATCGTCTCAGAGCCAGAGTAGAACAGCTCCAAATTTTGCAGCTGTCGAGATGCGTGGATGTGTTCCCCAGCGAAGGTTCGCGTCCACAGTTCGTAACGCAGAGTTACAACACACCTGCCAGAGTTCTCATGCTCCTAAAAGCGGAGGAGCAAGAGGCAGAAGTACAAACACAGCGCTGGCAGTCCGGTGTGCTGGCTTAGTGCCTCCTCCTGCACTGCCAGCTCCACCTCGTGTTCGGGAGTCCACGGCAGCTTCCGGAGCAGCCAGCTCATCGCGCAAGCTCGCAGGAAGTCATCATCTGCAGCAAGGCGGGTCGTCCTGCTCTTCGACTCGACACAGTCTTGCGATCGAAACACCTCTACACGCAGCTGGAGGTCGGGAGGGGTCGCTCTTCTCGCGATTGCCTGCCCGCGGTGGCGGCAACAGTCCCACAACCCGCGCTCGCCGCGGATCCTACAACATGAATCTTTTGCCTCCAACTGCAGATGTTGACCAGAAGAGAACCTCGAAAAGCGCGGCGCCGAGTGCCATTCCTTCCCCAGTGGCAAGTTCCAACAACTATGACAACATCTTCAATAAACGCCTCTCGCACGTGCAGCCTACCGGCGGCAGCTGTCGAACTTCTGTTGTTACGCCGCTTTTGTCGTTAGCAGCACGGCAACAACCGGACAGAGAGAGTCCACACGACGGTCGGATTGTTCAGAGTACCAAACGCCCGCTCGACCCTGGCAAACCGCCATCTTCCAGAGTTTCCAGTAAAGTAAACACGCCTGCACTTGTTCACCAGAATGTGATGAACATCAATGACCAAGATCAAGAAGTCCTAGCTCATCTTGCTTCTTCACCGTCAACGGGAGACGGCGTGCCCTTGTTCCGTGGGAGTCGCGGACCAGGAGACCTGATGTCCATTTCTAGCCGAGAGCGAGACGACGTGTCTCCTGTTGCATCTCAAGGCGAGCGCGACTCCAATGCTGATTCTACGCACGCCATTTTTCCTCATTTCTCGTCGAGGACGTCGTTCCCGGCGCCAACAGACGACGAGGGTGGACCACCGCAAGGCAGCGTTGCAGAAGCCGCGTCGCCCTCTCCACGTGGGTCCATTGCGTTCTCGATGCAAGTAGAGGAGAGCAGCACACCAGGAAAAAAGCAATTACTCTTGATGACAGGCGAAAAAGTCAGAGGTGGCAGAGCATCAACATTCTCGGACAAGAGAATTATGGGTACCGTCAACCCATCTCTTACACCATCTTTTAGCCACTTCAAAAGTGTTAAAAAATGTTCCAAAAGATGGGCAAGCTGTCGGTGTCTCTAATACAATTACTAGACGGCACGTAGGAGAAGTCCAGCAGTCGGCACAGGAGCTGCAGGCAACGCCGGACTTCAGGAGAAGCACTAGCTGGGATAGCGCCGGCCGCTTACCGCGCGTAGCGTCGAGTGAGAAAGGTTTGCTAGTTTCGCAGGCAACAACGCCCTTGCTTGAGCTGGCTGACCTAGCTTCGGTAAAGAGTGCTGCAACTTCGCAATCATCAGTACGAAGCAAAACAAACAAAGACAAAAGAGGCAGACAACAAACAGCACAAGCAGGAGGTGGAGCAAAGGAGGGCGTCGCTCTGACGGCAACACCAGTCAGAGAAAGCACCGGTCCTCCTGCCGATCAACATGATGATTTTGCATTTGCATGCAATGATCCCGCTTCGATGAATGCCGGGATTACCACTGAAGACCACATGTCCGTTTGTCCTGACGACGAACTTGAGGAGAATGAAATAACTGCGGATATTGATGGAAACGGTACATCCGAAGTGGAGTCGAAAACGGAGAAACGGATTCAGCTTTGGCATGGAAATTTCTGCCGCATTCCCGGAAAAAGTAGTTTCTGGGTCTTGATCTGCGACCACTTAGCGAAAGCCATGGTCGTCGCCATATCGGGAACAAATTACATGGCTGAGGTCGCGACAAATTTCGTACTGGAGTGCGCGCCTTTGCTCTCGCCAGAGGACAGAGAGGAGATCCAGCTCAAAAAGCGCATTAAACTTCTCGAAAAGCAAGATTACGCCAGTAGTGCTGCGCTAACACCTCTTTTATCTCTACCAGGAACTGGGATCAACGTGATCTCCGATGCAACATCTAGTACGTCCCTCGGTACATCAAGAACAAGAGTAGACCTTCTCGGACAAACACAAAAGCAGAAGCTAGGAGATGTAATGACTAATGATGATGACTTGGATCGTCCGCCAAGTCAAGACGAGTATGTTCATGTGGGGATGCTGGGTTGTGCGGAGCAAATCGTAGAAACATTTCGTCGAGAAGGGTTTCTAGACCGATTTCCGCCAGGATATCGCCTCGTTTTCACGGGTCATAGTATGGGAGCAGGAGTGGCCAGCATCTGTTCGCTGCTTTTTAAACGCCGCTTTGCTGACCGCGTTGTCGTATCGACGGATACTAAAGATCTTACCATCAAAACTGCAAACCTGCAACGCAACCTTGTTGCTGCAGATATTTCGAGGAGCACCAGAGCAGCTTCAGGACGAGAAGAAAGATTATCAACAGGCGGTGAACGTGAAGGTGGACGTGAAGGCGGAGCTCAGCTGTGTCCTGGTGATAGTGACAGGCTTCAAGTGCGAGGAGGGCAACAACAAAGTGACGTGCAATCGCAGAAAAACGCAACAAAAACGCCTGTAGGAGGAACCGATGGCAAAGTAATGGACACACATGATCGTCCTTGGGTGAAGGATAACCTGTCGGAAACTACAACCATACAGCCGCCTCCAGACGGCAACACTAGTAGGCAGCAGAATGGTGCATTACCTCCTATACGTCCCGATCCTGCCGACCCCAAAATTGAGATGTCAGCGTTGTTGATCTGCCCCCCGGGCTGGACAATGTCTCCCACCCTCGCTGAGGAAACGCGTGAGTACGCCGTCACAGTGGTTGCTAGCTACGACAACATCCCGCGTGCGCGACCAGAGTCTCTGATTCGATTTCGCGAACACATGTGTTACTTATTGGAACGAGTCCGGCTGAGCAAGTGGAAGATTTTTCTGATTAACCGCTACCGATGCTGCAAGCGTCGGTATCAGCCACAGGTCGAGGAGTTATGTTCTTTCATTCGCAAAAGCCCTTACAACAGGCCGCTGCCAGGAGTGTTGCGCCAGTCGCGCGAAGAATGCAGGAGCAAAGGCATACAACAGCATGGCCGCGATAGTAAAACTTCTAGACGAGGTATTGAAGTTTCACATGATGTAGATGCGTTCGCAGGGAGGACAGCTGGTTTGGTAAAGCACGAAATCGAACTAGCGAGCAACCCTGCTGGAGTAGCAGCTGGGCTACATATTTCTACCAACGATTTCGATGCTGCAACCGCAGCAGGGTCTGGTGTTCCGCTTTTGGAGAGAGCACGCACCAGTAGTTGCGCCTCGTTTTGCGCACAATCACCTGAGCAGGCAAGTGTTAGAAATTCTTGTGCTGGTTCTGGAAGATTAACGAATTCCGGTTCCTTTGTACAAGGAGACCAACATCGACTGAAGGCTCGGTCTTCACCCGGTTCATTCTGCGAGAGCCATTTTGCTCGTGGCAGCTGCCACAGTGATAATGTTGATCTCGCTCCAAATTATCAAGCATCTTTATCAATAAAGGACTCAACATCAAGTAATCATGCCACAGGAGAGCTCTGCCTCGTCGATGCAGCGTCGTCGCATACGGTACAAGGTATTGCCAAAGAGAATGTGCCTAAAACAAAAGCAGAAAGCCAGCGTCGTCATGGGTATACTGAAGTTTTGGGAGAAGGAAGCCATTGCGCAGAGGATGTTGATTTAGAAGATTTCCGACAACATCTTCACTCAGCACAAAAGCACGAAACTGAAAAGCCCCTAGAGAGCGTGCTTCAAGAGCAGGAAGACCGTGCGCTGGATGACGTTCTCGATTACGATGGTAGTCGCTACATCCGCAGAGAAGAACCAGGTTTTAATTATCGGAAGTTGATTCGTATGCGCGGCTCTCTTTTCCCGGAGTCTTTCTCGCAGATTATTAACTACCCACGACACTTGTATGATGGAAATTACAGGGATATCTTTCTTCCCCTCGCAACCCCGGGGCGTGTTTTGCAGCTGCGGTTGACACGACTCAGCGAAAGTTTAGAAACGTGGAGTAGCAGCGGCGCCTTTCCGGACATCAATAATGGACTTGTTCCATCTGCCTTATCATATGCAGGAGGCAAAGGTGAGAAAAAAACTAAAACTCGAGCGGGCGCAGCTGATAAGGATGCTGACGCGACAACTGAGCATTACGGGTCTACTGTCCTTCCCACTTCTCCTGAGAAAAGGAAGAAAAAGAAGAAACAAGCGCGCATGGCAGGAGAGCGCAATTTGAAAGTTTTGCCGCGCATAAAGATAAACAAAATGAAAAGCCGAGGTAAGCGGGCACTGAAGTTGATGCAACAAAGAAGAGCTGACACGACTGGCGACGACGCTGCTCCTGCACATGGGAACAAAAAATCGAAGAGAAAACGTCATCTAGAAGCAGCTGCTCGTGTACAACACAAAGAGGAAATAAGAAAGAAAGCCGAAGCTTCATGGTACCCACGAGCATTGACGAGCAGTGACCAAGTTTCTGCAAGTACTGCTATTTCTAGGACGCTCTGTGGAGAACAAGTAGGGAATGAGAACGCCGGACTCCTCTTAGGTGGATCATCACAGCAAACGATTGCTGTCTCGCGCGCACAGTCTCGTGATCGATATGCCATTGATGATACGACATCAACTGGGTCGTCTTCGATGCCGATGAGCTTACCGTCTCACTCTCGACAACGTTCTCTGTTTCCGCCATTTGTGTCAAACACTACTTCCTCATCTCGAGGCATGAAAATGCTGCGAATCAACGCGAAGATGAGTCGTCTACGCAACCTTAATTTTCAGAGTGGAATACGGAAAACGCGAACGAAGAAACGCATTCGCGTACCAAGGTATCCATGCTTTCCAATTATTGGACAGACAGCCACTACGTCCACCTGTTTTTACCGGGAGCAAAGCGAGGGAGATGACAAACGCAAACAAAAGGTACGATTGGCCATGGCTTCAGGAGATAGCAATATTATGTACATGGACACCTCAGAGAGTCGAGCGTTTTTTGTCCGACCTGAAGAAACAGGAGCAAGTGGGAGCCACAGCAACAAACAAGATGAAATGTCAACATTGAGGAAAGCTAAAGGTCGTCCAACAAATGAAACAAATCGAAATCCGTCAGGCTCATCTCCTTCTGCCACATCTTCTGGTAGCAAGTTGACTTCTAAGCCTGCTGGTGCGAGAACCAAGAGGAAGAGAGAGACTACGGCTAAGAGGCGCGTTCGTATCGAAGTGGAGCCGGTTGTAGGGAGTAGCGCTGCTGCGCAATTGTTTCGCAAAAAGCGTCTAGCGCTTCGCGACTTCGCTCAGCAACATCTAGACCAGTGCGCGCCGCGACATCACGTTGGTAGGCTTTTTTCGCCGCACGCATATTGTGATGGCAGCTCTTCGACACTGAGTTTCTTCGGCTCCTCATCCAGCTTGGGGACGAATCATGTTGTAAATAAGAACATTGGTCAGCCTTCTAAAAGCAAAAAGAATTTGTACAAGGCGACTGGAACTCAACATATTTCGGACTCTGCCACCTCCTCCGCAGCGAATATCTGTCGGAGTGCCTGCGACCTTACAAGCACCAACAACCTAAGTAGTACTATTAGTAACATCATCGTACAAGGCCGCCCACTTGATAGGGACTCGGGAGCTCGACGTTTAATGCTTTCAGAAGGAGCGGAACAAGAGACACAGAGGGCCCGTGACATTGAGGGCGCAAGTAGTAAACAAAGTCGAAGCACTGGCGCAACTAGAAATTATAAGAGAAAGTATACGTCATCGTCATCCGGAGTGAGTAAGACCGGCATTCATCGCAGTTCACCGCGAAAAATGCAAGGCACCATCAATTCTACTTCTAGCAAAGCGAGGATAAACATCAGCAAGGTAACAACATCAATGAATAAGCCCAAAAGATTGACTGAAATTAGTATCGCGCCAGCGTCGTCTCTATTCGGAGAATCAGAGCGTACGGATGTTGTGGAAATGCAACAAGAAACTCTCACAGATAGGCTGTTGGGGCATCTATTTCTGGAGCGATACCACGAAAACACGACAGAGGATTGGTTGAATCGCTATACAGCTGCCATTTCAGGGTCGCCACAACAAAATTTGAGCTTGATAAGAAGTACAAGCAAGGGAGCCAGTGAGTGGAATAAGAATACTTCCGGTTCTTCCAGTACAAGTATGAGGTCTACTACTGGTGGTCTCCGTGCGAGGATATCGAGCACTGCCGCTAGTACACGCGGAATGGGGATGGAGCGAGAGCAGCACAAGCGACGACCGCGCAGTGCGTCTTCGATTGAGAGAGTAGGCGAACCACAACCGCCTGTGGGTTCCAGTATTTTATCAATCGCATCGTCGCCACCGATGAGCGCCAACAAACGACGAAAGAACCCACAAGACCGCAAAACTATTTCTGGTGGTGGTATTTTCGCTTCCGCGCATCAAGGCACACACCAGGCAGAGCTTCTGGCTCCACCTCAAGCTCCTGCGCAAACTCGTGGTTCAAGAAACTCGAGAAATAACGAACAGGAGTACCCAAACGTGGCTGGCGGAGGCATGATAATAATGGTCCACGAAAATAAAGGAGCATCAAATGAAGCGCCGTCGTACCGCCCAAAGAGGAAAGTTAAGCGAGCTGACAGTTCCAGAGCACTGGAATCTTCAAAAAAACAAGTTCGGAACTCGAATAACATTGTTGACATCACTCCGTCGGCCTCACAAAACGCAAGAACTAGCGAAAAGAACGAGGAAGTAGGCGCACATAATTTTGATTCCGGAACAAGAGCTTCTCATCAACATGATCAACTCCATGCTTCATCTGCAACTTCTCATGATGCTGGTCTAATGAAAGCAACGAGTGCTTGCCAACATCAACAGACCCAGAGAATCATCTTGCGTGATGGCAATCAACATCTGAATCTCGCTGATTATTCCTTTAAGGTCGTTTGGGTGGATCCCGAGCGCGAGCTGTCCTACTGCTATTCCTCTTATCAAGCGGGCATTGCGCATCTGCTTTCTAGCTACCGGCTCTGCCTACAGGCGTTGCGTTTGCACTGCCTGAGTCTCGCAGATAGCGGCTTTGAGGATCGGGTAGAGGCAGAAGCAGACGGTACACCCGTTGTACTAGAAACTGGCGATCGCGATGCTGAGGACAACAAGGAAACCGCCGATGAAGAAATGCATGAAACCGACCAGCCAGGGGAGGAGCAAACGTGTGAGCAAGATGAAAATGCGTTGTTCAAAGAAAACCAAGACAAAGAGGTAAGGAGCAGCGCCGCGCTCTATGAAGGTGAAACAGATTCTGTAGCTCCGTCGGCGCGCACCGAGGACCACACGGCAACTGAAGTGGAAACTGTAGCAGTTGTTGTGCAACAAGAAGATGACGACGGAGCGGCAGCAGGAGAATTACACTGCGACAGGACTGAGCTGCCTAGTCCTCTTGAGTTAATCGGCAATGATCCGGAGTTAGACGGGAACTCGAACATATTGAAGAACGTTGAAGAACATGACCATGACCTGATTTTACCTCGTCCGCCGGCTAGTCCAGAAACGGCGCGTGGATTGCTCCAGATCAGTCAAGATCTGACTAGAGCGGCTCGTCGATCTTCATCGAGGTGTTTGTGATATGCCGTGTAGCGATGGGTATCGCTCCACTTGCCCAGTTGATATTGATAATGTGAACTGTCGTGTCAGTAAGACTAAGACTTACTATCACGTTCACGCTGATAATGATTGTACGTAGTAGATTATGCATTTGTTGAGCTTGAGTTTAACATGTAGCTACATCAAAGAAATGTCCAACGATACTTTTACTTGAGCTCCTATCTAATGAGAACCGCACGATGCAGATCAACCGTCAATCTCTCTTGTCTTATGGGACAATAGAGATTGGCCAACTTTTTAATCTTAGAATGATAGAGATACTGTTCATGAGGCACGATGTTACTTTGCGCACACCCGTCAGCCTGCTAGGATCCGACTCCTTTACTCAACTGCACCCATGAAAGGATACATCATCTGAGAGTAAGCTCGATGACTTCAATGTGCTCCAGGCAGCCATGGCAGCTTTGCCCCTTTTTCTCAATGAGACGACCGCAAACGGTAATTTGGATTGTCTCCACCGCGTGGCGATTATATTTCAATTTCAGTTCTGATCGGCATAGAAGTCCTATGAGGATTTGTTTTTTCTGGTTCCCACACACTCATCTGGATCAAAGTAATAGATGATCCGCTCCGTTGGTGAACATGAGGAAACTCGACAAAAGTGAACCTGAATGAGAAGATCCATAACAAACCTTTGAACACAAGACCGAAGAGAAGATCCAACCCGAACAAAGATCTTGCAAAAAACTCTGGATCTTCTAGTACGAGGATCATTCTTTTACAACAGCATGAGTAGAGCAGGTGGATCACTTTATCGTATCTTTAACAATGATGATCAATCCAGATTTACCACTGTGTCTATCCACATATGGGAACACCTACCATCACAGAAGGGGGCCACGAAGTGATCATTTGAGCGTCGGTAATGCGTTGGGTAACCGTAAGATAGTCGAATCCCTCTACATTTGTATACATCAGTAGTATTTCACTTTTGTTCACGAATATTCAATATTGTTGATAATTGTGCAAAAGAAGTGAACGGCCGCCTCAAAGGTTTCTATATTTTTACACTCTAGACTTACATCATTTTTATTTCATATCATTGATTCTTTGTCCCTCCTTGTACTAGACTACAACCACATTAAAAAGATGGCGAAGAATGCAGGTCATGGCGGACGCGGCACGAAGCAGCGGCACTTCAACAAGGCCGCTCTGCCGGGAATGGGCAGACAGAAAGTTGTCAAAGGAGGTCTCAAATTGGGTTCCGCATTTAAGAACAGCAATGCGAGTACCAAGGTGGGACGCAGCGGAGACCCGAGTAAGGAATCCGTGAAGTCCGGAGGTCAGCAGAGAAGTCGCAACACCATCAAGCGTCTGCAAATGTATTCCCAGAAGGCGCCAAACGCGCGGGATCTGCACCAACAAATGCTTAAGCCACAGAGGATCGAGCCGGATAGAAGATGGTTTGGCAACACGCGCGTCATCACGCAAACAAAAATGCAAGAATTCAGGGACGAGATGGGTAATGAGATTTTAATGAAGTAGTTGTGTGTCGTTCGAAGTGTCCTTGCTCTTAGTTCTACTTGTGGTGCAGTACTACCAATACTTCATGATTGCCATCTGATTTGTCATCTCACATATCATTCGAGTACAAAATCATGACCATCAAACGACAACTTCCCATTCCACCTCCTCAACTACAACTTCCCTCAGGCAAAGAAGTGAACGACCCGTACCGAGTGGTTTTGAAGACGAGCAAATTGCCGATGTCTTTGCTTACGGACAGTCTGAAGAACGATAAGATGGATCTGTTGAAGGTGGAATCTTATCAAGACACCTTTGGATCAAAGAAACTCCGCAAAAAGCCGAAGCTCGTTTCCGAGAACTTGGAGCAATTGATGGAGAAGGTACAGCTCCACCTTCTACTAGTAATATTTAGTGTTACAACTTCGATCTACTTAATACAGTCAGCATTCAGTTCTAAGTTTCTCTCCGCTTTTTCCTGTATTTTGCTATGCATCAATCCAAGTACTTTGTTATTCATCTACTACAAACCCTCCAAACGCGAACATTACAATGTTTCAGCCTTATTCATATAATAAATTCAGGTAAACACGGAGCAAACCCGTTACAGCGAGATTTCACATCAAGATAAGCAGCTTCGATTTGACTTGAATTCTGGTTTCGAAAATTCTAAGTCCTATGAAGGCCACGATAACGAGGAAATCTTCCTCAAAGGAACGTCTAGACGCATCTGGCGCGAACTCTACAAGGTCGTTGATTCCAGCGACGTCATAATTCAAGTTCTGGACGCCCGCGACCCAATCGGAACACGCTGCTTGCATCTAGAGAAAAACATCCAGAAAAACCATCCGGGAAAGCATGTAGTGCTTCTGTTGAACAAGTGCGATCTGATTCCGAACTGGGCAACAAGGCGATGGTGCGAGATCCTACGAAAAGAACGCCCCACTCTGGCGTTTCACGCGAGCGTGACCAATCCGTTCGGAAAGTCAGCTCTCATCCAGTTGTTGCGTCAATTCGCAAAATTAATGAAGGACAAGAAGCAGATTCAGGTACAACGAGCAGTATCCCTGTTCTTTGTAGTCCCAATTAACACTGTAAAAAATTTCTTATTTAATCTACTTAAGTACTGTATCCTGAACAAGAACTTATCGACTCCGACTCATACCTATCATTCCTTCCAAAAACAGGTCGGTTTGATCGGATACCCGAACGTGGGAAAGAGTAGTGTGATCAACACTTTGAAGAAAAAGGATGTGTGCAAGGCTGCCCCGATCCCGGGTGAGACGAAGGTTTGGCAGTACATTGCTCTCACCAAAAAGATCTACGCCATCGATTGCCCCGGTATTGTCCCGCTGACAGCCGCTGACTTCGCACAAGACACCGCCAAGGTGCTGAAGGGCGTTGTGCGTGCAGAGAAATTGGAGGCGCCTTCTGCCTACATTGATGAGGTCGTTACGCGCGTGAAGCACAAGTACTTGCGGGCTAAGTACAACTTGCCAGAAAGCATGACATGGACCGACGGCGAAGACTTTCTGACTCAGCTAGCAACAAAGATGGGTAAGCTGCGAAAAGGCGGTGAGCCAGACCTGGAAATTACTGCGCGCATTGTGCTCTACGACTGGCAACGAGGGCGCATCCCCTACTTCGTCCCGCCACCGGACGCGTCGGGTAACATACGCGATGTGGTTGAGGACGAGATCGAAGATGCTGAAAAGGTGATGCAAATCGAAGAAGCTGCAAAGGATGGTGCCGACAAGAAGAAAACCGAGGACATCTCTGCAACTACAGAAGATGCAGAAGCAGCTGCTTCTCCTCTTGCTTCCGATGCGACCACCACAGAGCCAGGCTCAGAAGGCAAGCAGTCTGCAGAGAATGAAGAGCTCGAAGCTGAGGTTGACGCAGTAATGGAAGCAGCGCTAGCAAAGACCAGCAAGGACGCAGAGGACGACGAGGACGATCATGCTGGAATGGGTGATGAGGATGGTGAGAAGTCAGAGTTTTCTGACGACGAAGCCGATGGGGACGACGATGACGGTATTAAGGACATCCACGATATTCGTAACGATTTCTCCTCTCTGAAATGCTCTATGGCATTCGACGCCGAAGATATGGGCGATCACTCCTCAGATGACGTTGAGGTTGAAGACGCGAACGGCCAAAATAAAGCAACGATATCATCTTTAAAGAGAGGAGCTGCTGGGTCATCAAGTTCAGGCAGACAGGAAGGCGCAACGAACAAAGCCAGCAAGAAGAGCAAATTTCGAACGAAGAAGAAACGGGCAGCAGAGAAGGCATTAGCCATGAACAGTGACGACAGTGATGTAGATGACGACTCTCCGGTGATGCAAAGACAACCGTCATCTAAGAGAAGAAAACAAAACAAGAAGAATAGCAAGGCAGCGTCAAATAGCAGCGCTACAACGTCAACCAGCCCGACCGCATCAACATCAGAAGTATCATCAAAGAACGCTGACAGGAAATCAGGGAAAAAGAGTAAGACCAAAACAGGACTCGAAGACAACGCTAGCAAGGTTGTCAGACAAGATCCTCAACGCGGTTTAGTCGTCGATTGGGATCGTGCACTAGAAGAATTTGCATAACTGCTCATGCCTTGGCTTCCTCATGATTTTCATTCACTATTATGACCTCTGCGACCCGCCGTGGGGGTAACCACGACCTGTGTACTTATGAATGAGAATGTATTTGCTCTGTTTTATCAATATTACACCACATTTGTTTGATGTATAAGGCATCCATGCAGCAAGAAAAGTTTCGAACACAACTACTCCCATGCCACGCTTTTACACGAAACCGGCTTTACTACTGGGCTCTGCAGCAGCGATGACCGTGTTCCTCTAGCTCTAAACATGGACAAAATTGGAATAGCGCACAGTACGACACTACGACAGTCGTGCGCACAGTTCTTTGTGCGAAATTTGTTGTATAATATCGGAAGATGATGATGGAGATGGAGATCCTCGCAATGACAATCAACTAGCGAATTGTCTGACTGGCACCAACTAATAAATCTCACTCTTCTACCTTGCGAATCTGACGATGTTGATCCAAGAACTTCCACACCGAAAAATCAAAGATATGAATTCTGACACGTTTTTGCGACATGCACATGACGAAAAGAATCCATATGACGTGGTCTCATCTTCCTACAGTGTTCTGATCGGTATCAACCTCATTGGCAAGGAAAGAGAAACTGAAATCACGGCATGTTTGGCTGCTCTCACGTCGTACTATACAATGCGCGTACATATCATCCGTGGTTAATCACGATAAAGGATCCATTTATCAAAGACCACCATCGACTTTCACGCCCTGGCACGTGCTAGAGCTACGGATCAACATAAAAAGAACAATGAACAGTTCCAGATGCGTGGTTGTCGAGATGTCATGATGATGCTCAGAATCCTCCAATAATATGTGATATAACGATAACCGCTCTAGATCTAGTAGCATTTGCGATTCGCACCACCCAGTTTCACTTTCAACCATGTGTAAGACTTTGGCTTTTGTGGAGAGAAGATTCTAGATTGATTCTTTTTTTTTGTTTCGCATTTGGAAACATTGACTTCGCCATTTTTTTTTGGAATTCCTCGTGACAAACAACTCTTCTTTTTCTTCGGGAATTCCATTCTTCATTACCATCTTCAGGATTTTCCACAGAGAGTTACTAGACTTGGTTTTTGCGATTTTTCGACGTTATGGGCGCAAAAGGGTCAAAAGAGGCGGAAGGAAAGGGGAAGTCGGGCAGCACTAGTAGTACACCTATTACTACAACGGTACAAGAACAGCGCCAGCAGCTAAGTCGCCCTGAGGAGGCTAACCTCCCTGTTGCGCCTGCTGCAGGAACTGAGCAAAAGAGTCCGACTCCGTCTCCTGCCATTAAAACCGGCAAGACGCCGCAACCCGAAGGCGAAGCAAAGCAGGTTCCTGCTGTCGCACCCGACACGGTGCAGTCTGTTACGCCGTCTTCCTCCGACGCCTCCGCCGATAGTTACAACATGGCAGAGAGCATGTCAGTACAACTCATGATAATTTCGAATACATTCAATATTGTTCTCATCCTAAGAATTTGGGTCAACTGGTGCTCCTTTTTCTTTCTACTGGAGGTTGACTGATGAAGCAAGTCAATATCGCGCCACTTTTCGTGTCGTCCTGGTTGTCGTTGTCCTCCTGCATTGATCTCTATGTAGTATCTATATATTATCACAATTTCAAGAACTTCTCCATGATCCATCTGCTCTATGACGATGTATCAAAACTTTGACTCTTTCTAATCTCGTCTCGACAGGTCGGAAAATGTGTAGATCTTTTGCTTTTTAATCCAGAGGAAATCCGGGTTCTTGGCGAATCGTTGAGCATTATCGCAGGAAATGCAGATAATGACGCTGAGTATCCGCTGGAAGAGGACCTCGCGGAACTCGCTAAGGAAAAGGTATCAGCACATTCACTTATCTAGAGTCCACGCCCACACAAGCTCTATGATTTTGATTGTACCTCTTATGATTTTGGTTGTACCTCCGTCCTCGTGCATTGCCTTACCTATTTCATACAACGACCTGCACGTGCAAAAACCTCGGCATGGTCATAATAGAATTGTGATGGCTAATCCTAAACCAACCCAATCAAAGCTTGCGGCAATGATCACACCGGAGATGAGAGTCTTGAACTGCAGCTCGACGATGGTGAATCTTGTGCGACAATTCATCGACCGCAGTACCCGCGCTGTCGTCAACAAGGGCGAGATATTACCGACTGTGCGCAATGTGCTTGTGAAACAGGTACAGGCTTAAGTATCCTACTCACACTATTAGTAAAAATAAAATAAAATTGTTATACTGCAACATCATGAATCGTGAAGATATTGTACCCCATCAAGTAAAGCAATGTTTCGAAATCTTGTTTTCTTCACCTAATAAGTATATGCCAAACTTCTTCAGGTTACAGAGCTTCTCGCACTTCCACCGGCGAAGGTCGTGGAGCCCCTTCCTGCTAAAGTTGCGAAAGACTACTGGGTCTGGTCGACCTTAGGCTCGAAGATGGCCATCCCGCCGCCCTACAACGATTTTCCGGCGTTTCCCTTGTTGCAGGAGCGTCTGGGCATGCTTTTGGTACAATTTACTCACCATACATTATGCGTAGCTTATATTTGCGCATAGTAGCCTTCTTCTCGACATGAGATCCATTCCTTCGTCTTTCATTTTTGTCTAGAAAAGAAACGTTCTTTGTTTTCACGGGAAAGCTGCAACCAAACAACCTCTGTTCGTTGACGAACGCGCAACATCAAACTCTACTTATAGGCTATCGACGGCGCTGACAAAATGCGATATCCTGCGCTGGCTAAGCGCATTGCCTCCGACGTTCATGTGCTTTTGAACCTTGGTTCCTACTTGGAATACGAGGAGTCGCTTCCATGCGAGAAGCAGAGGCTGAACGCATCAGGCGCTGACGCGCGCAGCTTGCGTGGGCAGATGGCCCGTCGCGTTTTGTCCAACGTTCTTCCAGAACGCACTGTCTTGCAACTGATCCCAGGACCTTTCGACTCCATCGATTCCATCGTCCTGAACGCAGAGAAAACTGTGGAAGGCTTTGCGGCTCAGCCCCTCATTGTTCCCGTGTTCAAGGAACCCAAGAAGAAAGGCAGTGACGCAGGAGGCAAGAAAGGCAAGGCGGATGCCCCGAAGAAAGCAGACGCGCCGGCAGCCGCTCCTGCAAAGGCTACCGCGAAGAAGCAGGTGATAACAATAACCTGTTGCTGTTGTTGTTTTCACTTTTAGTAACCGTGTATGCAATCGTATATTTTTTCTTTCCACAACTGAATATTGGCAAATCCTCTTGTCTCAACGGTACTCTTTTTTGTGAATGCAGTATCTCTACCTCCTTGAACTGCAACTCTTCTTCTTTTACCGCGTAACACGCAAGCGCACAAAAAACAGGTCCCTCCTCCACCTAAGAAAGAAGCCGCTGCCTCAGAGCCAGTGGCGAAGAAGGCAAAGACGGACTCTGTTTGCTCGAACGGCGGTTGTCCGGGAGGCGCCCCTGCAGAGGGCAAGGTCCGCAATGATGAGCTCGGAACCGCTATCTACTACATGTACATGTGTGGTGTTGGACAACAGGCGGGCTCCGGTAGTGGTGCCTCGACTTCGCAAGTTACCAGCAGTGGAGCTGGAGCGAATATGGAGTCGATGGTGATCGAAGGTAAGTTCGACACCGTTTGGTCTGGTCGTGGTGTTCCGCAGGGCCACACTGAGTATTCGTTTCGCACCACGTCCCTCAGTGGAGAATGCACCAAAGAAGTGGTGGAAAAGGCGACTTTCGGACGTGTTTGGGGCAGCGGAACCGCGTTACCTCAAGGACACACCGAGTACAGCTTTTTTTTCGGCACTTCGTCATCTTCGACGTCGCCTGCTCCGATAAAAGCGCAACCGGCTGCCGCTGCGGCCAAGCCAGAAGCAGCGAAAGCACCACAGCAGCCAGCTGCCCAGAAGAAGGCCGCAGCCCCCGCGGCCGAAAGCAAGAAACCCGCTGCAGCAGCAGCTCCGGCGACCGCTTCAGGAGACGAAGTCCTTGACGCCTTGAAAAAATTGGACATTCGTGTCGCCAAGATTATCGAGGTGGAACGCATTCCGGACTCGCCAAAACTGTACAAGCTGCAAGTAGATATGGGCAACGCTGAGGTGAAGCAAATTTGTAGTGGGATCGTCGCCTTCTATCCGGACCCGGAAACGCTGAATGGCCGCAAGGTGATCGCCTACTACAACATCAAGCCAGCGAAGTTGGCGGGTCAGGCTAGTGAGGGCATGATTCTCGCGGGCGCCGTAGACAACAAGGGACCCAACGAGAAATGCGAGATCCTGGATTTAGAGGGGCAAGGCCCAGATGTCGAAGTAGGAACGAAAATCACTATCAAAGATGTGCCTGGGTGTGGCGATCTGGCAGTCGGCACCGAAACTGTCAGTCTGAAGAACATCAGCAAGCAGTGGGGAAAGGCTCAACCTGCTTTCCAGGTCAACGATCGCAAGGCCTACGTCAACATCGGTGGCAAGGCATGCCCATGGGTTGTGAAAACGACGAGCGGAAGCGAGGTTCCTGTTGTGGTTGCATCACTCACCAACAGCGCAATCTGCTAAGGCCCATCCTGATGAAGTGCAATCTTGAGATTCAGTAGTTTTTCTATGATAGATGTGCGAGTGACTGGTGGAACCGTCACTCTCGTCATGCCCGACGAAAGAAGACGACGCGGATGCTGTTGATACTCTGTAAGAGGTGGAAACACGCTCGTTTCAAAAATACCTAGTGAATAAAGCAGCAGTCAGCAAGGATAGTGGAGCCATTTGAAGGAAACAACCATAGTACTTATCGCCCTCATCGCACTGCAACATAAGTACACCATTCTTGCCATAAATTTCTTAGAAAATGGTTGTTGCAGCCTCAACTTCATAGCATGCATGAAGACTGACATAACACGACACTCAGCAACATGATGGTCTCCGCATTACATGTGATAATTGCGCAACAATCCAACTGTATCCTTATGTGCTGATCCCACACGACGAGAAGTTTCGGTCAAAAATAAAGCTATCAGGGGTTTGAGCTTTGGTCGTGTTGTGTGGTTATTTTTGCCTTTCGGCCTGTCTGGGACTTGTCTAAGTAGGGTTTTCGGTCTGACAGTGACACACGGCACAAGTCATTTCCTGAGGAACACGGAGGAGCGAATTTTATGACAAAAGCTGACATTGAGCTTGAGAGGAGACTAAACCTAATTTACACTTAATATGCATTTCAACTCGTATTGAAAAATCTGTCAGTTTTATTCGATCTGAGCCTTTCCCTTGCTACAGCTACACGATGTTGTGCGGAATTTTCTTCACCCACATGCATAGAATTTGTTGCTGCTCGAACAAGAGAAAGTGGCGACTTAGTTGTAATTCATTGTGAATTCCTAATCGTAGTAAATCCCTCTCTTTATTGTGGCTGGGATCACAAGAACGCCAAAAGCAAAACACTCATGATAGATTTAGATTAGGTAAGCTGCACGTTCGTTCTCGTACAGAATGAAGACGATGCCTTTCGCTTTCACTGCAGCCATGAAGCCGTTCTTAGTCTGGTACTGGCTGTGTTTGCCGCCTGTCGCAAAAGCTGCCTTCGACCAAGGATTTTTGGACCGACCGTATCTGTATGTGCGTGACACGACCTCAGCTCTTAGCGGTCCTCGGTCCGATAGCAGCAAGCAATGCTCTCTGAATCACGATCGACATCATCAAGAACCATTTTTAACATCGGTAAGCCATCAAATATCTGCCCACTGGTTGGCGAGGCATGTTCTCCGTGATCTTGCGCGGGAGCCATGGTACAAGGGTGAGTTCTATCGCACACCGGTACGAATCAACGCGAGTCATGTTCTCGGCAGTCCTTTTTTCACAGAAGCGCATACGGTAGTGGCAGAGTTGGAGCTTCTTGGCAATAACACAGCGGCGAACGAAAAATTCCAAGCAGTGAGAACTACCGCGTCCAAGAAGATACCTTTGCTGCGAAATGGCATTCGCGTACTGTCGGACAATGAGGATGAAAAAATGAAAGAATTTGTACCGGAATTGTCTTTCTCTGACTTTTTTCCGTCCCAGCATGGTAAGCAACCAAAAGCGCGCATACGCCTGCGACTGCCTAACGTTATCCGCAACATGTGGAGGCATACAAGGCAACAACATTTTCGCAAAAAGGGAATTCTACTCTCTCAGAATTGGCGTCGCGTGCCAGATGCGACAATCGATCTAGAGTTGAAGTTGGAAAACTACTACGACCAAGTGCACTCATCATCATGTCTGAAAGAAGACCACGCTGCACCAGTACCAGACTCGATTTCCGTCAACGTATTCGGAAAAGATCGCGGCGAGAATACAGCTGAAAGCGATGATGCGCCTGCAACGATGATCAACAACATAAACAACGCCCAATCGTTCATTCGCAGGCATTTGCGTGTTTCCTCACTGCAAGTGAATTTTCTAGCATTGAAGAAAGGCGCGCCGGGCCAGGATTTGGAAGCTCGTATACCTTCTCAGGACCCTGCAATCTACGCAAAACTTGCCAACGCAGAATCACCACTGTCTTTGCCTGAAAGCATTCAGATGTGGGAGGGCGACCGCCTGTTGTTTGCTAGCAGCAGCACTTCTGAGATAGATGACGATCAAAAAGTAGTTGCGCTTCTTGAAGATGAACCAAAGGAAAGTGATGGACTAAGTCCTGGCGTTGTTCCATATTTCGATGATGGCGAACTTTTCACCTCTACTCTATGGCGTAAGGAGCACATTATTGGACAAAGAGATGAAACTGTCGTCCGACAGCCTTTGCTGCTTGATCATCCTGTCGTGGTTTCGGAACTGTCACACAGCATCGTGCTTCATCGAGATGCCCGTGAGCGAGATCGTACACTCATATACGTCGGTGCAGCGGACTACGATGAGGCGTACCTCGACCGCAGCGGCGTTCTTTCGCGGTACCGCCATGCGTGGTTCTTTGAGGCAGATCCAGTAGCGTTTGAAAAACTCAGTCAAAACGTAAATCGCTACGGGAAGCACGACTATGTGGGACGACTGCGGAAGCAACATCAACAGAGTGGGCAATTACACACAAAGGTCTCTCCTAGTGCGTTCGGGAGCACCAGCAAACCGAACAGCAAAAGACTCATAGGAGAAGGAGATACAGCAAGCGCTGCTTTTTGTACCTCCGACCGCATTGTGAATGAGCAAGACGATGGCACTGTGGAATTCAGGGTCAGTGATAACTGGCGCGAGGTAGACGACGAATTACCAGAGAGAATGGGCAGTCTGCTCAAAACGACCATGCCGGAAAAATCAGTGACCTTACCGGAGGACGTGGAAGCCCAGGATTTTGACACAGCTTACGGTGGCACTAAGATTCTCAAGCTGGCTACGACAACGCTCAGCACGGTCATGGCTGGAATTACGCAGTTGCGATTCGAGGGTCGTGCTCGTGGAAGGGGAACTACGGAGCAAGACGGGTCTGATAAAGTACGACAGCAGAAACAAGATCTTGACGAGTCTGCCCCAGCTCCAAACTCCAGCTGGTGCGTGGAAGGTCAAGGAGGAGATCATAAAGTTGAGGGGTTTTCTACGGATCATCATTGCGCGAATCTTCTCGCTGCGGCAGCGCGGAGGAATGATGTCGTAAGTGGAGAAGCGATTGCCAAAAAAGATGTAGCCGAGGACGAGGTAGTAGAACGGAGAGATGATCATCATGTTGATTCCATCGGAAGTGGAGCGAGTACCACAAAAGGAAAAATTCTCCCTCAGGTTCAGCTATGGCAAGACCAGGCTGACAACCGTGTCGGCCAAAAAGAGTTCAGTATTCTTTATTCTGGCCTTCCGATTTCTGAAGCAGCGAAGCCACGTAACTGGGACGCCCTAAGAGTACGGCCCAGAACGAGGAGGGCCGGCAAACGGTACGACAGAAATTCCCTTAATAACAATGACAACAAAGTTCGACGGCGCGACGATCATGAAGGAGCCATCGCCAAGGCGGACAACACCGACGATGCAAACATTCGCTTCGACCTAGTTGTCGATGTACAAGGCGCTGAGTTGGCAGTCTTACAAGGAATAAGACATGAGAGCGACTGGAGATCGATCGGCACAGTGCAGATTGAAATTACAACGCTGGAATACAACTCTTTATGATGATGGACGTGGCAGCTTTAGAGAACGAAGAAGAACCATTTCGTCGTCGTGTTTGTCGCTTCTACTTCTTGCGGCTTTTCTTCACCTAGAAGTTTACATACCTTTACCTCAACATCGACGTCCTAGTTGTAGTTATTCTCAATATGTTACCCATTTTCATTTTAGTGGCCTGCGTACATCGGCGGAGCCCGTTTCCCGGACGTCGACGATGTCCTTACGCGGCAGGGGTTTGTTTTGCAGAGCACGTGGGGGAGTGATCCCGCGACGCAGTTCAATGGGTGGAACTATCCTGCCGCACGCGTAACGAGTTGCAACTCTGTACTAGACATTGCAGAGGCACTAAGACGAGGAAGCGCGCATTTTCTGACAGAGAATCTAGCCCCCAGACATCGACATGGAATGGAACCATTAGAACGCGTCCTTTCAGAGCACGAAGTTCTCGATGGCGCGATGCTGCCAGGAAATGGAAATTTCAAGTCTTTATTTTTATGAAGAACAAGAAGTTTAGAAGGGCGGTGGCGGTCGCCTATTTATTTATTAATATTTGATGTTGGTTTCTTGTTCTCAACAGTTTGATCATCAAAAAGAACAATACTTGAATGATTCCACTCCTGCTAGTGCTATTTCCTTGAAATATTCCCATTGGGATAAGAATGAGTAGAGACCATCTGGTTCTACTACTTCCTGATTGTGATTCTTCATCTAATTCTCGAAGATATTCTCGGAAGTTCCGTCGTGGAAAAAGCGGCAACGCGTTTGTTAACGCAAATAGGGGAGCGAAAGCAGGCCGAACGAAAAGGAGGTCTTAGTGCTAAGGATCTTCTGTCTTCTTCTAAGCAACTGCGCCTACAGGCAGCAATTGCAGCACTGCTCAAGGAAGCGGAGCGCGAAGTAACTGTCCTTGATGCTGAGGATGGAGAATTTCGCAAAGAACGTGTTTTCGTAAATGGATTTTTAGAAGTAGGAAAGAACACAAGCAAGACGAAAACTGAAGAACGGACTACTTCGAGACAGGCAGACGGCAAGCAGCAGCCCGAATACCCGCAGATGCGCACACTTGCGCGAAGCTTGGGTCGCGTCGTGCGGCTGCTACGTCAAGAGCTAGGATTCACCAATTTCTTCGTGCGACCCGACATAAGATCGCTAATCCGCGGTTGGAAGTTAGAAGACGAGATGGACCGCTTGCCGCCACAATGGGCCAGTGCAGTAGAGGACGAGCAAGGCGTCTCCTACTCTCCTTTGGAGAAGGAACAACGGCGCTCACGAGAGCAGGCAGCGCAAGCAGGCTACCGTTCAGTGCAGGAAGGAGATAAAGAAGGAAACGAAAGCAAAAATGGGGTGACTGGTGCGAAGGTGTATTACCGACGGCAAAGACTAAGACGTGCAAATACTTCGTATGCTGGAGGGATTGGTGGTGCTGGTGAGGAGAACGAGAAGGAAGACGCATATTTACTAGCGGACGTAGATGGAGAATCCGCAAATAAAACAAAATCAAGCTCTCAGGCAAAAGAGTTTTATTTCGTAGGCAGGCCACGCTCGCAGCATCAGCAGCGTTTTCAAGACCACGAGGATGACGACATAGTGATAACAGACACCATCGCAGGGACTTTTTCAAAAATGGCTGAGCAGTGGACTGACTCGCGATACTTGTGCCATTGGGCATGGATTCCAATGCATGGGGATGCAGAGTATTCGCGCATGCACCTTCTGCATTTAAATCAGCACTTTTTGAAACATATCTGATCTCTTCTTCGGTTGTGTTGAGTTTCTCTCTCCTCACATGTATAATGATGTATGATCTTGATATCAAGATCATCTCCATCTCCTTGGGGCGAGCACTTGCGCAACAAGGTGAAGGTGGTATTCACGTATTCTGAACGTCGTGCTCGTGTGGAAGTGGAACGCATTCTTGCGAATCATAAACATGATTAAATAGATGGATCTTGTCACAACTATTGCTGATGCTGTCCTATTTTTGCGACACGTGAAATTCAAACCGTTTTTATCTTTCTTGAGTAGCCGAGTGAAACGAACCATTTACAAAGAACAAAAGATTAGAGAAGCAGTAACAAGCAGTACTTTTCAACTACAGTTCGAGTCAACACTAAAAAACTAAAGGGCAATCACTGCCTTCCTTGATGTGTGGCAGGACAAAATGCCGCGCACTTTCCTCATCAGCGGCGCATCAAGTGGCGTTGGCGAGAATCTAGCCTGCCGCTTGGCGTCACTCACTTGCTGTCCAGTACTCAAGAAAGAGGGCCTCGCTATGCATTTGCTGGGGCGCGACAGCACAAATCTGGAACGAGTGGCCTCTACATGTCGTGATCTCTTGGCTGCCGCAACCTCTACCTCCAGCTCATCCACGAATATTATGTATGAAATAGTGGAGAGTATCAATTTAGCTCTCGATCCAACTTGACTGCGTAGAAGTACAGGTCATCGTCACGACGTGATCAATCATAATCAATGTTCACTTACTTATCTTTTTATGTCCATCATCCGATCTTCTTCATGATCAACATCGATATCGATTTTCATTTCGCCAGGAGAGGCAGAATCCGCGCGGCCAACATTCAAGGTAACAACTTCGATATGCGATCTCAGGAACGGGAATGCTATAACTGAAATGTGGGAACGCGATTTCATAACAGCGCATGGAGGGAAGCTCGACGTTCTTGTGGCGAACGCGGGTGTGAATCGTGTAGGTCTTGTAGAGGAGCAGTCGGATGAAGACTACGACACAGTATTTGACACCAATGTGCGCGGCGTGTGGAACTTGGTGCGCAAAGCAGTACCGCTATTCATTACGGGACTGTATCACTCTGTCCTTTCTATTTCGTGTATCACACGAATGAATAACCAGCACGCATGATTCGATCTGTCCATATCAAGCTCACGTTCCTAACTGTAGCATAAAACATGACTGTAATGAAGAGAGGTTACCAGTCTAAATCCAAGCAGCAGAAGAGTGGGCAAATTGTCATCACAAATAGCGTTCGAGGGCTTCGTGGAAGCGCTACGGCTACGCTCTATTGCGGGAGCAAATTTGCGCTCCGCGGCATGCAAGATTGTTGGCGCAACGAATTGCAGCCCTTTGGTTATGGTAGGTGAAATTTTTGGTGCATCCATTCTTGTCAACTCTAGTTTTTGTAAGTATCAAAGTAGATTTTCAAGTATTCATGTTGTCCACAAGGACGTGCAGAATCCATGAGGACGTGGACCAGACTGTTTACTCTAACACAGTGTCAAGGTCGGCTCTGTCTTTCCTGGAGGTATCGACACTCCTTGGTGGGACTCGAAGGATCGAGGCGGACGGGATCCGGGCACGTCGAATACTAAGGGTTACCTGCAGCCAGAAGAGGTCACTGATGCGATGCTCACCTTGATAAACCAGAGATCAAACAGCAACCTTGCAGAACTTCGCTTTTGATTTCCATTTCGATTCAACGAATAAAGAAGAAATAAAAGTTGATGCTCAGGGCGATGGCAAGATGATGGCAAATGCGAGAGGTAAATGCTATCGTGTTCTGTGCTGCAAACCACAGAAACTCTTTGGTTGGACTGGAAACTTCAACCCACCAGTTGTTTGTGGTCATCCGCATTCAACTGGTCATCTGACGCAAACGAACCAGCGAAAAAAAAAACATTGACATTTTTAGCACGCATGATCAGGAGGAAAGTCTTAGTGTTCATGAAGTTACGAAAAAACATCATCAAGCACGGAAGGTTTTGTACAGCGTGAATGGCCAACACAGATGTTGGCAACTTTGCGATCAGTAGATGACAAACTGATCAAGGGCGAATGGGAAATTCCACTGATAGTCAATGGCTAGCAACCTAACACCCATTGCAGTATGCTCATCGGTGCAAGTTCGGAGGTTCCAGAGTGGTTGTTCTTTTAACATCGTGATCCTCCTGAGTGATCCATTTCGAATCAATTACGTACTATTCAGATTAATTTCACCCGCTATGCAATATATAACGAACAACTTGCACCACAAGCTAAGTAGGCTCCCCGTCCGCTGCTCAACAACTCCATCTAAACAACGTGCTGCGCCTTGCAGAAACCAAGAACCGGAGGACAAGAACTTCTTCCGACTACAAGAAGAAGATGAGCAGTCGTCATAATTCGAAACTTCTTTTGCAGTGTTATTTCTTCGGAACGGCATTTTTGAAGAGGATATTCATTTCGGTGCAACTCGTCCATGGTGTCGGTGGTACGGTGTTACCCCATGCAGCAGCTGCAGCTTCGCAAACCGCCGACGAAGGTGCTGAAGCAAAAGTAATCGTCACCGGCCTGCACGGCCCTTTTCTCTCACCGGTACGAATACTATCGCGGACATCGAAAATGCGTGGGGCCGCCAATACAGAATGCCGGTAATCGATCAACCCCCTCCTACAGAAGGGCCGGAAACGTTTTTGGATTGGAGTCGAATCGTTGAGGATGGGGGGCGGCTTCCTGAAGACATGCTTTCTTCTGACTACCCTTTACCGGCGCTTGCAGCAGAAACAGAATCTGGCTCATCAAGTACAACAACTGTCGTGCGGTTGACCGGGGTGAAGAGGCTTTACAAATTACCACCTCTACTTTCGGAAGACGAGTGGCAGGACGACTACCAGCAGTGGGCCGCGAACATAGCACAGGAGGTGCAGAGAAGAAGGCCCCACCTTGTGAACTGGGCTCCGCATAAGCTCCTGCTCGTAGCTCAGATAATGGCGCAAGTGTCACGTCTGGAAGACGATTGATTACATTATGCCAGCAAGCGAGAAGATTCAGAGGCGGAACGAGATAAAGAGAGAATTGGAGAAGGCGCGGGAATCAGGCGCAATGATAAGGGAAGGAAAGTTGCTGCACACAGAAGAGCTAGAGCTAGCGACAGAAATGAAGGCACTTGCGCGCGAAATCCGAAGCGCTGCCTTCACGCTGGTGGAAGAACGAAAGAGTATCCTTGAACAGATTCGAGATCTCCGCTTCTTCTGACTGTGACCATTATCTATAATTTCATTTGTTGAGGCCAACGATCTAGATCGAGGGCCTTGCGGTAGGCGTTTTCTATTTGCAACATAAAGTCACGATTTTGCCCATGTAAATTCGCAACGTACATGTCCCCGGTGACTGTGTAACACTAACAGGCCTACTCTTCGCCCTACTGTTACTAAGACAGGCACTGCTGAATCTTCATCTTCAACATCAATTTTGAAGCAAACGCATCATAAGTGATGATCATCGCATAAAGTATGCGGTTGGTGCTGCAGGTGCTGCAACTCCATGACTTCGAAACGAAGAGCAGTTTTTCACTCTGTGCATGAGTTCCTTTGCAGGAACAACAGCGGAAAAAATACGACCGGATATGTAGCAGGCATGCATATCCCGGGTCATCTGTGAACTCCCGTAATGGCTACTCAGAGTAAGTTGTTCTGCACAATGCCAGAAGAAGAACGTTTTTCACTGAGACCATCGAAACTTTTCTCATTCTTGAAGTGAAGTCGTTGGTTCCTGATACTAATCTTTTTCTTTTTTAATGATGCTACTGTCCTTCCTCATCCACCTAAACTACAAGTATTTTTGTTGCTTAAAAATCGCTTCATCAGCCATTTTTTCTACTGCCACGTCGATGGCTTTCTCAAAGGTTTTTTTTGCCAACATTTCCATCATCGGCGCGAGTCGCCCGCCTGCCTCTGTCTCTAAAAAATGGAGAAACTCCGATTGGTCAGCTAGCAACACCTGATCCAAAGCTGCCAGGTACTGGTCTAATAACGAACCAAGCTGCGCCGGTGTCAGCGTTTTGTCCCGTGGTTGCTGGAGGTAGCGCAATTCGGCCACCAGATCCTCGATCGCTGCAGAACTCGCTTTCTGCCTGTACAGGAACGGCGCAAACATCTTTGTCCAGCGCTGTGCGATCACGGGCCAGTGTCTTTGCAGGTGACGAAAGTACACAACCATCATCATGCAGTAGATAATGCCGCAGATCGCAGTGAGAATGATGCACTGCGTTTTCTCGAGCCCACTGATCCACGCTCTTAGAAGGATTAGCGGCGTTGTCCCATGCAAGCCGCAGGCCAGCATGTTCGTTCCGAAATGGAAGAGAGCGTCGGATTTCGCGATGATGCTGTGAATCCGATGCGTCGGCGTGCCCTCCACGATGATGCTCTCGAGCACGAGGACGCAAGTTCCGAAAAGAGACGCGGCGCAAATGGTCATCGCCAGCATGTTGTACGCGGCCACGAAACCCTGCGGACATTCTGGGTAGTTCTCCGCGCTCAAAGGGTTCAGCGCGGACCCAAGGAGCGAAGCCAGGATGAGCATCATCACCAGTGAATACTGCGTCAGCGCGGCTATATACGCGTTCTTCGCTTCGACCGCTGGGACCGCGAGTAGGCTCTGGATTTCCGGAATGAGACCAGCTAGGATGAAGGACTTTCGCTCGAGGCGCTGGATGGCCTCCTCAATTCCAGCATCCGAAGGATCGAGCACCACCGCCTGCTCGTCCCCGTCAGATGCGCCACTCCGACTGCGAGGACCACGACGCTGACCAAGCGCAGCTACGCGCCGCGCATAGGTCGATGAAGATGAACCTCCTCCGGACATTTCTTTTGGTTCTCATGAACGGACAAACACGTAGTTACTTAGCGAACGTCTCCGAGCATGATTTATCGACGCACTCAGCTAAGTACCTTAGCTGTGCCAAAATCAAAGTCAAACAGATGCTCTTATAATCGATCCTATCGGTATTCCCTCAGAACTACCACACCTTGATGGAGGATACTCACTTTTCTTCGCAAATTACGCGTTGGTCTCATCTACTTCCTTTTATTAATTTCTATATTATCCACGTTGTAAAAAGTGAAGATGATTGTAGTTCATCAAATTGAGTGACAGTCCTGCTTTCTTGTGACTGCCTTTTGTTGGTGTCATGCGCAACAATGCCTCCTGCACATAAGTTGCCAGGAGTTTGCAAGTCTCTTTAATCAACGATTTGCTTCAAGCAGATGCTGTTCATCTTCTCGGTCGTGTTAATATCATTTGAGAGTCCTCGAAGAATGCGCGAGGACAGGGTAACGCCTTTATTTTTTCGTCAGGGACGAAGTATATACGTCCAATCAATAGCATCCTACTCACCTGATCCACGATTGTATTCGCAGGTAGTCACATGGAGGAACTCCGCCGGCGCCAATCGATTCTCTCTATCGCTGATGAAATCCGGATCATGAAAATAAAGGCACTAGCCATTGTGCTCCATGTCGTGTCGTAGGCGGCAGGAATCATCCTTGGTGCTGGAATATCATGATCTCGTTCTCGCTCGTTATTTTTAATAAGATTGATGGACCGGAGCAAAAGCTTGCTAGTTTTCCCAAGCAACAAGTCTGCTCGACTTTGAAAAGCTTATTTGTTTATCTTCATCTTGACTACAACTACTCCACCAGCTCCCGCAGCAGATTTTTCAACACGTTCAACTTGCAGTGCAGGCAAGAACTGTTCTTGTCGTAGGCCTACCACAAGAGACGGGCACCAATAGATAATCCGAGACCCATTGAAGGCTTCCGGGCCAATCGGAATGGTCAAGGGCCCCACGTCACTCATGTAAGTATGCCAACACAGCGAAAGGATCGATGCTTTTCTTGGTTGGAATAGTAAAGCGGTTTGTTTTCCTTCAGTATCCTGGTCTAGGATTTTGATTTGCTTCTCAGGCTCCGAGACGTGCAGATTGCGCAAAGAGGTAGCATCGGCAAGAAGCTGTGGAGTCTTAGTGTCTTGGTCGTGTTGCGTCCCAATAATGGCCTGCAGTTCATGTGGCCACAAATGAAACAAGCCGTGGCCGGCCTGTAGGTATAACGCAGTTGGATTAACACGCGTCGCCTCAATATGCTGCGAGGCATCTGGCCTTAGCCCACTGAGAATAGGCAGCAATTCTGCACTTTCCATGAAGAGCAACGAGGATGACAACTTCAAATTTTCAACTTTCTCGCTCTTCAGGTGTTGACCTGTACCTGCTGAAGATCTTGATACGCCCACCGCTTTGCTTCCCAGTTCTTTGACTTGTAGTGTCGCCGTGGCATGAAATACAACCTCTCTCCTAGTATTATCTCCCGAGGCCGATTCTCGTCTCTCTTGTCTTCCCTCTATTTCCCTTGTTGTCACACGATGCTTTGTTTGCCTCGCCTTCTTGCTGGGAGTTTGCTGACTCTTGTTTGCCTCTGTTCCACGCCTCGGGCTTGGCTCACCGGATATTGCCCTCACGCTGTAGACGATGTCATCGTGGTCTTCAGTTGTTGCCGCTATATACTATAATAGGTATAAATGTGCTTTTCACGCTTGTCACAATAGCGACAAGCCCGATTGTAGTTCGACAACGCTCCTCTTCTGGCATATTCAATTTCACTCGTCCGCTGCTTCCAATGCCACTTCCATCATAAGCAGTATTTTTGTGCAGCTCTCACTGCTTGCGCGAAAAGATGACCACCGTAGAGCGAATTCTGTCCTAGAGGCCAGAACAAATATTTTGCGGAAGCCCTACAGAACCGTTTGTTCTGCGACTCGTATGAAGAAGATGCCTCGTGTACTCCTTCCTGCTCCTGGTCGTTTCTCTCTTTTCCAATATATCGCCTAACTCAGAATTGCGATCACCTCCAATATATCGCCCAAGTCAGAATTGCGCAAGACGCCGCCCTTGCTGAGTAAGCCACAGAAATCGCGTTCGCTGCGCAACACCATCTCTGCAGATTCCGCCATCATTATTTTGCGCTTTGAACAAGTGAGAAAATAATGCTGGACCCACTGCTCTTTGGGTCAATGTGTGCGAATTCAATTCATTGTAGTTTGTTCCTAGCGAAACAGGAGTAGAAGGAAGATCTACGTCAACATTGCCTCTGTGCACAAAAAAAGGTAAATTTGAACCAGTCAATTCATTGCTCCTCGTGTTGTTAGGTATAGTAGGTAACAAGCATTAGCATAAACCATAAAACCTAATGGCACCAAAGGAAGTTGTAAAAAAATGTAACTTTTTTAAGGAATAACGGGAACTCCTGGGATAGGGAGGGTCGCTGTTGGATGAGAGGTGTGACAGAGGAAACGGCACATCCGCGCGATTTGTTTGTTGCTCTCTTTGTTTCAGAAATTCAAAGCAAGAGACTAGTAGATCTACATCTAGAGGACGTCGTCATAATAAAAGAACAACTAAAATGAACTTTTGCATTCATCAACTAATGCTCATCGCAATGTTCCGTCCTAGTTCTACTCGGTCGTTCTCTCTCTTAAAACGCCGTCAAAATTATCGCGCTAGAACCCCATGGTCCCCTATGGAATCCAATTACAGACCTAGACGTGTAGATCCGAGGTCTATCCTCTAGTGTCCGAGGGCAAGCATGTCGTGCGCCTTTCATGAACGTGGTTCCTTCGCTACACTTGCTCCGAGCAGCTAAAGTAGGAAATTACAGCCCAATAATTATATATCTATGTATATGTTAATGTACATGAATGCTTTTGACACATCAGTGGCCTGGACGGTTGATACATCGAACGTCCCGTATGCTATGGACTGTCGTGGTTGTCTGCACTTTGTTCCCTGGTGCGGTTCTTCGAAGTACTATCTCCTTGCTTTGTTTGTAGATGAAGACTCCTTTCCGCTTTTCACTTACCTAGAAGGTATGGATGCACATGCAGTTGCGCGGCGATTATCATGATGAAGACAGAGTAGACTCCTAATCAAATTCTACAAGACAATATAGGACTGAAAGATTTATTCAAAGCAGAAGAGACTCAGATATTCTCATACTTCTTCTCAGATTCACTATGATCTTTCTTCACCTCTTCTAGAGCAGGCTCTTTCTCTATGTCCATCAGAACAACGACAACGGGGTGGTCGTCGCGGGTTTTCTGGTCTTCTTCGCCCGAGACCGAGTCTCGTCTCTGCTCTAAACTACCAATCTTCTTCTTCTTCAAACAACACATAAAGCTATCAGCTTGCTATGTATACATAGGGTGTTTATTAATATTCGGCCGAGCCTCCCGAGTCGCCTTCAATTCCTACCTTGTCCGCGCCCGTTTGTGTAGATGTGGTTGCCTTCCGTGGGATCCAGTGGCACGCAATAATGACTGGGATAAGCGTCAAGTACAAAAACACTGCTCCAAAAAATTTTCCAGGACCGATTTTCGCGAAAACATTCCCCCAGAACTGCATACTGACATAGGCGGAAACCGTCCACCACCATACCCAGCGCCCTGCGTTGAACGGATCGGCGCAATGCAGAGCGCCGCTAACGAGAAAGGCGCAAAAGATGGCCGTGCAAAGGTTGAAGCGCACTCGCTCCCCCACAAAGCCAGCAGGATACAGGTCACAACGCCCACGCTGGTCCGGATACGTGAGGCCCAATACTAACAAAACCTGGATTGTCCAGTTTTTTACGAGTGTAACTAGCTTCGTATCCATCTGCATCTATGTCAAGATTTTTATGCGACCGTGATCATTCATCAAAACCAATATATCTGTATAATTTGGATTTGGTAATGTTCATTTGGTTTTGGTATTTCTATTTGGTATTTGAAATACATATTTTTCTGGTTTTTATACAACAAGCAGATTCACGACCTACAAAAAAAAAATCTTGAGGAGCTGCTAACTCACTAAATGAGGTTTAGTTGCTCTACCATGAATGGCCAATAGTTCCAGAAGAAGAGCTTGAGTTTCTCGTTGCCGTAGAGGGGTCGTTTTTCGACTGTTGCCGCCCACAGGAAAATGCCTGCTAACTGCGAGAAGAACTGCAACTTCCAAGGAAATATGGCGGGCGCTAGAAACACCCATGATCCGACGATCCAGGTCAGATAACCGCGGTCGCCTACCATAAGGCCAGCGCAAATCAAGCTCAACGTTGCTGGTGTTGATGATGATGATGATGATGATGATCGTGGACAAATTTAGATTTACATTTGGTTTTTTGGAAGATGTCGATGAGGACGACTATGACAAGCACAGACTCACTGGCGGAAATCTATTCTGTGACGAAAGTTAGTTCTTCGAGTACGAGTTGATGTAGATGTAGTAGCTGTAAATATTAACTAGGTGTAAGTTAGTACCCATTTGTTCTGCGACGAGGAAAGTGAACTGGCGTATATTTTCCTTCAACTTGTTGTCTGGCTTTATGAAAAAGAATGCCACCACGCACCCTGCTACAGTTAGGCAAAGAAAAACTGTGAAGCATACTGCGGACACAACCTTATTTGGGTTCTTGTACATCGGGCGCCGCTGTTCAATCAGTGCTGAATCTGAGAGCTCACCCGCGGACGAGGAACTAAGAACTTCATCCTTCTCTGCAGCGTCAGCATTTGCTGCGCGGCCCGCACGACCACGGTTTGCCATGTTGACCTGGATGGAAGCGGTAAGAGCAAAACGATCTTCAGGTGGATTTGCTAGAGGGAGAAGTAGTGAAAACGAAAATATCTTTATCTTAGTCTACTTCCACGATGTATGTCGAATGATAAAATACATTCAAGCTCGACGAAGGTACTATCAGGCGAAGACCAAGACGAACAACGCTGCTGCAGATCAATGGAGTAGTTTGTCTTCGTTCTACGTGTCATTACCATGCCTTCGCGTAAGAAGCTACATCATCCGGGAAATCAAAAGAATAAATTCTACTTACTACAACACAGGCGAAAAATAATAATAAACATTGAATATTTTTTTCTACGATGGAAGTGCATTGCGATGAATAGAATAAATAGAGTGAATCTAGAAAATGAAAAACATAATAAATACAGAATACTCTATCAAGCATGCCCTTCACCGGCCAGAAGAGAAGCGAGATTATGAGGAGGCACAGCACGTACCACATCTGTCCGATAGATGCGAGTGTCACGCATCTATCAGGGTCGCCTTTGAGGTTGTTGTACTCGATCATGAGCCCTGCCATGTTTAGGCCCATCCCAATTAGACTGATAATGCACAGCTTTGCTATGTAGATTCCCAACTTTGGTCCCCCGCCTGCAGGCATGCGCATCCGACTGAAGCCCAGACCAGAGATGATGTGGATTAGAGACAGACTCAGACTCTACCCAGGTGAAGCTATAGGTATAAATGTAAAAATCAATTGTACTTGTTTCTATTAATTTCTTCATTTGATATTGATTGCTTGCTTATTTATTTAGTGCATATCGAGGCATTTATTCTGTGTTGTGCATGGTCATCCTTTTCATGTGTAGGATAATGTATAATTAATGTAGCTACAACCACAACAAGCAAAACCACAAGTAGCAGCATGTTTGTTAATTTCGAGATAATTTTCTTCATAAAAATAGAAAGGGCATGACCCAGTGAAGGCACAATCCGGTGTTGTTGTCGGAGAATCGTTCTCCCGCTGTATGCATCGTGGCGGTTGCACACACGCAGACCAATCGGAAAAAGTCTAACTCGTGTTGTCGCGTCTCCACTTTCTTCCGTAGCGAGATCAGCATCTTGTTGGTTTTGCTGGCTGCTTTGAGGGTTCCACTTTCCAGTGCATCGGTCGACGAGCCAGCTCCTGGTGATGAACGGTTGCGGAGGCCGCTATTGCCATCTTCATCCGTCCCAGCTGCCTGATCACCGATTGCCTCTGCATTACCCTCAACATCCCGATTGCCGCTGCGTTCGTTGCCGCTGCCCGCTGCGCTATTGGTCGTGCTGCGGAAGCCCTGGCTGTCCTGTCGTCTATACCAACCCTTGGATCGGCCCCACCAGCTGTTTACGAACAAGATGAGCGCTAGATGCACCAAAAAGAGGCACCCGAAACCCAATTGTGCCCAATGTTCGGTTCCGGTACCTGGCGTGGGTAAGTGGACAGGTAGTGGTAGTTGTAATTTCACTTGCACGATCTATTTGACTTCAGTATCTGTATCCCTCAGCATTGTTCTTACAAATGCAGACTGTAGAGAAAAGTAGCCACCAAAGAGAGGTATTCTGTTTATTACAACTGAGCACGTAGAGCTTTTTCATGTTACAGTGATTGAATTCTGATGATTTATATTTATAGTATCCCAGTCGGTCCCGGTGAAGTTGGGGAGCTATCAATCTAGGGGTAAGAACTGACTCGCCCATCAGAAGGAATACATCCATCACTACTTCTACTCCGAGGACATCAACAAAAATCAATGTCGCAACAAGAAAACATTAATAAATACATAGATAGTTCGTTAATACTGTAATCGAGGCACGAGGGTGGATTATGAATGAGACGGCGTCTAGGGAGGTACTTCACAAGTACAAGAGTCAGTGGTGGTTAATTCAACGCGAAAGCAAGTATTAGTGATGATGAAAGGACTAGACGGCGACTAGTTAAGAACTAGTTTAGTAATAGATACTTACTCGTCAAGTACCAGTATGGAACATGTCCACATCGTAGCCGTAGTGTTCGCTGCATTCGATAGTCTTCGCATTGTAAAACCAATCTGAACTTTCAGGCTCAAACACCTGTTGTCCCAAGACGTATTTAAAATTGTCTTTATCTCCCATCTTCACCTTGCTAAATGGCGTTCCCTTCCGCACGTTGAAGGTGTGCTCACTTTCTATCGTTTCGCCGTGAAATGGTTTCACGCTAATCTTCACGTTTGCCTGTCCAGCAGCAGCTGCACCCGAGGCGGCTCCTTTGGCGCTGCTCGTAGCAGCCTCGGCCTTTATCCGCTGTACCATGTTGTTGTTTGTTGGATGAAGATCTTGTTCGAGTTCGGAGTCGTGGATTTATAAGGCTGTACTAGTGTAACTAGAATGATTGACGAACTATGTCATCTACTTGTTGCAAGTAAGAAACGCCTATGCCGATCGGAAACTTCCAAGTAGTAGGAGCACCCATTCAATATCAAGACTCGGCCAAGAGCTGGTGTGTCTATGTATCGGACGATAAAAAGATGATGCAAGTTATTTTTCCAATCAGTTATGGATTCTGCGGGCCGCACTCATAGGATGACATCTTCTTCATCAAGCTGAAACTGGATAAGTACAACAAATACCAATACAAGAACTAACACTCACTGCACAACAACAGTTATAGACCAGATAAGCATACTTGCTTGTGATTCACAATTGAGGAAAGGGGAAACGCATTATGGGATAGTCAGATGGCAGTGCAAGGAGTAGTACGGATGGCGGAAGAAGCACGTCGTTGCGCATTTGTTTTGTGTTGGCCTACCGAATGCTGGGTAGCGTTTCCAGCCCTCGCAGATGACGGACACTTCACCTCGCTCTGGCGATGAATGTGACACTTCTTGACGATCCCTGTTGTATCCTTCTAAAGTGAAAGTCTGTTTCTCTCTTTAACAGATTGATTCGTGGACAAGAACCATTTGTCAGTTGTAGCTGCTCTTGCCAATGTTCGACTCCAGCAGAATCGTGGTGTCTCTACTAGTCTCAACATCATGGACAGATGATACTAAAGATCCTTCTCGCTTCACCAAAGCTTTACTAACGCTCTACGCAGGCTCTTTTCCGAACTGAATTCTTATTCTAGACAGATGGATCATCATTACTTACTCACATTGCGCTGATCGCGAGCTCTGGACCGACTTTTTTCTGCTTACGACCTTGATTTGTGCAGAAAAAACGTAATAAATTAATCGTGAGAGCCTAAAGCATGGAACGTAATTCTTGATTGCACCCGGCAGCCTACTACACTAACACTAAAAATTGCTGGTGGCTGCACTCAGTGGCTGGTGAATTCCACGACTCGCAAAAGAGAAAAACAAACTTGAGGTTCCGACGATGGAGATGGTTACAGTCACATTCATTCTGACTTGTTCGTTTCGTTTATACACGATGACGATTTTGTTGAATGATGTTCACAAAAAAAAGTTCATATCGTTTAAAAACATTGACATTGATGCTGATGCCTGGAGCCGGAGGTTACCTTTTTCCAATGATGTGATACCTCTAGGTAGATAGCTAAAGATAGACATTCATTGTAACGTCCTGGGATAAAAAAAAATGAAGTATACGAAGGATAATTGTAGTGCATTTTTGAAGGGTCAGTCTCTATTCTTTACAGAAGTGATAAACTTTGATAGTCATTGCCACGTTTTGCATTAGTCATAGGCTTGAAATTCTGTGCAACCGAGATTGCCGTCAGTCAAAGAGGGCCATATTCGGACGTTGTTTTCGTCCTGCTCTTTCTCTACAATTAAACGCCCACGCAACTTCTGGATGAAGCCGCTGTGCGTTCCGGCTTCATCACATCTGGTTCAGTAGGTTTCTTCCAAAAAAGAATACAAGCAAAAAATAAAAGAGGTTCCTTAGTTCAAATATAGTAACTTAGACATTGACATGTCGGTTTTACACTTGGAATTCTTGGAATGTTTTAAAATTGGCGAACAACGTTTCACAGTGTGCGATATAAGCGAATAAGCTTTCTGCGAGGTGAGTACATTGATCAACGATTGAATTATCCACGAGCCAGCTTTTACTTATTCGAGGACTAGGACTGAGTAGCGAGTCAAAATTGTAGTACTCCTACTCAACGACCACGGAGCATCAATTGCGTAAATGGTTTGAAGTACTACGGATCTTTAATTTCATCAAAAACAAAGAGCCACTCAAGAATATTGTCGTGCTGCAGCTACAGCATAAAAACGGCAACGTTTCTTTTTTCCGTCATGCTTATGGGCTTCACCCTCTCTTCTCTGACTCTATGCCATTACGTAGTACTTCTACTTCACCGTGGTCCCAAGTCGCATCTCCTAGTTTTTTGGTGGGGATTTCGGTAGAGATGATATCGTCGCAGGAAGAGCCTCAGGCATCCGGGGGATGCCCTGGAAACGCATTTCTAGGTCGTCGTCTCCTTCGACAGGTTCGGCGAGGATGCTTCGTTGCTCGTCGTAGTAGCCTTTACGCTGAACAGCGAATGTTAGAAAATCAAATGTGCGACAACAGTCTAACTGTAAATGACAAATTATGTCACCTAGTACTTCATCCCAGTACGAAGATGTAGTTGTATCGACAAGTACGACTAGGAGTACAGGAATGGCAATGAATTTGAAGATGGTCATGTATTACAGTAAAAATACAACACTGAATCAAAAGTATGCAAGTAAAAGTATTGCTACGGGAAGTTTCTTAATAGAGCTTCCGAGGTCGTTTTCGCATTTTCTGGTGACTGCGGCGCATCCTCTGCACCGCTTTCCTGCGCAAATTCTGCCTCCCCTGGAAGCAGTTCTACCTTTCGACCGCCATTGGTAGAGCTACTTCGTCGACTCTCACGCGCTCGGGCCATCGACTTTTGCGCTTCTTGATTCATCGCCTCGTTCTCCCTCAACCACTGTTCTACTCTATCCTCGCTATCCATCGAGATTAGAAGAAGATGACACCAGGAGGTCGTGCTGAAGCTCGCACTGCCAGGATACATGCGCTTGAGGCTTTTTAAACCGGACTTCTAACAGACAAATTTCAATTTGAGCTTGTTTGTTGAAACAATTACTTGACGGAAAAGGTCAGACCTTGAGGAGATGTACTAGAACTAGATCATGATTCAGCAACTTGTCATAAGTAAAATCTAGCTCCTTGTTGCCCTCTGACTCTGCCTCCGGCGCCATCCTCCAGTTCAGCCTTGAGAAGGTGAGCTTCTCCGACCAGGTCCAATAGGACGTCTCGCCTGGTGGGCACCACACCGCCTCCATCATTCATGAAAGGCTTTACAGGTGCTTTGGCATTTCCCTTCACCTTTTTCAGGCCTAGAAAGTTGATCGCTCTCCTGTCCAGCAGCCACTCATGTCTATCTTTTATCCACTTCTCCTCGAACTTCGCTTGTTCGCGCACGGTCTGAAACCTCCGGAAGCGCATGTAGTCCCGCAGAACGCGTACTCGAATTTCTTCCGGCACCATCATGTACCGCAGTCGCTCCTCCGTCTCCGCTGCGGTCGGACCCTTCTTTTGTTCTTTCCCTCCACCACCGCTGCGCGACGTCGCTGCTGTGCTCCCTCGCAGGTTTCGACCACTCTGCGCCTGGTATTGTGCTTTCTCCTTCGCTGCATGCTCGTCCATTTCCTTCATACGCTTCAGACAATAATGCCTCTCCACCTCACAAAACCTGAGAAAGGGACGAGTGCTCTGTCGCATCTATCGACCACAATGACAAGACAGAGTAAAAGACAAGGGTTCGGAACATGATCGTTTCTAGTAAGTAAGTTCAAAAGCAAGGTCTTTGTTCACTACAATACTACGCATCAAAAACGTTCACGTTGACGCATTCATCATGATGGCAAAATTATCCTCTATCAGGAAGAGAAAGCCACAACACCCTAAAAATAATGAGTTCCTCTTCCTTCACCAGTCACGAACAAATAAATCCTGCTCACCTTTCTCTTGCGTGCAAGTATTGATTCTTCAAGTGCGTCTTCTGTCTCCTCCACCATCTTTGGATGGTCACTGCGCGGTTAAAAAACATGAGAAAAAACCACTGTGTCCGTGCTGGAATCCACGACTCCATGGATTTCTTGATCACTATAGCAGCCGCACGGCGCTCAGTGACAAGGCGTCGCAGCCGCATGCTTGCCGCAACAAGATTACCTAGAAGGAAGGAGTCGGGGTAAACATGTCAGTGTGATCACATCTTGTGATAGCACATTCGGATATCTATAAATATTTGCAATGCGAAGAAAGTCTCATAATTGCACGAGAGAAAATGGTTAGTCCTTTTGTGTCTCGTTAACCTACCCAGGGGAGGAACGAAGTCAAGTTATAGTCAACGCAATTATGTTACATTTCCGTTTCATCCAGGATTCGAAGACCGGTGTCAGCACTGGCGGCTCCAGCTTTTGTTGTACATCCACGCAAAACCCTAAGACAGTGGTAAGAAGGATCCAAAATTGCGCGCATGGTGGGCCGCCCTCGTCCTCGTCGTCATCATGCCCTATGATATCTGCTGTTGTTTGCGATCTTTCCAAGTTTTGCGTACTTGCGGCCCTAAGATTCCTTTGTTTAGAAGATGCATGGTAGATGAAGAAAACGGAAGCAAAAAGAAAAAAGAGGAAAATGCTTATCGTTTACGAAGTACTGGGTAGTAGTACGTAACCCTCTGCATACAACGTTCACATAAATAAACAACAACAACAACAACAACCACGAGTGTCTTACTTTTGAAATTGGATATCAATCTAGGATCTTCACTGTAACAAATTGGGTGTTGTTGAGTGAAAGCCTTAACTTTGCTTCCTCTTGAAGATTGGTTTCGCGACGAGGACGTCTGTGACGGATCAGGGGCTGAAGAGGTAGAGGCCTTGGTAATCGCTAGCTGAATCTTCATCAGTTCCGCTACACTCTTCGACGGCAGGACAATGTCCCACATCATCTCGCTGGGCATACGCATACGATCGTCTATTTCTCCCTCCTGTCCTAAATTCGCACTGCTGGCGCTGCAGAAGCAAATCATGTTGCGAATACTACGTTCTTACTCTTCAACAAGATCTACTCTAAGTAGAACAAAAACTACTAAAAGTTATCCTCAAAAAGCAGGAGTTTAACTACTACACCTACAGCAGAAGATAGTATAAATAGCCAAGTGATGAATGTTGTATCTATTACTTTCCTGTAGCCGGGACGTCTATCGCGGCTGTGCTACCTGCAGTGACTGGCCTGGTAGCACGACTACTCGCATCCGATGGCGGTCGGACAAGGTCGAATAATTCGTGAGGCTTCATATGTTTCTTTCTCCATTCTGCGGCTTCGGCTTTCCGCATCTTTATCTCATACTCATACTGTATTCGCATCGCATTCCTGATTTTCGTTATTCCGAGTAAGGAATAGCCGAATGTGAAGGTGGAGGAAGAGAAATCAATGCTGTGATATCATCCATGATTATGACCAAAGCGAGGAAGCAGGTAAGTAAGTAGTAGCGCAACTACAACCCGGCAGTAGTTGCGAGGACAGCTAGGGCACTAGGTTTTTTCAGATCATCTTGATGTTGATGTGGGTAGGCGCAAAAACAAAAAGCTAGAAAAAATTATTCTTAAAAATACTCCTCACGCATTTCCCTCGCTTGCATTTTGTACTTGAGCCCTTTTCGATTCCTCTCCGCGGAGCGAAGTCTTCGGTTTACTACATTCGTCTGCGGTGCGAAAGCACAAATTGACTCCCGATTTATGGTAATCATGTCTTTAGCGTCGTTGTCTTTCATCTTCAATCTTTCGACATATTCCGGCGGACATAAGTCGCGCTTAACTAGAAACGGCCCTCCTGTCGGTTTCTCATCGTCCGAGTCGGCTGTGCCACCTAGGGATGAAAGAAGAACAGCTAGTACTGAGCTTTTCTTGATAGAATATATCTGGTCGTGACAAGCCGGAGCTGACCATACAACAACTTTATGTAGATGTAGTACACTATTGCCACCGACAGCTTCGTCCTGAAAATATGATAAAAACAGTACCTTTGGAGGTACTCGACGCCGCCGCACCTGTGCCAGTTATTGCTCCTAGGTTTACTGTACTTTGCGCGCTTTCGAGGTTTTTTGTCTTGCCACGCTGAAAACCGCTACTGCCCGTGGATGTGCCTAGAGCGCGTGTTGCTTCGCCCGCAACGAAGCTCTTGTGCCTTTCTAAAACTTGCTCGACGCCCTTCTCAACCTTACCAATGCCCTGCTGGACCTTCACACTCTCTTCTTGAAATGCCGTTTTCGGGTCCTTTTCTGCACCAGTGTTTCCAGTCGCTGCAGCCCGAGACCCGCTCCCAAGGCTTCCGACTGAGAATTTGTTGTATTGACGAGTGTCAGAAGTCACAGACAACAATCTTCTGCGTTAGAAGTACTTACGCATCACGGCCAATAATTCTAAGTGGTTTTTGATGCAACCATGATGATCTATATATAATCATCTCAACAACATAACAGACATCTAGTTCCTTCCTGTTGTAGTTCAGCATCTACAACTTTGAATCCAACGATTCTCATCATCTTGATCTTGATCCTCAAATGATCAAACTAAAAAGTATTCCCTTACACTCCATCGCTTCGATTGCTTTTTCCACTTTTTTCTGCGTTCTGGCCGCTGAGTCGAACCGTACTTGAGCGCTAGCACTGCAGCTTGTCCCAGGCCTCTTCGCGCCGTCCGTTGGGCTTCTTGGTGAGACCGGTTCGGCTTTGTCCAAAAAATTGAGATTGTCCATAGGATGTTCCGTCTCATCTTCGTCTTCGAATATGTCGTAAGGTGATATCACCGCACGTGGCCTTCGACCTGCGATGCCGCTTTTTGGCCTAGTCGTACTCGCAGTCGACATGGGCCGACTCATCGCCTCAGCCTGCAATCCGGCGAGCAAGGACCCGGTGGACGGCAGCGGCATCGTGGGTCCGTCGCCGCTGGGAAGAAGGGCATCAGTGGTTGTGCCTAGCGTCGTCATCTTCTTTATTGCTCCCGACGAAGCTGATGCTGAAGATGGTGCCCGTTTCGTATCCCGTGCAAACTTGCTTGGCTAGTGCTGCCTGTCTCGACAACCTCGTAAGGCCCTTCACCAGGTCAAACTCCCTGAGGCCCGTAAAAACACAAAGAAAAGTTGTGCTTCTGCTTGTGGCGGGGGTTAACAATTCGAAACATCGTCTTTCATGCAACCTGGAACTCTTGGAGGACCCAACTTCGTAGCAGATGAAGAGGCTGCACTGGCACGCACTTTGTTCTTCTTTACGTACGTACCTCAGATACAAGTACAACTACTTTTTTCTTCCACTTCGAATCAGCAGTTGACAGCCGTTTCTTTACACCGATTTTGGAAAATAAGTAACTTGGTAGTGAAAAAAGGAGGGTGAAAGCAACAGAAAGAAATCAAGACGACTATAGGATAAGCAGGGGGGGTCAGAGCACGAGACGAGACAGGGAAACCCAACACAAGAAATTATTTGAAAAATATTACTTAATATCTCATGACTAGTGGAAATGCGTCTCAATTCAGCGGAAGCTTCCCAGTGCATAGGACTGGGCTATTTCTAGTGGGGGCATCAGATTAACCCCGCAGCAACTCAGAGGGACAACCTTTGATTAGATTCCACAAGAATCGGCCAAGGAGCGCCCTCCCCAACTGCCAGATCGTTGGCGCTCGCCTCCACCACCCGCAATAACTCCATCTCAAGCTCCTAAAAAAACACTCATCACCCCAGAGCCCCAGCAGAAAATGGCGTAGCAGACACCTATGCCCGCAGCGGCGGCGGACCTCAGGACTATAAGCAGTCTCACAGTTTTGAGGTCCGCGGCGGACCTCAGGAATCTCAAAGGCCCTTGTGAAGAACCAGTCTCAAGCATCTTTGAGTCCACAACACTCAAAAAAGCCTCATGTCCGCCGCGGACCTCAGGACTCTGAGACTGCTCAGAATCCTGAGGCCCGCGGCGGACCTCAGGGGTTTTTTCTGTCCTTGGACAGGCCCAGTAGGGTCGACTCGGTCTGTCCGAGGACAGGGAAAACCCCTGAGACCCGCCGCGGACCTCAGGATTTTGAGCAGTCTCAGAACCCTGAGGTCCGCGGCGGACATGAGACATTTTTGGGTCCCATGACTCAAAAACGCCTGAGACTGGTTCCTCACAGAGGGCCGCGTTGAGATTTCTGAGGTCCGCGGCGGACATGAGGCATTTTTGAGTCCCATGGACTCAAAAATGCACGAGGCGGGTTCTCCACAGGGGCCTTTGAGATTTCTGGGGCCTGCGGCGGACCTCAGGACTCAGCAGTCTAAGAGTCCTGAAGTCCGCGGCGGACATGAGGCTTTTTCAGTCCCGTGGTCTCAGAAACGCCGGAGACTGGTTTCGCGGAGGAGAGTCCGGAGAAAGCCCTTCGCGTGCCTTTTTCTATTACTATCGCAGTCGCAGCTAGTTCTAATCTAGGGAGCAATGTCCTCCAGTTAGTCCTACTGAGAAATTTCCGCTGTCTCAGATGAAGTAGAAACGCAAGTCATGTAATATCTTTCAAGGCTAAGAATTTAAGTAACTTACTTCGCTCTCATTTGCCGACCCCGTCACAGCATCAAACAGATCGATGATAACGTCTTTTCCTATTCATCGTCGCCACCATCATTCGTCTTTTCTCTTGCTCGACGAGCCGACCTAAACCGAATACCGAAAGTACCCTATATATACATAGATACGAATTCGATATTTTCGTTTCTTCAATGCGATTTTTCCACTTCAAACTAGAGACAGAGAGCGAAGCTCGCACACATTGACGAAGACGCACATCCACTTCCACATGATTGAAGAGACCGAAAAACACAGTTCATTTTGAATTTAAATGCTCCTGCGAAGCACAATCTGAATGTGAGATCCCTTAATCGACCGAGGACCGAGGACATATGAAAATTCCTCATCCAAGAGAACACATCTTCATCGTTGGCTAGTATGTTGGTTGACACGAGTCGTCTTTTACTGACGCAATGTCGATGTATGAATGAATGGTGCATATAATCAAGAGGAGGGACGATTTTCGAGACGAATCGTTGTTGTTCATGTTCAACCGCACATCTTCATCGAAATCGATTAAGTGTTCTTGTCGGTTTAAGAAGTTTTAGTTCTTCTACATACTCGTGCTCAAGAATAGATCTAAATCTAGAATTTGTTCCCCGCCAACCTCGGGTTCATTTTTTTCTCCTTCCTTCTCCTCTTCGCTGCTGTATCTATGATGCTCGTGTCCATGCTAGTGGAATTTTCGGTTTTCAGTTTTGCGATTTCTTGGGCTTCTACGCCCATAATGCCACGCACGCGCTTCCTCTCTGCTGCCTGTCGCTTGTCGCGGCGAGCGTCTTGCTGAGCCTGGTGCAAGCGCAAGAAGTCTCCGTCGCGTCTGAGTTCTTTACCCGCATTTCTTCGTTCCTTCTGATACTCGCGTTGCAATCGTCGCGCGCCACTACGATTCGGATCACCCTTTGGCAGTGCGCCATCTCGTGGGTCATGGAATACCGGGTCCAACACCGGTATCTGTACTAACGGTTTCTTCAAATACTGTAGTGGAAAGAGCGCACGACCTTCGAACACATTCTTAGCCTTAGAGGACGGAGAAGAAGAAGATGTTGATCCTAATGACGTCGTGGAGGTGTTCTTTTTCTGCGTTTTCGACGAAGATCCGGAGGATCCTCGACCAGGCTGCACATGGCGCACCCACGATGGGCAACTGTTGCACCACGATGTGAAACCGGTAGACGAGGTGGTTGAGGACACTTGCTGCGAAGACATTGCCTCGAAATTCTCACCATCTTCATCTTCATCTTCTGCGGTTGTACTTTCTAAGTAGACTGGCTTTTGTACTTGAGGAACAGTAACGGAAGCCGCTGACTGCACAGACGCTGGATGAAGGCAGGCAGGCGATGATGACAGCGAAGTGTTTTTTCGCTCGACCATCAGAGACTTTTTTGCGCGCTCCTGTTTCCGAAGAGCTGCATCCAGTTCAGCGACGTGGCTCTCCATGACGAAGAATCCAGGCAGATAGCGACTACGATCTTCGGCAGTAGAGTCTGCGGAACAAGTTGTAGGAACCACAGGAGTTGACATGATGTCTTCTTCAGTACCTCCAGTTGTGCCTGACGCACTTCCAGAGAAGTTTGAGTATTCAAAGGACACGTTACGGAGGAACACTGCTGCCGCGCGCTGTGTCTTGAGGTCAGCGCGCTGAAAGAGTTTTCGAAAGCCCATGGCTAAGCGGTCTAGGTGCACCAGCATCGGGGAGACCAGCGGGTGGCGCACGTCTGTCGTCGGAAAAAAGTGGAGCATCAGTTTCGCCAAATACAGCGACGAGAAGAATCCTTCCTGTGTCAACGTCCGAACCTTGCTCTTGCCGTGAAAGTCGAAGTATCCAACTAAAGCATGCATTTTACCGGAAAACCAGGTGTACGCGACACTGGAAGTCTGCTGTGCGGTCGTCGAAGACGCGGCACCAGAAATGCTCAGATCTGCAAGGGCCACGCCAGAGATTAACTCCAAAAGGAAGGGCTCGATGGCGTACACCAGTGCAAAAGATCCAGATTTCGTCATTTGGTCCCAGATCTCTTGTAACAACACAGCAATCACCTCGCTGGCTGCTGCGTCTTCGTCGGGCTGACGCGGTGAGGAAAGAATCGCACGCTTCGCCAACTTCACAACTTTCGTTGCTTGAACTCTCAACATTTTCTTTGAGCTTGCAGCTGGCTGTTGTCGGCTTGTAGACGACGAGAAGGAGGATCCCTTTCTCATAATTATTTGAGGTGCGTGTTCTCGCAAGAGGTCCACAAGGCTATCAAGGGGCACACGAAATGGCAAATCCTCCTCGTGCTTGCCATTTTGCATCGCATCCACGGTCGAAGATGACCTGGCATAAGCTGTCTGAATCCGAGGACTTGCAGCAATGTTGTTGATATCATCGTCCTCGTTTTCTTCATCTTCACTTGAGGATGCAGCATCACGCGGAGCTTCCTCATCCTCACTATCCAGGTCGTCTCCCTCGACATCGCTAACTTCTTCCTCCTCGTCGGAAGCACCCGAAAACGCATCCTCGTTGAGACCGGCGGCAGCAACTGAGGATGTAGCTGTAGAAGTCTTTTCGTTGACTTTCGTCTCGTCCTCGTCGCGCTCGCGTGCCCTCTTCTTGGACTTCTTTTTCGGTGCTGCTGACTCCTTGACCCATTCCGTTTCATCCTCAGCAGCCAAATCTTTTTCGTTTCCTGCCTTAAACTGTTCAGTCAGAAAATCAAAATCGTCATTGTCGCTGCTACCACCTTCCTCCTCTTCATCGTCTTCGTCTGCGGCTTCAGCTTCTCTATGATGATCCTTGGAAGATTTATTTAGTGTATTTTTTGACGATGTCGTGTCTTGCACCACATCAGAAACCGCCCCTACTGCTGTTTTATCTTCCTTGTCTTCCTCATCTTCGCTGTCCGTCTGCGCATCGAGCGGAACTTGGTCCCACTCCTCGTCTGAATCTGACTCAACAGTGCTTTTTTGCTTGTTCTTTCGACGTGATGACGACCCTGTACCTGTTACAAGGGACGCTCCATCTTCGTCATCTTCAGCTGCATTTCTTAGGCCACTCATTAGGTCCATCACGCCATCGTGCTGTCCCGCGTGGTCCTCGTTGTCTTCAACACGACCACCTCCTCCGCTCCTACCGTTGTCACCACCACCCGAACTAAGCAATGAAGCGTCGTTTTTCATACGCGCGACTCTGCCTTTTTCTAGCTCAGCAAGACGTTGTGCACGATCTAGAGTTTTTTCCGCCTCGGTCTTGGCACGCTCCACTGCCTTGGCTCGCTGGTCCTCCTGCGCGAAGAGTTTCATCGACTTATCGTAGTCGTCCGGTCTCACCCGGTTTTCCGGCGCATACTTGTCAGCTGGCGCGCGCACTTTCAACTCTTTCATCAAGTCGTCAAATCCGTCGTCAAAATCCTTTAATCGTGCCTCTTGTTTCATTTGCTCTCGCGCTTCAGCTAGCTTGGCAGCCTTGCTTTTTTCCATCACTTCTTGGTAAATTTCAGCGCGAGTTTTCTCTCCACCTTCTTCTGCGCCCTCATTTGATGTACCTGTGGTCTCACTTGAGAACGGTGCTCCACCATCGGTCCGTTTGCCGAGAGGCATCGCATTCGCACCCGAAGAGAAGTTCGCATCTAGCATTCGCTTGGCAACTTCCGCGTCATCCTCTTCATTTTTCCTACCATTGCTGACGCCACTAAGGGCTGCTAGCTCAATGCCATCGCGTTTCAGGTCGTCGTCGCCGATCGCGTCCAGCGCTTTGCCGCCGTGCGTGAGCAGGGACCTCGAATTGTCCAGATCGAATTGCCCCTTCTTTTTAGAGGCATTCAGTTTGCTCCCGAGCTTGGCCTTGTACAGCTTGAGAAACCTTTTGTGCTCGCCCTCTTCGTCATCAACCGCAATGCGTTTGTCCTCTAAGACGCTTTTGCGATTTTGTGTATGCAGTTCCTGCAGCAATTTATCGGTCCGTTCTGCATTGCGAACGAAGTTTGACTTCTTCGCGTCGCGCAGTTCCCCCTTGCGCTTCTCCCCCAAAACCTGCCGATTGCGGCTCTTGTTTTGCAATGTATCGAACGGGTTCGAAGCAGGCTGGTTGCTCGCTTGCTTCTCAGCGAACTTCTTCACAGAAGGGTGCACTTTGCGTTTGAACGTCATCTTGGTGCTGGCGGTCTTAATGGAGACAGAAGTTTAAGTTGTTCAACAGTTTATGCAAGGTGAAGGTGTTTCATTCATTCTTTCTATACCATTATTGCCTACCAAAAGGAAATCTTTGACGACATTGAACGATGCATGTCAAAGATAGACTCCGATAATGATCTGTTCCTGCGAGGATGGTTTGTCAATAAGAGAAGGTGTTAAAGAGACTAGTAAGATCTCAAGGTTAGTAAGGTCTAGTAAGATCTCAAGGCTCTCCAGAAGATCCGCGTCGATCTTTGCTCCTTCTCCTTCTGGACTTTGTTGAAGTAGATCATCCTACGTGTACGTTCAGAACTATGTTGTGAAGTGGAAGGGGATCATGATCACAGATTTTTATTCTACTGAAGTAGATGAATCACAGGAGATCTTCATGATATGTTCTGTCCATGAACTTCCTTCAGAGGAGGGGTACAAAGAATAGATCACCTTGTAATTCAGCAGCCAGCGACTGAGAAAGAGAAAACGAAGCTGAACACTACGACGCTCCGACCCGAAAATTATATTCTTGGTAAGTATATTCTCGGCAGCTGAAGCTGCTTTTTTTCGGAGATCTTCTTGGTATGCGATTTGGTTCTTTTCGAAAAGGTCACCCTTCACTTCAGGATCTGATGCTGTTTTAGATTGAACGTGTGGGGATGACGTCATAAAAAATTCCAGTTTCCACAAGAACTTAAAACGTTCCAAAACCTGACTTGTTGATCTTCGCGCTTAATCAATATGTGAGGAGCTGCTAGTATGTCGTGATAAGCACGCCCCCGTGTGTATGAGTATGACCATGTAAAATGTTCGTAGTACTACAAGAGCAGCAAGGTACTTGTTACCGTCAGGATGCCAACAAAAACCCTCTGAAAGTACAAGCATGTTGACGTTGCTGGATGTGATTGACTTTGACATGTTCACAACATAAGTACATTTAATACAGTTTCAGTTTTTTTCATGATAGGTGCGTGCTTAATACAACTAGTAAGTTCAGAACAAGTAGTTGAAGATAATATGTTCGTAGAACTACCATGCTCCTTACTTCGAAACTGGTGCCAGAGAGCCCTTCGAGTCCTGGTGGTCGACCGCAAAGCCCTCTTCGACTGGCTTAGGCTTCTCATTGTAGAGACACGCAATCTTATGATGCGTTGGCAATCCCTCATACCTGCAGGGTTTTTTAAAAGACTTTGACTTGTTTCTAAAATCAATAAGACCACCAGAACAAGACGAAAAGAATTGTAGTACAACTGGAAGAGTAATCCTGATCGAATTGTCCAAAAGTCGTGACGTCTTTATCAAGTTCGGTACTCGACATCTCCATTGCAATGTTTCGAGCCAAAATCGAAAAAAAGTCTTCAGATAAAATCACAAGATTGAATTGATTGGTACCATCCCCCTGTTGGGTTTCTTCGGCTAGCTTTAAGTAAACGCAGCTGGTGTACGGCTTCTTTTTCCTTATCTTCCTTGTACTTTATGGTACGCTTTTCCTCCTCTGTTAGCTCGAACATACTCTTTGGCGGTTCCACAGGTGCTTCGTGTGGTCCAGTGAGCGAAAGCCTAAGGTGAAGTCGAGACATCAAAATCCATGCATCGAGTATCAAAACAGCGACTGTGAGTTTGACTGTGTGATCCTGATCGATGACAGCACGAGCACGACGTGAACGTGTAGTCTAGTATAATAAGGGTGAGTAGGCTACTCAACGAGCAGAAGATGCGACCAACGAGTAGAAAGATGCATTCATTAACTACTTAAAAAAGTTCTTGTACCCTTCCGGTCTTCGCACACCGGCGAGATTTGTCACTGCACCATTTTGTTCGAAAATTCTGACCAAGTTTTTCCAGGTCTCGGGGTAAGCAAACCGTAAGTGATCGTACGGCGTACGGGAGCTCTGTGTAAGCGTCATTTTCACAACGTACCGGGGGAAAGACTTGATTGAAGAATTGTTCTAAGTATCTATGTATACTTTTACAACGCAGTCGCAGACTCCAATAAATCTTCTATGTATTGAACGCTGTACATAACGAAAACGGGCAAGCGCTGCAGCTTGGCTGATGCTTACTAAAGGATGACTTTCACAAAGATGACAGGTAGAAACAGTGCAAGTGCAACGAAACAATCAGAAGATCCTCCTACAGGATTCTCCCACTCCAATACGATTGTGATATCTATGTAGAAAAGCCGCAAGTCGTCTTGTCAAGAGCTGGGCGGGATGTAAAATAGCAATTGGGGGGTCTATAATCCTCCGGAGCAACATTGACATCCAACCTGGGTGACCGAGTGGTTTTAGACTGAGCCCATTAGAGCATCTAGGATTGCCCATGCATGGTAGCAGGGAACATGCTCATATTGCTCTCAACGGATAGCGATAACGTCGTTTAGAAACTCCGTGACCGACGACTCAATTTAGTAGCGCTCATGTCATCACAGATGGAAAAATAGCACATGCACTACCGATACCGTGATTAGCTACATTTTTGATCGAAGAAAATAGGTGCATATCTCCCTCTCGTCAGTATGAACATCAGATGTCACAGGTAACATCTCCACAACATCGATGATTCTCAGAGTACAGATGCAGTCTGAGGAACCGACGTGAGTTGAGAGCAACTTACACTTTTTGTAAACTACACCAAGAACACGGACGAGGACAGCACAACAACGAGATAAGTACTTACATCGTCGCAATCCGTCACTTCAAGTGACAGATGAAAACTTCAATGCTTCTTGGGGAAGTCGAGATCGTTGGTGATACTGATAATCGGCAATTGTCAAATGGATATACTGAGTGTGGTCCTCTTTTGTTGGGACGGACGCATAGTCCTAGTTTTTAGCTTTTGAAAATGAAGACTGACTACGGATACGGTCGAGAAACAATATCACAAACCGTCAGAGTCTTCATCCATCGGCGCCGGGCCGGCGCCATCTTCTTCCCTCTCAACTGCTTTTTTGCGCGCATTCTGATTTCCCCTTCGACTCTTTCTGAACATGTTGGTCGACGATGAGGTAGATGAAGTCTTCGTGTTTGGTTGCGGAGCCACACCTGCTGTCGTAGTGCCGCTTGATCCAGCACCAACACCAGCATCTTCATCATCTTCGTCATCTCCACATGACATGGTTGCTGGCCGCGACGAGCCAGTAGCTGCTGGACCTCTGTTTGTTGAAATACCTCCAAACAGAGAGGATCCCTGATTACTGGTAGCACTAGCGGTTCCTCCTCCTGTTCGATTTTTTTGTGCCATCAGTCTCGCAGCTGCGTTTGGCTTCAAAGGGACACTTGGTAGGGCATTGGCTAAATCTCCTTTCATAGGGTCGTCTCTTGCGCCGCTGAGATGAAAAACAGGCTTCTTACCTGCCATCACCACATGCGTTGGCTGCGCGACATCGCCTATTGGAACATCAACATTAATTTTTTGCCCTCCGTCGCACATCATGCTGTCACTTTCCTGTGCGGCAAAAGCACCATGCTGTGGGACAACATTTGTTGAGGATGAAGTCCCGGTATAGACGTACGTCGCACCAGCAGAGGCCGAGCCCTCACTATGTGTTGTAAATGTAATATCTGACGATGGGACTCCACGACCTGCTCCTGCTCCTATACGACCAGCACCAGAAACAGTAGTGCTAGAGCTAGAGCTACAAGCACTAGCTTTTATTTTATTTAAAGAGCTAAGCAGCGCATGAGCAGCTGCTGCATTTTCTGCGCTGGTTGACAGTCGCGTGCCCTCGAGAGTGTCGGATCTCCATTTTTGACGAAGTCTGGCCGCTTCGTCAGCAGTTATGTGTGCATGCGAAAATTTACAATTGTCGTCAAAGACGCAGTGTCCGTAGCGTTCGTAATTTGCACAGGGCTTATTTGCGGAAGAGGGCACTGAAACTGATGCGGCAGAGCTGTTCATGGCACGAGTCACTCGCATTCTGGCTTCTTGTGTTGCAGCACTAGCACTAGCAGTAGCACCAGAGGACCCCGAATTCGTGGCAAGTAACTGCGTCTCTGTGCTTTGGATGTCACTGGTAGTGCGTTTGCGCGTAGTTGTGCCTGGCGCACGTAAACCCGTTTCCACTTGGATATCCTGGGCGACTTCATTTAGTAGTGCGTCTTGGAAATTTTCTAGCCTTGGATTGCGCGCTTCGGCCGGTTCCAGTGTGAGGGTCGCGATTTGTTCAATCCCATTCTCTCCTGTTCCCATAGCACGTTCCATTTCAGAACATATTAATTGCTGAGAATCAGTTCCATCCATTCTTTGTTGTCCCTGCAAAAGCGGGTCGCTTGTAGTACTAGCGCCATGCGATTGACCGTTGCTCACGTTTCCACCAGCAATTGGTACTGGCACTGGCTGCGGCTGCCTTCCCGAAGACAATTGTGTATTCAGACGCGCTGGCCTTGGTCTGGTCCTAGTCGTGCCATTTGGCACTCTTCCCGCTCCAGTACCAGCTTCATTCCCACGATTTTCGTGATACTCTAGGGCTTCTCGGACGTCCTCGTCGAACGCGGAATCAGAGTCTGAAGAGGACACACCGTCCTCACCGTCTGCTTTTACCTCCTCATCTGATGAATTCGATGGTTCTCGAAAGCGCATTGTAGCCGCAGCTTGCGGGCCTGCACCATTTGATGCGCCGTTTGTTGTATTCATTGATTGGAACAACATGCTTGGAGTTGTGCCTGCGTTTCGAGATGCTCCTGAGAAATTATTACCCCCACTCTGCGCACCTCCTAGTCCTGCTGAAGGGTGAAAATTCATCATGCCTTGTTGAGCCATGGTCGCGTTTCTGCTAAGAAAGGTATTAGCTCCTGTGGAGCAGTTTGCTCCACCAAACCTTGACGAAGAACCTCCTCCACGCACTGGACGTGATGTATTACACCCCTCAAGTTGCCAGTCCATTTGGAGATCTCGCATTAAGTTGCCTTGATCTAACTCTGAGGAGGCGCGTTCTTCTAGTTCGCTAGTTATGTAGCTTTCCGGAACCGTCGGACGTCTGGAACTCGTGTTTTGATGTTGGACATTACCATGATTCGTCATGCGGGTTAGTGGAATCCCATTGTCACTACCATCATTTGTCGAGGACATCGCAACAAGATGTTCTTGTCCTGATTGATGCTGCGCAAACATTGAAGAACCTGCGAAGGCAGAAGATCCAGAAGGCGCTCCACCTCCCAGCGCTGCAGAAGAAGGGACGATACCACGTCGTTCGGATGCGCTGCAAAAAACATCAGTCGGGAGAGCCGCAGAGGGAGCCACCCTTGCCTGACCAATGGAACTTGAACCAACTTGGGCGAAAATAGCGTCAATCTTGTTCTGTAACCGCGACTCGCCAAAGCGAAAGCCTTCCTCGGGTGCTTGGGGTAAAGGCCCATCTGGCATATCGACGTCTACGGGTCCTGTCTCGTTGCCCGGCGCGTCGTGACGCTCCCGCATTTTTTCGATTTATAAATATAGCTACGATTTGTCCAACAACGGCAACCAAAAATGCGAACAACTAAGCACCAGGCCGATGAAGATGACTGTAGGATAGAAAAATCTACAACAACATTAGCCTTATGATCTTCGCGCAATTAAAACAACACATGAGTAGGTTACTCGCGCTACACCTTAAAACGAGCCCATGGATTACGATTCAATTACGCAAGTAATACAGATCAAGCCTGAGCATATCCTCAGACGAGTGTGACTTTATGGTTACTTCTTTCATTTTCGAAAAAAGAAGTGGGGACCACACGCATCATCGGATCAACCATCCCAGTTTGAGTTTCATTCTTTGATGATAAGGGACCAAGGAAAAAAGAGATCAAAAGAAAAGAGCTGCTGCGCCATGGGTCGGATCGTGAAGGGTATATTCATAAACATGTTTGCATAGTTAGAAACAGAAGCTGAAATAGAAATTCATCGTTGTCACCCGACCGACACCGAGGACGTCGATTTGGATTCTGTGTAGTTGCAGTCGTGTCTCGTTCAATTCGATGAACCACATGATATATCATGGTGGAGTATGAAGCATAGGAGTACACGCTGTCTAGATGATCCTGAACCCTGTGATGTACATTTATCGAATGGAACGGAAGATTAAACAACCATAATTCGGATCAAGCGAACACATTTATGCGATCATGCAAGCAGAGTTCTTGTTCTCGTTCTATGTTACTACTCGTCCTGTAAAACTATACTCGGTGGATAGGTGGATGTATATATGTTTTTCTCAAGTATGATATGCCATAAGATTATCCTCCATCAAGTGTAACTCGTTAAAACAACAACATCATGATCATGATGTCTCATCTCTTTAGGATGTACCACTACCAACATAGTGTGACGAGGAAACCGAAACTCTCTTCATGAATGATCTCGGTCAATGTTCTTGAGGTTTACACAAAATCTTCAGCTGATTCTTATGTGTCTCGTTATCGTTCGCGTTCGCATTCAAGTCTAGATTGAGTTTTTCCTCCATGTACTTACTGAGAAAGGTGTAGTCCACGTCCTCCATATCGGAACCTGTGCCCTTGTTCTTACTGGCATAGTGATCACACGTTTGCCGCACGCGCGAAGCAGCAAGGAGCAACAAAGACGAGTCACTGCCTTCGCCGCCTTTTCTCTCTGCTGACAACATGTTGTTGCTGGACCTGGAGGTGTCAATCTCTTTCTCAACATCAACTTCATGGGCAATAGCCTCCTCAGCACCAGTATTTTTCCCGCCTCCACCTCCTTCGGTCGCGTACATATCTTCGACTAGTTCTTTAGCGAGTTCGCAGTCCTTTCGCATCAACTTGAGGGCAAAGCCATATGCGTATTTTCCGGTTAGAATTTGTTCAGGTAGCCGCTGTTCAGTCTGCAACGAGCGCCCGGACGAGGCGTTTATACAACGAAGAGCTGTGTCTGCAGAAATGCCTGCATTCTTCAAAGCCAGTAACCCCTCCGTCGCTGCCATTAAATGCAGACTATTCAACAGAGTGAGTTAGAGCGAGAAAAAGCGTGCGCTAGGACAGACGAAGTACTTAGTATATATGATCCGGCTCATGGCTACGGCACCCCCGCCCTAGCGCAGAGGGGGGCACCGTGCAGCCCCAGGCCCCTTCTGAAGGCGTCTGCCGAGAATGGAAGGCCTCAAAAGGGGGCCGGGGGCCCTTCTCCGCTCCCTTCCAGCTGCCTGGCTGCACCCTCCAGGCCTCCGACGTAGGTGCAAGGCTTCAAAAAGGGCCCAAGGGACCGCCTCCGCTCCCACCTTCCAGCTGCCTGCCTGTGCCCTACATGCCTCCTATATGCTTCGCCTCTGCAGCAGTGCGTGGGTGTGGAAGGCCTGCGAAGGTGGCAAAAGGCGAGGGGCTGGACCCCCTGGGCCGTGCGGCCTGTACCCACCGGGCCCTTGGTGATCGGCTTGCTTGCTCTTGAGACCGTGGCCGCCTTCGGCGGCCTATTACCCCGGAGACCTCCAGCCTGCGAGGGTCAGCAGAGGCCAGGAGGTCCCTGAGGAACATGCAGAGAGGCGCAAGGGGACGCCCGCGCCCAGTTTTGACGCTTTCCACCACTAGAATCCGCGAAAATCGGCGCGGAAAAGAGCGCGCGAGCGCCACCCCCGTCCATACCACAGGGGGGGACCGTGCAGCCCTAAAACATATATCATGACTTTGGGAAATGCATGCATTTTCAGCGGAAAACCTTCAGTAAGGGATACTGAGGCAGATGGGCTAACTACAGCTGTAGACGCAGAGCACCGCAACCCCGCGGCCCAGAGGGCCATCAAGCTAGGCGGGCCCCCCTTAGTTTCAAAACGATAAACCTCCGAGCTTGGACCCGTTACCCCTCTCGCAGTCAGGACAAAATTCGCGCTGCCCTGACCACGCACAGACACCAGACAGTCCGGCCGCCCAGGCAAACAACGACAAGCCCCATCAGCGCACCAACCGTGACTCCAACGAGAAGGCACGGCCAGACACCCCGGAGAGCAAGAGGCCGAAGAGCTGCCAAGCGAGCCTGCCAGGTGAACCCCACCCCCAGAGTCAAAAGCACGGCTGCAGGGCCCGCCGGCCGATGCGTCCAACTACGGACCTGTAGACGAAGCTACAGGTAGCGCCACGACAGGCGCCGCAGTGCGTAGTCGCAGTTTCATCGTGCCCCCGAGAGCTTAGCTGTGCGGCAAGCGCTCGGACTTTCGCGCCACGCCTCACAACTTCGTTCTGAGACTTGGCAAAGGTCTGGCGTCTGCGTCAGACGCCAGGTGTTTTACGGGTACGGGCACCGGCCCAGTGGGGTGCACTGGGTCGGTAGCCGTACCGGGAAAGTCCTGGCGTCTGACGCAGACGCCAGACTTTTGCCAGGTCTCAGAAATTCTTTGGCGCTCGAGAATCCTGGCGTCTGACGCAGACGCCAGCCTTTTCCGGGTCCTGAGACTGGTGCCTGAGGCCCTCTGCAGCTCCAACCTCTCGTGCCCCACAAGCAGGAAAAGCGCATGCGCGAGGGCGCTCGCAATGGCATAAAAATTGCCATACCCATCGCATCAGCCAAGGAATCCAAGCCTGGGCGCCCCAGCGCGACTCGCTTCCACCTCTCCGCGGACCTAGCTCCGGGAGCAGTGCCTGAACCTGAGCGCCCAGGGGAGACGCGAGAAATTGGAGAGGGCCAGCGACACGCCTCTGGCCGCAACGGAGGTGGGCCGCCGACGCTACAAACACACACACACACACACACACACACACACACACACACANCGGACCTAGCTCCGGGAGCAGCGCCTGAACCTGAGCGCCCAAGGGAGACGCGAGAAACTGGAGAGGGCCAGCGACACGCCTCTGGCCGCAACGGAGGTCGCCGACGCTACAAACACACACACACCACGCGCAAGGTGCTCCGGCGCTATGCGGCACATCCTCGCGCCAGGAATCACGTGGAAGGGCAGAGGCGCTGCGGCATCCACCACCAGGGGCGCAAGCCCCTTCAGCGGTGCGATCCATATGGGCACGATTCTCCCAGTGCATCCTACTGAAGATTTTCCGCTGAGAGTCTATACTAGAAACGCAAGTCATGACATATATAGGAGAAGATGTTCTCCATTTGTACTCAGAAACAAGACTACTACAAGTACAACACTGGTGCTCACGGCCATAATTATTGACGCTTTTCACCGCGTGTCCACTTCCCAAGGGACCCACATGCTGCATTTTCTCCTTCTTCGCGAAACTTCCGATTAGTGGCATGACTTTCTCAATATCGCCGATGTCATCGCCGCCGACCATTGCTGCGAGCGTTCCCGCTGTAGCACCCGCAGGCCCGCCAGAGACTGGACAGTCAACCATGCCGATGCCAGCACTTTGTCGGAGTCGTTCTCCAATGCGAACCGTCTCCAACCGAGAACCCGAAGAGCAATCAACCAGAATCCACTTGCTTATCACACTTGGTAGCTCTTTTCGCGCTTTTGCCTTAGCAAAAATGAGCTGGTCGGCTATTTGCGCTACTTCGCTGCTAGTCGGCAAGCAGCAGAAAACAATAACATCTCTACTGCTTGTGGTACTTTCTACTTCTTGTTCTTGTTGTTGCATTAAAGAACCAGAAGCTCTATCAGTACTAGTAATTCTACTTGCATCTTTAGTATTAGTACTACCGAGATGTTCTGCTAAATCGCCGACGCTTTCCAGAACTTGCGTCCCGTGTTCTTCACTGTGTTGCTGTGCCTTTGCCGGAGTGCGATTCCACACAAACACTATATTTTTAGATGTCAAACATCGTTGTAGATTCGCTGCCATGGGTGCCCCCATCCTCCCAAGCCCCAGAAAAGCAACAACTGGCGAGGCAAGCTCCGAGGAGGAACACTCTGCTGTCGTAGAAGACGGCGTCATGATGGTTCTGTCCGCGTCAGTGGGAGACGACGATGATACAGATTTTGATGTGAAAGCTTTTGTAGCCGTACTAGCCGGTCTGACGCCACCACTACTCAAACGCCTTGAAAAACTTGATGTTGACGGCTGAGCACCAGAGTGGAGAAACGGTAGCGGTACAACTTCTCTGGACCTACTACTTGTTGAGGCGGTAGTTGCAACTGGTGCAGCAACTAACGACCCCTGCTGACGTGGCAAGAGCTGTCGCAGGCCCGGAAAAACCACACGCGGCGAACCACTGACGACTACGGCAAGTATTTTCGCTAGCAGGAGGATTTTCTTTCCGGACATTATGTTGCTCGTAGACACACCAAAATCAGAACCACTGAGCGCTTAAGAATTCGCCTAGTATCAGCACTTTCCTGGTTCAGAGGAGCCGAAGGCATGAAAGTAAATTAATTGAAACTCATGAAAGATCCTTCCTGCTGTTACCCAGAAAGTTCTGTCGTTCTTGTTTCTCCCAGAGACACGCAGCAGTGAGATAGAACACGAGAAAGCTTTCCCGCCGTTTTTTCGTAAAGGGCCTTCTTCATATCGATACGAAATGCGGTATATGCATCTCTTTCAGTGGAGGCGTTGTTGTGATCAATCATGTCTTCATGAACTATGGTGCGAACGTGGAAAAAACCTCCCTCGCTCTTGATTCATTTCCCTGTGCAGTGACAATGCGCGACAATGGTCATCTATCTATGCATCAAAGCAAGAAGTATCAATTTTGCTCCATCTATAGGTATGCATAGTTACGCCGATCGAATTCGAGAAACCCTCGTGCTAACGTCTTTGTTTTATCATCCTCCCGTGCCCACGGTCGGAGTTTCCACTGCACTAAGAGTTCGCTTGGCCTCATCCAATGCTTGCTCGCGATCCCGTTCTCGCTTGTATAATGCGCGCTCACGCATGTTTTTATGAAGCAATATGCTGAGAATGAACAGAAGGATCGGCACAGCCGCTAGGGCGATAGCAGCATAACGAACGGCAACCATCCCCGATGTGCGAAACGTTTCCGGAGTGAGGTGAATAGCCACGAAAAAGACTCGCCGTGTCGCCTCCTTCATCAGAGCGGCTTGATTGTCTCGCTCAAACGACGTAGAACCCGGCTGCGCTTTGGCTTGAACCGCACTCAATGCGGCAGTTGCTATGTAGATCGGCCGTAGCAAAACACCCGAATCCGATGGCGCAACGACATTGTTTTCTGCATTGTTCATCTGACTTCGCGTGTCGTCACTAAAAGACGCTGTTCCACCAGTTGCACCTGATAATGAAGCTGCTGTATCCAAATCCGCTTGTCCTAAATTAGAGAAAGCTGAGAGTTCCCACACTTTCCGAAACCCCAAGCTTCCATCTTGTGGCCTTATTTTCATTTGCTCGCCAAGCACTGCCGTTGATAAAATGTTACCGTTGGAATCGAGTAGGACAATCTTTGCCTCTGGCTGTGTCGCATCTAAAAGCTCAGTGCGAAAAAGCGACAAATCTAAAGACAGCCTCCCTGTGAGGAGTTTCTGCATTGGGCCTACGGAAGACGCATCGTCCTGCAACAGAAACGGGTCGTTCGTTGGTAGGTGACTTCCGCCGATGCCTGATATTCCAGGCCCTCCGACTACGTTACTGCTACTTCCAGTACCGGTAGAGGCACCTCCAGCGCTAACGTAGTCGATCTCCGGATAAGGGATCTTGAAAAGGACAGACAAAACTGGAACAAAGTGGATTCCTTCGGAATCAGGGGTGACCGCAGTTTCATGCGCAGACACTACCTCAGCTCCTACGGGATCAAAAGCCGTAAACAGTCCGCGCCCACGCTGAAATGAGTTCTCCAGCGCGCTGCGCTCCAGAGCGGTCAAACGACTGCGATCGCTTGCAGCTGGATAGACGACATCGCGCAGGCATGTCGGATTTTCAAATATGTGCTTGTTCTGCTCTGGCGACATTGATGTGCTTTCTGGCTGCCCTTGTCCAAGAATGCCGTTATCAGCAGCTGTTCCCTCCTCTGGTGGGGTGGACATCACAGTTCCATTCGCAAAAACGAAAGCTCCACTCAGCTGAATACCGCTGGACGTCGCCGAAGTTCCAGCTTCTGACCTAGTCGTATTTGTTTCACCGATCAACGACCCTCCTGTTGCAGCTGCAAGGTTGTTATCCGCTGTGCGCTCCTCCTCTTCCCCCGCAGTTGGCGTAGCTCCCTCGATAGCATCAACGTCCTTTTCACTGGGCAAGCGACACGCAATCAGCGGGTCAGCTTGACTGGCGCTGAGACGTTCACTCGCAGTCGATGTGGCGGATATAGTGTAAGTAGGATCGGTACTTGTGAAGGCCAATTCCTCAGAAACGAGGTATCGAAACCAATCCAAAGCAGGATATCTCAAATCTCGGGTACATCCGAAGATCCCGATCGTGACACAAGCAGGATGCATATCAGACTGCATCAAAACATGGCCAGAACTTAGACGCCGAATATCGGTGTTTTTTGCATCCACGATGTCTGAATTAGCATTCAGAGTCCCCCTACCTAAAGACGTGCCTGAGGCTGTCGTTGGATTTGGAAATGAACTTGAATCACTTTCGTTAACATCAGCATTGCGATTGTCGCTGTTCCTTGTCGTACTACCCAGCATCTATTTTTACGAGATCTTCCTCATCATCGTTGAGCATCATGTCGGATAGACCACCGTGAAGGAAGACCGTTCCCTTGCGCTCAGACAAACGCTTGCCTACTTCGCTCTCCCGTTTACCTAGTACAGTTGCTTCTTCTTCAGCACTAGCATGGATAGACACCGTTCGTTTCCCTTCCGTCTTGGTACCTTCTCCGACGCCACCAGAGTGAATAAACACCGTCCCCTTTCGTTGGGATAAACGTTTGCCTAATTCGCTCTGCCGCTTGCCTACCGTGGCCTCTTCTTCGCTACCAACGTGAATAGAAACTTGGCGTTTGCCCACCGTGGCCTCTTCTTCGCTACCAGCGTGAATAAACACCGTTCCCTTTCGTTGGGATAAACGTTTGCCTAATTCGCTCTGCCGCTTGCCTACCGTGGCCTCTTCTTCGCTACCAACGTGAATAGAAACTTGGCGTTTACACGCCGTGGCCTCTTCTTCGCTACCAGAGAGCATAAACACTGTGCCTTTTCGTTGGGATAAACGTTTGCTTAGTTCGCTCTGGCGCTTGCCTGCTACAATGGCTTCTTCTTCGCCACTAGCGTCGTCTTCGTCTTCACCTTTGATAGGAAGAAAAATCCCAATGCATCTACAATTACATTCAAAAAGGTAAAGGAGACCCTCCTACACATGTCATAAATGTGAATACCTTCAAGCCGCACCATCGCTGCTGGTCTCGGCACATCCTCCTGACGCAAAAATTGCGTGCCTTTCCGCTTAAGCCGAACCTTCTTTTGCCCCTCATCCTCGTCCTCTCGGAAAGGAGTCGCGTCTGCATTTCTGGGTAGACATAGAAAAATGAGAATTCTTGAGTTGCAGGCTGAATCGAAAAACCAATCGAAATCGATAAGAAAACCACACTTCAAATAAGTGTCGAAGTTGGAACAAGAAATTGATACCTCCAACCCCGCCGCGATCCTCCTCGAAGAAACGAGTCACGCCCTTCACCATCTTTGACTGATACCCGCTGAAGAGGGAAGACTACATTATTTGGAGTGAATCAACGTAATCGAACTTCCCTACTAAATAATGTCGACGTTGAGAGTTATCCGGTAATGACAGTCATGGTTGTTTGGGGTCACAACGCCAACATTTCTCCCCATGCACCTCTCCTCGCAAGCTACTTCCGCAAGCTACTTCCACGTTTGAGAGCATCATTTTTTGATTCTGAAACATCTGACGAAACAAATGAATCCAACAGCGTGTCAAGCAATCTTCATGCTTTGATATGAAGAAGCTTTCAACAAAAACGCTGAAACTAGTGCAGGCACTTGTTAGATGAAATTGAAATAGTTGTCCGTCGATGTCCCTGATCTACATGTTCGTGAACCACAGCGGGTCGAGCGTGGCACGTGCGTGATTCGCTCATAGAACTCTCAGCTCTCTACACACTCAAGGAAAGAAAGCCGAGTTTGAGCAGAAAGGACTAGTTATTAATTTTAGATAAATTATTGGAATAGCTAAGTTTGAGGAGATGCTACAGCCCTTGGCGTCCCACCCCCTTGCCCAAGGTGGGGACAGCAGGGGGGTAGGTGCTCGCACTGACTCTAGTCCACCATCCAGGGCACGTCCAAGGGTACCGGTTCACCATGCCCTGGCCTAGAGCCAGTCGCATCCGTCCCACACTAAAAATTTAAATATAAGTCAGGATTTAAACGGCAAAAGCAAAGCAGAGGACTCTCCATCGACGACAATTTTCTTCTTCTCTCACGCCGAATTGTCTACGACCACCTCCGACGATCCAACCACGACAGATACCACCTCGACGTATTAGGTTTCACGAAAAGCACCGATGACAATGTTCATGTAACCGATGCTCACGCTGCCATACATACAACCGTGACCGAAGACTAGAATCAATGCGTAGGAAGTGCTAAAGTCCCAAAAGGAAGCATACGGGTTTATAATTTCGAAATAGTAACACAACCTACCTAAGAAAGATAATCCAAAAGAGGGGGCTATAGCAAGGTAGGTTACTCTCCTACTTTGTGGAAAACGAGGACGATGTTATTTGTAGTTCCGCGGTTAAATTATCTATTTAGAGTATATTGCTACTCTTTATCTTATTTACAAAGCTGCTCCTCGCCTAGAGTATGCAAGCTTTTGCAGTACAAGCTCCCTTGCCTGCTGTAATCGAGAGAGGTGCTTAGTATGTGTTTGAAACGTTCGCGAATGATTTTATTGGGGTTGTCTGTCGGATCTTCAATGTAGCTAATGTACGCACAACTTACTCTCAAAACTGCTCCTCATCTAGAGTATGCAAGCTTTGGCAGCACAAGTGCTCTTGCCTGCTATGCGTGTGGGGGATGTTCTACCAATTTGATAAAGAAGCTTTAAACTAAGCTTCGCTACTCGTGTGTATAATTTTGCTTCTATTGCCTAAGCTACTGTAACAGGAGGGGGGCACTTGTTAGATATAAACTATCACTACTAGTAATATTTGCATTTTCACTTATTACTCTTCAAAAAACGAGGGGCCTGCATTTGTCCAAAACTCCTCACTAGCTATGCATTGGTGAAAATTGTCATCAAGAAATAGCCCAGTTGAACTTCAGTTGTATTACCACGCTTCATCTATTCAATATCAATGCTAAAAGTATCTCATCTTCAATCTTCACAACATTTTTCTCTTTGAACAATCCTACCTAGTTCCCTCTCAAAGGCGCCGCAGCCTTATTCCGTGTAGCCAATGCACTCTGAATCGTTACAGGCTGTGCTCGTCGACTAGCATCGTCTATTGTCTTTAATGCTACTGCTTTCATAGCCACCCGCGTCTCCACATCATCACTACCACCGGCGCCGGCGGTGGAAGTATGGTGCGCTGTAGCGTTGGCGGTGTTGTTGGTACCTAGAAAGTATTACATGGTGATCGCTCTAGAGATTTTTTGTTGCCTTGTGAGAAAAGCAAGGAATGACGGTGGTTGTACAAGGAAATAACACAGTAGATGACCTCCACCCGGAGCTACCCAGCAAAGAAAAGATAGAGACCAACATGAGTTGTACCACCCCCTCCCGAGAACAACCGACAGTTGTTCTTCAAAAAGGTCGGATCGTTCAACAACCTCGCTTGTTCATGGTAATGACGCGTGTTGTTCGTCCTACCACGGTTGGTCACAAATTGATTCCTCACCTCCGCGATGAACTGAGGAACTGTGTGGGTTTGCAGTCTCGAGAAAAACTGCTCCAACTTCAATCGCCGTGCGTCTTCTCTGGAGCTAGAATCGGCGGAGTCGGACGAGGATTTGGTAGTCCTCGTTGGGTCCTTTTTAGAGAAGATCCTCAGAAGTAAAAGGGATCTTGTTCAGGTGTGGGTCCTTAGAGAAGATCCTCAGAAGTAAAAGGGATCACGATGTGAGGTGTCTAAGGGATCTTGTAGTTCAGGTGTGTCTTTTTATGCAACCATCCTCAATCTTCGAAGGAGTTACGCAAAGACTTATAGACTTTTCTTCTAGAACCACACTTTTCCGTCATCTTCATAACACCCCCATCATGAAACACCGAGATCGCCCCGATATTGCTCGACGCAAAATACGGATCGAAAAACGCAAAACTTTTCTCCATTCGCGCTGCCCACTTCCGCAGACTATCTAAAGCTAAGGACGCACTCTGCGCGAATTGCTGTGCCGACTCGTAATCCTCCGCAATCCTAGCCAAGTCCGCTTCTCTAGCTTCGACTTCATCATAGTTAAAGATCAGCAGTCAGTGGTCGCTGATGCTGAACGGAAGGGACCACCTTCAAAGCTCTCCCCTTTTCCCTTTTCCCTTCTCCCCTGTATTTCCCTCTCAAGGGGAGGTCGCCTCTTCGATCTCAGTGACCAACCCCAACGACCAATGAAAGTAGTTGAGCCTTAACATACGTCTCTTTCACGTTGACTACACACTCAGTACTCGAACAAGAACTACCCTGCTTCAACGCCTCCAATTCTTGCTTCTGCTTGTTGAGTTTTCCCTCGAATTCACGACTGGATTGCTGCAGCTCGATGTGGTCGAGGTCGCGTCGGGAGTTAGAAGGGGGACGAGGATGCTGCTGTGCTTCTACTTCTTGAGAATCAACAATCGCTGAGAACGATTACGATGAACGATGAACTTGATGAATGAGTTAAAAGTATTCATCTCAAGTCAGTATCTGGGTAAGCACTCGAAGCTGTAGACTGTTTGTGAAGAAATCATCGGACAAGCCATAGTCAAAAACTTATTCAAAATCTCCTTCACGTCCTGCAAACCCGTTACCTCCCTGATCCTCTGAAACCCGTCTTCTGTTGCCTGACTCCTTTCCACCTGTTCAAACATGATCTTCTGCAGGCAGTTTCCCGCTAGCCTTTCTACGGCCCACATCTTTCTCAGTCTACCCTTGCTCACATTCACTGCTTCGCGTGCAGCCTCGTTGGCTACTTCACTGCGCCACTTCGCGAAGTCACTACGCCTCTTAGCTGCTTCCGTGAAGTGGTGGAGCTGTTGTGTCACATCGGCTAACGCGTTGTCCCAACGCTCCTTCTTGCTGCCGGATTCGAGCTTTAGAGAGGGTCATATTTTAGAGACGAAGGAATTATAGATACCTTGAAGAAACACATGAACATGTAATTTTTGAGATTTTTGAGCTTGAGATCAGCACCGCTAATGCAACGAGGCAGGTCGGGAAAAAAGACGAGAAAACGCACAACACTCATTCTCCGTCATAACGCTTGTTGTGTCTGCAACAGACTTGTCGCCAGTTGCCTGCTCTCAGCCAGTTTCCTCGTCTCCGCTAACCTCGAAGCCTCAGTTCTAGCCAGCGTTTGCAACTGACTTTCGTTTTGCCGCAGTCTATCTCTGAGAAAAACTAGCTCACGTTGAGAGCGTTCTAGCATATGCCGATAAACTTTTTGCGTCAGCAGCAGCTCGCTTGGAAGTTAGAACACATTGGCGGAAGGGGAGGAAGTACTTTCAAGAAGACTATAATTATCGAGTTGCGAGCACTTCTCAAAATGAAAGAACATCTAACATTCTAACGTATGTCCAATCTCGTACGCCATAAGCATTCCCCTCACTATTTCCTGCTCCTGCCGCTCCCTCTGCTCCAACCTTCCCATCTGCACCAAGCACTGGAACAGTTCCTCCATCAACTGCTCTTTCACTCGCAGCCGCACCATCGATAGCGCCCTGAGGAGCGGGCGCGCCCTGAGGAGCAGGCAGCTCTGCGAGTTTTATTTTCCCTCTAATGCGTCCCAGTTCTTCCGCTTTAGCATTGCCTTCTGCTATCATTTGATCATAGCTGTGCTTGGTCTCCACCAGGATGCCCTGCATCTCGGAGATGAGTCCGTCAGAGGTCTTGCCACGTGCACGCTCCATTTTTTCTTTAGGTAGGTGCTTCTTGACTGTCTGATAGGGTATGAAGTAGCTACTGTAGTTAGGATGAGTCACATATTCTTAATTCTTTTGAGTCAATAGCTGGGTGACAAACTAATCATTACTGTAATTTCGTTCTTTTGTAATTACGTAGCTGGTACAAGAGGATGATAGTGTCTGAAATGCAGTTTGTGGCCACCTTCAAATTTTTCTAACAGAGTACTCTCAGACCTCGGCCTTCCAACTCGCAGATCTTTCCCTCACAGAAGGGACAGACTTCCTGTTATTTACCTTGTGCTTATTTTGCTGTGTCTTTACTGGCGGAAAAAAGCCTTACATTTTCCTGGAACTGCTGTGGTGAGCCAGGAGACGTCCACCACTGCTGTAACGGCAGAGCGCGGCTCTCCACGTGCGCTTTTGCTTCTTCTTCAAAAGATTCTAGTAAGTATATAAAAATGCAAAATCCACCATGAGAAACTACATGAAATCTTGTTAGTTTAGTGCTTATGTTGCACAACATCCATCAGCTGTCATCGCCGACTAAGAATGAAGCAACGTCGTGCATAAAGTCATCGAGTTAGTTTTAGTTTGTGAAAGCGAAGAAGTACTCAGTTTGGCTCTGAATTCAACACGTCGAAGCATAGTGGATACTTAGTACTTAACTTCTAGATTTTGATTTAATTACAGAAGTACTCGTCAACAAGACTGAAATAGTAAGAGTTTTTGGCATGTAACTAAAAGAAAGAAATTAAACTACATTGAAAAAGTACGCAGCTACCTACAACTTTCTGTGCACCCTCGCTGGCCTAATGCTGGACGACCTTGCAGCAAGAGGGAAATGGCCTGGCAATCATGCAAGGCTGTGGCAGTGGTGACGTGACTATGCTCAAAGAGAACTCACAATCTTCATCATGTTTTGGTAAGCGCTTCTTCCCCCAAAATGGCTGGAAAGTAAAAGAAACACATTTATTACTTCCACGCTCTTGCTTAAGGGTTTTGGACTCCGCTGCTGTACAAAGGAGCTGCTCTCTTTTAAGATGGGAAACTAACGCTATAGATACTGGACTGTTCAGCGAATAGGTAATAGGTATGTACTTAACTTCAGAAGTTGAATCCTGCGGAAATGATCTCTGTAAATTGATTCTAGAACGGCCACGCTATACTCCTTGGCCTTGAAAGAGGTGGCAATGCTGAAGTGCGATTCTCAGTACTGCAATATCTTCTAACTTTCTGGATCGTTTCGTCATATCGGTAACTGTGGCACGACCGTATTTTGTCTTCCGCCAATGCCCGTGGTTGTGTCGAGGGAATACATCAAGCTGCGTTGTGCTTCTTTTGTCGAGGGAATACATGGCGCATTGTAGCTGTAGCTGCTCCACCGCTTACCAGCCGGAGAGGGACTTGGAGGAAATTCCTCGTTTCCTGGGCTAACTTCGTCTGTGTCACCTGTGAAGTAGAGCCTTGAGAGCCATGGATGAGTAGCAGAACTTTCTATCAGACCGTAGAGGGACCGCCCCAAGCACCCAAGCAGCTGAAACAAATGTCTAAGCAGTTGTACCAACTCAAATCCAAATGTCTAAAATCAATACCAGCAACACCCGGCGTCGTCGGCAAAGACAAGTCTGATGTCCCCTCCTCAGCTGCAACAGTGCATAACTCCCGCAGGAGACCCCTTCCCGGTGCTGGCTCTGGAGAGGTATTGGCACTATAATTCTTGCTAGAGTTCGTGCTCGTACTAGTTGCGCAACTATGATTACTCCCCATCGTTCCCTGTAGTTCATCTCGCTCCGCACTAGTACAGCCACAAGAAGATGAAGCGCGTCTTGTTTCAACATGTTGACTCCTCGTAGTTAAAGTGGAGGAAGCTCCTGCATTTCCTCTACTCCTAGTAGATCTCTTCTCAACAAGATAAGGACTCTGACTACTTCCAGAAGATGCTGCAGTTCTCTTCGAAGACGATGAAGACCATCTCTGAAAACCAGAGGTCTGTTCTGTCTGCAGCTTCTGTAGAAGCCTTTGCTCTGTCAATGAGACGCGGCCTCGTTCGCACACACTTTTAGCCGCTTTGGACAGCTCGCTGATGCGGTTCGCTGGCGGCTCGGTGAGGTAGGTCGAAAGTAGCTGGAAGAGGAAAAGGAAAAGCTATAAGTTAGTTGTTCCCCTTGTTCCCCTGTTGACTATTGCAGCCTCCCCTCTGCAGCTGGTCCAACTCCAATGGCGTAAGGTTTTGTAATCATTCAGGTAGACCTTATAGACAAAAAAAGAGTTGCCTCCTCTAGAACAACAGAAAAAGTTTTCTTGTAGTCTATCTATAAGTAATTCAAATTTACGACTACTATACACCCTACTATGGCACTGTTTCAATATCGTACCTCAAGCAGCTCTATTTCGGTTGCACGCTGAGCGAACTGATTGGAAGCGTGGAAAACTAGCTGTTGTATTTCAGCATGATATTGCCGCAGCTTGTGTTCCCATGTCCGCGGACATTAGAAGTTTGAAGGAAAAGTAACCGATTATCAAAGATGCTTGAAACATAATGAGACTGACTTTTAGTGTTCTATTCATAATTTTCTTCCTTCAGTTTCTGAATTTTTGCCGATACCGTCGCAATATGCGTCTTATAACTACTACCACGTCTAAGCTGCGACAAGACAGCGTCGCGTGATCGGGTTGTCTCTGCCTCATTAGTTCCGCGTAACCGTTCTAGCAGTGCTAACACTGAGCCACGCGCTGAGGAGAGTTCGAGCTCTTTGCTTTTTGGTGGTGGCAGTTTTTTCTGGTGCAGTTTCGCTGCCTTCGTTGCACATGATTTTTCTGCCGGGCATTCACTGTGGCTACTCCTCAACTCAATCGTAGTCGGCGCTGTCGCAGCAACGGCCGGTGATGTTACGGCAGCAGAGGAAGAGCTACTCGCCTTTTCATCCACAGCAACAGTTCCAACGCTTGACTTTTTCGCCGCAGTTACGCTTGGAGTTTTGCTTGCAGTGGTAGTTTTGCTTGCTGTGTAGGTGATAGGAGCAGCGTCACGACTCGTAAGAAGATCTATTCTCAGGCCTTGTTCCTTCAAGAAGACATCCTCACTTTCTTGCGCCTTCTTGTTCCCAGCATCATCCTGTACTTCTGGCGAGACTTCTTGGAAAAGCTGTTTCCTTGACGGGCAATCTGATGACTGTTGGAGTGCTCTGCTGCTATGTTGAAGCAACTGTTCTTCGCTCAGACTATTCCGACAGAAGCCCGCCATCTCGAAGAAGTCATCAGCCGATTGTTGCAACGAGGCAGCAGGGATGAGAGGGATGGGCGACAGTTCTAAGTCTAAGGAGCCACTGGTTGGGTTCATGTGGTCGTTGGGGGAGCCATTTGTTGCGTTTCTAGCATTCAGGTTGTTGGTACAAGATGAAGACGTAGTTGACCTGGGAAGGGGAGGCGAATTCTTCTTATTTTCAGCTTCTCTGTTTTTGGCGGAGGAGGAAGCAGGGGCTGCGGAGGACCTTCCTGGCACTGCTAGGCAAGACTTACTAGTCTTTTTCCTGCTGCACTCATCATTAATACTACTACTAGTAGCTGATGCTTGCGTAGCCAGGGGTGCTGATAATATTGCCCTTGTCGTACTAGCCGTATGTAGTCTAGAAGTGGATGTACTAGTATTTCCAACTTGTTCAACATGATTTTCTCGGATTTTTAGAAGAGGCGAGCCACAGTCTTCCCGCGCTAGTGGTGGTGATGACAATAGAGGCTCGTCTTCTTCATCCCCTGCTCGTGAAGATGGAAATGCCGCTCTTTCCGGGGCTTCTGGAGCAGCCATTCTGGCGACTGTTGCAGTCCGCTGCAACGTTGCATTCGCTGTCCTCATCATGAGGTCATCATGAGGCTCGTCGACCAAATTCGTCGACGCCACAGCTGGCGGCTGCCGCAAAACGCGACGACGTGGAACGAAGGCTGCCTTCGAATCTGTAGGGCTTTTTTCGGGTTTGCGAGGACGCGGCGGTGACGAATCAAACGGTGATCGCGGCTTGATGTTCTTGGCACCACCAGCAGAAATCGCCTCTTCTCCTTTGTAAAGCGGACCCCCGTACGAGTCAGGGCATTGTAGCAACGTGGGCAACATGTTTCTTTCTTGGCTCTTCACTTGGAAGATTTTTCAGGATGTACACTTAGAGTTGTTACTTCGGAAAATGAAACATTGATCTGGAGTCCAAGTCTACTAGTATCTCTCTCGCTTCTTTCATCTCTCTTGTTCGCTTTCGTTTGTACGTTTTGATTAGGCTCTGGACAAGTCACCTCTTACTCTTTTTGTATGCGGCTGAAGCAGCCGAATGCTTTGTGAATTCTCAGGTTCAGTGAGGACATGTCAAACACGACAACAGAACGACCAGCATCTCCTTCAGGAGGAGTGACCTTGACCTTTCATGAGAAAGAAACACTACAACATCATCATCATCATCATCATTGCGTCTCCCTTGATCGTACAGAATCAACATTGACTAGTATAGTCAGTCTGGTTACTTATTGGTTCACTGATTGATATGCCTGACAAGAGGTTGGTGTGGGAGAGCTATTTGTTCTTCTGTTTCTTCTTCTTCGTCATCTCTCCCTTTCCGTCTTTGCATTTTTTCTCATGTCTTCGAATGAGGTCAATCACTCCTTTTCTGTTTCACATGTCCTGTTGTTGGAAGCGGGATCCAAAGGGTATTTCCATGTAGTTTGCTTTTTATGGGGAGGAAGTGGGGAAGTGTCCCATATTTCGGGACATGTGCGGGGACCTGTCATCCTTTGATCCAAGTTCTTACATCTACTACTTACATTCAGCCGGTAGTGAGCTCATCAGTGGGCTCAGTTCTTATATCTACTACTTACATTCAGCCGGTAGTGAGCTCATCAGTGGGCTCAGCCTACTTGCCTTCGTCAGACCTCTAAGGCCACAAACTTCCTCTCAGCACGTAGAGCTTTGATTTCACCTGATAGTCGTGGTGGCGGTGGTTGGAGTGGTAGGAAAAGAATATCATCTGCAAGGATCATAGATATTCATATTCTTATCCGAAAATACAAGACCACGACTGTAAATTTAAAAATCAAAATTAACAAAAATTCATCAGGTACCTCCCACTTTGCTCAACTCTGCGATATTGCTAAGCCTGCCCTCTCCGGGTCGCAATTCTCGTCGTGTCTTTTCCATTAATGTCGGGTTTAAACGAGGTGGACTGGTGGGAAGATTAGTTGGAGAATCAATCAACCAAATCCACGGACAAAAATGAAACAAAGATCGTGATTGATACATCCAAGGATAGATAGGGCCTATTTCTACCCCGTACTATAAATCTTGAGTCCATCTTTCGAAGAAACTAAAGAAGTAGCTGCACCTATTCGCCCTGAGCCTTTCACTGGGCCCTCTGCCCACTTGCATGTACATGTCGTGATAGCCTAAAACTCGTTTCTTGCAGGCACCTGGGTCTAATCTTCCCGTCTCAATCTGCTCAATCGAATTCAGATCTTGAACGTGTCGGGACTGCGGGGTGAGAGGTGGGAAAGGAAAAAAAGGTTTAGATGTCTAGTCGTGGAGGGGACGTACCAAATAGTAGAGCCACTAGTACTGATGTCAATACCATGCATGATTTAATACCATTCACTCATTCATTCATTTACCTTTTCTTGAGGTATCTTTTGACGCGAACTACTGGAACTACTAGAACGAGAATACCTTCATCAAATTAGCATCCTGGCCAAATTGCCGTGACCCGAAAAGCGCCTGTTCTCTCTTTATCCCTAATCGAAACTCGAGGCCCTCGCGTTTGCCTGGAAGTAGTTATGATAGGATAGGAGTTAGCTCACCTGCGACAAGGTAAGCGTATAGGCATGATGCGCCATCAATGTGAGTGGAAAAAGAACCGAAGCATGCGCTGATTGAATGATAATAAAGGAAAGCATCTTCAACAACATGAACACTCTTCTCCAAAAATGAATCTTAAATACCTGGTTTAACTGCTTTCACTGCTATATCCGGATCGTAATCTCGAGCATGCCTATCAACCTGAGCCACGACATCCGGATTTGTGGCGTCGTAGTATACTGGAAGTTGGATCATTGGGTCTTTAGAGACGAGGTGACAAATTCCATGTGTAGTACAAAGTCAATGTTCGTCATAAAAAGTAGACTCCGACCCATTTGAGACGAAGTAAGATACTTACTCTAGCAATGGTCCTGGTGCGTTGTAAATGATACCTACTTGCTGGTCTTAAGATACTTACTCTAGCAATGGTCCTGGTGCGTTGTAAATGACCTACAACTTGTTGAAGTCATTTTGTAATACCTACACGACTACAAATAGGGGGGCTACTCACTCTCTCTCTCTATCGGTACAGTGACGAAACATTCACTTGCTGTCATCTAACAAGTGCACAACTCCTACTACTAAGTTGTGGACAACTACTACTACTAAGTGTACAACTTGCAGTACAAGCTGTACAGCTACTCTCTCTATCAGTAGTTCACTCATTCATTACTCGCACAAGATCTGCGTCGGCTCCAACGAGTGGGCTAATTCTTTGGAAGTTTTGTCAATGCCTTAGAGAGCAATGAGGAAAAAATTAGAGAGCAATCTATTATTAAGCTATAATTTTTCATCTTTTTAAGGTGTGAAAACTGTAACGCGCGCGCGCGCGTTACGCGCGCGGGTTACGCGCGCGCGCGCGTTACGCGCGCGCGTTATAACGCGTTACGCGCGCGCGCGTTACGCGCGCCTTACTTCATGCGCGCGCGCGCGTAAGGTGTGAAAACTGTAACGCGCGCGCGTTATAACGCGTTACGCGCGAAGCAAGGCGCGCGCGCGTTACATGCGCGCGCGCGCCCGCGCGCGTTTACGCGCGCGGAGAGGGTGCGCTCGCGACCGGGCTCGCCGGGGCCGGCTCGGGCTCGCCGGGGCCGGCTCGGGCTCGGGCTCGCCGGGGCCGGCTCGGGCTCGGGCTCGCCGGGGCCGGCTCGGGCTCGGGCTCGCCGGGGCCGGCTCGGGCTCGGGCTCGCCGGGGCCGGCTCGGGCTCGGGCTCGCCGGGGCCGGCTCGGGCTCGGGCTCGCCGGGGCCGGCTCGGGCTCGGGCTCGCCGGGGCCGGCTCGGGCTCGGGCTCGCCGGGGCCGGCTCGGGCTCGGGCTCGCCGGGGCCGGCTCGGGCTCGGGCTCGCCGGGGCCGGCTCGGGCTCGGGCTCGCCGGGGCCGGCTCGGGCTCGGGCTCGCCGGGGCCGGCTCGGGCTCGGGCTCGCCGGGGCCGGCTCGGGCTCGGGCTCGCCGGGGCCTGCTCGGGCTCGGGCTCGCCGGGGCCAGCTCGGGCTCGGGCTCGCCGGGGCCGGCTCGGGCTCGGGCTCGCCGGGGCCAGCTCGGGCTCGGGCTCGCCGGGGCCGGCTCGGGCTCGGGCTCGCCGGGGCGGGGCCGGCGCGGGCTCGCTGCGCGCGCGCGTCGCGCGCGGGGGGTGCGCTCGCGACCCGCTCGCGACCGGCTCGGGCTCGCCGGGGCGGGGCCGGCTCGGGCTCGTCGGAGCGGGGCCGGCTCGGGCTCGTCGGAGCGGAGCCGGCTCGGGCTCGCCGGGGTGGGGCCGGCTCGAGCGTGCCGGGCCCGGCTCGGGCTCGCCGGGGTGGGGCCGGCTCGAGCGTGCCGGGCCCGGCTCGGGCTCGCCGGGGCCTGTTCGGGCTCGCCGGGGCCGGCTCGGGCTCGCCGGGGCCGGCTCAGGCTCGCCGGGGCCGGCTCGGGCTCGCCGGGGCTGGCTCGGGCTCGCCGGGGCCCGGCCGGCTCGGGCTCGCCGGGGCCCGGCCGGCTCGGGCTCGCTGGCGCCGGTTCTGGCTCGCCGGAGCAGGCTCAGGCTCGACGGGGCCGGCTCGGGTTCACCGGGGTCGGCTCAGGCTCACCCGAACCAGCTTGGGCTCGCTGGGTGGGGCCGGCCCAAGCTCACCGGAGCCGGCTCAGGCACACTGGGGCCGGCTTGGGCTCGCCGGGGCCGGCTTGGGCTCGCGCGGGTGCCACTGAACTCGCACAGGGCCCGTCGAGCTCGCACGGGGCCGGGCTCATACAGGGCCCGGCTCGCACGGGGCAGGCCTCAAACGAGCCTGCCCGGGCTCACACACAGCTGGGCTTGCACGGGACCAGGCTCACACGCGGCTGAGCTTGCACGGGGCCGGGCTTGCACGAAGCCGGCCCGTTTGGCTCCCGCGGTGCCCGCTCGGCTCACACGGGGCCGGCTGGACTCGCATGGAACCACGCTCGCAGGGGACCCACTTGGCCCGCAGGGGGCCCGCTGAGCTCGCACGGGGCTGGGCTCGAAGGGACGGGGCTGGGCTCACGCGGGGCCGGCTGGGCTCGCAAAGAGCCGGCGGGACCAGGCTCGCGCGGGGACAGGCTCGCACGGGGCCCACCTCAACTGGCACGGGGCTGGGCTCGCACATGGCTGGGCTCGCACGGGGCTGGGCTCACACGGGGCCGGCTCGGGCTCGCAGGGAGCCGGCGATGCCGGCTGGGCTCGCACAAGGAGGGGCACATCATGGCCCAGGCTCGCACAAGGCCGGGCTCGCACGGAGCTGGGCTGGCACGGGGCCGGGCCCGCAAGGGGCCGCGCTCGCGAGGCCGGGCTCGGGCTCGGGTTCGCGCGGCTGCGTTGTCCTAAGCATGCAAGACGGGGCCGAATCGGGCTCGCGGCTGAAGCGGCAGCGGCGAGCCCTCTCGGGTTCGTGGCTTGGCTTGCTACTCTGGCGGGCTGGGCCAGGTATGGGCCCGCTTTACTGTACACGCGTAAAGGCTTCCACATCTTCAAAAAGTGCAACAGCGACGAAGAACAGCGCTCACTCTTATTCTCGTTCGCGTTCGACGTTGCAACTCTTTGAGCCTCTCAGGCTGCTTGAGTGTTTTTCTTCTCTCTTTCTCGTTTTCAAAATAGTCAAGGAAGCTAAAAGAATCTTGTTGCAATAAGGAGGAACTTCCTAGCCCACTACATTTGCCACGTGGGGCCCAGAGGAGCAACTTCCCTAGTTACTAAGTGTACAACTTGCAGTACAAGCTACAGCTACTCTCTCTAAATCAGGAGTTAGTAGTAACAGGCACACTTGTTCTTGCCATAAGTTTCCTTTGCGTTTGTACCGCGAAATTGGGGACCAGTTTAGGTCCTGGCATCGTCGCCAGGGAAAACTCCGATGTGAGGTTCGCCATCTTGACGAGTCCTTTGTAGACTTCTATTCTTACTCGCTACAACAAGAACGGATCTTTATACAACAGAGATGAAGATGTCTTAAACAACACTCTGACGCTTAGTCATCATCAACCGTGCAAGAACATACTTTTCACGATATCACACCAGAGAAAAGCGAGACTGTGTGGTGGGCGCCGAAAGAGGTGCTTGTTGGGGGATGAGCCTAAAAGGATCATCGAATATATGGGCTCGCGCAGCGAGATGAGCGATGCTGTTGGGCAACCGTATGATCTTCCGATGAATGTGAGCACACCGTTATTTCATTTCTATCACCGACTACAATCTCTGCTCAGAAGTCTTGGCGATACACAGAGTCTCTTCTTATTTTCTCTCTCATCCCTGACGAACAATATCAACAAGAACGCATGCTCTTCGCGAATAAGTATTCAAAAAGTAGAACGATTTCAACCAGCACTAACAGAGTAAGTGTTGTATTCTAATTGGTTTCCAATGAAGATGTGTGGCTGCATGCCGTTGTTGAGACTTGTCGTGGTCGTTATTTTCATGTAGTTGCGTATGTAGTTGTATCCTTCCAAGAAGTTCTAGTGTCTGCAGTCAAACGTATTTGGCAATAAGACACAAGTAGGCAACAGAAAAACAAAAATTTGGCAGTTTGTGTCCGTCCCTGAGAAAATCGGTCTGGGAATATTGAATCATGAACCAAGTTGGATCTGCTCTGCGATTGAGATGTAGCTCCCTCTACATGCAGTCACAATTACAATTACAAATTTTTCGAAGGGGTGTTATGGCGGGCAGTATACTAAAAAATTAGTATGACCCACGTATTTCGAATCGTTCGACGCACCAGCTGGGGTGGGCGCAAAGAAAGCACGCACTTCACAGCGCAGGCCCCTTTGGAAGTAGCCCTGACCCCTAACGGCTAAAGTTCGTTCACTGACGAGTTAGAGATGATATACTCGTCACTCAACTTTGTACATTTCTTCTATTTTCGGCAACCGTTGATCCGAAAACCTGAAGGACACCACCGCCCGAGAGGAAAGCTCAAGCTCAAGTAGAGATGAATAAAAGGGGACTATAGTAGTAGTGGTAGCGTGCCCCGTCATGGGGTATAGAAGATTCCATTGGCAGCTGTCCTAGATTGACCGACTTCGAGATCCCCTGAAAACAGAGCCGGACTCTTCTTCAGGAGTCACAAGGCAGGTTTCTAACGAACAACAGTCGCCAATCACAGGATGCTAGTAAGTTCTTTTTTCTAAATTCTGTCACGCAAGTTCTAAAAATTTAGTGTGGTAGCTTTTATGTTCATTCGCGTTCTTGTTCATGTAGGAGGACCTACCATCTCCACATCTCTTCAAGCAAGAGGATGCTCTATCTACTGCCCGGCTTTTGGGAAGAGTAAAGCGCAATCTTGAGAAGTTTTCCTTGGAAGTAGTAGAGCGACCAGAAAACTGTTGTAGAAGACACGCAGCAGCAGCTCTTCTCCTTTTTTCTTCAATTTAGTATGTTGCTTGAAGGGATAAATCTACGAGATAGAGGGAAAACTAACCGGCTGCTCTACTTATGTGCTTTGGGCGCCGCTGGACCTATACCCTAACCTTATAAAAAGGAAAGATTACGCTAGGCGAGTTAGATTTGCAGCACAGGCTAGATTGGCAGCACACCTCTGAGAAAAAAGGGAATACTTAACAGATCCTGTTATGGGAGAAGGTTACTTAATTATCGCCAGATGGAGTTTTTTGGTTTAGTTGCTTAATACAGTTAAGAAAGTTACAAAACTCATCACGAACTGCCCCTCCTCCATTTGGAAAGTTGGCTCTTACCTCATCAGAGTTTGCGGGACACAAGCAGACTCAATAATATGATCATTTATACGAGAGAATAACGCTACAATTATAACTGTCACACGCGGCGCATTTGAAAATGGTCGCGCGTCCTCTGATTGATTGATTGACTGACTGATGTACCTATTCACGAGGTAAAGGGGTGCTAATATTCAAGCGATCAAACCGTTGAAGTCGCAGCATTGAAAACAAAGGAGAGTCGATTGCGATTCTCCTTCTCGCCCTTGATTAAATACCTGCTACAGCAGTTCATCTGCTTCCTCCCCTTCTCCAAATCAATTTCAAATTATATCCAGGTCCTTGGTAACACACCTGGGCACCGCTCAGTCAGTCAGTCAGTCAGTCAGGTGGCCGGCCTTCGCAGGGCACCGACTTCCCAGCATTCGACAACTCAAATCAAGATTCAGAAACTCCCAGCATTCGATTTCTTAGTGTAAAAAGATACGACGACGACGACAACAACAACACAAAGAAAAACCACCCCTATGGCCCTTTGGTATCGTCCTTGGCTGTGTTGTACTATCTTCTCAGACTATATAGGGAGGAAAAAATGTAGCGTGGTCTGCAAAGTCGTCGTGGTGAAAATAGGATACTCCTGAATAAACAGCTACTAGACAGATCCAATTTCTTTACATCTTCACACTTAGGCAGATTTCCCTTAAGTGATCTACCGCCTCCAAGAGTAGTTCTCAAGGTTGTAGATGTATAACGAGACTCGCAAGTAAACACCTTCAACTCATGTTTTGAGAGCAGCGAGAAGTCAGGCTAAAAGTGGTCTGAGCAGATCTTCACCATAGATGTGATCAGCCTTATCCCCTCCCTTATCCTTTGAACCATTCATCAAGGCAATCCCCTCCGCCGTCTATGTATCACATGACGAAGGCATGCCTACGTACTCAATGGACATCAAATATTTGTCCCCTGTTGTTTAATCTTTTTGGTTTTTCTTTTAAATGTTGAATTTTGGTTCTCATGACATATGCATAGGTCCCTACAACTACCTTCCCAGTCATTTTCTGTACCTGATTTTGATTGACATGTTTCCTCGTCATACCTTCATCAGGAACAATTATTCACACATCAGTCGATTTATTTGCAGCAATTATTCACGCAAACCAAGAAAGATTGCCTTTGCGCTCCCTCTCTACCCCATGCACCTGGAGGCGCATCCTAGACCCCTCCATCATCTCCGCTGGAAAAGCGTCTCCTGGATGCTTCTCAAAATAGGAGACTAGAGGAAGCCTTAGCTCTTCTTTACACTGTCAACTATAGACCACTGCACACAAGCATCCACAACTTCTTGGAAAATTACGGTCATCAGGAACAATTATTCACACATGAGTCAATCTATTTGCAGCAATTATTCACGCAAACCAAGAAAGATTGCCTTTGCGCTCCCTCTCTAATCCATCTTGAGGCGCATCCTAGACTTCTTCGTCTCCGCTTGAAAAGCGTCTCCGGGATGCTTCTCAAAATAGGAGACTAGAGGAAGCCTTAGCTCTTCTTTATACTGTCTTCTATAGACCACTCCGCACAAGTATCCACAATTTCTCGGACAGTTGCGGCCTTTGTAAAAACTATTTCTAAAGATGGCCATTACAAAAAGATGAATGGGGTATGCTTTACACTAGATCTATTAAGCCCCAAAAGCCAGGCCCTGAAGAGTAGAACCAGAGAAGTTATAATTACTCGACCAACAAGCCCAAAAGACTGGCCGCCAAACTGAGACATTAACGTAGCACAGATCTTCACACTTCCGTCTCAGATCGTCAGTTTCGCACCATACGACCTCAAGCGAAAATCGTAGTCGTCGCTTAAAAGGCAAACAACGATTGGCATGTACCTAACGACTAGACCTCACGACTCCACGAAGATGCGAGATCAAAGTCAAAGCATTATTGTGATACATCGAGTTTCCGTTCTTACAAAAACGACCACAACTGAATTTTTCAAGATGTAACTAAGGGCAACATGGTGTCGCTGCAAAGGATACGAAATTAATTTCAAGACACGCATAATTATTATAAGTTGATAGATAAAAAACATAACAAAAAAAAAATCTATATTATTAATCTATATTATTAATCTATATTATTAATCTATATTATTAATCTATATTATTAATCTATATTATTAATCTATATTATTAATCTCGCCATTGATCGCCGCCATAAAACTCCCCGCCTAACCCACCGGAGATTAGTCAGCTTCTTTCGCGAAGCTATTGCCCATAGTCTCCTGCCCTTTCCCCTCAGTCTCAAGCCCGATAGCCTCCGGCCGTTTCCTTGTTGGGATTTACGTTGCGGCCCCGTGGCAGACCACCAGAAAAGAAGGCAGAAAAATGGCCGACGGGGGTGGGGGCGCAAGCTGGGGAGAAAAGTCCAAAGAGAGACAGCCAACGAAAGACCGCCCACCGAAAGGGCAAAGACCTTGGACCAAAGACACATGGACCAAAGCCGATCTTTGGACCAAAGACGAGCTTTGGACGAAGGGCGACCGTTGGACCAAGGGCGATCTTCGGACTAAAGGCGACCTTTGGACCAAAGACGACCTTTGGAGCACAGGCGATCTTTGACCCAAAGACGATCTTTGGCCCAAAGGCGATCTTTGACCCAGGGGCGACCTTTGGACCACAGGCGACCTCTGGACCACAGGAGACCTTGGGACTTAAGACGACACTGGGACCAAAGACGACCTTGAAACCAAAGACGACCTTGGGACCGAAGACGACCGCGGGACCACAGGCGACCTCTGGACCAAAGTGCGGCGACCTCTGGACCAAAGTAGGGCGACCTTTGGACCAAAGTAAGGCGACCTTTGGACCAAAGTAAGGCGACCTTTGGACCAAAGTAAGCCGACCTTTGGACCAAAGTAAGCCGACCTTTGGACCAAAGTGCGCCGACCTCTGGACCAAAGTAGGGCGACTTTTGGACCAAAGTAAGGCGACCCGGCGACCTCTGGACCAAAGTAGGGCGACCTTTGGACCAAAGTAAGGCGACCTTTGGACCAAAGTAAGGCGACCTTTGGACCAAAGTAAGCCGACCTTTGGACCAAAGTAAGCCGACCTTTGGACCAAAGTGCGCCGACCTCTGGACCAAAGTAGGGCGACTTTTGGACCAAAGTAAGGCGACCCTTCGACCTCTGGACCAAAGTAGGGCGACCTTTGGACCAAAGTAGGGCGACCTTTGGACCAAAGTAAGGCGACCTTTGGACCAAAGACGGCCGCTGGACCAAAAGCGACCTCTGGACCACAGACGACCTCTGGACCAAAGCCGACCTTTGGACCGAAGACGACCTTTGGGCCACAGGCGACCTGTGGACCACCGGCGACCTGTGCGTGGACCAAAGACGACCTTTGGGCCCAAGACCTCCGACACGACAAGAGTGAGACCCGCGACAGCAGACATCTGACGAACGACCTCCGCCAGAAAAACTGACGCGAGGCCTCCCTGTGGCGCGAGGCCCTTGAAGATAGCGAAGACCTTTCGCGAAGGACGTCAGTCCGGCGAACGCGGTCAATCTGGCGAAGCACGTCAGTCCGACGAAAGAACGGGGTCAATCTTACGAAGGAAAGACATCCGCAGCCCGAAGAAAGGCCCCGCTCAGCCTGTTCCCTCCGACGCAAGGCAGACGCCTGGCGAAGCATTGCGCCGGCCTGGCGAGAGGCCTCACCTGGCTGGCGAGTGCATCAGCCTGACGAACGGCGCCGAGCTGAAGCAAGCCATCAACCTGACCAAAGGCGTGAGTCTCGGCCCGGCGAGGAATGTCAGCCAGGCGAAGCGCTTCAGCCTGACGAGAGACGTCGCCCGACCCTGACGAAAAGCCTCAGCCTGACCCAAGACGCCTGCCGAGGGGCGCCGGCCTGCCCGACGAACGCCGCCAGCCTGGCGCAGAGCGTTGTTCTGACGAACGGCATCAGCCTGATGGAGGGCCTTAGTCTCCAGCTTGGTGAAAGACGTCAGCCAGCCGAGAGGCTTCAGCCACAGCCCGAAGCGCGACGCCGCACGACCCCGCGAAGTGCGCCCGCCTGTTTCTGACGAGAGACATCTGACGAAACAAAGAAGCCCCGCCAGGTGTAAGCGCGTAGAGAGACCCAAGCAGCGCGGCCCTGCGTTGCTTTGTCTTGTTTGGCCCATCAAGGTCGCCCCTCGTTCTTGCCTGGCGCCACCGCGAGGCGCTTGCGTGCGTTGGGGCTTGCGGATTCTTGTGCGTGTCTGGTGGCTCTCTTCTGGTTTTTTTGTTGGACTGCCGTGGGGGTCTTGCAAATTCTTAAGAATTTGCATGACCCGCCCGGCAATCTCAAAAAAAAAACCGAAGGCAGCGCAATGCCCTGCACATGAGTCGACGCATCTCAGTCGGCCACCGCCGGCGCTCGGCTCTTGTCGTAGTCAATTCGTAAGGTGCATCAGCTCACCCGCCGGCTGTCTCTACTCTAGCGGCTGTAGCCCGTGGGAGGCCGCAGAAAAGTGCTAAACTAACTTGAAGCCGGGCGAAGCTTGTGGAGGCTAGTTATATATACTTAATCCACTTCCTTATGCTAGGTCGTTGGGGCCCAGCTATAACACAGATCGAGTAGTAGTTTTTGTAGTTGTACGACCTACGAGCATGAGGAAAAGGTCGTCGCACGCGCAACCTTCGTGGCATCAAAAGTTGGGCGCAGTCAAGTTATCACCTCTTCATGATTCTTCGGTGATTTATTCTTCATCTACTGAAGGTGTCTCCATAAAAGTATATTGATATTGACCACGACTACTGCGCTTTTTTTTCATTCTACTGTCCTGCGAATTTTTTGGCTGCACATTTGGCACTTCTACTTCCCTATCCAGGTTGTGCCACGACCTTGATTTAATCAAATTCCGACTTTCGTTCTTTTGTGACAATCTTCAATGTCTACTATTTTCTCTGACATCTGACATCCGATCAAGATGTGCGGGAAATTTCCAAAATCCATAGCCGACTCCTTCGAAGTGCTTCTTATGTATGTTGAAAGATAAAAGTTGACTCTTCATGCTTAGATTCTCTAGAGGCACGACCGAGAGGATGGCCCCATCTTCTCCTGTACGGTATCTTTTCGCCACACTTATAGGAGGCAACTATATTCAGCTGTAAAAGATTCCTTCTGGTGCAACAAGAAAAACACTTCTCTACGGCCGTGCCCCTTACTCTTTGTGTCCCACGTAACCCCCGCCTCGTGATCCTCGACAGGGATAATTGCCGGCGACTGGGAGAGCCTTTTTCTGGTACTTAGGTAAAACTCTTCCTCTCAGAACATTATAATATTTTTAGCTACTTTCCCCTAAGCTGACGCGTTTTCCTTGAGCCGAAATGGCTACGGAACAATTTAGAAAATCGGTATCAATATTTGAAAAAATCTATGGTACTAGAGTCTTACGCTCAAGCAAGAGCAATATTGAACTACTAAGTGTAGCCCTTTACACTAGAACTCTTCTCATCTGAACACCAAAGAACAGCGACCATCACAGTCCAGCTGTATACTTATTTACTACGCTAAAAATTAGATTAGATTGCTACACTAAACTAAACTAAACTAAGTAGCTGCACACTTATGGAAGTGGGTGGAGTAGAGTTTGTTTTTCTCGCATGTTTCTACCGAAATCATAGAAAGAAGAAAACTTCTCTGCCTCACACCATGTTCTAATAGAAAGCTGCTACACGTACACCATTCTAATCAAAAGACGGACTCTTGGATAGATTGACGCATTCGTCCACATCTTTCTTCACTGAGATAGTGCGGAAAGTGGATACTAGTACTAGAAATTGTAACAAAAAATTTTGCACATAGTTCGGGAAGTGATACGACCAGATTTTTTTTCCTCTTTCTACAACTGGCAGGAGGCTCATCCTGAAGAATATTTACCAGTCGCCGTTCTTCTACCTATTAGAGTAGTTTCAAAAAATCTTAAGCGTCGTTCTGTTCTCCAGAAAACTCGATTGCAATTCATTCAAAGCACTCAGCTCATTAGGATAGGGTCGCGGGACCTAAACCTTCCCAAAAAGACGATACTTGTGGGAGGACGAGTCTAGCTTTGCAGCACGCCTCGCATCGGACACCTTACTATGTATAAGCTGATAGCTGTAGTTACTATACAGTAGTTATGTGTTTCTTAATCAAAACAAAATAAACATATCTTTCTCTTATTGGATTGCACCCACGACCCATTCTAGTTCAGAATCAATTGTTCCTCGTTGCCTTACGTGTTGTTCTGTACTCGAATGATTCAAAATCTCGGAAGACAAGGCATCTTGGACAGCGCCTTCTTTGTGCTTTGCTCCTAGCTGTATCCTCTGCTGTTACTATTCTCACCGCGCCGCCACCCTCACAGTTCCCAAAGCTCCCCACATCCGGGGCTTAAGTCTTATTTTTACCTTCTCTCGTTACTTTCGCGCGCCCTCCCGCAGCGCCCCTGTGAGTGATATAACCACGACGCGATAATCAACATACTGGGAATGTTTCTGAAGTTCGTTTTGTTTTACTAGCCACTGGTGGCACAACTACAAGGTCATCCAACTTTACAGAAGTACAAACTACAGGTCATCACTGTCGCCGAATGCTTCTAGTGAATCGAATACCTCGCCTCTGACGCAAAGTCGGCGCGAGTCGATCTTTTCGGATTTGCTGTTGACGCAGAGCGGGCCCGGTCGGTGGGATCACGGAGCCAGCCGCAGCAGTGGGGGCCGACAGCATTAGCGTTCTCTACCAATCACGTGATGACTTGAATCTAATCAGCAAGATGCCTTTCTACTAACTAAGGCCATCGTCGAGGATACAAAATTGCGCACCATCTTCTTCTATTCAGTTTGATTGATTGATTGATTGATTGATTGATTGATTGATGTGCCTGGCATGAGGTCACTGTTTGGAAGATTTCTATTTCTTCTCTTCTTATTGACTACGTTAGTTCTTTTTGAAGAACTTCCAGTTGCTACGCACGAACCTTAAGTGAAAGCCTGCGAATCTTTGCGGCACGCCTGCCATCTCCCGCAACAATGCTCTGTGAAAATGCAACTTCTGCAATTCTTAGAAAAGGCATAGGAGTAGTAGTCGTAGTAGTAGCAGTAGCGTACCCAGTCAAGGGGTATAAAAGACAGCGCGTTAATTGATTGATTGATTGACATCCCGAGGAGTTCGCCATGTCACATGGCAAGCATGACAATAAAGAAGAAAGAAGTGACAACATTACCAACCCGGTACTTGAAGTTTGAAGAAATCTATGAAAATCACTCTACATGGTTAGAACTAAGAGAAATCCATCTTCAGTAACATCTTGGGTCTCCTTTTCTCTTTAAAAACGGGACCAGGATGACGGTGAAGATGAATTTCTTGTAGCCTTAACATGACCAAGCTCAACCTCGTTCTTCATAAGCATGATCACCCAGAGTGGAAGCCGAGCGGTCGCAGAGCTGTTCTTGGGTCAGCGGTCGACGTGGATCGACAATCTTGTCGTGCTCAACATCTGAGCGCGTTTGTGTATGATTTGGGAGAGAACTACTCTATTAGTCCATTGCTGCTGCGCAATAAGTGTAAAGGGAAATGTTATAGACGACAGAAGAAACATCAGATCCTCAACAAAAGTATCAATAAGTACTAAGAAAAAGCGAATCCATCCACGGCGGGCCGGCCATTCGGACATCAGCGCGGTAGAAGTTCTGTATAATACGAGGCTGAACGGCCGTAATTGTTGTTGTTACTCTACTCGGACGACTGGTCTGAAGCGGAGTAGTGCCACGAAGCGAAACGTTGTCACGTAGCGAGGGTGATTAGATTTTGATCAGGGTTTCTTCATATGAAAGTAACAGATTTTTATCATCTAGACGAACAATGACTGTGATACTAGACCACGTGACTCATTCTTAAGGCACATCCGCTCTGGTGCTTCGTCCTTCGCTGCTGCGTTTAAGTTCGCCAGCTTCCGGCGCGTCTTCTCTCGTGGTTGTACTAAGATCCACGCTGCGTCCTCGCACAGGAGAAGTAGTGCGGGACGCGAAGTCGTGAGGCAGCGTAGTAGCATCACGGCTGTTCTTAATATTAGAGCCCACGACCCTTGTCTATCTTGAGACGCATCCTGACTCTTCTTTTCCCTTATCATGGGACAGCTTCAAAAGCTTCAAGTTGCTTCTGCTCTCCAAGATGTGCAATCTCTAAAAATGGAAGATTAGTGGTGCTGGAAGCCTCTTCAAGTTGCTTCTAAAAATAATGGCAGATTAGGCGAAGCCTTAATATCCTCTCGCACAGAGGACGAGGCAGTGCGAGTCTCGTCTGTAGAAAGGCCGAGGGAGTTATCACGTACTGGAGAAGTACTGGCCCGTCGGGGGATGCTCATCACAGTGTTGGAGGATCGTGTAGGGGAAGCACTTGGAATTCGAACCGTAATCATGTTCATGGCGTTGCTTCGCGAAGGCTCGGTAGTACTAGTGTTAGTGGTAGGGCCTTGGAATTGGAGGCGTTTCTCTTCCCCGTTCGTTCTGCTTTTCTCGTCCCTACTTAGCCTTAGGAGAGCCAGCACAACAAACGGCAACGGAAACAGCTAAAAAATGATAGCCTTAATAGTAGGAAAAGAAAGCAAGCTACTCGGAGCTGTGCTCGAAGAAGGGGCCTTTGAAGATTGGTCGACTGTCGAGCTCATTCTGTGCGCACGACGCAGATGATTTAGCCACGAGTTATCATTGAAGCCAGAGTCCCACAGAGGACCGTCTGGTGCATCATCCATGGTGGCGCCCTTGACCTTGTAAAGTTAGAAATTATGAAATTACGAACAGGATTGCAGTGATCATGCATGCACACTTGTACATTACAGGAGAATCACTAAAAACCTATGACGGCGATGATATACCCAGCACGGGGCTTCTTGGTCCACTAGAAGAACCAACAAACGCCAGCCTTAAGTGTTAGCCGTTGTACTCGAAAAGTGCTCCCGAGCAGGAGGGGTGTCGAGATCCCTTGCAGAAGTGAAACTTGTAGACAATCGTCTGCGCGCAGACCTTGCTCGGGGCGCAGACCTTGTTCGCCGTCTCCTTGCGTAGGAGTTGGCGCCAAGAATGCTGTCGTTCGAAGCATCGCTGCCTGCCAATTCAGTACCATCTTCGCCAGGACTTATTATTAGAGCTCACCTTGAAGATGATAGCTTTAAGAACCTCGTCTACATAACCCCCCTCGTGTAAAAAGTAGCCTTAATTGTGGTGGAGCCGACCTAACTAGAAAAAAGACAGACCAGAGGAAGATAGAAAAGAGAAAAGGGTAACTATCAACGAACAAGTATCCTAAAGTATCCTAAAGTAGCCTTAATTTTAATGCCTCAGTGTTCAGGAAAAATCCGCTGTCCCGTCCATGGTTAGACGTCGTATGAGAAATTCATCTCCTTCAGCCATTTCTTGCTTCCCTTTTTTCCCTTAGGAGACGGGTAACCAAGATGTTTCTTGAGAAGATGGTAGCTACAATTATATTGTAGGAGCAGCCTTACCTACAACATGGGACGAGGAATTTGGCACAAAATCGAGTTCGGATCGGCCGCTGGAGAGGTGAGAACTGTATTCCGCACCATGATGGCCACTACTTGTTGCTGTAGTCGATGCATCTCCTGACGCATCGTCCGCCAAAGCTCGTTCCGAGTTGAGATTGTGGTCGCCTAAAGCTACACGCTTGCTCAAATTTCCGACACCAAAATCAACTCCTCCCATCGATACAACGTGCTGCGGCAACATGTGCTGGCTCACCATGTGCTGACTCGGCATGTGCTGACTCGGCATGTTGTGCTCCCTCGGTAAAGCAGATTGTTCTGGACTAGTAGGTCCAGTTTGCTCATGATGTTGAACAACTGGATTATGTCCATTTTGCTCATGATCGTTTCCTGGTTCATCATTTTCCGCAGATGACAGCTCAGCGTCGGAACTTTCGACACTACTTAGAACAGATCCTATGAGAACTTCGAGAAGTACAATCTGAGTTTCATGATGATAATATGTATATGACGAAAGCGCAGGCACGTATTACAAGTCTTTTCTACCTAGATCTACTTCTATTTCTTTTCACTTCATTGCTTTTTACCGAAATTAAGGCTCAAGGTTTAAGGTCCGTCCGCAGCTCTGCGGCCATGCCGCGTTGTTTGGGACGATAGAAACAGGCTCGAGTAGAAATTATAGCTGAAAACTATTTCATAACGAAGTACACACTGGAGAAGCGGCATCTTGGCTGCCTGGCGAAGCGGTGCGCTCGTCATCCTCTACAGGCTGTGGGCGTCTACCTTAAAGCAGGTTGCCGAGTTGCATTCTTCAGAACATCCTTGGGCCCTTTTCAACCCCTTGAAAAGGACCCAAGGATGGTAGTGAAGTATGCAATTCGCAAACCCTTAACTCCCTGCACGAATCTCAGGAGAACCCGACCCGGAAGCTGCGCTTGGGGATCCCGAGAGAGATTGCCGCAATGGTTAGAAGAAGAAACGTTGGATGAAAACATCCAATTACCATGCTGAAATAATCAAGAAGGGCATCTTCGTGGCTAGCAAAATTGGCATGCTATGAGAAGGTAAGCAGCCTCTTCACCTAATACTAGATTGAGAATCATCCTAAAACAAGCATAGCATCTTTTTGGATGTGTTTCTTCGGAATTTTTCGTCTCTCCCTCAGTGCAATACCAAGAAGTTGCAGTTGCTTGTGTCTGAAAACAAAACTCGTATCAGCAATGAGGCCTTAAGTCAATATGTCGCTGCGAGCTGCCCGGGCGCGTTCAACCACCAGGAGGAACGAAAAAGCTGACTTCTTAACAAACAACATGATCACGATTCTTCTCGTCCTAAGTACAAACTAACAGCACTCAATAAAATTTTTGAAAAATAATACAAATAAAAAGGGTGGTCACAAAGAATGAAACAATCAAACAAAGCTGTCAGAAAGTTACATACAAAAACAGAGAACAAATCGACCTACTACATACATGTCACATATACAAGAACAAAGAACAAATACAAATCAAAATACTACCTTGACGTTTGTCAGGTGAGTCAACTTCCTTGAAAAACTTCAACAGGAAATGAATAGTACAAGAAACTAGTAATACTCTCCTACCTTACATCAAATATATCTCTTCACTTCATTGCATTGGAGGACGCCGGCGGCCCTCGTCTAGGCTCTCGTGGCCGTGTCACAGCAGTCGCGCCTACACGAGTGAGAACTGTTACTGCTTCTATGCAATTTTGCAGTATAAAAGTAGTAAGCTCAGAATAATAGTCAGCAGAGATGTTACAACAAATCACTGCTACTCAAAGAACACAACAGCACTCACCCAATAACAACAAATACAAGATCAGAAACAATTACTAAAGTTAGATCACTACAGATGAGTAAGATTGTTGCTGTCACAGAAGAAGTACACGGTGTGCTACCAGAGAATGGGACCACACTAGAGGAGATTGATTAGCACCTCTTAAGCGGCCTCAACTCTTGTCGGCACAGCATCGAGATACTCCTTTCCGGTGTTGTGAGGATGGTCTTCTTCGTAACTACGCGGTAATTATGGAAATTTGTGTCACGCGCATTAGAGAAGGAGCAAGCAATAACTCACTTCCAGTCGAAGACTCAGTCTACTATGTATTTTCCAGTCCTCTGTACTATCGGAAAACAATCTTCTCAGTGGAGATGAATAATCGTTCCAGAGCCATAATGAGAGCTGGAAAAAAAAACCGTGCGTCCCAGTAACTGCTCAGACCGCGACTTACTCACTGGCTTCATAGAATTCCAGAAAAATCAAATGCTTCAACAAGCTGATAATACCTACAACGCATACAACCTACAATACAACCACTAGAACTAAGGCCGCCTGGAGATGGATATATAAGAGACGCACCGAGCTACGTGTATACTTGCAGTATTCTTCTTGCATTCCAGTTGCGTGTCTGCTTATGGTTTATTCAGCACGTTGTATACGTTTCTTAGAGCTCGTCGCGCTGTCGATAGCTCATTTTCCGAAGCACACTCAACTGCGTCAACCGTTCTCTTTCACTTTCAATCTGTTTTACACTACTCGAAAACGTTGAAAGTGAAAAGTGAAAACGTTCTTTTGACATGGAGTGAAAAGGTAATACCCTGCGCAGAAAATGAGTGGTCAACATCGATACTCACCACTTAACAAGAGTCAGTGCCTTAAAGTTGTCAAGCTGGTGCAATTCTGTCTCCACGAAAACTCGCACTTCCACTGACTTCAATGAACCCAAAAATTGTTAGGCTCCGAGTCTAGTCCTTTCCGTGTTTTCGGTAGAGCTGCAAAGCCGTTCGATTCAGGAAGAAACCTTCTTCGTTTTATAGCAAACTTCTGGTCGACGATGACATCATTTTTCTCACAAAACTTGAACTTGTTTTTTTTGATTTTTTTCTTGATGGACCAAGCGTTGGAGCGGTTGGAATGAAAAGTCGTTCGAAGATGCCTTGGCTCTTTAAGGAATTTAAGCAGCTATCTTTTTAGCTACTACTTACCTCCGAAGAAGAAGCTTCAAGTCCTACGATGATGCCAGTATTAAAACTTGATGAAGAATGCCACTTGGTTCTTCAGTTGTGTTTTGCAACTTACAACAACTACAACTGTTAGATAAACTATAACTCGAACATTTACCATGTAACCAGATGAACTAGTGTAGCTGTGATAAGCAGTACTGCTTCAAGGCAAGAAGGTATCTTCATTCAATACACGTCTCTAGAAAGAGTATTTTCATTCATCCACTCACTCACTCACTTACCTATTCTGGAGGTAGCTTCTGACGCCTTAACTAAGCAGCCAATATTCATTACTTTAATTCTTGCTTTTTTGGAAATCCTTACCTTTAAACTTTATTTTTCCCGTAGCTTATTAGTGAGGGGAGAAACAAGAACGCACTCTTTGTGCGGTTGCTTTAGAAAAGTGCCAAGTTATCTTTGATACGAGTCTCGTCCACGAAAACGATTCCCCACAAAAGCATCAAGTTTGTATCTTGCAAAGAAAATATCCAGATGTAATTGCACAGGACCTGTTTCCGTCGAGACTTCTACAGGGAATGGCTAAGCACTACGGCCGCGTATTAGCTGGTCAATGTGATTACTACCACGAGGGCTCTTAGTGCTTTACACAAGATGGACAAGGCCTACGAAGTTTAGTGCTACTAAACTACACAAGGATAATAACCACCTGGATCTACTGTCTAAGGACGAAAAGTAATGTTATCACTTGAGTTCTCAATTGTGCTCAACAGTAGCTAGTCGCTAAACAATTTTAGATAACGATCATACAGAACTGAGACAACTTTTTTTTTATAAGCTGGCACTTAGTGCTTTTATACACCAGTAGATCTAGAACAGTGACTTACAGATAAATCATGCCCATCACTTGTATGTGATTAACAACACAAGTCATGGATCTATTGTTAGTACTAGGATTTTGTTACTAGTAGTAGCGAGTTAACAGGTAGCTAAGGTATGACAAGTAGTATATGACAAGTTGACATTATTAGAAGCATGGTTTTGAAAAGTATCTATGGTGGTCTTTAGCGTGTTTAACACTTGAAGAGAGTAATGATTGCAACCGAAGACGATCAAAATCACTTCACTTGAACAGAGTAAAAGTCTCTAGTTAGACAGTTTAGCGCGACACACTTCACAAGCATACTTCCAGAGCATGCGGACGCACCTACAGTCTAAAAAAACTTTTCCTGCAGGTTATGGGATAGGATAGGAGTCCATTTGCCGAAGCGACTGTATGGTGATATCGATGGAAGTACATGCATCAACCATCAGTCAATCATTCATTACTCGCACCAAGATCTGCGTTGACTCCACAATGAGGACAAACCTAGAACAACCTGCACAAACTAGACATCCACCAAACAGGAAGCCACCAACTCCAGTTCCAAAGTCTTCGGCCAAATGCCCAGCGCATCATCTCAGCGAAGGTCATGGAAGACCTTCAGCGTCGTTCAGAACGTCGTGAAGCGATGGACCTACTTCAACAAGTATTTACAAGTACGTGACAAGGAAGAGCGTCTCCGGAACTGACTTCAGGTTTCCTGATGGCCTTTCACACACGTCGTTTGGATAGTATCTTCATCGCAGGTGGGACTGTGAGAATCCTCCTCGGGACGTCCTCGTCGAACACCGAAAAAGAGAACACAAAAGAGAGCAGTATATCAGCAGCAGAAGTAATGCTCCCAAACTTTCCAGAGAGTTCATTCTCCTGGTCTTCTTTGCAATTGCAATATTATAACATCTCTTCATATTCCTTCTGCGTGCCTGCTCGTTAGAGTGAATCAGGAAATAAAGTTCTACAAGTTCTTCATCGACAACTCCGAGTTCGTAGTTAGTCTTCAAAATATTAAAGCTCTCTATCTCATCATAGATCATCATCGCGCAAGGATTCAGTCGCCATCGTGTATGCGCTGGCCTTTTACAAACTACGTCTCATTGGCTTGGCAGCCTAAAAGGATGCATTGCTGTTGTTGATGTCGATATCATATGGGGCTGTACTGCCATTGGTGATGTCAAAGTCATCTAAACGCACGCAAGAAGTTACCCTTGTAATTTAATCTTTGCAGATGTGGTGATGTCATCTAAACGCTAACAAGAACAGTTGTGATTGGTGTCATATAAACGCTAAAACGAACGAAGTACGGGAAATCTTGTAGAGGCATAGCATCCTCACACAACCTCCGAGTAAGGATCTCTTGTAAGAACGAACTACTACTCATCATCCACAGTCGTCTCGCTACTGTAGAAGTCATCGTAGAAGTCAGCGTCGTCGTCAAAACTTTCTAGATCAAAAGTGTCCAACGTCTCTGCTTCATCCTGTGCTTTGGCTGTCGTGGATGCACTAGAAATCTTAGCCGTCCGCCTTTCATTAGCATTCCTATCACTACTAGAAAGCCACTCTACTCCCTTGAGCAGTTCCCGCCATTCAGGGTGATCTCCAAGCTGGTACCCAGGACACATCCTTGCTTCTCGCCAGAGCTTCTTTTGTTCCGAGTATTAGAGCTTACCCTACTTATCCCCACCATCTCGAGACGCATCCTGGTGCTCCTTCCCTCTTACGGAGGACAGCTTCAAGATGCTTCTGGAGATGGATTAGGGGAAACCGTACGAGTATGTAGTTTCGTCTTCTGCGAAGCCTTCTCTTGCTAGCTGACCCTTGGAACTACCGCCATTCTCCTGTATCGCATCCGCTATGGGGCTACAACAAATGGCAAAGCCGAGACGGAGAGGGGATTAGAGGTAGGGCGGGATCATGGAACAAACGGCAACAATGCTAACTACACTCTGGAGCTTCTTGCTCTACTTGTAGTTTAAATAGCTTACTATTGCTCTTCTTCTTGTAGCACGTTTTTATAACCAAGACAAGCTACTTTCCCAGCACTACTTCCTCTAAATTCTATTGATCACTACCACACAACAACAACAACAACTGCCAGCTATCATTGTGGTGGAGCCGATCTGTAACTAGAAGAAAAAAGAAAGACCTGAGAGAAAAACCATAACACACTGTCGAAGTCCTTACCTTAAGAAACCGAAAAATACGGACAGCTCCTGGCGATCCGGCCGTCATCTCTAATGGCAAATATTAACAGTGAGCATCTACTTGCGAACTGAAGATAGAAAATTCTATTCATAGGAGCTCATCACCAGCGACGCCGCGAAGTAGCCCAAGACGATCAAAAGCAGGCAAAAGTACGGAAACCCGCCTTCCCGAATACACCGCAGCGCAAACCGCGTTGGATAATCTAAGTCCGACTCCACGACGTTCTCTACATCGTTGAGCCCAAGGAAGTCCGGAACTGCGAAGATAATCGTGGTTTTCCCATTCGATGACGCACTACTAGAAGAAGTTTTCGCTTTCGACGCACGACTCGAAAAATACTCCACGAAGTCCGACTGAAAAACGGCATCGTTTCCCAGCATCCACACGCCCATGACGCTGTGTACTAGAAACGCATAAGGGATCCAAGACATCATTGTCTCCACAACTTTTTCGTCGTACTGTGGTGGTCGCCGGCAAAAGCTCAAAAGCAAAAACTTGTCGCTCCAATAGCACGCTTCCATTAGAGCTCAAAGGACTATAATTACGTGCCCAGAAAGCGGGCCCATCAAGGGCCCGCTGCGCCAGGCATAGGTTAACAACTAGACAGATTGACTACTAAGAGACAGAAAGACAAACGAAAAAAGTCGCCAAGTCTGCTCGCCAAGGCTGGGAAGGTGGCTCCCACTGTGTCAAGGAAGGGAAGGCTGGGGAGGTGACATCCTCAACGGCTTCGATTTTCAAGCACGGCGATGGATCTCTTTGGCCTTCTCATGGATATGATGACGCTCACCAGAGTCCACCCTTCAGACATGCAAGTGCTCACGGCTATCATATCACTCTCACAGACATCGACATCCGATCCTCAACGGCTTCGACTTTCACACACAGAGACGCATATCTTTGGCCTTCTCATGGATATAATGAAAACGACGCTCACCAGGGTCCACCCTTCAGCCATGCAAGTCCGCACGGCTATCATTCTCACAGACATCGACATCCTCAACGGCTTCGACTTTCTTTTCTTTCGACATCCTCAGCGGCTTCTTTTTTGAGGTCGATGTATATCCTTGCCCTTCTCATGGATATGATGACGCTCACCAGGGTCCACCCTTCAGACATGCAAGTCCTCACGGCTATCATTCATTCTCAAAGACATCGACATCCCCAACGGCTTCGACTTTTCTTGCACGCGCAGAGATGCACGCCTTTGGTTTTCTCATGGATATGATGACGCTCACAAGGGTCCACCCTTCAGACATGCAAGGCCTCACGGCTATCATATTACTCTCACAGTCATCGACATCCTCAACGGCTTCGACTTTCACACGCAGAGATGTATATCTTTGGCCTTTTCCTGGATATGATGACGCTTACCAGGGTCCACCCTTCAGACATGCAAGCCCTCGCGGCTATCATTCTCACAGACAACAAGCTGCTTGCGTCTTACCATCGACATCCTCAACGGCTTCGACTTTCACACACAGAGACGCATATCTTTGGCCTTCTCGTGGATGTTATGACGCTCACCAGGGTCCACCCTTCAGACATGCAAGTCCTCAAGGCTATCACCCTCACAGACATCGACATCATCAACGGCTTCGACTTTCACGCGCAGAAGTGTACGTCTTTGGCCTTCTCGTGGGTAAATATGATGACACCCACCAGGGTCCACCCTTCAGACATGCAAATCCTCACGGCTATCATTCTCACAGACATCGACGTCCTCAAGTCAACAGCTTCGACTTTCACGCGCAGAGATGTACGTCTTTGGCCTTCTCGTGGATGTGATGACGCTCACCAGGGTCCACCCTTCAGACATGCGAATCCGCATGGCTATCATTCTCACAGACATCGACATCCTCACCCGGCTTCGATTTTCAAGCACGGAGATGAATCTCTTTGGCCTTCTCATGGATGTGATGACGCTCACCAAGGTCCACCCTTCAGACATGCAAGTACTCACGGCTATCATTCTCACAGACATCGACATCCTCAGCCGCTTCAATTTTCAAGCCCAGAGATGTATATCTTTGGCTTTCTCATGAGTATGATGATGCTCACCAGGGTCCACCCTTTAGCTATGCAAGTGCGCACGGCTATCATTCAATCATTCTCACAGGCATCGACGTCCTCCACGGCTTCGATTTTCAAGCACAGAGCTGTATATCTTTGGCCTTCTCATGAGTCAACACGATGGCGCCCGCCAGCCTCTGCCCTTTCAGGTGCTCACCCTCTCCCTTACAAGTCTCCCACTTTTGTGCTGGTTAAAAGTATACTGGTTAACCATCTCCAAGGGCTGCCGCGCGCTCCTGTGGTCGATTGCTGTGTGCGGAAGGAAGGTAGTCGCGGAAGGGGAGCGAGCTAACTTTTTCGCAAAAACTTCAGGGAGGTCGTTTCGTTTTCTCTGTATTTGAATGACCTCCCTGAAGTTTTTGCGAAAAAATGAAGGCGCTGGGCGATAGATAACAAGGGTAGCGGCTGGAAGTTCGTTGGGGCGATTCGCTAGGGGTGGGCGCGTAGTGTCCTGCTGCAGATGTGGCTGGGTACGTGAGTAGCCTACAAACTAACAGCCGCGAACGCGTCAACATGTTCGCGGTGCCTTTGAGTGAACTCGTAGCACTAGCAGCGCAAGGGCTTTAGAGAGCCTTGCGAGTCCTTGCGAATCCCTTAAGGAGGGGTCTAATATTAGCCAAGGGCTATAACAGATTTTCCTTAAGGCCCTTCCTTAAGGAGAATTTTTCCTCTTAAGGAAAGTTATAATAACTTTTGGTAATAGGAATTCCTTAAGGAGAACCGTTCTCCTTAAGGAAGCCACTTAAAGGATTCCCTTAAGGATTTCACAATCCATCGCTAACCCTATAAATACTAATATAAGGGCACTGCTTTCTTGTAGAGGAGAAGGAAAAGCTTTCTTTTGATGCGATTCGATAAGGCCTTCACATTTGTTGCTGTCATATAAACGCTAAAACGAATGAAGAACGGGAAATCTTGTAGAGGCATAGTATCCTCGCCTCCTATTTTAATTTCTAACCTGATGTCTCTCATAAGAAAAAGTTCACCATTGCAAATGGGATCAGTATCGGCAAGCCTGGCGCAAATAACAGCGTCGCAAACAGCGTGTTAAGGACGGATCCACACCTTGCTGCGTACTCATATTTCGGAGGCTCAAAATATTCAGATATTAGAAGAGGCCACCACTTAAGCGAATGAGTGACGAACGAGTCACCACTTAAGCGAATGAGTGATGAAGTATTCACCACTTAAGCGAATTGGTCACCGCTTATAAGCGATACACTAACTGATGAGTCATTCACTACTTGAGCGACACGCTGAGAAAAGTCCGATAGTCAATAAACAGCAAATGCCATGCAATTACAAAAAATCCATTCCCAAAGCACATAATTTCAAATCTCTTTCATTTCCCGCACAGCAATGAGCGAAGCAGGATATTTTCACTCGTTGAACCCAGCTCTTCACTACGTCGATGCCGTGAGGGGACAGCACGTTGATCGCCAAGGTCAAAGACACTGCTGCTCCGACAGTGGCGTACCATTCGTGACTGTAATCGCTATACTCTCCCTTCGTTCCCAGAGCATCGCTTGCAAAAGAATGATCACTCAACGGTCTTGCGTTCAAGAACAAAATCAACAACGCTGTATTCACGAACTGCGCCACAAAAACTTTCGTCGCCACACCTCGCTCTAATAAGCTTATTGTCGCAGGTCGTTCCCACGCAGTTAATGCGACTAGGACCGTCTTCAGCACTGCGTTCACTACCACCACTGCAAGTGATAAAACACTGGTCAATGCTACAACCACGGTCGCGTCCCAGAAATATCCGTCGCACTCGTTACGCAGTTCCGAATCACTGATCAAAGCTCCATACCCTAAGGCGTCGCACTGACAACTATTAAAACTGGGAGAGATCCCACTTGCCGATCCGGTCGATGTTGTGGCATTCCGTAGATACTCAGACGCCACAGCTGGTGTAAAAGTTAGCGCCTGAGGCTCCTCGCCAGTGGCCGTGGGGATACTCTGGATCGCCACGGGGTCTGAACAGGTGTCAGAACTGCTCTTATCACTAAGATCTTTGGCGAAGATGTTGCCCTGCATGATGGCGTACCCGAATAACACCAGGATGCCGACGGAGATTAGAGCATCCGTGTGGCGAAGGTAAGACTTTAAGTGTGGTGAGGAAACAGGGAGGAAGATTCAAGCAATATATTCTCTCAAGAAACAACAAAATATCTCCATCTAGTGCAACGAATATTCCTTGAGTGAGTGAATCAATGTACCCACTCCAGGGGTAGAAAAGAAAACTACAGACTACTTCCTTCTACATCGAGCTTCATGAGATCGCACGAAACAAACTTCCAGACACATTTTATCTTCTCTCAGTCTTTTTTCATAGTGTCAATCCCCCCACCGCCATTTTCTTCAACAAAAACTCGCGAAACCGCAAGTCTTGATTCTCCCACAGTATGTTCGTCGGCTCGGGTGCCGGCATGATCCGTAGTTTGTGTGAATAGAAATTCTTCTCTTTGGACTGGAACAACAGCCGCCACAAGTGTCCTCTAGATTTCTGGTAGAGATCTTCCGCTAGTTCCTTGTCGTAGGCTAGTTCAAACGTCACGAACGCACGCATGACATGCCTAGCTTTAGGGTCTGCACGAAGACCGGAGTTCGCCAGAGATGTGCCCCTAGAAGGTCTGGAAATAGCCAGTGCTGAAGGGGGCTTTGCTCCTGGTTCGTCTTTAGCATTGACTAGAGGTTGAGGCCCTTCCGGCTTTACTGTTGTTGCAGCTGCTACTCCGGAAGCATTTTTTACTAAGCCATCAGTATTTATTCTTTCCTCCCCTTCACCTGCCGCCATTTGGTGTACTCCCTCTTTCTGGCGCTGGTCTGGTACCACAGAAAACGACGTCCTTCCTGCTTGAGAAGTAGGCTTTGTTGCTGTACCAAGAAGATGATCTACGTTGTTGTTACTATCGGTTTGCACTCGTCCTGTCGCCTCATTTGCAACTGTTGGATCATTTCCCGAGTCACCTCCTCCAGTACTTGTTTCTCCGAACAATTTTTGCAATTTCTTCTCCAATTTCGCTATTTTCTTCGCATCAGCTCCGTCACGACGCAACTCCTCAATTTGCTTGTCCAGCTCCGCCTGTCTTTTACACCGCAGCAGCGTGCCAGTCCAATCGCGTGCGAACGCTATATCCGCTACAGCCGGCGGCCCAAGATCAGACGGAGGCACGAAACAGCCGTCTAATTGCCGCTTCTGTCGTTCCGCAGCCAGCAAATCTTCAAAGTGCCGTTTTAATTCGGGCAGATAGTTGCTCTGATGGAAAGCGTTCGTGTCGGGTGGAAGCATTCTGCTTTTCTTCGTTGTCGGAGCGGTGGAAGAAGAATAGAAGACTGTCTCGGTTTTATCTTCTTCACCAGTACTTTTTATTCCACCACCAGTGTCTCCTTCGCCAGTGCCTGCTACTATACTTTGTGACTTTCTCAACTCGTCGTCTGCTACCCCCTCTCCCCCACCAAAAAAGTCGTCATCTCTCTTCTCTAGTACTTCGCTATTAGCATTTCTGTCCTCAGGAGCGTCAGTGATTTCTACTTTTATATCCTCTAAAGTATTCGTCTGCGCATTGCTAGGTGCGATCTGATTCGGTTTAACCGACTGGCCAAACTGGAACAACTCCATCGGAAGAAAGTCGACTTGTACTGTGAAGTCTCCAGGTGTTACCGCAGCCTGGTCCAGCTCCATTGACGCCTTGGCGACGACCGTGCGCTCGAAATGCCAACAGAAGAGGACCCATTAGAAGGTGCTGAAAGCAAACTAAAGACTTATGAAATGCCAAGAGAAGAGGAAGGATTAGAAGTTCTCCTTGGCAACAAGACGTTTTGGCGAAAACCAACATGCACATTTATTTTCTGAGAAAAAAAAACTCCTTAAAAGAACGCAGCTGCGCCAAGAGCTCCAAGCGCTGACAATATCGGCGCTACATGTTGCATAGGATATGACGTCCCTAGAAGCGTTACTGTTCTTGATTTAGTGGACGTTGAAGAAGCCGTCGCAGAAGATGCTCCTCCTGACGTTGCAGTACTACGACCTGCAGTAGTGCTACTACTAGTACCTCCACCAGCAACTGTCGTAGTAGTAGTACCATCTTGATCTCCAAAGCTTGCGAGACTGTACTGGGCCAACCCTCCCACTTCTAATCGGGCATCACCCGGACTCGGCTGACTGCAGACATAAAGTAGCGGAGCGAGGCAAAGCGACCAGAAAAAGAGAAAACGACACCCGGACTTGAGGAACGCAGATTAGAGTTTTCTTGCGAAGGAATGTCTGAGCGATGAGGACTTTTGCGAGGAACAAACTATTCGAAAAACTGAAATAAGCAAGCAGTTGATCGATGTTAAGCTATCTCCCTTATTTCAGTCAGTAACTCGGTTATTTCAGTTTATCGAATACAAAGGGAGTGCACACGATATCCCCTTCACACATGGAAAAAATTCACTTGTACGAACGTCCAAGGCAAAACGCTAGCTTTGGAGCACGTTGAAGTTCTCACAGTTGTATGATAATAAAAATATCTATGAGGTTGAGGATCTTGCCGCAAATAAAATACAACTGCAACCCAAGACTCTGTGACGCTTTTCCGATTCGCTGTGGCGTCGCTTCTCTCCACGGAACCAATGCGCCTTCTTCTGTTATTTTGAGTAATCTTGCTTCTCCTCGTTGCCTTGCAAGTGCTGCTCCAAATGCAGCTCGGTCTGCGAACTTTTGTCTGTGGTTGGGAGAGCCTGCCTCTTCATCCTCTGGCGCTGGTACTGCCGTTTCGACATCTTTACTTTCCTGAGGTACTGCCGTATCGACGTCCTTGCTTCCTTTCGGTATTTCCTCCACAACTGGAGGAGGTGCAGCAGCGCCGGTTGCGGGAGTTTCCTTAGGAGGTGGCACTTCTGCAGGTGGTGGCGCTGCTTTCGGTTCCGCTTGCTGCTGTTCGGAGGGGGCCTCCTGCTCCTTCGCAGGAGCAGCCTCCGCGGCCGCGGCCCGATCTGCCATGATTTTTCTCCGCCCGAGGCCACGACCCATCCATGGGAAAAAGAAAATTTTTTGGGATGGGTCTCTTATTTTGGGATTTCTCAAAGTCTATCTTATTTTTTGGGCTTTCTTACTGCGTGGGGAGTGAGGGCTTCTCCTTTGGCGCTCCTTGAGGCCAATTCCCTGTTTCGATTTTCGAGAATAACGATTTATGTATTTCAATTTTCGCTTTTCCGATTTTCTCGACGAGTCTTCCAACACTGCCTGTTATACACAATGGGACAGCTTTAGTAAACTTGCTTGACTTTTTCTTTCGAACTACATCTCTTCCGCTCTTCTCGAGTAAGGTTCTGAGCAGTGTGTGACCCCTGCCTCTCTCAAAGAAAAAAAGCTCCCTTTTGATTGTTCAAGCGAACACACGAGCTCTATCGAAGGGCCGCGTGGTGGACTTTTCTTATTTCTGTATTTTGGCCTCACTCATAATTGTAAATCTTTAACGCGAAGAAGAGGAAAAAATTTTCAACGATGATCAGTCGACGGGTATATACTCGATTGCACTAGACGGCTCTAGTCGTCTTTGCATGTGGTTACCTTCCAACCCGAAGCTACCTGTAGGTACGTACTCGACACGAGCCGGTAGCTTTTGTTCTTCGTAAAATTAGAGGACTGATACACTCTCAAGTATTTGCTTCGCTGTAATACACTTCGTGATAAAATTAGAGGACTGATAAACTTCTTGGGAAAACTAGAGGACTCTTATTCATTTCGCTGCTCGTCCCTTCAGGTTGCAAGACTGCGCTTTTCTCTTCTTGTTATTTTTTCCGTAAGTCATAACTTCTTTCATAACTACAAGCGCCGACTCGTGTGTCGGATCTACGAGACCGATGCGACACTGACCGCCACAGGTAGACAGGAATGACGAAGCCGACGCCAGTGATAGCGATGCCTACAAATCCAGCTGCAACAAAAATATTCAGCACAGGGTAGCTTTGCAAGAATCGTGCCGCAAGCTGATTCTTAGAGAATTTCTTTATTAAGGCTCTTAATTTGGAAAGAACGAAAATAATGCTTCAAAAACAATAACGTCTCATAACGTTTCTCCTTTTCATCAGAAGAGAAGCATGTGCCACAACGATTGCAGAAAGCGGAAAAAGTAAAAAGAAGCAGAGAGCATATACTCCTTCCCCATGAATAATGCATTACCGGTAAAGAGTAATCAGATCCAATTGATTACGTGACTCTACCAATCTTCTCTGATATCGATGAGCAATGGAACGAACTTCGCAGGCCTTAGCATTGGGTGACAGGAGCTCGTCCTCAACATCGGCGGGTGTAGCGTTTGTTTTGTGGTCCTCCACCATGAAGACGCCCTCCTCGTCCGAAGAAAGTGCTCGCAGCACCCAAAGAATGGAGGCATACAATAAAATAAGACCGAATCCGAGAATCTGACACATTTTCGGACATATATGATAACGCGAAGTCCTCCCCTCTAACTTTCAGGGGTCTATAGAACTGTGGTTCCTTTTTTGTTCGCTGTTACAAGCAGCGCTTGGCGTTGCCCGGCTAGAAAATTAGGGCCGGAGCTAAATTCGGCGGTAGGTTCCAGCTTTGCAAGTGGCAGCTCCTCGGCGGTTCTTGCCTTAAAAAAGGCAGCACGGCTCGCGCATGTGGATGCACACTGCTACAACGCACTCTCTGAGCTTGCTTCTACTTCCCGGGCGGCTCACTTTCCAGCCCGTCTACATGCCGTGGCGCTAGAGCCCGCTCGCGGACTTTGCGCCAGATGTACAGCTGGATATTATCCGGAGGCCGAAAAAAGGGGGACACGATAGGGGCTCATACTGTCGAACGGAAACAAACGGAAGCCGGCAAAAAAGAAATGGCGGACACTCGACGGGGCCGGCCTAGGCTAGGGGGGATGGCGTGGAAGATGGGCCGGACGCATGGCCGCGCCGCGCAGCATGGGCCGGACATGCGCGAAGGAGACTGGGGTACCGAGGCTGACCGGGATGCGCTTTGGGCAGGTCTAGCATTAAGGAAGCGGGGCGGGGCGGAAACAAAAACACTTCGCTAACTTTGACAACCATCACCGGCGACCCCTGGAGGCCTGGCCGACCGCTGCAAGGCATCTTCTGCGCCCTCTCGTGCCCCGCGCTTATCCCATCGCGCGCGGGCTCTTGCACGGCGGCCTCGCAGCTGGCTCGCTTCGGTTGGCGCTTTTGCGGAGCGCCGGACCGTGGCCTCCGGAAGCAGGCCCCGCGCTCTTTTCTCCCCGCCCTCGCTCCAACAAGCGCCGCCGGGCGTCTGTTTTCCCCCCTTTTCCCTAACCGGTTCCCCCAGGGCGCTGCCCCTTCCTCCGCGGCCCGTCCTTGCTGGAGCGCCGAGACCCCGGCGCCCCGGGGGCGCAAATGCCTTTCCGCCAAGGCGGCGAAGCGGCGCGAGGTCTCGAGCCGGTGCCCCCCCGGGGCGGTGAGCGACACGGGACGGGAAGGGGATTTTCTGGCGCCCACGCACCGGCGGGAGAACGGGGAGTGAGGGCGCCGCACAGGTTGAGACGCCGGGGCGACGTCACCCTCTACCTCTAGAGGAGCCTTCCGGGAAACTGGTGGGGGTTTTGTTTTGTGGACAAAAACTCCCGGAAGGTTCCCGACCCGCCTTCCGCCCCTCCAAAGGGGGCCGCGAAATCGAATCGGCCTCCGGTGGGGTCTCCACAGGTTTCCGCGGCCCCCTTTGCAGGGGCGGAGGGGTCAGGAGTCGGGTGAAGGTCGTTGCCCCTGAAGCAAAACCCCAATAAGCTTCCCCGCGAGCCCAAGCTTCCCCGATGATAGGGGGCGACAATTCTCATCAAGGGGAGGGGGGTAGTCATACGGCTACGCCCAATTTTTCAAGACCTGGGAAATAATAAAGCGCCGCCCTCATCTGAAGAAAAGACGTAAGAAACTTCTCACTTTTTGAAAGAATTCCTTCAAGCTTTTTTGTCTAAAAAAGTTTTTTTGTGATGATTTTGCAGAAAATATAAAGCAGCCAGTTGTTGCTTGCACTCCCTCGCTGGGGCGGCAACTCGCCGGCAGCTGTGTAGGGAGTGAGTGAACCACCTGGGTCGCGTTTTGCTCAAAAATCGGCGCAGGTGGCTCCTCGGTTTCCTCAGTGATCCAATCAGACAGGCCCCCTCTAGCTAAAGCATCGACGAGCTCACCCAGCTGGCGGAGCTTGTCGGCCCCTTCTCTGGTTCTTCACTGCGCACCAACTCGGCGACGCTTCTTCACTGCGGCCACCATATTCGATGGCGGCCGCAACCTTAGACAAGGGTAGACACCTCCCGAGAATCTTAGAAAGCCCACCCAGTCGGCGAGGCTTGCCGACTCTGGCTGTAGTTCTTCGAAGAACGAGATACGGAGCCGACAAGCCTCACCGGCTTGGTTCGCTTTCTAAGATCCAGGGCCTGACACCTCGCGAGGATCTTAGAAAGCGCACCCCGCCGGCGGATCTATCGTCGATAGCCCGACCAGAGGGAACCCCCCTCATTGGATCACTGCCGCAGATCATGACCCACCTTCGCCGGTGGTTCTTCGCTGCGGCTTCTTGGCTATCCTGAGCACAGCCCACCCCTCCCAAAAGTCAGGCGCCCACCGCCTTCCCCGGCGCAGCTGGTAAGTCACTTGCGCCGCGTGCTTGCTCCGCGTCCAGATTTTGGCCCTTAAACTTCAAGCGTGCCCTTAGACTTCTTTGATTTAGAAGCTACTCCAGACCACTGTGGCGAACTCTTGTAGACGTCCAGTCTTGCGGTGAGCCATCTTCTGGACGACTGGGAGAAGGACGAGCTACCCCGGGAAGAAGTGAAGAACTTAGAAGCCGAACAGCTTCTCCCGGCTCATCGTCTGCGCCCCATGGGCAATCATTAGCGTCGGCCACTACTCGACACGCACTCAGGCAAGGAGGGCGCTATAAATCAACAAGGCAAGTATAGCAATTTTCTCTATCGAATTTTGCTGGACCTAGGTTGGGCATTGTTTTTGATTACCTAACGCCTTTTGGCTCCACTTTGATGCCGCACTGATCACCTAAGTGCACTGATTCCACTTCCTAAAATATCGGAGAAGCTGTTCACTTAAGTTCCTTGATTCCACTTTCAAAAATGCTTTGGATCCATTTTAAGAGGCAAGCTCCCCCGGGATAAAGTCCCTCCTCCTGCCGTGCCACCGAGGCGCGCCCCCCAGAGACTGAGGGACAGGCAGAATTTGGACTCGCCAGGGATCGCCATACACTCGCGCTCCCTTTGGAGGGTGCGCATCGGAGAGCAGGAAGATCACCACCAGGATGATCAGGATGAAAAAGGGCAACACGATGGGAATCACATCGCGAGGAAGTTCAACCGAATAGCACGGCCCAGGAGAAAGGTCAAGAGTGAGAAGGTTCAGGAAGTAGCTAGGTACTCATTAAGAAGCAGAACAAGCAACAACAACAACAGCCACGGCATAACCTAACTGCATGCAGGTTATGTAGAGTACCGGGCTAACCCCCGTGGAACTTCATAATCAGCAAGTTACTAGTGCGGTTTGACGTTGCGTCTAATCTTAGAGCATAGACCCTTCTTACATCTCAGTCCTCGAATTTCGTGAGAATTTGATAGAAATTCTCCACCTGGTCAGAAGTTTGATCTTTGTTTTTCCATGCTCCTTTTCTCATTTTTAAAAATCTGAAAGGCCGCCCGGCTTTCTCCTTTTTTCCAAGGGTGGAGCTGACGCGTTTAAATTTTGGAAGCATTAGGTAGCTTTTTGGTTTTCTGCTGCGTGCTTGATGTTAAGAAAAGGAAAGAGCACAGACCACGCCACGACGGCCGGCGTCGATCGCTGTGGCCCTTTGTCTTGTGTGAGGTGATAAAATGCAAAATAATACGACATCGCTCGCCCTCGCTCGCGCACTGGGCGTGGACAGGGCTGGCATTCTCCTCCGCTGTGCAGTGCTGTCGCGTCTGAGCTGACGCCGAACACTTCTACGCAACAAAGCGCAAGGCCGCAAGTCACGAGACTACACAAGTCGCAAGGCTCTTCTGCTCTCGTGGCTTGGCTTTGCCTTCCCCGCATTGCCTGGGGGCTCGATTTTGATGACGCAGCTCCCTGCCTGTTTCATTTGGTTCACGTTTGAGCTTAGTCCTTGCTAGCTTTGGCTTGATTTTGTTTCTCCTTCTCTTCAAATCAGTTCAGTACTGGACGAAGCGCCTCAGCTGTGTTCACTTCAGTACGCATAGCTATAGAATAGCGCTAGCCATGCCGGTGCCGAGTCTTCTCCTCCCCCTTGTCTTGTCGTTTCCTATGCCTATCGTGGTCGCCTCGTGTCTTCGAGGTCGAGGCAGAAGGGGAATCAGGTTCAGCGCTGGCCTCGGGGCCACGTCAGGTGCGTAGCGGTAGCCGTAGGGTAGGGTAGCGTAGCGGCAGCGTACAGAACAGGGGCGGGGTCGTTCTCCTCTCCTCTCGTTGTGCTCGTGCTGATCTGGGCAAGGCTAAACTGTGGCCATCCGATTCCATGCCGGCTGGCC